AATAATAATAATAATAATAATAATAATAATAATAATAATAATAATAATAATAATAATAATAATAATAATAATAATAATAATAATAATAATAATAACTAACGTTAATAGTATTTTATCTTTCTTTCTTTCCTCTTCTTTCTTTCCTCTTCCTCTTCCTCTTCCTCTTCCTCTTCCTCTTCCTCTCCCTCTCTATCTTTACATCTTCATGTTCCACTGCGGGGATTTTTTCTCTGTTTCTTGCTTTCTTACGTTCCTTGGTTTCTTTTATCCCATTTCAGTCCCCCGCCATGTGCCACGCTAATGAACAAACCAGGGTGGATTGTATGTGGAAGACCAGGGAGAAGGATTTGGGCTTGTACTTTGCAGCATTTGGGTTTAAGCGGGCTAGAGACCAGGCAAAGGGATTTCGGGTTGTGTTTTGCAGCCTGGGGGAGGGGGTAAAGCAAGCTAGGGAACCAACCGTACGCAAATAGCCATGGGCGGTCACTCGAACGTGCAGCCGACAAGAGACTGGCTATCGTTGTCTGTAATGAGAACAAGTCGTGTTGCTCGCGTTCGATGTCACGGCGGAAGAGTCAATAAGCGAGATTACAAAGCCACCAGCCCGAGGCATCATTTAGCGAATGTCTATCTGGTATCTCCAAAGAAAGTGCGACCGGCAAGCCAACCCAAGCCCATTATCGCCAACTCCCACAGTCCCTGAGTAACGCCGTAAAAGACCAAGATGCCAGTACCAGTGAGAGCCGTATATCAGAACCAGATGGCAGCATGGAAAGTCCCTCAGCTCTCCAGGCACCCCGACACATTCCCAACCAAGAAGACAGTCTCGTCCACCTGACAGGCCCAACCCAACCCAGCGCGCTCGCTCGCGCTCTCTCTCTCTCTCTCTCTCTCTCTCTATCTCACTCTCTCACCACATACACGCATAACTTCATCTCACCTCCTCCTACCGTCCCACTCCGCCAGCACCTTCTCCAGCGCCCTGGAAGCCCGTATCTCCCCCTTCCGGAATGGCCTGTTGAACATCTCGGGCAGCACCATGGTGCTGTTGGCGTGCTCCCGCGCGAATCCGACCTCGGCGTCCCGCCCGCAGCGCTCGCGCGTCACGCGCACCGCTTCGCGGAGCATGTCCCCGCCCAGCCCGCGCCCACGATACCGCAGCCTGGTCGTCCACGCCCGAATCACGCCCGTCCCCCCCGTCTTCCTCCCCTTCAAGCTGTTTTGTCTGCTGTGCGACTTTCGACTTCTATTGCTACCGCCGCTGCCGTTGGAGTTGGGCCTGAGGTTGTCCTCGGACGGTTCCAGCCGGAGCACGAGCGCGCCGATGATGTCGGCGCCGTACCGCGTGCCGAGAACGAGATCCTCTTCCCCATTGGACGGGTTCGTGATGAAACCCCAAGAAAGCTCCTCGGCCGCGCGCAGGTAGCCCGAGGTGACGTAGCGGATGGCGAGGAGGTAGGTCATGCAGGCGCTGCTGGCCAGCATCAGGGCCGTGCCGAGGTCGTGGCGGGTGTTTTGCGCCCAGGTGTAGCGGTAGATGGCAGCCAGGGCGGCGATGAGGGCGGCGAGCGGGAGCGGGTGGAAGACGAGGTGGAACGCGGCTTGTTGGCGCTGCTGGGCGATGCTGTCGGCTACCAGCCGGAGGGCGGCGGCTTTGTCGGCGCGGGCCGTCAGGATTTCGAGGGATAGCGGGGGAATGTCGTCGTCGTCTAGAACCCCTTGCGGTGGGTGGGTTGCCAGGGGAGATGACGGGACAGGCGGGAGGGTCTGTGGCCCTAGCATGGGCGTTGACACATTTGAGGACATTGCTGAGTGCTGCAGGACGAGGTTGGCGCGAAGAAAGGTCAGGAAAGCTAGTCGAGAGGTGTCAATAAACAAGCTTTCCAGGTGGGCTGTCTAATGTAACGGTGGTATGGAGTCTGCTGTGTTCATTGACCCCACACCTCTTTGGGATGGTATGGGATTGTGGTTTCGTCGAAGGGTGGGAACATCAAGGCAGAGAGCCGGGAATGTCCTAAAACTTCAAGAATCGAAATGAAGAGACTACTAACCTGTACTGGTCTTCAAACCAGGCACTGCATTAATCTTGTCAACCAGCGTTTGGTTGAAGACGTCGCTCAGATTGACCACGGTGATGGCTCCCACGTGCCGTGAACTCTCCATGTTACAGGTTCTGTGTGTGGGCTCCAACTCAAATATTCTCTTGCAAGGCGAAATGTCGGAATCAGCCGCATCAGACGAGAGCGCAGTACCATCGCCGTGGATCTGGATACATAAACATCACCTAGGTAGGACTGAGAGATTAGACAAATTAACTTGGTGCCGGGCAGCGCGTGGGTGTCATCCACGGAAAATGAGACGAGGAAGGGTCGCGAGGATCGGGTTGAGAAAAGTAGCTGAAGGGTGCTGCAAAAAGCGGGCACTTACATCGGGAGCTGCACTCTTTTCACTAACAGGCCGCGATAAGCCAAGAGCACCGAATGACGACAGCACCATCTGTGATGCCGCACGCCCAGAAAAATCGGCTCCGACTCCAATAGATAGCAGCCGGTGCAGATCCTATATACTTCCTGCAATGCGTCGGTCGTGTCCCGCGGTCAGACAACCATCTCGCGCTGCGGGGTTCGCCGTCAGTTGGCGGTCTGCATGTTGGGAATCAAGGGAACCTTGATAAGGCCGGCAAGAAGCAATCACTTCAAGCCAACAGGTTCTTTGAAGCCAATGGGCGATGTGGTGAGGCGACGAAATGGTGTGCGTGACCCATCACCAACCACAGGATCTCCCCACCATCGTCGCAGGCCCCTCATGCTGAAACGGTCTCAACCAGCCGTGTGGGTTAGCTTGCGTACTTGCAGTATCCCACTACGATATTACCTGGCAACCCGGCGCGCGATTGTCGTCACAGTACACTGACTGAAAGGAGCCTGACCCGGAAGCAAAGAACGGATTCAGAAGCGGACCGAGTAAGGTAACTTGGTTCGGCCGTGGCCACGACGGCTTACAGTCTGCAGAATGTTGCCATCCAGCCGACAAACCCGTCGCTGTACTGGGCGGGCGTCAACGGCATGGACCCGGAGCACTGGCCCAACGTGCTGATGGTGGACTACATTGGCGTGCAGCAGCGGGACCAATGGGCGTGGGACCGGCTGAGCGCCGTCATGGAGGCCATCTCAATGGCGAGAGAACGAAGCCGTTCGACCTCCTCATGATAGGCCGGCTTATTCTGCTGGTCACATGCATGAAGCAAGAGACTAGCGCTGCGGCACAAAGGTTAGGTTACTTATAGATCAAAAACTGAAGGAATTGCAAATGTGAAGGATGAACAGAATAACACTTCATGTCGATTACTAAGACGAAGTCGAAGAGGATTGAAAGACTGATTTCCAGGCTGTTGCTCGAACTCTCCCGCCGATCTCAGTTTCGACAAGGGAACGTGCATGCATCTGGAGACTGAAACGCTGCAGGTCAGTGCAGGGAGAACGAAACATGTTTCACATTGGGCTCCCAAGCCCTCGCGAGCGGACTCGGTGCACTCAGTGAGAGTGAAGTGTCAGAAGAGCGGAAAGAGGCAGCAAAGTTTATGACCAGTCCCTCTAGGTTGCTGGCCACAGGCGTCTTGAGCGAGAGGTCATTCAAAACTTCGCATGCGATCCGCGGTCTTCGGTACTCGTGGGCGGTCGCGGCTTGAAAATCGCCGCGCCGACCCCAGCCGACGAGAGACGGTGGAATATAGGCGACAGCCGCCCAAATGTGGCTGGAGTCTAAAACGTACCTTTTCGTCATCGAGGGCATTTTCGAAATTGCAGCGTGCACGCCATCCCATCTCAGATTCTGGAACAGTTGAAAGTGTCGATATTGGTTTGGAAAGGAAGCATCCCGTGACCTGTGTGGCTCATGCTAGGACGGCAGGCGGAACAAAACGGAGCCGACCACGAGCGAGCACCAGGCGATTTCTTTTCTTGGGATGATGGATCCGAAAGTTCCCGGTCTAAGCGCCAAGCTTTCAGCTGAGCCATTGACACAGCGCATGTCTCCAGCATGAATCAACGCCCTGCTTTCTGGCTGGACCTCAAAACGGACCAAAGAGGATCAGAGTCCGCCAGTTCCTGCTTGTCAGATTTTGTCATTTGCCCGGACGAACTCGGCCTTGGGCCCTTCGTATTCCTGACTATTTTCTACGATGGCTCATTCCACTCGTGTTATAAAGCCCCTGAGACACATTCTCTTCAATAACCATAAGCCTGCGCTTATATCCCACCAGACATCATAGCCATCTACCAAGTACATCGCGACTTGCAACAACAGCCATAGATACCTACCATTCAATGATCTCCCTCGAAGCAAGCAAAAAGGTCTGCTCAAAACAAGCAGCACACCTCACCCGTGCGGTGATCCCTTTGTTGTACCGGGCACATACAGTTGGGCTTGGCTATCCTGCAACAATCCGGATTGCTGCCATAGCACAGCGGTGCCGGTCCTCTCAAAACACACGAAGCTTCTCCACGACAAACGCCAATCAACTCCGTGATATCTTTCCGGCCAAAGAGACAACCTATATCCGCCAAACACCTCCAGCATGGCCGCATCCCGGCTACACCGAAGAGGAGATGCTCGCCGTCACCCCGGCTCATCGTCCTCCCAAGACCGTGGGGGATTGGCTAGCCTGGAAGCTCGTGCGGCTTGCTAGGTACGTGACTTGAAGCTTCATGCTACAGATTGTCGACGAGCATGACTGAACTAACGGGGTCACAGATGGGCGACCGATCTTGCCACAGGAGTCGGGCGCGATCAACAGGTCGACATGAAGAACCCTACTACTGCCGTGGCCGCACGGAAACCATTGACTGAGGCGCAATGGGTGAGCTCCCTATCCCACTCATGTTGCTGTGATTTGGGCTAACCCGTCCTCTCCTTCGCAGCTCGTTCGAGTGATCTTCCTCGAATCCATTGCCGGAGTGCCGGGGATGGTCGGAGGCATGTTGCGCCACTTGCATTCCCTACGGCGCCTCAAGAGGGATAACGGCTGGATTGAGACGCTCCTCGAAGAGTCGTTCAACGAGCGGATGCACCTGCTCGTCTTCACCAAAATGGCCGAGCCGGGCTGGTTCATGAAGACGATGATCCTCGGCGCCCAGGGCGTCTTCTTCAACGCCATGTTCCTCAGCTACCTGATCTCGCCCCGGATCACCCACCGGTTCGTGGGCTACCTGGAAGAGGAAGCCGTCCACACGTACACGCGGCTGGTCCAAGAGATCGAAAATGGCGACCTACCGAAGTGGTCGGACCCGAAGTTTGAGATCCCGCAAATTGCCGTGCAGTATTGGCGGATGCCTGAGGGCAAGCGGACCATGAAAGACCTCATCCTCTACATCAGGGCTGACGAGGCCGTCCACCGCGGCGTCAACCATACCCTGAGCAACTTGAATCATGTCGAAGACCCAAACCCGTTTGTGAGTGACTACAAGGCCGGGTCAGAGCAGCGGAAGCCCCACGCCGACGCCGCCTTGAAAGCGACTGGATATGAGCGGGAAGAGGTCATCGGTTGAACCTGTCACTGGGGTTGCCCTGTTGACATATTTCATGCTTGGTTCTATTAGGGCGTTAACGGTTGAGCTATTGTTTGAACTCGGAGCGTCTTCCGGCAGCATCGAGATTGGATAGACAAGATACCCTCTCCTCTCCGGATACACAGGGTTCTTACAGGCCTTGGACGGGCTACAAAATGGCGTTGGTAGACACAGGCATCACTACCAGGTAGAATACTGTCTCTGAATGGACACCAAATTTGATATTGGTCGACTCAGGTGTCTCGAATCCCTTTTCCGTTCTCTCGAATTATATTGCTATTTAGTTCACAGGTTTCGTTTCCCAACCATCACATTGACCCGCAAGGTCCCAGGTGGCCCCGAGCAAAGCCCGGCATTGAAGGGGACCTACTCATCAGGGTACTTACCAATTGGCGGCTGGTCGGTGCGGCCAATGTGAAGCCCCAGCGCCGTGCCGTTTCACGCGAACAGATCACAGGCTCAATTACGCGTAGGGCTGCAGATGCCACGGCAACTTTGTAGGTTACACGCGGGTAAACGCCGCGAGAGATGCCATTGCACACAAACTGGGCAACTGGCGAGGTTGGTGGGCGCTTACAATTAAGCTGAGATAGCTTGCGGGATTTTCACCGGCTTTGTTCTCGAGGAGGGTTCGTGGATGGTTCGATGTAAGGCACCTGAGGTAACTGAAGGGAGGAGGACCAAGCAAGCGTTTACCCTGTCTCGTATGACTCCATAGACTGGTCCAGCCGCAAACCGACGTTCAGCCGGTAGTTCTACTCCATAGGTTGCCGTTTCTGTTTTAGGTTTGCTCATATCTTCGGAGACATCCGTCTAAGTCCAGGCCGCAAGGTCCAGTCTAGAGTTTCCGGTGGAGATACCGGTCGCTTCGCAATTGCTGCCCAGCCATGTGATGGCATTGAGGAGGATGCGCATGTTGGGCTTAAGATGCAAGTCGGAAGATGGAAGGTCGAAGCACGCCAACAGCGTCGGCGCTCAAGGGCTTGGTCATCGCCCAGTAAGCAGGCAAATACCTGGGCATGCCCACCGCTAGTCCATACTCAGTTCACAGCTCGAGAGTGAGCGCTCAGTTGCAGACCGAGACACATGTTTAAACTTACGTACTGTGGCTGGCTCTCATGACAAGTAGAAGCCCCAACTGGTCGCATTGGGGTCACTGTACAGGGCAGCGCGCTTGTTATATTTAAAGCACTCTTGTGGCAGCGAACAACGTGTGGATAGGTTAGATGTCTGGCTTCGTCCAACAAGCATTGTGGCGGTTGTGACAAGGAAATGTGAAGCCAGTGAGACATGGAGAGCCGATTTATGCATTGCACGCCTGCCCAAATTGCTTGATGAAGCTAGCCAAAAATGATTTGATTGGCTACCACCGACGCTAGACCCATCCACTTAGGCTCCTGCCGACTCCACCCTGGAGCCCTACAGGAGTCAGGGACCACTCACCCGCGACCCCTCCACGAGTCCACGCCTGTGCGTCTCGCATCTTCATTTGGAAGAGGAGAAAGCGACACGGCGGCTACGACACCTTCGCTCAATTGCGCAGCATCACCTTCTCCCCATTGCCGCACCCAGTTCAAGTTTTTGCAGACCGACTCGGATCATTTCATTTGCGTTCTTTTGGGCGGGGGAATAGGTGCCAGCGCACATCTGCAACACCCGCGAATCCCGGGCGCGTCGTCGTTGCAGACTCGCAGAGCACAGCCTCCCCGTGGCAGTGCTGCCCCCGGCCTGGGAAGGCTGACTCCAAGACTGCCTCGTCTCGTTCTAAAGACAGCAACATCACGTTTCCCAAGTACCTGTGTACACTACTCGATCGAGTGGTCCCGGCACGTACAGAAGTACCTTATTCAGACGGACATGGACCATCAGCATCCCCAGGCCCGCGGGCGATCGCCCTCGGCCACATCTCCCGGTGGGGGTATAAGGAAAGCCCCGTCGCCGTCGCCTGCCCGCTTCCCTAATCCGAATGAAGCTGGTGCCTCCTCTATCGGTCTCGGTGTCGGCCTTGTTGACCCTTCCATCCAGCAGTTCTCCGTGGCCCAGCCCGACTTTGCGGCTTATGACAGCAACGCCGCCAGCTTCCTGAACAGCCAGCAATCTACCCCCCAGCCCTTCACCCAGCCCGGCCTGGCGAACCCATCCACTATCCCGAGTTTTGACTTGACGCAGGACTTTGGTGGTCAGATCAGGCCAGCTTCCCCATTTGACGCTCCGAGCCCGGGCACCTTCCCGCCGCATTCTCAGCAGCAACAGCAGCCCAATCTCTTCGCGCCATCCTTTGGCGACGCCGACTTCACCATCTTCCCGCCTGCCCCTGGCGAGCCGCAGTTCAACGCACCGCTGTTTGGCACCGACAGCCAGCAGCAACTCTCCGCCCCCGAGCCCAACATGATGGCGCAGGCAAATCATACCCCTACCCCTCCTCACCTCCTGAACCCCGATCCGCAGCAACCCGGTTCCGCCCAGCACTCCCCCCGCTTCAGCCAGCATCAGTTCTCTCCGCCGCTCGGAAGGCACTCGAGAAATGTGTCTCTTGGTCCAGAGGCGGCCCTGCTGCCGGGGCAAATAGACTGGACGCACGCCGGCCCCCAGTTCCAAGGCCACCGGCGAAGCGCTTCAGAGTACTCGGACGTTTCATCGGCTGCGCCGTCTCCCCATCTCGTCAGCTCAGATACCTTTGATCATTTCGATCAGAGCCATTCTCCCATGCAGCGACCACAAGATGCCGGGCTGTTTGACGAGCTGCACGGAATAACAAACTTCAGCATCTCCGGCACGGGTACGCACACTCCCAGCCATGGAGCGAGGAGCCCCTCGCACAGCCCTGCCATCTCGCCGCGCATACTGCCCCAACAGATGCCCGAAATCGGCCAGCAGGGCAACTTCATGCTGCAGACACAGAATAACGGCTTCGGCCCGTCGTCGTATTTGCAAGGCCCTCCTCAAGAGGCATTCCCGCAACTGCCGCAAGAGTCTCCGGAGCAACAGCAGGGAATGCCGGCCCCACCATCCATAAACATTGATTTTGCTCCCACTGCTGTGAACAGCGGCTTGCAGCCACCAAAAAGCCTAGACGTGGATTCATTGACACCACCAGAGCGAGGTGTGTACCAGCTAGCTTTGCGCCGGTCTAAACGAGTTTGTGTAAGACGCTAACATCCTGTTCTTCCCAGGGCGCCCGAGGATACAGCGACCCCGCGCGGTTACGGACCCGTACAACAGCAGCGGCGCGCTCCTGGGCGTCCACCGCAGTGCTTCGGCCGCTGGTGGTCTCTCGCCTGACTCGGCCGCCAGCGCCCGGTCCGAGTCGTCCCGCTCTCTCTCTCCCCTGGACCGCGCGAGCAGCACGGCGTCGGCGAGCAGGAGACGGCAGTCTACGTCGGCCGTGCCCAACAACGTTATGGCGCTCCGCCTCGTGGACCCGGACTACAACGGCGGCGCCCAGGGCGAGGGCGGCGGCGGCGGCGGCACAAAACGCGTGCAGAAGCACCCCGCCACGTTCCAGTGCACACTCTGTCCGAAACGGTTCACGCGCGCGTACAATCTGCGGTCGCACCTCCGCACGCACACCGACGAGAGGCCGTTTGTGTGCACCGTGTGCGGCAAGGCCTTTGCGCGCCAGCATGACCGCAAGCGGCACGAGGGGCTTCACTCGGGCGAGAAGAAGTTTGTCTGTAAGGGAGACCTGAAAAGGGGCGGGCAGTGGGGCTGCGGTCGTAGGTTTGCCCGCGCCGATGCGCTCGGCCGGCATTTTCGGTCTGAGGCCGGCCGCATATGCATCAAGCCGTTGCTGGACGAGGAGATTTCGGAAAGAATGCGGCAGTGGGACGAGGATCAGAGGCAGCAGGCCATGGCCCAGGGGTTGGGGTTCCAGTCCTCTGGTGGCGTGATGCTGCCGCCCGGCATGGACCCCAACGCGCCAGGCGGGTACCCGATGGACGCCAGCGGGAATATCATTGCCCTGCCGCAGGCGCTGCTGGCGCAGTATCCTGCCCTGGCGCAGATGAACTGGTCGGCGGCCGACATGGGAGGCGGCAGCGGCATGGAGGATGACCTGAGCGGCAGAAGTAGTTTTGATGCGAGCGACTACGATGATGCGGACGACGGGGGTTATGTTAGTGGGCCGGGGACCGGGTTTGGCCCGGGAGGGATGCAGGAGGGTTTTGGCGAGATGGGCTACGCTAGTGACTATGGCGGGCGCTGACCATTTCGCAAGGGAGACCTTCTTCTCCTTGCTCTCTTTTTTTCCCCTTTGGGTTATATCTTTTCCGTCCATGATCTGACAGGCCCTTGGTATGGGCAACAACCGAGTTCACTGGGCGCATTTCTCGGCGGGTGGTTACCGGCGTTTCTTGAACCCTTTGGTTTGGATGGATGGCCATGGGCATTCGTCAGCTTTATACCTCTACTTGGGTTACATTATCCTTGGCTTTTTATTTGGAAATTCTCACCTTCTCCGTGGTCTTTGGCTACTCCGTTTTGGATGGACACTTGTCGACGATGATGTCCATAATTACGCTGGTATGGTTTTCTTCGTCTAGCGGGTTACAGAGGTGGCTACCGTGCTTGGGTAGGGCAGGGGCAATAGCGAGTGTTGTAGGGACTTGCTTGGACATGGAATCTGTAGAGCGGTTGCAGTGCCTTATATAGAGGGAAGCCCATCTTGGCCGTTTCGTATTTTATGTTGCTTCTTGAAATTTTTTTGAGAGCGATATGATCTTCTGACGCTATTTATTGAGGGACAGCGAGGTGAATGATGCTTGGTTACATGTTGTTGGGGGCCAAAGATCCTCCGAGCTCGCAGCGTCTGGGTAACCCGTCACGGATCTGCTGCCCTTGTTCGCCATGTTCACGAAGCATGGCCCCTTTTGACCCGATTCCGCGGTTTGGTCAAGCGATTTTGCCAGATGTTTCACAACCAGGAAGTGAGCGTTCTCTGTCTTCATTAATGTAGTCAGATAGCTGGTCGGTGGTCTTGGAAAGCCAACTCCGTACAGTACACCACAGCTGTTTTTGTATAAGTGACATAGCCCATCTTATAGGGGCAATTAAGATCTGCTAGAAAGTTCCGCGGACCCCAAACAGCGGGTCCCGGCCGCGGTTACTTCATCCTTCAGTCGATTTGTAGAAGGGACTTTCTCAACATGTCCGGCTGCCCACTTATAAGGTAGCCAGACAAAGCCGAGCAACATCTTCTCGGTTGCGTCGGCGATAATAACTTGAGCAATTACTAATCATGCCGCCGTCCCTGCCAGCTCTGACATAGAGCCGACTCCAGTTCGAGTGAAGCCGTCTCGGCCGTATATCTACGCCGGCGACTGCGTTGATTCCCAGACCATGGAGGGGCAGATGCATGTCAATAACACGTATATATTGAGTTTGATGCGCTCTCCCGGTTGCGCGAACCTAATCACAGCTTCAGTCTCCGAGTTCTCCAAGTGCTTCAGTTGCTTTCTGTTCCCACCGCACCACACATCATCCTGTAAAAACCCCAATTTCCCTTCCGCCTCAAACCAATAATTTCTCCAAGTATCATCATCATGACGGCCCCATCCGAGATCAAAGCTGTCGTCATCACCAAGCCCGGCACAGCTGAGGTCAAGGCAGTGCCACTTCCAACTTTGCCCGATGACTACATCCTCGTCCGCGTCACAGCCGTTGCTCTGAATCCTACAGACTGGAAGCACGTGGACCAAGACTTCACAATCGGCACCCGGTCGGGCTGCGACTATGCTGGCATTGTCGAAGCCGTCGGCCCCAAAGTGACCAAGCCGTTCGTCAAGGGCGACCGCGTCTGCGGCATGGTCCACGGCGCGAACAAGCTCCGGCCCGAGGTCGGTTCGTTTGGAGAATACATCATCGCCAAGGGCGACCTGCAAATCAAGATCCCCGACAACGTGAGCGATGAAGAAGCGGCAACGCTCGGTGTCGGCATCACCACGGTGGTATGTCCCTTTCTTCTCCTGACCTGAGGAAAAACCCTTGCTGACGAACCCCCAAAGGGCCAAGGCCTCTACCAAGCCCTTCAACTCCCCCTCCCCAACCCCGACACCGACACCGACACCGCAACCACCACCCCCAACAACCCACCTCCGGAAATCCTCATCTACGGCGGCAGCACTGCCACAGGCATCCTGGGCATCCAGTTCGCCGCCCTCTCGGGCTACCGCGTCGTGACGACCTGCTCGCCGGCCCACTTTGACTATGTCAAGTCGCTGGGTGCCGACGGCGCGTTCGACTACCGGTCGCCGGGCGTGGTGGAAGACATCCGGGCGTGGAGCCGCGACGCCGAGGCGGCGCTGACGCTGGCGTGGGACTGCGTCGCGACGCCCGAGACGGCCCGGCTCTGCGCCGCCGCGCTGAGCAGGACCCGCCCCGGCCGCTATCGGTCGCTTCAGCGGCTGGTCGATGCTGTGGTCAAAGGGGCGAATGACAAGGTGAGCAACGGGTGGACGCTGGGATATACCGTCTTTGGGGATGCATTCGAATGGCGCGGGACGGTGCCCGGGAGTGAAGAGGATTATGAGTTTGGGAAGATGTTTTGGGAGTTGGCGAGGGAGTTGTTGGCGCAGGGGAAGGTCAAGCCTGCGAGGACGGATATGAATCGCGGTGGGAAGGGGCTTGACGGGGTGCTTGCTGGGTTGAAGGAGATGAAGGAGGGTAAGGTCAGCGGTGTGAAGTTGGTGTATACCCTCTGATGGCGAGCGGGTTCGAGTGGATTGGGCGGTGGAATGGCGTGGTCAATACTTGCAGTGTAGTTCTGACCGTGATTAAAGGGCTGGTTTTCCAATAACAAGCGAGGCCACCACTGAACCCAAGAGACCGAAAGAAACCGCGTATAAAGAAAGCATTGGGTATCTCGTAGAAGTACATACAGGAGACCCTCCCGAAACGGACCCACCACGGGTATCCCCCAGGGGCCAACAACCCCTGATTTCGTCGGTCGGTTACTGGCCTGCATCGTGGGCGGCACCGGTTCTCCCCCGCCCCGACTTCATGAGGTTGCCGACGACCTGCTGGAGGAGCGCCGAGTGCGCGCTCGAGAAACGCATCTTGACGAACGGTTTCACAAGCGCGCTGCACTCGATGCTAGATATGTCAACAAGCTCATAGTCGCCTTCATCACTGGGGCCGGCCACCACCAGCTCGGGACCGTCCGTCACCTCCCCGCGACGCCTCACTTCATAGCTGCTCCTCACAGTAACACCGCCCTGCGCGCGAGCGCAGCACCGGACGCCGTGCTCGAAGCTCTGAAAGACGCAGGGGATGGCAACTTCTTTGGTCGCCCAGGAACCTACGCCCGGGATGATGGGCACGCGGTCGTAGACGACGAAGGCTTGCAAATTCGTGCCGTCAGAACGGAAGAAGGAGTCGGCCGCAATTCCGTGGGCATCGAGAAGAAGCCGTTCATATCGGTCCATGTAAGGATTCGGCGTGATGAGGGCCTCGTATGTCTGCAGGGCTGCGAGGACGGTCGCGGGAGAGAGAGAGGCCGGAATGGGGACCCGGGTGATGACGGTATAGGGCTCTGGCGGCGACATGACAACGGCTCGATGGCGACACTAACTCCCGGGTGGTTGGTTGTTGATATGACGGATGTGCTCCGAAGCAGGAGGATTCCCCTGGGTCCGCCTCGGGGACAGAGCGCAGGGCGTGAGTTCGGGGATGTCTTTGTCAGGAGGCTTTGTCTGCCCATGCGACTGGTAATTGGTCGGGTCTCGTCAAACACTCCAAAAGTGCCGGACTCGATGAAGCGGGCAAGATAGTGCAGCGTTGTGATGCGGTCTTGATAAGGCCAAGTTTGCACAGAATTGAAGTGGCATAGGGGGAAGTTATCAGATTCTAGACAATCGGAAAGAAGTACCCAAGTTTCACGTCATACATTATCGAACTGCGTTGGGACATTAAGTGTCTGAAGTCGGAACTTTGCTGCAAAGAGGCACTTCCTTTGTCCGGTCAAGCAAGGTCAGGTAAAGGTGTGACATCAACTCAGACAGTGGGGTAAGATTATCGAGACTGAAAATGACATGAAACCTCAACCGGCGCACGCTCCAGCACGGAAGAAGCCGTACACAGCGTCCGTATGAGATCAAGGTCGCTAAGGTATGCGACGAGGAAGGTTACTAGAGTTAAGATAAACCCTTATGAGAGAATATCGTTTCCTGGCGACTCCGGGTCCCTGACCAGCGACCACGACTGGCGCTTCGGGATGGGCCGATCTCAGTCGACATCCTGCTTAGGCCTCGAACAGATTGGCTGCCCACGTCTGGCCGCAGCAATCCGGCTGGGCAGCAAACGACGCGTCGAGGTGAAGCTTTCGCGCAAGTACTCCGGTATTCCACTTTTCCCGAAGATGTTGGCCACTTGTGTGTTGCTGTTCGCGACGATTTCTGGCGGTGAGGAAGCATGCCAGCAGAAGCCGCTCAGCCCGCCAATGAGGACATTCCCAGCCCCATTTTGTGCTGCACATTTGGTGGGGCCAGGGTCCAAAGTCAGACAGTCGCGGGGCATCTCGGTACCTCCACTGAGAGCCAACGACTCTCGAAAACAGGAATATCATGAAGAGTGCCAGAGCCTGCACATTGCTACATCGAGAACAAGAATCTTGTATAGAACGACACTGTCAAGTGCGCTGCATTTCGGCCCCGGATAACGGCAGGTTCTTACTATCAGCTTTCGATTCGGGCCAAGGACGGTGTCTGCACCCCTGTCGCCGTCGATGCCCCGCCGCCGGCAACCAGACGATACCCTCATCCAGTCTGGCGCTGCGGCAACAGTACGGAGTACGTGTAGGGCGTACTGTAGCCGACACCTGCGGCGCATGGCTGCCCAGCTGCGACGTAGCGGTACCACCCGCTGTCGTGGACTGGCCATGACGATTCGCTGAAACCAGTCGCGTGTTCTGCAGCTTGGAGATCGCATGGCCTGCCCGTGGATACTATGCCAGCGAGTTCACGCTGGGCACCCTGGTGTACCGAACGATCGAGTCAGAAAGTGCTGTTCCGCACTCATTGTCAAGTCACAACCCACAGGCTTCTCTTGGAAGGGAAGTATCAGAGACGGCGGCCAGGTTGCAGCCGCAAGATATCTGCTTTCGACCACTAGCACCGCCTGGTAACTGTCGTCACAGCTCATCCCGTTCTGTCACAGGACGCGGCCCTGGAGTGGTGTCCAGCAATGGCGGCAACGTTGCGCTCCAGATCGGGGATCGGGGTATTGTACATTACATGCCCGAGCTGTCTAAATGGAACTTATCCGGTACATGCTTGAATCATGCCCAGCAACTCCCTATGCTGCTACCATAGCCCCTTCGGTATTACCTGAATCAAGGAATCAAATGAGCCTGGGCACCCTCGATCTCAAAGCTCACAATATCGCTGAGCGTACGATCATAAGGACCTGAGTTTGCATTGCTTCCGCTGTTGTGAATCGTTACACTGAGAAGAAAATTACAGCGCCGGCAAGGCCCGAGCATCGGGACTAGACGAGCTGTTCATCCCAAACGGGATTGGAGCTGCAATGCATCCCTGCAATTCCTGGCGAGTGCCGGCCAATGGCAGGCCCCTGAACCAGCCATCCGCAAAATGTTCTCGTCGCGGAGGGTGGGTAGTTGACTTGGAACAGGACGCTGGCTGGCCGGTATTTTACCCCACATGACACACCTGAGCAGCGGGTGCTGGCGAGACGAGGCAGGGGAGAAGGCCATGTGAGGAGAGGGCGAAGTCCAATGTCTGGAAAGACTCTGACAGGATCTTGACACGTTGATTGTCCTAGCATCCAGAGCAACTCTCCCTGTTGATCTGCTCCCTGCATCCTGGTTGTTAGTTACGCAACTGATCAACAGCAAAATCCCTGCAGCCACTGCGTCCCGCTGCCGCCCGTTGTGCTTGCAGGAGCCGGAGCCAGGGAAGGGGGGGGGGTGTATCCGTACGGCAGGGTACTCGCGGCCGTGCATGAAGACCTCATTAGGTGACTCTCCGCCTTTTTGTTTGACCGTCGGAATCCGGCCACTCATACCGAGCTACAACAGCAGCCTTCCTCTTTTGCCTTTATCACGTTCCCACCTGCTCGAGGCAGCGACAGCCAACTTCCAACAGGAACACAGCCGGCGGTGTGGTGGCACGACACGGCCAGCATTGGACACACACGCCAATCCCCATCTTCGCAGCGCGTGTCCTCCAGATCTTGGCCGACCATTGGCCCCAGTCACGCAGCCATCTGCTGTGGTCGAACGAATCCCCTTCTCGCAGCTGCAGGAAACAGCTCCCCGGAAAGGGGCGGCGGTTTTGGTGTAGCGGCCGGGATTTTTTTCTGAGAGACTTTCTTCAGACCGCAACATCAACAGGGACTTAAGTCGGAGGCGTCCGCGCAGACGGGGACAAACGGACAAACACCCTCTCGGGAAACCCTCGCCTCGAGACTCGCCCGCACGCGGTTTCGTACATCGCAATCGCCATTTTTCGACCCGCTATCACTGGTTCGCGACCGCCAGATACCGCAGCACCACATGTGTCTGACGAGCGCCAGTCGATGTGCTGTCAACTCATACGATCGTCATCATGGCCACAGCCCAAGTCGCAAACTCTCTCGAGACATGGCCGTCCCGCTCTGTCCACGGGGTTTCAGCGCCCGGACATTCGACGAAGGCGACTAAGTCGATTGGGTGGGATGAGCGGCCTGGACAGTTCGTGGACAAAGCCGTCTTGAAGACAAGACTGAGCCTCATTGCGCGAATCTGGGTAGAGTTGTGTGCCAGCCTCAGGGTAAGAATGGAGAGTTTTGGTGCTCTACTTAACAACCAGGGACATTTAGTGCTGTAATTTTTACTAACGCCACTATCACAGGCAGCACAATTCCTATCCCATGACTCCTTGATCCTTCCACACACGTCACCGAGAAGGGCTGCTCTGGGGTCACTCGATGACGATGTCGACTCGCTTTCCGCGGATCTCTACGACCTGACCGGGAGCGGCTCTTATGCACACAGGCGCCAGCAACCATTCACCACTGATATTCCCGCGGCGGGTCGTGCTGAGTCTGGTTCCAAAAGGAGACGGCGACAGGACGGCCTCCTCAACGACCCTACTGCCGCCCTGCAGATCGACTTCACCGGTGAACGTGGCTTCAAACAGGCTGCAAAGAAGAAGAAGAAGAACACTCCAGCGAAGGCGCCCAGCAACAATAATAACAGCAGCAACAACAATGCTGACGACGCTGCCAAAAAGGAGGAAGAGGCTGGTAACGCAAACGGTGGGAGTGGCGGGGGCGATGCCCCTGGCGGTGATGCCGGGGGTGCGGGCGGCGATGGTGGTGACTCAGGCGGGGGTGGCGACGATAAGAAGGAGGACGAGAAGCACGAAGAGGTGAAAGAGGAGGATAAGAAGGAAGAGGAGGCGAAGAAAGAAGAGGAGCAAAAGAAGGAAGAGGAGAAGGTCGAAGAGAAGAAGGAGCCGGCCGAGGCAGAACCCGTGCTGGATGCCTGGGGAGAATTCACCGTCTCCGCCAAGAAGAAAAAGAAGGGCAAGGGTGGCGCCGCCGCAGACCCTCTTCCTGCAGCAGAGGAGCAGAAGTCGACCGCGGATTTTGGACTACCTACCGTTGAATCCGGATCGGGGGCTTTCGACTCCTTCCAGGAAATCAAGCTGGATGAGAACCCTCGGCCTTCTCTCGATTCTCAAGCTGCGTCGGCAGATCCAAAACCATCGACATCTCCGTTCGGTGGGTGGGGCGGCTGGGGATTTTCTAGCATCAAGTCAGCGGTTGCGGCCAAGGCCAAAGAAGTGATTGCCCCCGAGGTCAACTCTTGGAGCCTTGGCAGTGGCAAGACCAAGAAGACCACCGTTGGCTTTTCCTTCGGCGCCCTCGACGAGGCTGATGGGAACAATCAGGGAACAAAACCCGCCGAGGCCGAATCAAAGGAGGCCAAGAAGGACTTGGATGCAGACTTCGGCTTCTCCGTCACAACAGCAAAAGGCAAGAAGAACAAGACGAAGAGCATATGGGATCCGGAACCTGACCCGGAACCCACTCCCGCACCCCCTCCCCCAGCACCGGAGCCGCCCGCCTCGCCAGATGATGACGGGTTTGCCTTGACGACTAAGAAGGGCAAGAAAAAGAAGGGAGCGTCCGCACTTATTGAGGAGCCGAAGGCCGAGGAGCCGAAGGCGGCAGATGACCCATGGGGCTTCTGGGGCGCGAAAAAGAAGTTCAAGGGTGTTACAGAAGAGCCAAAGCCGGAGGAGAAGCTAACCAAACCGGAACCGGAACCGGCCCCTGTAGCTGACCCCGAACCGGCGGCTGAAGAGAATGGCACAGACAACCCGTGGGGCTGGGACGCTTCGGCAACAAAAAAATCTAAGAAGAAGAAAGGTAAGACGGATGCTGCTGACGACCCGCCCAAGGTGCTAGAGCCGGAACCGACGCCCGAACCTGAACCCGAACCTGAGCCGGAACCGGCGAAGAAGGCGGACGACGACTTCTGGGGCACCTTTGGCTCCACTAAGAGCAAGAAGAAGGGCAAGAAGGACGAGACGCCTCCTCCGCCGGTGGAAGAACCCAAGGCTGAGGAAAAGCCAGCCGAGGATGACTTCGCGTGGGGAGCGGTAACCACAAAGAAAGACAAAAAGAAGAAAGGCAAGAATGCGGTGGCCGAGCCCGAACCCCCGAAAGAGCCCGAGCCGGAACCGGAACCGGAGCCGGAGCCGGAGCCTGCCCCTGAGCCCGAGCCCGAGCCAGAACCAGAGAAAAAAGAAGTAGATATTTGGGGCGTTAGTACGTCCAAGAAAGACAAGAAGAAGAAGGGCAAGAACGCTGTCGCGGAGTCAGATCCACCCAAGGAGCCAGAGCTCACGCCCGAACCAGAACCAGAGCCCGTCAAGGAGCCTGAGCAGAAGAATGATGATCCTTGGGGCCTTACCACGTCGACATCCAAGAAAGACAAGAAGAAGAAGAACAAGCTCAAGGAGCCCGAACCTGAGCCTCCCAAGGCGCTTGAACCGGAGCCCGAGCCGGAGCCTGAGCCGGAGCCGGAACTGGAGCCTGAGCCGGAGCCGGAACTGGAGCCTGAGCCGGAGAAAAAAGAGGAGGATATCTGGGGTGTCAGCTCCAGCAAAAAGGACAAGAAAAAGAAGAAGGGCAAGAAGGGCGAGCCAGAGCCAGAGCCAGCAAAAGAGCCTGAACCTGAACCCGCAGCAGAACCGGGCCAAGAGCCTGAACCCGTGGTAGAACCAGAACCGGAGCCGCAAGCAGAGCCGGAAAAGAAGGATGATGATGACTTCTGGGGCCTCGCTGCTTCCAAGAAGGATAAGAAGAAGAAGGGCAAGAAGAATCAGCCGGAGCCGGAAGCGGAACCGGTCAGGGACCCAGAGCCTGATCCGGAACCTGAGGCTCAGCCAGAGGCTAAGGATGAAGATGACGCATGGGGTTTGTCTACTTCGAAGGAGAAGAAGAAGAAAAAGGGCATAGGGAAAGATGAAGAGCCTGAGCCTAAACAAGAGGACGACTTCTGGGGCTCTCTTGGCATCTCCAAAAAGGACAGGAAAAAGAAGAAGGAGGCTATCGAGGAGACGCCGCAACCGCCCGAGGAGACCGAGAAGGATCTCATTGACCTCGAGAAGCCTGCCGATTTGGAAAAGAACGACTTCTTCAGTTCCTGGAGCACGGGAATTGACAAGACGAAAGGCGAAGAATCAACCAAGCCGGACGCTACTGAGGAGCCCGTCGATGACGACGCATGGGGCCTGACGACATCGTCCAACAAGCGTAAGTCACATCGTCTCGCGGAGCAGCGGTTCTTATTCCCTAGCATTCGCTCTATTGACCTCACACTAAATCATACATAGTGAGCAAGAAAGAGAAGCAGAAGGCGGAACAGGAGGAAGCGGAGCGCCAGGCCCAGGAAGCCGAGGAACAGGCCAAGCGAGACGAAGAGGAGCGGCAACAACAGCAGGAGGAGGAGGAGCGACAGCAGAGAGAGGCCGAAGAACAAGCTGCTAGGGATGCAGAGGAGGCACTGGCGACTAAAGAAGAGGAAGAACTGGCGGCACTCAAGGCCAAGAAGGCGAAGGCGAAAAAGAATAAGCTGACCAAGAGCGACCAAGAGAAGTTTGACCGTCTGACGGCCAGCATCAGGAGGAGAGCGGATGAGAAGGCTGCACGCGAGGCGGAGGACGCGGAGCAGGAGAGGCTGAGAAAAGAGGAGGAAGAGCTGGCGGCCAGGGAGGCCGAGGAGAGGGCTATTCGTGAGGCCGAGGAGGCCGCCGAACGAGAGCGGCAAGAGGCTGAAGAGGCTGCAGCGGCTGCAGCTGCAGCTGAAGAGGCAGCAGAGGCAGCGGCGGCAGCTGAAGAGGCAGCGGCGGCAGCTGAGGCCGAGGCGGCATCGTCCTCGAAGAAGTCCAAAAAGTCCAAGTCCAAGGGTAAAGAAAAGGAGAAGGAAAAGGAGAAAGCAAAGCACAAGGCTGAGGAGGACGACGACTTCAAGGACGTCAACCTCACCGCTGAGCAGATTGAGGAACTGCTAGCCGACAAACCAACGGAGGAGGTCCAAGAGGAGCAGCAGACAGCCTCGAGAGAGGTGCCTGCACCTGCTGACGACCCCTTCAGCTTCTGGGGGGCTGCCAAGAAATCGACGTCCAAGAAATCCCGGCTCAGCTCATGGCTTCCTGAAGCGGACACCACCCCTCTTCATGCAGAAGCCCGGAAAATTGCACCTGCTGAGTCATCTCCCGTTCTGGAAGCTGCCACAGCTGCGGCGATTGGCGCCGTTGCCACCTCGGTGTGGGAAGACGCCGAACCGGTCAAGCCCTCGAAGCCTAAGAAGGCTGTCGGCGGTAAGATTGCCGATCGCCTGCGCGCCTTCCAGGTGTTTGACGACGAATCCGACAACGACGCGCAAGACGAACCGCTACCTCCGCCGCCAGCACCAGTCGTCACGATCGAGGAGCCTGTGCCGCCGCCAGCAAAAGAGCAGAAGAAGAAGAGTTCCAAGAAGAGCAAGACCAAGACCAAGGAACCCATCATTGACATCGACGCCTTTGCATCCGTTCCTCCACCTCCGCCCCCCGCTCCTGGCCTACCCGGCAGCTTCCCGCACAGCGAGGAGGAGAATTACCATAACGGAGACGGCGGGGACGATGAGATAGTCGAGATCGTCGACATGTCGCCCACGAAGAAGTCCAAGAAGTCCAAGAAGGCATCGTCACCTCCTGAAGTCGTTGACGTACCTCCACCACCCCCGCCGCCGCCGGTGCCGCCTCCACCCCCCGCCGTGCCCGATGCGCCGCCGGTCATGACCCCCGCCGCTGTCCGTGCAGCGAGGAAAGATCGGCCCAAGGTCAATCGCGACGGCTCAAATTCATGGGGTATGTGGACGGCGACGCCAACCAAGGATCCGAAAAAGCCTTCGTCCAAGTCCAAAGCAGAGAAAGAGCCCAGCGCCCGGAAGAAGTTGTCATCAGCTGCCGACAAGGCCGAAAAAGCCGACAAGCCTTCGTCAAGAGGGTCTGGCTCAGACAAGGCTGACAAGCCCAAGAGTAAGGATGCGCCGGCGCGGTTCGCTAGCGTTTTCGCAAGCACCCCGCCTCTGTCCCGCTCTGTGTCGACCAGGGAGAAGCGTCACGGCGCCAGCAAGTCGAGCTCACGGAGGCACTCAGTCGACATGGACGCTGGTCTGATGACCCCTCCTCCTGAGGAGATGGCGGCGAAGGCAGCCAAGGTTCTCGGCGTCGGCGCTGGTCTCGCCGGTGCCGCCGGCTTTGGCCTGTCGAGGTCTGCGAGCCGGCGCAACAGGAAAGGTGAGCACAGTAGTACTTTCCGGTCCCTGCTCTTCCACTAACCCTGCTACAGTCGATGAAGACGACGACATTGTGATGGTAGGCGCGAACGATGCCATCCCCAGCCCCGAATTAGCAGAGCGCCGGAGGTCTAGGGTAAGTCGAGCTCGCCTTTGCGATAGAATACATTGCGAGACGGCAGTGCACTAACGTCATTTCACTTCAGCAATACCCGCGAGATGACGACATCGTCATGGTCGATGTTGCCGATGCAACGCCCTCGCGGCCTCCTGCGAAACGCTCCAACTCGACATCCAAGAAGTCGTCTGCCTTCTCCTCTCTATTCGGGGGTATCCTCAATACCCCCAAGGGAGACACGCGCGGGGAGCCGCGCTCGGAACCCCGCCGCCGGGGCACCTATCCTGTAACAGACGACGATGCAGGGCTCAGACGAGGCGATCCAGAGACTGACGCCGAGCGAGAAGCGCGGCGCGCTGCCCGTCGTGCCCGCCGCGCTGAGAAGGAAGCCGCCCCGGAGCGGGCTACCACAACCACAGAACACACTGTGGAGGAGGCGCGCCGCGCCAAGGACGAAGCCCGCCGCGAGCGGCGCAGGAAGCAGGAAGAGGAGGAAGAGGCGCGCCGGCAAGAAGAGAAGGAGGCGCGCCGGGCCGAGCGACGGGCGCAGCGCGCGCGGGAAGAGGCGGAGCGCCGCGCCGCGGAGCAGAAAGAGGCCGAGCGTGCCGAGCGCAGGAGGCGGCGCGCTGAGGTTGATGCGGCTGAAGCCGAAGCCGAAGCACGCCGTGCGGCGAGGCATCACGAGCGCCGGCGCAGTTATCTCCCTGAAGAACAGCCTTCAGCTTCTCGAGAAGACGAGGAAGAGCAGCGGCACCGGCGCAGAGAGGCCCGTCGCGATCGTGAGGCCAAGGAAGGGGGAATGGGACGCGAGGAGCGCCATTCTAGACGCAGGCTCGTCGACGGGGTCGGTGATTACCACGTCTACCCTGCGAGGGCGTCGCGGGAGAACACGGGTGGTTCTTGGCCGCACTCGGGCACATCGTCCTGGGTGAAAGAGCACTCGGACGCTCCGCCGCCCCCCCAGGGCAACGGCGACGACAATATTGTGGAGTCGCCACCACCGCCGCCGCCGCCGCCCGACGTTCAGGACGAAGAAGCGCGCCTCCGCGAAGCGCATGCACGCAGGGCCAGACGCGAGGCCAAGTATGCTGCTGAGGCGGCGGGTATGACGCCGGAAGAGTTTGACGACGACCGGCGGAGGAGGCGGCGCCGCGAGGAGAGGGAGCGCGAGAGAGAGAGGGAGAAGTATGCTCGTGAGAACGAGAAGGTGCGGGATAGAGACAGAGGTGACCGGCGCACGGGGTCGGATGGGAGCGATGGTCGGAGGGATAGCCGGAGGGGTTCGTCCATGTTTATGGATACCACGCCGAGGAGCTCGTGGTGGAAGAGATTGACGGGAGGTGGATGAGTGTTTATGATGTTGATGGATGTTATGGGTTTTCTTAAATGAAGTGATGTCTGGGATGTTGTTGGATGGTTTCAACGAAGATCACGCAGTGTTTGTGAGCATTGAGCGTTGGGAGTTTCCCTGACTGCCTCTTCGTGGTATTGTTGCATACATAGCGGCCGAAGGAGCATTGGTTTGTTCGTCAATACCCTGATATCCACCGACTGCATCGCAACGGCTCTGTTTTCCTGCTTTTTTTGCGGTTGGATCGAGCTTCTGATATCGTACATTACTTTGTTCAAACTGCTAGCCGGTTGTTTTCCCATTGATAAGTTAGTCATTTAAAGCCAGTGTCTGCACTTGCAGGTCTGTATGTCTCGCATTTCCCGTTGGCTCCATGCTCGGGCCGCCTCTCTGCTTGTCGTGATCTGGTCTCAGACACAACGAGTCGAGGCGTCGCCATCCTCAGCGCCAATGCGAGCCAGAGGCCCCCATCAGGAATCCTTCATCCCTTTAGATCACCTGTTGGTTGGGCCTGGACAGAGCTTGCTCTGCTAGCCCTTGGTTGCTGTGGCCGGAATCCAGATGTCCCTGGCTGATACTCATGGGTGCCGGCCTCGCAACCCGTCCACCTCTCGGCGAGGGTGATTTAGTACTCCGCCGCCGAGCCCCGTCCATCACCCCGGCGACCGGGAAGATTACGGGGCCGGCTTTATCAAGCCAGCTTCCGGCCCATCCCAGCACGGTCCCCCGTGGTGCAATGGCAAGTTGGAGCAGAGTAGTAGTTAACTCGTCGCCCTTCCAAGGCGGAACTTTGGGTGCAAATCCCAGCTCCAGCAACTTCAATTCGTGGTCGTACCACCGTACCTTATCTTTTTTTCCCTCTTCCATAACCATCTCTATTTCTCCAACCCTCCAGAATGATAACCCTTCATTGGGAATAACAGCTTCGTCATTGACAGTCGCCTTTCGGCTAGGGAGTGATCGGAGCCGATTCGTGTGATCTTCCAAGATTCGGGGCAGGTCGTGCGGAGTCTTCGCACACCAAAAGGAATCACCCACTTTCCCCGGCGGCGCCGACCGCAGCCTTCTTCTCTTTTGCCTCGAGCTTCCGGACCCGCCTCTCCTCGCGCCACCGCGGCCCCTTCACGCTGAGCAGCCACAGGATGGGCGAGAAGACGACGAGGACGAGCGCCCAAAAGGTGTAGGTCCAGCCGCGGCCCATTGCCCCGAGCATGGACTCGATAAAAGCGGTTCCCGCGGCGCCGAAGAGGCACCGCACCAGGTTATTGGCCGCGACGGCCGTCGCGGGGGCCTCCGGGTACAGATCCACGAGCAGGGTGTTGAGGATGCCGAAGGAGCCCGTGACGCAGAGTCCGACGACGAATAACAGAACGAGAGGGCCGGCCAGGTTCGTCTCGGCGTCCAGGACCCAGCCGTAGCAGATGACGGCTGCGATGCCCGCGGACAGGATGGGGTAGACGGGGAGGAGGCGGGCCTTTTCGATGGGGAAGGAGCGCAGATCGTCGCCTCGCTTGTAGTCGATGGTGAAACCGATCTTGCGGGCTATCCGGCGGTAGTTGCTGTCGAGGATGTAGCCCTGTGCGACGGCGGCCAAGCAGCAGCCAAGACCGTAGGGTAGGTAGCAGAGGCCGACCTGCAGATCGGTGAGGTGGTAGATGTCTGCGAACTCTGTGGACAGAGTAGCAGCAATGAGGATGAAGACGAGATATATCATGGTGTTGTAAAAGAGGAGGAGGGCCAGATCTTTCTCGAAGACCACCCTCAGAGCGTTGAGGGGATTGGGGAAGCGTAACTCGCTCTTAGGAGTGACGCTGTCCTCGCCGTCACCGGTACGTCGCGACTTGTAACGACGACGGAACAGGTCGACGGCTGTCATGTTCCACCCCCGTGCTGGTACAGAACCGTTTCCCACTACCCTTCTGCAGGTTTCGGGTACGACCAAGGTGTAGGGTATGAGCCAGGCCGCGGCGTAGATGAGGCAGAACCAGAAGATAGCCCGCCAGCCCAGATATTCAGCCAGGATCCCGCCGAGCACGGGGCTCAGAGCAGGACCGATGTTGATGCCGGCGCCCACGATGCCCATGTACTTCCCCCGTTCGGCGCTGACAGCAACATCGGCCACGACGGCATAGCACAACGACAGAGTCCCGCTGCTCCCCGCGCTCTGGAGCATCCGCAGCACCAGCAGGGCGGCATAGTTGTTCTGGAGGGCCAGGCCGAGGTTGGCGAAGATATAGATGGTGAAGCAGATGATGAACGCGGGCCTTCTCCCTGCCATGTCCCCAAAGTCGCCCACCACGGTCGGGGAGAGGGCCTGGAACACCATGTAGGTGGTCAGAGTCAGGTTAATGAGATTGACCGTGACCCCGAGATCCGCCGCGAGGGGATTCAAAGCCGGAAAATATATATTCGCTGTCATGGGGGACACGAAGCTAGCACAGGCTGCCATGGCGATGATCCATCGCTTCGTTGACTTAGAGAAGTCGCTGTAGGGCGGGCCGCTCGGAACCTGACGGAGCGTTTCAATATCACGGTCTCCCTTGCTGTCGACAGGCGGGTTACCGCCAGAGCCTGTGTTGGAAGTACCGTCTTCGACGGAGACCTGTGAGAGCAGGTCAGGACGGCCCATGCCTCGTGCGTCGCCTGATCCGCGGTCTTGCTCTTCATCTGGTACATGTTCTCGGCGATCCATGTTGTGGTTTTGTAGACAATGCTCCTTTGGTGCGCCTCGCACTCAGTGGCTCACGAAAAACTGGAGAAGGGAGGAAGACGTTCAGGTGCCGGTCGTCGGCTCCCATATCAACCCGCATGGTGACGGAAATACAAAACCAGAGAGGCTGCATCTTGTCAAGGGCTGTGAAGCGCACCACGACTTGAACAAGGTCGTTTTATTCCCGAGCAAAGCGCGAGACGTGGAGAATAAGCGGGACCATCTACCAGAGAGAGGAACCAGGGCCGATTGGCACTGACAAGACCGGCATGAAGCCGCACTGCGGTATCGGCGCCGGCATGCAGGAAGCACTCGTGATGGCCGGGCCAACCGAGAATGGCCCCTAACGCCGGATCACGGAACGGCCCGACTGCATTCTCTTAGCAAAGAGAGCAAGATTGGATTCGGATGGACGCAATTCACCGAGGTACATCGAGATGTGCAGCAAAGAGTGCACAAGACACATAACGCTGCCTCAAAAGCAGAACGGACAATACTATCACGATGGAGCATGTCAGCGGATGGATTTGCAGCGAGCGAAGCCGAGATACGGCGATACCCACGGATGAGGCATTCATGTGGGTCCATTCGGTCACTCAAAGCTCCAGCCACAGATCAAACAATTATCCTGGCAAGCCCGGCTAAACTAGCCAAGCCACAAGCCACACCGTCAGTGATCTCGAGGCCTGGGACACCCGTCAACATTGACAATCATCAACGGGCACCTTACGGTAATCAGCCATGTTCACAACGTCCGCTCCTTAGCTTGTCGACCTCCGTTCTACAAGTGCCAACATGGCCAATTTGACGTCGACCTTCGACGCCCTTTTAAAGGGCCATGAGGTCCCTCCCACAAAACCTTTTAGCCTCGATACGGCCGACGAGTTTCTCAAGGAAGCATATCGAATAGTCTGTTTCCCTCTCTCCTGCTCTATTGCTGTTTTCTACATGACGGGCTCCGATCTAACTGCTAGCTCGCCCAACCAGAACTCGCTCATCGCCCGCCTGCACTCTGAGCTGCGCAACTTGCGCCAGGCATATCTCTCGACCGCCGCCCCGCGCAAGATACACCTGCGAACCACCTCGTCCCGCTCAGCACCGTCCCAACAACATGTCCTCCTCACCGACCGCGACCGCGAGGAGATCGACGCCAACGCAAAGATGACGCTGCGCGACGTCAATGCCTGCATCCGCGCCCTGGAAGACGCCGAGCAGTTGCGGCAGAACACCGAAGCGGCGCTGCTCCGGAAGCGCATGTCGCGCGGCCTGGGGAGCGTGCTCGGGTCCTGGTCAGCCGGCACCGGCGCCGGTATCCGCGGCGAACAGGCCGCGCTCGAGGCGGCTGCCCGCCAGCTCGGGGCTCACCGCGAGAGCGTGATTTGGTTCCTGCGGACTCGCCTGCAGGAGACGGCCCGGACGCAGCAGCATATGATGGAGACGCGCCTGTCGAGGGAGATGGAGAAGAACAGGAGCGTGTTGGCGAAGGCTAGGGGTCCGGTGATGGCGTCGCCGTCATATCATACGACGATCCATGGCGGGCGGAATGTCCCCGTGGGCGTCGTTGTTCCCAGCGGTCTGGGCTTGTCAGTGCAAGAAAAGGAGGAGCGGAAGAAGCCGGCGGTGGAGAATCTGACGGACGACCAGATGCAACTGTTTGAGAAGGGCAACCAGGACATGCTCAAGCACCTCGAGAGCACGCTGGATAAAGTCAGGTGGGTTTATCTGCTAAGCCAAACTCACTCCCACGCCAACGCCTTTTACCTAACCGTGGCGCAGGACGGCTGAGAACTCGCTCATTGAAATTGCAGAACTTCAAAACATGCTCGTCAGCAACCTCGCCACGCAGTCGGCGCACATTGACCAATTGGTTGCCGACTCGTTCGAGACCACCGAGGGCGTCGGCAAGGGGAACAAGGAGCTCAAGAAGAGCGCGGCCAAGGCCAGCCCTGCCCGTTACACCTTCTTTGCCGCTGTGGGAGTCTCTACCTTTCTCATCTTGTGGGATTTGATATTCTAGGTTCCATCACTCCTGGCGTGGTGTGGGCCATGGTACGAGGAGGCCGGAGATTATCACGTCATTCCTAACCATCAAACTACAATGACAGCAACAACTTCGGCATTACCAGACCCTGGCGGCAAGCCATCGCCCTTAAGCTGATCTGCCCACATCGCCCCAGCCGTGACCCAGCTTTCAATACCAATCTCCCTTCTTCTTCTTCTCGTCCCTGAGCCAGTCTCCAAGCACCATCTCACTCGAAAACTGCTCCTTTCCTAGACATACGGTACCTCACCAAGGCAGCATATCCGCCCGCACCTATAAACAAACGGGAGCCCTGACACGTGTTGGACAAATCTCCTTCAAAGTTCGCCATGTGGTGTAATTCGAGGTCAGCTACGTGCTCTCTCTTTTTGATCCTGAGGGCGACAAGAAGAACGTGAGGTCGGTTTCTCTCATATGGGACACGAAGGACAGGAAACTTCCAAATGTGGAAGCCACGCAACGGTCTGGGCCGGAACTAACGCTAGGTAAATGGGGCTTAGGTGGGGTTCAAGGAGCGTTAACGGTAGGTGCTCCGTAATCCGCCTTGGCCTTTTGGCGAGCTCTGGTTCACTTGAATAGTTAAGGCCGCCCGGTTTATTGCATATCACCAGGTACTTTAATCGACCCGTAATTACCCAACGTTATCCGTACCCGCTTCCAGGAACTAGGCTGACCGTAACCAAACCGACAGGCATTCGAGCTCGGACTCGTGATCCCGGCAGCTCGCACAGTACTGAGAGTGGACCGAGGCGTCTGAACCGCAGCCAGGGGCAGGATCCTTAACAAAGCATGGAGCCGACGGTGCTGACAGACCTCTGACCTGCTGCCTGAGCTTAACTTCATCCATCATAAGCAGCAGCAAGGTACCCCCGATGCAGCTTCAATCTGCGAAGCTTACATGAGACGCCCGCACGGGTGCTTTAACAACAAAGTTTGTTAACTTCACATCTGCGATCTTTTTGAAGATCAGTCTCCAAGACTCCACCTCCAAACTGCTTGTGCTCTGAGTACCACATACCTTCACATGCAGCCGCCGCGTGTGCGAACAAGGGTTCCCACACATTGACTGCCGCAGCTAATGACGCGACGACAAATGGACCCAGACCGGCCGTACACGTCGCAAGGCGACGTCGGGTCTGTGGCTAGCCGGGATGACCGTGTGTTGGTCCTCTCGCCGGGCGTAACGCTCACCCTCGGGCAAGATGCTCTGCTCATGTCTGGTACGTCTCAACCGCCTTCTTCCTCCAGTTCATCCGGTCTGACGGAGGCTCATGCGGTGTTATTCACAATGCAGGTCAGCTCGCTAGCAAACCCAGTCGTTCATGTGTACCCTGCGTCGGGAGCCCAGGTGAGAGCGCCACGATAATCGAGACGGTCAGTTGCTTTTATTGGCCTGCGACTTACACTGCATCCAGGGACCAACGGCACACCAGACCGCATCCCTTACTACAACATTCTTTGGGCCGAGATAACCGGCGACCACAGGTGGCTCCTGATCGACTACGCCGACCAGAAGCAGCCGCATTTTCTCCAAGTCAGCAATGCCAGGTTCGCCATCCCCGGACTTGCTGTCGAGCAGACGCCTGCCGGTGTGAGCGATCATGTCGCCCCTTGGGTTGACCGGCTGCTGGACCTTGCCTACGGCGGCTCGGCTCGCCGTAAGCGTGCTTGGGTATTGGTGAACCCGCATGCTGGCCCTGGTGGTGCCGACAAGATCTGGGAGAATGAGGCAAAGCCCATTTTCGAGGCGGCGCGAATGCCCATGACGGTTGTGCGAACCACCTACTCCGGCGAGGCCGTTGAGCTGGCGCGGGATCTGAACATTGACGACTACGACATCGCCGTGCCCTGCTCAGGGGACGGTCTCCCACACGAGGTCTTCAATGGCCTCGCCAAGCGCCCCGACGCTCGTCGCGCGCTGTCCAAAATCGCCGTGTGCCATATCCCCTGCGGATCGGGGAATGCCTTGAGTTGCAACCTCTACGGCACCCATCGGCCGACCCTGGCAGCGCTGGGGATCGTCAAGGGGGTGCTGACGCCGCTGGATTTAGTCAGTGTGACGCACGGGAACGAGCGCACCATCAGCTTTCTCAGCCAGGCCGTGGGCTTGATTGCCGAGCTCGATCTCGGCACCGAGCACCTGCGGTGGATGGGCGCTACCCGCTTTACTTGCGGCTTCCTCATGCTGGCACTGCAGAGGAAGACGTACCCTTGCGATATCGCCGTCAAGGTCGAGATCGACCACAAAGAGGACGTCAAGGAACACTACCGGCGTGTTCGCACCGCAGAGTCAACAAAGGAAACCTTGGAAAGCCCTAAGCAGTTGCCGAGTCACGCCAACAAGCAGTTTAACGAGGCCTCATTCTCTGCCTCCGACGCTGTCGGCAGCGATGACGGTCTCGGCCTCCCGCCCCTGAAATACGGTACTGCCATGGACAAATTGCCCGAAGGATGGGAACTGATCCCATACGAGAAGCTCGGCAGCTTTTACTGCGGTAATGTGAGTTGCCTGTCGCCAAACCCCCTGCCCTTCCTTACTCCATATCGGACTAACGTGTATTCAAGATGCCCTGGATGATGCCTGATGGCCAATTCTTCGCGGCGGCCCTCGCAAACGACGGCCTCATGGACCTTATTATCACCGACGGCGACATATCGCCCCTCCAAAACATCCGCCTGCAGCTAGGCGTTGAATCCGGCCACTTCTTTGATAATCCACTTGTATCATACTGCAAGGTGTCGGCATATCGCATTATTCCGCGCAATCAGGAATCCGGGTACATTAGCATCGACGGCGAGTCCATCCCGTTTGGGCCATTCCAGGCCGAGATTCACCCGGGCCTCGGGCTCGCTCTATCCAAGAGGGGCGTCTTTGAGGCACCTGGCCCGCTTGGTTGGGACAAAGTCATCACCAGCGAGCGGCTTCTGGCTTAGCAGCCCTTTTGAAACAGGCGCGCAGAGCCAATATTGGTGCCGTGCTGTTTGTTGACTCAATCAAACGGATGCTTCGTCTGTCCTATTTGGCGGACCATGTAATCATACTTGCAATGGACCAGCGCGGTGGTTTTGTACTATATCTCATGGGCGGGCTTGTGGAAGGATCTTGGTAGCGAGCGAGGTGTACTTGGATCGCAGGGCAGAGAGGAGTTGCTTCCAGCAATCCAGCTATGGGCATCTTGTCGTAAGGATTCAGCATGACATACCCAACGCATCTGGTTGTCGCATATAGACTAATGCATTTCCAATGTGCCTGGTAACTTCGTTGGCTTGAAACTGGCCCAGGAAGCGTCGTCGATTGGTTTGGTTCTTCCGGCTACAGCGAGGGAAACCGGGAAAAGGAAAAAACTTGTGTAGAGACTGCTCGATCTCTCTTTGTACGTCATGTCTAATCATCAAACCCGTCCCAGTCATCTCCTTGTGTCCTTCCCGGGCCCTCTTCCTCCTTGGCATCGCTCTCAGGTTTCCTGTTCCCTGGAAGTCGCTCGTCAGCCAGCGACTCCTTTGACCTGACCCGCACGGCCGGGCTCGTCGTCGCTTCCTCCAAAGCATCTATTTGATCCGAGATCCTCTGGATGATCTGCTTCGCTTCCTCGTCATCATTCTCGAGTAGGCCCGCCTTCTCCGCCTCGTCCACCCAAATATCCAATACATGAAGTCTCAACCCTGCAGGTATCTTCTGAGTTAATGGCTCGCCCTCCTCCAGAGCTTGTTCGATCCGCGCCTCTTCCTCAATCGAAAACGGCCACTCGCCCAATAGCCCTAGCACGTCGTCCACCTTGCTCGCATCCCAATCTGATACCCCACTCCCATTCCCTTCCTTCTTCTTCTTCTTCCCCACACCATCACTCCCGCTACCGCTACCACTGCCCTTCCTCATCCACTTGAACCCGGCCCCGACAACCCTCCGGACAAGCAGCAGGAATTTCTCCATACGTAGCACGTCGATGCCCGTCCACTCGCGGGACATGGTGGCCCAGAAGCCGCGCAGCCAGGGGACGACGGCGTCGCGCGGGAGTTTGTAGATAAGGTCGGCCAGCTCGGCGCAGAGGTTCTGTTGGGGGATTGCCCGGTCGCACATCCACAGCGCGTAGAAGAGGCCCTTCCATAACTTGAGCACGTCGAGCGGGCCCAGGGCCGAGGCGACGTCCCGGGCCGAAAGGAAGGCGTGAAGGGAGGAGAGGGCTGAGGTGCGGATTTTGCGGTCTGTTAATCGGGGATAGTAAGCAGTGTCAGCTTTTGAAGGGGGACGGAAGGAGCGGGGGGAGGAAACAAACCGCTCGAGGCGAGGTTCTTTATGAAGGGCATGCTCCGTTCTTGGGACGCCATTTTGTATGTGTGTGAAGTGTTGCCTTTTTTTCGTGTAGTGCGACGCGCCCAAGGAATGGCGGCTGAGAGCTGTTGGTCTTAAAAGTCGAGGCGGAGCAGGATATTGGACGCTGGCACGATAAGATTCGGATACCGATAAGGCTCAAATCTTGTCCGCCCGGCAAAATACATCACTGTTCAAGGGTGGGGCACAATTCATGCTAATCACTCAATGTTGTTTGGCCGCCTCAACCTTGCGCAGGTCTTCTACACAGTACAGGCCGACACCAGGGATGGACCGATCACGAACAACGCCGGCCGCAAGCGCATCTATTTACGGCAGGTTTCGGAAGTCATATCGACAATGGAGAATGTGTCATCAAGGTGCGCATCAAATTGGGAAGGCTTGCGAGTTACATCCATCCGATCCGAGAGTGGAAGTGGAAGTCCCGAAATATCAGATCCAGAGCCATTCCACTGCATAACTCACTCGCGGTGCTGTTGTTGATGGAGAGGGGCCTCGGCAATGCAGACGATCCAGGACCCTCCGAAACCTGGCGTTACCACACAACTTGGGGCACTGGCATCACGAATTGTTACCGGGGCAGCCATCCCTCGTCTTCTAACCATTGTCACAGGACAGATGGCAGATGATCCGCGATGAACAAGCTGGAAGTCCACAATCCCGGTCACCCCGGACATTGTGTGACGCTGAGCTCCATGATAAGTTGCCTCGGCGCGACTCGGTCCCCCTCGGGCTTCACATGCGCGCCTTGACTGGGCTACATAGAGAACATGAACCGCTTTTCGCTACTTCCACGCTGCTTTCCTGACAATTGACATGCTTTGACCACAGTATCCGTTTCCATTCTTAACCCTGCTTGAACCCGTGTTGGACGATATCTAAACTATCTGTTCTCAGCACCAAGTGCCCTTGCACCACAATCGCACGATTATCTTGCATGAATCGCGCACTTAGCCTACGATTAGATCCTGCCACTCGTCGCCCTGCGGGCCCCCCCTCAAGCTGATTGCTGAGAGTGGTTTTATCAGGCAACTGCTTGCTAACGGCGATTGCTGCAGGGTGGCAGGATTCCCGTCCGCTGTCGGCTGTCGGACTCCGGGTTGTGCTGCCGGTGTGTGTAAGTCCACTTACTGGAGCGGTTGCAGTGTCTGTGTGTCACAGTGTGGCAGGAGAGAGGTACACTTCAATCCTGGCTTGTTTGTTAGCGCGGAACTTCCAATAGGTATTACACCTCATCTTCACTTTGACCTTCTGGATTCTTTCTTACTTTCTTTCTTTGTTTTCTTACTTCTTACTCTTTTATCTTTGTATTTCTCTCCCTCTTCGTCTTTATCATTATCTTTATCTCTCTCCTGCTCTTATATTTTGTCTTTGCATTCCATTGTTTTCTCACTAGTTTTCATACGTTTCCCTCTTTTACCCCCATTCTGTTTCGCCGCCTCGCCATGTGCCACGCTAACGGACAAACCAGGGTTGGATTGTACAATACGAGACCGGAAGAAGTCTCATTCCCAGGAACCAGTCATCAATATTTGGTTTTAAAATGGCGTCCGACTCACCTCGTCGCACCGCCTCTCCGTCAGCCCATTCGTCTCCTGCTTCCCGACTTCAGAGCATCGCAAACCACATGGCGCCGACAACAATAACAAGTTTTCCGCCTGAGGTGGTCCCTCAGGCGCCCGAGGATCCCCTCTTCGGGCTGATGAGGGCATACAAGGCCGATCCAAGTCCCAACAAAGTTGATTTGGTATGTCAGGCTTCCTGCTCCTGCGGCTGTTGCAGCTGTCCCTGTTCTGCCTACTGACAAGTCGCTTCCAGGGTATTGGCGCGTACCGCGACGACAATGCGAAGCCCTGGGTCCTGCCGGTGGTCAAGAAGGTGCGCACGACTCTCCATACATTGCGAAGCCGTTGAATCCCCGAGACTCTGCAAAGCCGTAGTGCAATTCAAACAGCGCAACTGCACACGCAACTTGGGGCGCGTGTCGGCCACCCTGGCCCCTCCATCCATCTATTTACCCGCCCCGCCATCTCCAACTTTCCCGTCGCATCCGCAACCCCTCCCCCGCACCATGCGCCAAGCTGCAAGCTAACAGAAGCCCCCCGGCGCAAACAGGCCGACGAGATCCTGCGCAACGACCCTGAAGCCAACCATGAGTACCTCCCAATTGCCGGCCTAGCGGCGTTGCTCGGCAAAGCCGCCGAATTGCTACTCGGGCCGTCCTCACCCGCCATCGCCGAGAAGCGTGTCGCTTCCGTCCAAACCATCTCCGGCACCGGCGCCGTGCACCTTGGCGCCCTCTTCCTCGCCAGGTTCTACCAGATCCAGGGCGTCAACCGCACCGTCTACCTCAGCGACCCGACCTGGGCGAACCACCACCAGATCTTCACCAATGTCGGCCTCCCAATCGCCACCTACCCGTACTTCAGCAAGGAGACCAAGGGGCTGGACTTTGAGGGCATGAAGGCGGCGCTGGCAAGCGCGCCCGACGGCAGCATCATCCTCCTGCACGCCTGCGCGCACAATCCCACGGGCGTCGACCCCACCCCGGAGCAGTGGCGCGAGATTGCCTCGCTGATGAAGGCCAAGCATCACTTCCCCTTCTTCGACACAGCCTACCAGGGCTTCGCGTCGGGCGACCTCGACCGCGACGCGGGCGCCATCCGGCTCTTCGCCGACGAAGGTTTTGAGCTCGTCATCGCGCAGTCCTTCGCCAAGAACTTCGGCCTCTACGGTGAGCGCGCGGGCTGCTTCCACTACATCGCCTCGCCCTCGCTCTCCTCTGCCGAACTCACAGCCCGCGTGTCCTCCCAGCTAGCCATCCTGCAGCGCTCCGAGATCAGCAACCCGCCCATCTACGGCGCGCGCATTGCCTCCATCGTGCTCAACGACCCGACCTTATTCGCCGAGTGGCAGGATAATTTGAGGACCATGTCGGGCCGCATCCGGGACATGCGCACGAAGCTGCGGGCCAAGCTGGAGGAGCTGGGCACGCCCGGCCGCTGGAACCACATCACGGACCAGATTGGCATGTTCAGCTTCACGGGGCTGACCGAGGCCCAGGTGCTCAAGCTACGGTCCGACTACCACATCTACATGACCAAGAACGGGCGGATTAGCATGGCCGGGCTGAATTCGAAGAATGTTGATTATGTTGCCTCAGCGGTAGATAAGGTGGTCCGGGAGGTGCAGTAAAGATTTCGCTGGTGCCACTGCATGGTCTGGCATGGGAAAAAGTAGTACCTACTGCGGATACAAAGCCTGGGCTTGTTGTGTGTTTGTGTGTGTGTGTGTGTGCGCGCTGGGAGGTATCTGGAACCGAGGATTCAGGGTCGGCGAGCGAGTATTCAACGTTTGTGCAATGTGGTGGATAGACGGCTCGAAGGTGTACTTGCTCTCTATGACCTTCAGTTAACCAGCTCAAGCTGTGCTACATTTAACGCAGAATTCAACTCAGCCCGATACGGGACCAGTCCATAGCATATCAACGGGTCCTTTATGCAGTCCAGAAGCGTGACTCAAAGCATGTTCATTTAATGACAAACCCTCGACGAGTGAGAAAAAGCCAATCAGTTGGATACATGTACCTCTCAGCAAAGAAGGACACTAAGGCATGTCCGCGCAAGAAACCACTCCACCCATGAAACCTCTCTACCTTACTGTACTGTTTTGTATAATACCGCCTTATTTTGTTTGTCTACATCCTCAACCTGGCGTGGATAACTACACCGGGGAATAAACCTCACCCGCCCCAGAAATAGACATCGAGAAATTAGATATCGCTTGCGAGAGGCCCAGTGGTCGAGATCACGCGGTTGTACGGGTCCAGAGGAGCAGCCGTGGCTGAATAAACCATCTCCGTGAGTGCTGTCCAGAGAATATCCTAAGCCCCGGGCACAGCAGAGAGCTCTGACTCAATCACCTCCTTGACTTTGGGCGCCAGCGAATCCATAGTGCTGTCCAAAGCTTCCCGCAGCCTGACCACCTGGTCCAACACCTTGGGATGCTCCTTGTCGATCGCAAGCGCAGCCTTCAAGCAGCGCAGAGCCAGGAGGTATTTGTCTGAGGTAGAGTTAGCATTTTAAACGAACATATCAAGGGAGCAACTTTTCGAATCGACAAAGTAAACGACTTACTCCTGCGGATGAAGATCTCAAAGCCTGCGATCTGGCCTTCGATATTCTTGGGGCTGAACTGCAACAGATTCGACAGGAATTTCATGGCGTCTCCGAGCGGGTTTGCCGTGGCGGCCAGCTTGATCCCGTTTGGATCATCGTCCTTCTTCTTTGCCTCTTCGCCGTCTTTGCTTTTCTGAGCACTGCTGCTGCCCTTGTTTGGGTCCTGCTTGGCAGCCTTCTCGGCAGCTTCCCGTTCCGCCTTTTGCGCCTCCTTCCTGGCCTTTTTGGCCGCCTTCTTCCGCTCGGCGGCGTCCTCGCCGTTCGCATGGCCGCCCTCGACGCCGTTAGCGCCGTGCTGAGGCTTGTCGTGCATCGACAAATAGAGGCTGACCGCGTCCAAAGCCGCCCGGAAGTAGAAGGGATGCTCCCTAATCCGGTCCTCCCAGCGGACCAGGTCGATGTAGGCCCGGATCTGTCCCTTCCTAAGGGAGAAGCTGTGGAAGTCAAACTGGTCCTCCTGCCAGATGTCGAAAATGTTGTGGACGGTGTGGTAGCGCTTGAGAGCCAAGCCGATATTCCCCCGCCGCTCCCACGCCTCGCCGTCCTCGGTGAGATACCAGATGCACTGCATATCTGTCAGATCGTGCAGAGGCCCTCCAACCGTCTCGGCGCGTGTGAACAGGCTCATCGTCGCCAGCGCCTTCTCGTTCTCATTGTTCCGCAACTGGTATTTGGCAGCCTTGGAGTTGATGTAGCGATCTTTCGTATCGAGCGAGCGGGCGTGGTCCATGGCTTCGGCAGCCTTTGCTGTGTCGCCCTGGTGCTTGAATATCCTGGCCCTGGTCATGTGGAAGTCGACGTTCTTGGGATCGAGTTCGATCGCCTTCTCAACGAACTCGGTCGCCTTGGATAGATCGCGCGACATGTGGTAGTTATAGTGCTGAGCCAGGAAGTAGAGGGCGGCTCCCTCACCCTTGGAGCTATCGCCGTTTGTCTTGGTCTCGACCCCAGTGGCGCCGCGGTGTTCATCGAGGTACTCCTGAGCCAGAGTAGGCAGGGTCTCCTTCTTGAACGGGTCCGAGTACAGATGCTTCAAGTTGGCAAAGGTTGAGGGGACGCCCTTATCGAACATCAGAGTAAGATATGCCTTGGCGGCTGTGCGGAATCGGTCGCCTGGAAAAGTAGTCAGCAGCAGCACTTACCAGCGGAGTGACGGGTTCACCTACCAGACAAGAAATCCAAGGGAAGGCGCTTCGCGGCATCAGAACGAGGGCTTTTGGTGGCATACTCGTCGAAGACAGCCTTCAGGGCATCCTCATCGTCCGCGGGGATGTCCAGGGCGGCAATCAAGCCTTTGTAGTAGTCTGGGTGCTCGGAGTTTCTGTCCAGTAATGCTCGGTAGGCGTTTGCGGCATCCTCTTTCCTGCCTAGCTGCGCTAGGTAATTTGCCCGAAACTCCATGACGGCCAAACGGTCGAGGCAGTTCCTGCAGTCCGACTCCAAGTGATCCAGCGCCCTCTGAATATCCCCCATCTCGGCAATGATTGAGTTCTTGTATAGAAGGGCCTCCGAGTTCTCAAAGTCGGTCCTCAAGGGAGTGGTTGTGACGGATTTTTCGTAGGTGCTGAGGATGTTCTCGGCCTGCTGCAGATTGCCGTCAAGGTGGTAGGCGATGGCAAGGGCGGTCCAGTTCTGGCGCACTTGGGGTCTCGCCTTGAGCATGACAAATCTGCTCTGGATGTAGCCCTGGTAGTCGCGCATCTGCACTTGGAGGACGGCCAGGTCGCGCTGGATCTGGTGCGAATCTGGTTCAAGCTTCAGGGCGAATTTGTAGGCCTTGATGGCCTCGTCGAAGTTCTTGTTGGTGCGGTAGAGGATGCCGTAGACGTGCCAGCAGATGTACGACTTCATATCGATGGTCAATGCCTCCTTGGCGAGGGCAAAGGCTTCGTCGGTCTTGCCTTGGGCATTGAGAATCAGGGCCTTCATCGACATTGTATCGGCATGTTTGGGGTTCCTCTTGAGGATCTGCTCGGCAGCCTTGAGGCCGCGCTTGTACTGTTTATCCTCATAGTAGCGGATGACGGTACGAAAGAGGTTGGCCTCTCTCGTACTGAGTGTTTGCGGCATTGGTTCGAACCTGCGGGGCTGAAGTGGTGGGAGATCACCGAGGTTGCTGCTGAGACTATATATTGATGCTGGTTAGAGGGGACTTTGGAAGCCACAGAGAAGGCGTCAGGAAAATCAGTGACGGCGCAATTCGTTGTGGTTGGGAGGTTCCACGCAGATCGGCGTCGAGGCTGCTATTCGTCGGAGGTGGTGGTAGCAGAGACGCACCGATGTGTGATGGTTGGAACGCCGAATCCTCAATTCTGATGCGCGATGTAGGCTGAAGGAATTTCCGAGGAATCGATGGTGGGTAGCTAACAGCGAACCAAGTTGGCAAACTGATCACGCGACGCTCGCAGCTTCCAGTCTCGCGGTGCTCTCGCGGGGTGAATGCTGGATGTCACAGCTCCGATGCAGATTGCGGTACTTGGATTGGATTTCAGGGCTTGGCAGCCAATTCGGTCAAGGCACGGTCAGCGCAAGGGCAGCCCCACCATACTTGCTTATGTTACCGAAGGTGGGGAAAGGTCGAGTTTAACTGCCTGAATGACAGCTCTTGACCCAAACTGCGAGGTTGGCTCGACACAAGAAGTCGGAAGAAGCGTGGGAGGCGGGTTACACGTATTCGAATATATAACGTGGCATCGGAATCTCAATAAGAATCTGAGCACCTAGCACAGTTCTGCGAACCGCCACCTAACGTACACCTCGGCGATAAACTATTCGTACAGCGTTCTAGACACGAACGCACACCGTCTCATCGACTCCCCTGCTGTGGCGTTTCTCTGGTTCTTCGCCATTCGGCCAGGGCTTGTTCCCAAGCAACGAAGGCAGTGTTGCCGCACCTCCCTTTAACTATGTCCCATGTCCTGTTCCGGACAATGTTTTCCACCCCCACCTCCTGCCGGAGGATCATGGCCAGGTGCTCGGTCCGGGCCTCCCGGGGAAGGTAGCGCGCCGAGTACGGGTCCAGTCTCTCGTCGACGACGCGCTCCCGGTTCTTTTCCTGCTCCGCCTCCCTCAGAGCTCGCTCCGGGTCGTCGGGGTCAGGGCTCGTGGCGACCAATGAGCAGTAGCTCAGCACATCGGACCGGGCCTGCCACGAGGGGAAGAGGACCTTGTCCTTGAAAGAGTTGCAGGCCGCCGGGTCGATCTGGTGGCGCGATAGAGGCCGCGGTCCGAGCTGCGATGTCGACTTCGGATCGAATCCTGCCCTGGCTGGGGTCTCTAGGGCGTTCAGGTTCTGGGTTATGGTGTCATCGATGGAGCTGCGCGAGAGTCGCAGGAAGCCTGCTGTGAGGTCAGCCCATGGCAGCCCTTTGCAAGACCGAACTTCGCGATACGGTCTGGAAGGGTGGGCGATCCATGCCTCGCAAAGTAGACGTCGCGAAGCAGAATTGGGGCGTGAGAGTCGGTAACGAAGAAGGCTGGGTCATCACGCCGGATTGGTGCTCTGCAACCTTTGCCGGCGTTGCAGCGCCACTTGACCGAGCCGCCGAGTTCTTCCACAGGATACTCGCCAGCTTGAAGGTATCAAAAGATAGCAGGTATGATGGGTTCACAGACTCAGTTTGGGCACATTCCCGGTCTCTGTGTGGTGCATCAGACTTTTGCTTGTATGGCCGACAGTGGAACCGCGGAGATCAGTGTCAGATGCGATCCGAGGTGTGGCGTCATTCCCCGCGCTTCACCGAGAAGTGCGCATGTATTCCGATTGGCTGGTCTTTAGCACATGGAAGCTGACTCGCCTTGCCATGGAAGTGAACCTCATCAGCCTCCACAGCCGCACATCAGCCGACTGCATCTTACCTGGGGCCTAATACGGATCTACCGTGACCATATTACTGTCTTTATCCTGTCCCGGCGGCGACCCACGGATACAGTTTGGGCGCACCCAAGAGAACGGGGGACTGAGCGAGTTCCACGATATCGACAGCTTTGCCTCGCCGAGCAGTCTACCGCAAATAAATCTGTAATCGGCGCCCGTCCATGGTCAAGGCATGAGACTAGAACTCCTATGTCGTGGGTGGATGTGGCCGAGACATCGGTGGTGCCAGACAACAATAACTGCTATCCTTGGTTTTCCAAAGATAGCAGCGTCCGCTGGAAGAAAATTGACGGTTCCCAGACCGTGGTATCCTCGCCAGCATTCAAGTGTGCAATGAACAGCTCCAAAGAGCGCTCCAGATTATTTTGGTTTGGGGGAGGGGTGGTGTGGGAAGGGGACCATAAGCCGATCTCAGCTGGCGCAGAAAGTCCAAACTTCTCAGACGAACGCAGCCGGCCTTCGCAGTCTCAGACGGGCCGAGCATCACAGCACAGCCCGCATGAGGTCATCTTTCTGGGATGGCTGCCGGGAATCGCGCAAGACAAAGATAGGGGTTTCTTCGGCCTTGTCCCGACTTCCGACCTTTGAGTTGTTAAGGTGGTCTTTCCCGGGAGCAATCGAGAGCTGAGAGGCCCCTGGGACAACGAGTACCCAAAACAACATGCACAGATACTGGGCTCTCGATGGGCGGCCGCATCGCTGCGGCGAAGGATGCCGACTGCACTGCATCGAGAAGGGAGTGCTTGGCGCCCTTACGACAGTGAGGAGTAACCGGGCCGCAAGCCGAACCGCTTGTGACTGGGTCCCACAACTGGACGTGCATGCAACACCCCTAGTCAGTGAGAGGCTTATCCAGGACTCCAGGTCTGAGCGGCATGTTCTCCGGGTTACCTCTGGGTATACGAGCTTCGATGCATGTTCTGTCGTCGGTATGCATTGTCCGAGCAGTTTACTGACCCTGCGCGTTCCAGAAGCAGAGGGAGCGTGGTATCGTCCGTGCAGCGCACAGCACCCTTCGATGTTCCAAATCTTGAATCCCGTCGCCTATGCACCTGGTCGAATCCGGATGTCGAAGCGCGCCTTGGCTGCTTTCGAACCCAACGAAACAGTCAGAGGTTTGTACCTGGATCGCCGTTCTTTCGAGGCTAAACTACCACATGGAGATCAGCCAAAAGTCGACAATCTGTCCGATGTATGTTACCCCTGAACGACGCATGGGGACTGCCTACCCTACGACGTAGAAGCCTACAGTGCTCCTCCCATCTGTCCGGCAACGGTGTGCTGGAAGATGAGGGTAAATGGCCGCCGTCGGCACGACCCTGGCCAAGGCGGCGGCGGCTCGTGGATAGGATGTCACCGCAGAAGCATCGTGTGCTGTCTCCATGAAACCCATTACGCATGGTTAGAGGACACCTGTCTTTTGGTGTGGCTACCTTAGTTTCCCTGCGAAACTGAGGCGCAGCCAGTGAGCTGGTCCGGCCAGCGGTGGCCGCAGTGCCGGTCGATGGCTGGCCTGATTGCATGTGAAGCTGGGTAAACACTCTACCATGAATCCGTCTTCTGCTAGGGCGGCAACCCAGCCGGCCAGGAGAAGGCCGTGGCCGCATCAACGAAGGGGTGCAGCACTACCCACTTGCCCGCTTGCATCTAGGTGTGAGGCCGGCGTTGCCGTCTGAGCCGTCACTGGCAGCATGGTAGTGTAGGTGTAGAATCGGAGGTCTGGGCGCGCGATCTGAGCAGCCAGTCTGGCGACAAGTAGCCGGGGAAGAGTACGCTACTGTACACGTGTAGATCGGGGCTTTTTTCTACGGCAGGCATAAGCGATGATGCAAGCCAACCTGTTTCATCTGGGATAAACGGGTTGTGGAACAGGGTGGAGAAAACCTTGCCGTCTCGCGGGTCAAATCTCGGAGGATCAGTCTCCAAGTTCCTTCGTTGCCGCGAACCGGTGAAGATGAGATCAGACTGGCGCTTGTGGTCGTCTAGATGGCTCTGGAATTGGCGTTGCGTAGGTCCACGCGGCGCTTGACAGACAACCTGAGCGCCCTCTCACTCGCAAGCTTGACCTCCATCAGGCTGAGTGCATGGTGCCGCCTGGCGGTTAATTTCTCACATACGGAATCGGCCTGGTCAACCTGCCTGCTTGTATGACCGCCCGGCGAGTGCAGACAAGCCGTCACTGAGAGTTGAAGATGGCATACTTAGCAAGGGACCGACGGCATCATGCCTGGCCGCCCGACGACGGACCGATAGCTTATGCGCTTCTCGCCCTCCTGGGCCCGCGTCTCCAGATGAATGGCGGACGAACGTAAAGTGAAATGCCTCACGAAGCGTTGATTCGGGCTTGTGCAGCGATTCTTGACGAGCCCGATTGGAAGCTGTCTCGGGCAGAGACATCTCGCACTTCTGCAGGCAGAAGACTACCGGGGATGTAAGTGGGCGGTGAACTCAGTACGTGTATTGCTGTTTCGACGGAGTGTGCCATCCAGGAATCTTGAAAATCTCACAGCTGGGAGAAGACGACGAGCTTCCAAGTGACTCCGTAAAAAACGACAAGCACTCGAACGTGTTCGCTGAGGCGTCCATGCCTACATTTACGTAGGTTCAGTGGATTTGTCCCTTGGCAAACGGAGGAATATCACCTCCATGAAAAAAAAACAAAGCCCCGGCAAATTACGTAAATGAAGACTGAGAAGTTCTCTGTCTCTCTCATCTCTGAGATTCGTAGGAAATTCCCGTCGGTCTCAAGGTTGCCTCTCAAATTCATGTTGTCTCCCAGTATGATCTTTCCCGGTTTGGAAGTGGATAATCAACATTAAACAGCGAAACGGTCCGTGCTTCTCCCCAATTGGATTAGCAAAGCCCAAGAGCAAGTGTTTTTTTGCCAGCTCGACATGGCAATGAACTTCACATCTTTGGTATACGACTCCCCAGGAGCCTACTTGTATAGAAATACATACCTTGGACCTCGCCAAATCCTCTCAACAAGACTGCTTCTGTGCCTGCAGTCTTCCTTCCGCTCTTGACAGTGCACTGCGTTGAGGGCAGTGCCCAGCCACGGCCTCATACCCCCCGGTCCCGGCTGGCATCCCCAAAGATCCGGCTGAAGGACCCACTCATGCTTCCATATTTCCCTCGCTCGCTTCTGCCCGTCTCGGCTCCAGAAGCGAGGGGCTCGTGAAGGGAGACGGGTGATAGGCGACCGAATGGTAAAGCCATCTCGTCAATTTGTCAAGTCGTCGCTTCCAACCACTCAGCTCGGCTCTTTGACCTGTCAAAACACCCCAAGCGCCTGCTAGGGCCGATCGTCTCGAAGAACACAGCGGTCTGTCGGCAAACATTCTTGGGCTGTGACGTGGTGACCGCCGTCATGTCTCTCACGCCGTTACCACAGTAGTAAACTTCATGCCTCTGCCGCTCCTCCAAAGATCCAGGCCCACTTCATCTTCGGCGTTCGCCAACCTGGCAAGGGGGATTCTGATGAATCAGGCTGTTGGACCCGGGTCACGCATGAGCGCGCCGGTTCCCGTACGGATACAATACGTACATACCTGCCCTGTAGTTACGGTATCATCGAGCAGGGAGACAGGGGCCGGTCAGGTTGTATACACGATACAGGGTGCGATGAAGTAGATGGATAATGTGTACAGAACGGCACAGCCGATCAGGCCCTGAGCTTCAAGTGAGAATCTCATCAGGAAATGGAATTCAGGGACGGCTGGATCGTGCATGCGCCCCTGCGGACGGAGTCTCCCTAATGCCCGAGGTTGGGAGTTGGAGACCAGGGTTGGATTGGGTTTAGGTTGGCTACGAGGAAGTTACCGGGAAGGGACACCGGGCGCCATGCGGCCTCGCCAATCGCAGTTCCTCAGGTACCCCTGTCGTTCCGCACCTCGTTGGGAGTTTGCACAGCACATCGTTGATGAATTTGTGAGAAGCAGCCACATCAACAACAGGCAGGTCAGTTCACGCAGGAAAGCCGGCGCCGGCCCCGGGTCGCGTCTTTCCCCTTGTCGCCCGTTTCTCAGGGTCATGGATCGTGGCTCCATAAAAATTTCTAATTAAATCCCCAATCATGGCTCAACCCCCCGAAGCAGCCCCGTTGCGACTGCAGTCCTCTCTGGACTCGGCTCCTGTTCAGCCGCGCGTGCAGCCAAATCTTGACGCGCTTATTGTCAGGGTTGAGCAGCAGGAGCAGCGGCAACAACAACAACGACATCATCACCACCAAGAACCACAGCAACAATTACAACAGGCCCAAAATCAAGAGAAGGCACAATCACCTGGGCTGCCACATACTAATAATACCACGCCGACTATCGGGAGCGGCACCCATTCCACCGAACCTGAGCGCGGGCATAGCCCTAGCACTGGCGACGCGAAGACCAGGGTGGAAGCTATCCTGTCGGCCGACACTGGCGTAAACAGTTACGCGTCGGCTGCTGCGCCAGCCGCCCACGGCGCCCACGACACGCAGAGCGACACGCAGCACAACGGCGGCGCGCCAGGGCCGGGCCTCCCCGACATGTCCAACACGCATCAGGCGTCCGGGCCCGCCCGGCACCCGGTGACATACGCAAGCCCGGCGTCCTACCCGCCAGCCGGCATGCCGCCCGTCTCTCCGTATCTGTATTCAACACAGTCAATCCCGTCCGACCCGTACCGGCCGAACCCAACAACTCTCCCCAGCATGCGGACGCTCGATCACCGGCAACCACAGACACAGCCGCAGCAAGGAATTCCCCTGAGCGCACACATGGCAGGCCCCGTGACGCCGGCTCCCGCGCCCGCTCACATGGCGGCCTACTACGGCGTCCACCCGCAGTCGCACATGTACGGCCTTCCTGACCCCAACGCGATGCGGTTTGCGCTTGCCCCGGGCTTGGGTCACGACCCGCGGATTGCCTTGAGCGGAGGGAGACATAAAAAGGTACCAAAAAAGCAGCGTCATAGCCCCATGAGCAGGTGCCGCACAAGAGAATCACGACTTGCTGACTATGAGCTCTCCGTTATTGGTCGGCAGGAGATCAAGCGGCGGACAAAAACTGGATGTCTAACGTGCCGGAAACGGAGAATAAAGGTACGTAACCCCTTTGCGCTTTCCATGATTCGTCTCGGTTTTGCATTGGCATAGCAATTCAAAGCTGTCAGTTTCCTGGAACGCGTCGGTTCAATGTAGGCGTGGTGTGGTTGGAGGGCAGACCAAGCCGCGTCCTCGCATCGAACTTCAAGCTCTCTCGCTTGTGTTCGCTTCGGCTGCCCGAAATTCCCGCTCCAAGTTTAGGGAGCTTTCCATGCCTGGATCTAGCTATCGAGACCCCAGTCAGCCACTTATGATATTTTCCTCCCCAAATCACAATATCCTTCGCCCTCCAGCGAACAGTTTTTCTCCAATATTAACTCCACGCCCTCGCACCTCTCCATTTCCTAGCTCTAACATGATCTAGTGCGACGAGGGCAAGCCGACGTGCAACAATTGCAAAAAGTCGAAGCGCGAATGCATGGGTTACGATCCAATCTTCAAGCAGCAGCACGGACCAGCAGCCATCCAACCCGCTCCGAGCACTCAGACGCCCCCGGCCGTCTCCACGACCGCCGTACAAGCGCCGACCTTGCCGTCTTCGGCCCCGCATCCATACCAACCAACATATTCGCCTTCTGTCCCATCAACCATTGCACACGACTCCTCGGCGATCCCGTCCACCGCTCCGTACAGTGTCAAACCCGAGCCTGGCTACGAGTACTCGACGGCCATTGACCCTGCACTGCAAGGGACCGACGCTGCCGGCACACGAGCACCGCGATACCAGCAGAGTAACGCTGCTCCGAGTGCGCGCTCGGGCCCGGGCATTGGTGATACAAACCCTTTGCGAGGTGGCACCCCCTCCTCTCCTCCTGCCATAAAGTCTGCGCTCTCTCAGCCTCTGTCGCGGGAGACCACGTCCGCTCACACAATCTCCACAGGAATGAAGATGCGAGTCGATGAGCTCATAGCTCTGGGTGGCGTGCCGCCTCAGCCACCAGCCACACCGCCGTCGGTCGAGATGCTCGACGAGATTACCGAGCTCTACTACGATATTTACGTCCCTGGCCTCACCCTCTTCTTTGAAACGTGCTGGTATGACTTCGCAAAGAACCCGGCCATGACAGCCAACCCCTCGGCTGTGCTTCTCAACAACCAGCCTATCGTTTCCCTCTTCGCGTCTTTTATCCAATCAATCTCCGACGTCAAACGTGCCGACCCCGCAGACATGGTCCAGTCCGGTCACCTCGAGTCATCCCTCATTTGGACCCTTGCCCGCCTTCCTCACTCAATCCGTCTCCCCCAGCGCCAGCAATACCCGGACATGATTCCTGGCGAGTTCGATCATTGGGAGGCGCGCGGCCGCGTGCAGGTCTTAGAAGCCCTGCTGACGGGCGAGACGATCCTGGGCAACCCTCTCTCACCGCCACCTACTGGCAACAACATTCACCTACTTCGCAGAAATGAATTCGAGTTCTGGTATCAGCTTGCAAACTACCTTCTCCAGAACCACGCCTCGTCGTTGCCCGAGGATGTTTTGACCCGGGAGCGGTACCTGAATGCGATGAGATCGCTGCTGGATGGCCGGGAGAATCGAGATGTGCTCTACAGCATCGCGGTGCTGAGGGAGTACACGGCGCAGTGGGATGCCGCGTACAACGAGCAGAACGTGCCATCGCATCTGGAGGAGTCGGATCCCCGCTGCAAGCTTGCCGTCGCGACGAGGTTCATACGGGACGAGTCTCACTCTGCGGGCGGTACCACCAATGTGGTCCGTCGGATGGCGGAGCTGGCTTATCGCGCCTTTGTCCGACCGGGCGCCAACGTTAATAGGGATAGGCGGCGAAGCTAGGGTGCCTGTTGCCTGTGTTTGAGCTGAGGGAAGTTGGAGATTTTGACACGGCGATTTTTTGGAGTCGGCTGGCTCGTGTTGGCTGGGGTTAGCTGAGGGAACGCTACCCCTTTGTTCGACACTGGGGTGCTCGAAGGCGTCATGCTTCCTTGTACCTGTGCGGCTTTTTGTTTCTCAAGCCGCTGTACTCATGTATAGAAGGGCGGTGGCAAGATTTTTTTTTCTTCACGGCGTTGGCGGTGTTCGTGGGGTTATAGAAGGACTAAAAAGACGTCCGGGTCAAGTGACTACTTGGCCTTGGCTGGACGATACCTGGGCTGCCGCTTTTGTTTGCGCCATTGCCTTCCTGCATGACCTGCCCGGCACTTAGTTTCCTCATACTAGGTCGATTCTGTGGATCTGTACCGCCTCAGTGATCCATCGTGGTCATTGGCGTACGCCGAGGTTAACATGTTTGCAGTATAGATAGGGACGCCTGTCTATCGATTGCCATAGGATGGAAACCCGCAGCCATCCGTTCGCAGCCATACTTCTATGCGCACCGTGTCCCTCGTCCTCAGCCCTCGAGACGATCGGTTTGACCCAGGGTTCGGTCTTGTCCCTCCCACTCCGCTCTTCACATATTCCGCTGCTCCGGGACAATGCTCCGCAGCCGACCCCGCTCAATGGCCATCCGGACATTGCTGATAGCCCTGGAGCAGACGCCGGTGTCAGATACTTCTTTCTCTCGCCAGTCGTCCAACCTCGTAGGTAGGTAGTAAGTAGGAAAAGGTTAGCCAATGAGCACTCACCACTCCTCCATCTTCCTCTCCGTCTCGACCGTCCATGTCCCCATGTGCGGGACCAGCAGCGTGCGCGGGTTCGAGATCAGGCCCGGGTGGATGTGCGGCTCCTGCTCGTACACGTCGAGGCCGGCCGAGCTGACCTGGCCGGAATCGAGCGCCTCGACAAGGGCCGCCTCGTCCATGATGGCGCCCCGTGCCGTGTTGACGATCACGATGCCCTTCTTCATCTTGGCGAATTCGGCTCGGGAGATGGTGTGCCGGGTTTTCGGCTGAGGCGGCAAATGTACCAGTCAGTCAGTCACTTCTGAAGGGGGTTGGTGAGGAAAGCAGTGAAAAAAGAAAACCCAAATCCTCACGTTCAGGGGCAGGTTCAAGCTCAACACATCGCTCTCAGCCAGCAACGTGTCAAAACCGACATACTCGGCTCCGCCCAACTCCCGCTCCACGCCCGGATCTAGCCGCGTGCGATTATGGTATCGAATCCTCATACCAAACGCCAGAGCCGCCTTCCGCGCCATATTCCTCCCAATACCGCCCATCCCCAAAATCCCCAATACCTTCCCCTGCGGATCATGCCCCAGCGCCGGCTGCTCACCCGCCCCGCCTCCGCCGCGCCACTCCCCCCTCCTCAAGGCCGCCATACCGACGCCCAGATTCCGCAGCGCGCCCAACATCAGAAAGATAGCCAGGTCCGCCGTGGCATCGTCGACAGCCGTGGGCGTGTTACTCACGCGGATCCCGCGCGCCGTACACGCGGGCACGTCGACCTGGTCATACCCGGCGCCATTGTGGCACACAAAACGGAGCGACGAGCGCTGCTCCCCAAAAGCGTCGAGCAGCTCGCCGTCGATCTTGCCCGTCACCTCGAAGGAGTCAAAGGTGCGGTAGGCCGCGACACAACCGTCAAAGGCGCCCGAGCGGGCCTCTTCTAAAAAACTGGCGCGGTTGGTGGATTGCGGGGTGATGATCGTGGCGATCTCGCTGACGGCGGCCCAGGCAGAATGAGCGCTGGTTTTCGGGTCGGGAGTAGTCAGCGAGGCAGAGCCCTGTGTGTAGAGAAAAAGAAGGGGGTAGCCAAAGGTGTATGTATGCGAGTGAGTGGGCTATGGACCTCGTTTTGAAAGACGTTTCGTCATGCCGACGCTGTCTTCTCTTCCTGTCCTTATACCGGGAATTTCTATCCTCCTTCTAGGGAACGCATATAAACCGCCGCGGTCTTGAAGAGGAAAGTTGACGTACTGCTCAATAACGCCCAGCAGCAGCACCTTCGGCTTCTCCTTGTGATCAGTGGCCATGGTGATGGGACGGGTTAGCCACTCCTGTTTGTAAAGAAGCTGTTCCGCCGCTCTCCGCGTGTTCAGGTTTGACGAGCAACAATTAGAAGCGTTCTTCGTCTTGATTCACAACACGATATAGAGGCCTTGGTTTCAGTTATAGTCCCCGCCTTATCATGAGATGATCAAGACGAGAGTGAACGAGCCCCGCATCCGAGGCGATCTCCGGGTTGGCGGATCCCCGGGTGCGGCTTCCAGCTTGCATCTCCTAGGAGCGCTGTCTGCCATGATTGGCCCTATGCAGTGTTCTAACTAACGGCCCCGTTCGACATGACATGGCAACCCCGTTCGACGGGGGGAGGGATCAGCAGTTCTGGAATCTGGGGTCGGGATTGTGTGATCCCGAACCGCTGTGGTTGGATTGCATTATCGCGTCTGAGCAACCGACCAACTCATGGCTTTACATAGACACTGCGCAAACGAAGCCTCGGCAGAAGCAGAAAGATGTGGTGTGCCAAGAGACACACAGATCTGAATTGCCATCGCTGCTGTATTCCATGGGGCTCCGGTTGACGGGACCGTCAGTTATCCTTCTCTTCTCCTACTTGCCTGCCTCTAGAGAAGTGCTCCAGCGCACCAACATGACAAGCTCTCTGTTAAAACGCCGTCCGGTGGGTGTAGTTGGGATATCATGAGCCAAAGCCAACGCCGTACTTTTTGTTGAAAATGTGTACCAGACCCCGCCCATTGCCCCTTTTATACCCTGCCCCAAACCCAATGTGCCATGCAAGTCGTGTCTGTTGAAAAAAACAATGCCCGAAAAACAAGCCCGAACATGCCGCCAGGACACTGTCGGGTATCACATAGTTGTTGAAAATCCATCATCAGAGTTAGTTCTACCCAAAAACTTAGTAGCGGTAGCTATATAAATGGTCAGCCATAGTCCCTTGCGGAGCCAAGTGTGATTGATACTGAAAAAGGATGAACTTACTGGTCGCTCTTGAAGGGACCCTCCACGTCCAGGCCGAGGTACTCGGCCTGAACATCGGTCAGGGTGGTAAGCTCGACGTTGCAGTGAGCAAGGTGGAGGCGGGCAACCTCCTCGTCCAGGACCTTGGGCAGCACGTAGACCTTCTTCTCGAGTTTGCCGCTCTTGGCGAACTCGACATACTTCTTGCCAAACTCGGCGTCGTTGTTCTTGTAGAGCATGATCTGGGCAAGCACCTGGTTGGTGAAGCTGCACGACATGACGAACGAGCTGTGGCCGGTGGCGCAGCCGAGGTTGACGAGGCGACCCTCGGCCAGGAGGATGATGTGGCGGCCGTTCTTCATCAGGAAGCGGTCGACCTGGGGCTTGATGTTTTGCACAGACTGGGCATTCGCCTTGAGCCAAGCCACGTCAATCTCGACGTCGAAGTGGCCAATGTTGCAGACGATGGCGTCGTTGGGCATGGCCTCGAAGTGCTTGCCGACCAGAATGTCGCGGCAGCCAGTGGTGGTGACAAAGATCTGGCCGACCTTGGCGGCCTTCTCCATGGTGGTCACCTCGTAGCCAGCCATGGCAGCCTGCAGCGCGTTGATGGGGTCGATCTCGGTGACGAGCACGCGGGCGCCCATACCGTGGAGAGCCTGGGCGCAGCCCTTGCCGACGTCACCAAAGCCGGCGACGACCGCGATCTTGCCGGCAATCATCACGTCGGTGGCGCGCTTGATGCCGTCAATCAGCGACTCGCGGCAGCCGTACAGGTTGTCGAACTTGGACTTGGTGACCGAGTCGTTGACGTTGATGGCGGGCACCAGCAGCTCGCCCTTCTTGAGCATGCGGTACAGGTGGTGGACGCCCGTCGTGGTCTCCTCAGACACGCCGTAGCAGTCCTGGAGCATCTCGGGGTACTTGGTGTGCACCAGGTGGGTCAGGTCACCGCCGTCGTCCAAGATCAGGTTGAGCTTCTTGCCGTCCTTGAAGGCGACGAGCTGCTGCTCCAGACACCAGTTGTACTCCTCCTCGGTCTCGCCCTTCCAGGCAAAGACGGGGATGCCAGCCGCGGCAATGGCGGCGGCGGCGTGGTCCTGGGTGCTGAAGATGTTGCACGATGACCATGTCACCTCGGCGCCGAGGGAAGTCAACGTCTCAATCAGGACAGCAGTCTGGATCGTCATGTGTAGGCAGCCGGCGATGCGGGCGCCCTTGAGCGGCTGGTCGGCAGCATACTTCTTGCGGATGGCCATCAGACCGGGCATCTCGTTCTCGGCCAGCTCAATCTCCTTGCGCCCGAAGGCAGCGAGGGACAGGTCGGCGACCTTGAATTTGTGGGCGGGAGCGGACATTCTGGCGGCAAAGCGAGAGAATGGTAGAGGGTGAGGTGAGGTTAGGTGAAAAGAGTGAACAGGCGAAATTGGGGGGATAAAGGGAGAAGGGAGAGATGAATAGGGAGGAAATTGTCGACTGCGGGCGGGGCTCAATGTCTTACTTTTTTAAAAGAGGGGCAGCATGGTGTTGGCGGGGTGAGGAGGGGCTGAAAACGGGGCCAAGACAGACGGCAGTTCACGGGAGCAAACGGATCGCAGATAAACGACCCGACTCAAGCGGCGATCGAGGAACGTAGGGTAAACTAACGGTTTGACATCAAGTCCTTGGACATTCACTGTGAAAAGTTTCAAAACCCAATTCCCAAGAACAAGCCAGCAAAGTAGAACGCCTCTGTAAATTTGAGAATGGACGACAGGAGAGGAATCATTGCTATGGGCGGTGAGAGAGAACCCAGGCTGACCCGCATTCGGTCTGTGGATCCCTCACCAGTCTGGTGCTCGCTGCTTCCAATCGGGCGCTTATTCGGGAGCGGGTGTCACATCCCTTGGAAGTCGGCTCGTTCATCAATCGCAAATCCCTCCGGTGAACTCTCCGAGCTGACCAGGCAGTGACAAGGCTACCTATATAAGTGACATCAGGAAGGAGAGCACACGTTGCAACCCCGCGACAATCCAGACTCGCATCGGGTGGGCTGACACTTCCTGCTTCAACGCAACGAAGAAGACGCTTTACAGCTCCAAAAGACGCATCATGGCTGGTCCGGAAAGAGATTATGTGCTAACAAGCAAGCCCATGACCGAAACGCCAGAACCAAATGCACTCGAGATACCCATCATGGCCCGCCCACCCATATCCCACTTTCCCTCTACCCCCGAACATGACCTCCCTGGGAAACCAACTCTCGATCACTCAGGCAGCAAATTCCCCCTCACAGCGAACATCTTGGACGTGATCGTTGCCGTGAACCCGTCCACCTGCTTGCTGTACTGCTCCACCTGCCTGGCGTTGAGCATGCCCTCGAGCCGGCTCGGCTCCTGCGGTAGCTTGAATAGCCTCTGCCACTCGTCCTCGGGTAAGGGCGTCTGCTTGGCCGCCAAGCGCGCGGCGTTCTCCGCCTTGCGCTTGGCTTGCCATTGCGAGATCTTAAACTGCTCGCGCGTCAGCTGCCGCTGGTAGTACTGGTGGTTGTTGAGGTCCGAGTAGTGGGCCTCGATGCTGTCCAGCAGCAGATCGCACGTCTTCTCAAGGAAGGGGTCGATCGAGAGGTCCAGCGTGTCGAAGGATGGGTGCGCCGGCAGCTTGGCCGGCTCGCGCTGGATGTCGTCGACAGAAGCGGGGAGCGGAATCTCAGGGGATTCAGGCGGCGCGGGAATTTGGTGCAGGAATGAGGTCAGGAGGTGCGAGTTGTGAACAATGACGGGGACCTCGACAAGAATATCCCGGAAGGATAGCTTTGACTTTTGCAGGCTGTTTGCAGAGTCGGATTAGTGCCAGAGTACTAGGTGATGTGCGAGGATAGTTGAGCATGTCCTGACCTCTCTGTTGTGAATTTCCCTTCTTTGTACGCCGCCATAAACTCCGGCGACAGCCTGAAAGCCCGCAGGCTCAGGGTGCCCTGTGAGCTCCTGCTCACATCATGGACGAGCGCCACCGTCTTGTCGTTGTCGCGCTGGTAGTGGTACTGGTTCTCGATAAAGCCGAGGTTGATGAAGTTGCCCATGGTCGCGCTCGTGTACCAGCCCACGTTGTTCGCATCCACGTTGACCTCCTTCAGGTGCCTGATCATCTCGTTCTGGTACACGATGTTGGCCTTAGCACGGGGGGCTGCCGCCGCAAGGGCTGATGCGTCGGACTGGTGTCCATCGGTGCTCGAGACGTCGACGGTCGGGAAGGGGAAGGCGTTCGTGATCTCGAGAACTCCATTATTGTCCATGCCCACGAGGGACCCTGTCGCAGTAGTCGGGAAGCTTGAGGAGCAGTGCTTAACGATTTTCATCATCACCTGCCACAGCGTCAGCGTTGGGGCCATGGCGGGGCACCTCAGATCTTTCGCTAGGTCCGTACAAGCGATTCGACCTGCGCCGATTTGAACGGCGCGTCTTTTTGCGCGTCGACCACCATCTTGAAGTATAAATCGCGGAACACTGAGAGCTAAGAGCGGAGGTGTTGTCTCGAGAGTGCGACTTGGCAGTGTTTGTCTTGTCGTTCGGGCTGCTCGCAACTTTCAAGGTTTCGGAAATCTCGTCCGTTTGTGGGTTTGCGGGTTTGCGGAGCAAAAGAGGTGGCTTGAAACATTGGCAGAAAGAATGTGGCTGAAGCTGTGGCGCGAACCCGACAGAGGCAGTGGAGCAGAGTGCGGTACGGAATACTATTTTTCATACGTGCTCTGAACTTATCTGTCCAGTACTCCGTAACGTAGCCCCTCCCGATCCAGGGTTTCTCAGGCGCCTTCAAGTCCTCCGCCAGCGCCATGACATACAGGGACTACAGCGTTTTGCGCCTGTCGCAAGATGCTGCGCGTGATGTATTCCAAGAAGGCAGATATAAGGCTTTAAATTGTCTGACACATACTCTCGATCTACCTTCTATAATAGCCCAGAAGATCTTGGACACCGGTCTGCAGCGACGGTTGCGAAGTCGAAACCTCCCGCAGTCGCGTGATGTGAACTGAAGTTTCCGCCAGGCGATTAGACATAAAAAACTACAGATTACAACATCCCACGCCCTCCCCCACGCCCACGTTCACGTCAAGGCCGTTTGGGACTCCCCGACCATATTATTATGATGCGCTGCCCCGACGATCGCGTGCTCTCAGAGTTTCCCATCCAATTTTTCTCTTCTCTTCTCTTACCCCGTCTCTGTGACCCATCCTTGAGTATTAGGCAGGAGGCCACTTACACCCGACTGGCCTGCCTTCTAAATCTCCTGGATTAAACCGCCGTCCGTCTATTCTCCCGCTATCTCTAGAGCTCTTAGTTCTTTCTACCTTCTAAATGGATATCACCGCTATTCGTGGAGAAAAGAAACAAAACCACCTTTAAAACGAAATTTTCCGCTTGCTCTACCCGTCAAGAGACCACTCTTCACCATCATCCCGCCCCTCACCACCAACACATCCCCAACACGCCGTCTTTCGCTTTCACTCATCCCAGCCAGTGATGGCCCAATTCTGAACGTCCTCTCGGATAGTCAGCCGGAGGCGGTCTATCTTCCAGAAGGTGTATAGCGAACGCGCGGCACCAGCCGCCTTCCGGTGCGCGGGTCCGACGCCTCCTTTCCTTGCGTCTTCCTGCGACCTCCAGATGCACGTCGCCAGGTTGCGGCCCTCGGCATCGGGCGTGCCAAACCAGTACCTGCCGCCAAGTGTCAGCAGATTGTCTTTTTTCTTTGTCTCAGGTAACTCAGATTCTCGAGGAAGTAAAGGGATGAAGCGGGGAGGGGTTTAGTTTACTTCAAGAAACCACCACTGGCCGTAGCCTCGGCGTGCGCCGCTTTGTCCAGAGCGCCCAGCTCGGCGTACACTGTCGTGGGCGGTATGCGGGAGCGGAAAGCCACCACGAAGAACGAGGTTTCCTTCCATGTGTGGCCGATATCTCGGGCGAGCGTCCGGAGGGTATCGATGACCTCGTCCCAGTTGAACGTCTCAGCATAAGGAGCAGTGGCATAGTCCGCCCGCAGGCACTTGAGCTTGGTCAGCGCGAGAGCGAGGAGCTGGTTCTCGACGTCAAGGCTTTCGAGGTCCAGAAGATGTTCTCTCTCGACATAAGGGGAGACAACGAGGTATCTGTCTTGACTGGGCTGTTCTCCAACGGCAGAAGTCAGGATGTCGGTCGTCACAGCTGGGCCCTTTGCATCCAGGTTCTGGAAAGTCTGGGCTTGCATCTCGGCCACGACGACCCGGCCTTGCAAGAGTGTCATGGTGCTCTCTGGACGGCGGTGATGGCAGATGGGGCGTCGGGCTCCCCAGCGGTATGATGAGGGCGGTTGCCGTATCCACAGGACTGTCGCAGCCAGGTGTTCTGCTTCTAGGGCCTGGTGGTGAAGGCCTGTTGGGAAGGATGCTCCGAGTCGTGTTAGGGGGACCGTTGGCACTGGGGAGAACGAGTGACCAGCCGTGGTCTTATTGTTCGATGATGGATGGAGGAGCACAGTAAGCGGACAATGTTTGTGGTATGCGATAACCATCCCACAGATTATTGTGATCACGAATCTGAACCCTGCCTCGACAACCTCCCTTTATCCTGCCCGGCAATGCGAAGAACAGCCATCCCGAGCATATCGCTGAGACGGTACGGATCGCGCCATCGGTTGCAAAGGTGGTGCCATCGCACGGCAGGCCGCGCGAGGAAGGGTGAATTGCCAGAGATGGCTGTTGATTCCCAGCAAAACCTGAGTCAGTGTGAAACCTATCGCCAATTCGCCTTTTTCAGGGGATGTTGGCCGCTCACCATGGGATGGCTGCGTGCTTCTCTTTCCCGCCTGATGTCCGGCCGGGCATTCCCGCAGCGAAATACCGCTGCGGATGGCGGCCTCGAGTTGTTGCATCAGGGAAGTTCTTATCTTATCGCCGGCCACCAACCTATCTGCACCCCTTCCCATCATTTTACTGCACCAAAGGTATCGCGAAAGTGACTGCAAATTTTGACGGCCGTGACAATGGGAGTGCGATTTGGCCAAAACCCCGCTTTCCTTTCTTCGCCGGGCGAAGAGAATACGCCGAGCGTAGGGTGGTCGCACTGGGGAAGAGAGGATGGGGTTCCCAGATTGGTATAATGGCAGCTTCGTCTCTAGTCCTTTAAGGAGACTGGCGTTTCAACCACGCCTTCGTCACCTCATACGACCCGAGATACAGACCGCTCCCAAGAGCCGTCCATATCGCACGCAGCATAGCGCCTCTGAACAGACCTCGTATTCCGCTTTCCACCAGAACGGACCTCGCGATAGCAAGACCGCCGCCGCCGGTCCGCGACTTGCCTTGTCCGCCTGAAAATCTCGACTTGTCATCTCCAGCGCCAAGCATGACCCTCGTTTTTATCACGTCCATAGGTGTCGTCAAGATTGCCGCAATGGAGCCTGAGACTGCCGCAGCAACCCCATTAACCAGACCGGTCTCGACGAGAAGGGGATTTTCGTGTGACTCCGTGCGTTTACCAGCCCGTCGTCTCCGGATTCTGCCACGGAAGAACTCAAACATGGGAAACTGCATCGCCGTGAACGGTAGGTTCCGCGCGACCAACGACGTGTATCCCCTCCACAGGGTCCGTGTTACGCCGCCTTCGGCCCGCCGTAGCATGTCGAAGGCTTCGAGTGAGGATGACCGTTGGGGAGGCGAGCCGGCCGATCGCCGCAGTACCTGGGCATTTTGCTTGATTACCTCGGCCGGCGTGAGCACAAGGCAAGAGACCAGCTCGGCACCTGCCGAGGCGAATGCATGGATGGGTGCTGCCGGTGTTGCGCTGGGGAGGACGCGTGTGAGGACCGACTTCCCCGACTCATAGCTGGCAAAGAAGAGCGCCGCTGTCGCGTCGAGGGCAAACTTAGCTCTCAGCGCACCGAGGGCACATTCTGAGTGGGTTTGGGACTTACCTGCTGGAAGTGTTGCAAGGACCACACTTCCAATTCCCTGGTACAAGCTCCTCACCGCTGCGTAGGGTGCTCTTGTGGCGGTTGACAGCTGGTTTCTGACGCTATAAGACCCCTGGCTCTGATAGCGAGTTTTGATGGTATCCAAGGGGTAAACAAGGGCATCAACAGTGAATGCTGCGACGGCCCCGGCCTGGGGGCGAGTTCAGAACAACTGCATGTGGTCTAGGCATGGAGACCGGTGTCTTACCGCAAGTATCTCTGTTTGTATAGCGTCTCTCATCCCGTTCGTCGTGTAATGTGCATGTTGATAATCTAGAAGTGATTCCTGGAAAAGATGTGTACTGCACTGCCAATACTGCTCTGATGACATCATAGTGTGTTGGAGACGTTAAGGTATTGAATGGAAGAAGCAGCTTGCCTTGCTTGCTCGCCGGGCTTCAAAAATCGTGATCCCGACCAACCGCTTTGCCGACAAGCAGTGGCTCAAACGCCTTCCTCTCTTCTCCTCTGCTCCAACCACCTCAATTCAATCCTCTTCTTCATTCTGAATCGGTCTATTGAGGTCGCCACAGTCAACCTCCGAGGGTGCTTGAGTTGCCCCAGAGCAAACTGCGTTTGGGGCGGCACTCCTCGAAGTTTTCGGGACGCACAACCCTTGTGGAACAGTCCTGTGGGAGTCGGAGGCTCTCGACGGACAGCTGGAAGGAGGATTTCCAGCTTGAGAGGAATGACGACGACCGCCTGCTGCTCGGGGGCTTTGTGCACCAATTGGTCCTTGCCGTCTCGCACACTCTGGGCCCGGGTTGCTACGACGTCTCTGCCGTCGAGCGTTCCGATGGCTCCGATATGTTACATCTGCCTGGAGGGCCCAGAGTGAGTACGAGGAGGACCTTGACGAGAGCCCAACCACTTTGCCTTCTCAGGACGCTTCACACTCTTTCCATCTTCTCATCCTACAGGTCCCCGGGCGCTTTTACAAAGGCTTATAAGTAGAAGCGTTCACCGCGTGTACCCTTGAAAGGGTGGTTCAGGTTGCGGGACGTGGTTGACTGCCTGTTTGCCACCGTCGCAGGGGACGCTATGCGGCACTTGCCCGCATCCCAGACCTCCGGAGCCCTCAGCGAGAAATTCCTGAATCTGGCATCCATCTTCGTCCTTGGGGTCATTGGGAACGTCCAGCCAGCTGCTGAAGCCGCAGGAGTCGCTTATGCCGAGACAGAGACGCAGATCGCCTCAGCATCTACCCCAGGGGCTTGTTGAGGCGGCCAGGGTAATCACCACGGTGGGCGGGGAAAAGGCAGGCGTGGAACGCGGTGAAATGGCTACTGTCACAGGCACTGAGATAAACCTAGAACGTCACGTACGCAGGGGTCGGTTGTAGGAGTAGTAGGAGGCTTGACTTAGCTGTAGATGTCGAGGTGTTCCTACCCTGGTAGTATTTTCCCTCTCTCTCCTCCTCCTCCGCCACGTCCGCAGCTCCTGGACAAACTCGACGTTGTGCCCAATTCTCCTCAGCACCTCCAGCGACAGCGCGAGCTCCCCGGTGCCCAGCTAGCCGTTGAAGGCCTTTGCGGCGTGTTGGAGCGGGCGCCTCACAGGCGGCCCGGAAGATGTAGCCAACCACGAACAGCAGCTCCGATTCCCGCTCATATACGCGGGCATGTACAGCCCGCGCAGCACCTCGTCGCACGCGCCCTCGACATGACGCAGCAGCCGCCAGCACTGTCGGTGCAGCGTCAGATATGGGAACGCCATCTCAATCGTTTCCGCATGCAGCACCATCACCAGCGACTTGATCAGCCGGTCCGTCGACAGCATGGTCGACGACGCCTGTGTCTTGCCTGTGTTCTTGCCCTTCCCCTTCGCCGCACCATCGGCCTTCTTCTCCATCACGTACCCGTCGCAGCCGCCGCTCTCGCCATTCCCCGTCGTCAACCTCCCAGTCGATGCGCCCGAGTATCTCGTCAATGTGTTGGGGCGTCCAGGGAATTTGGCCCGAACCACCCAGGTATCTCTCTACAAACATGGACGACAGAGGCGAGTCTTCGTCGTCCCTGAATCCGCGCGGGCCGGCGCGCGACGTCAAGCTGGTGAGACGGCCGCGGCCGCGCTGCTGTCCGCGCCACTGTTTATAGATTTCTATAGCGCGATGGATACTTGTGCGCAGTGTCGATTAGATTGCTTCAATTGCTAGAAGACTCAATATATAGAGGAATGAACCTGTATTGTTTTAGTGGAATACGGATTAAACATAACGTTATCTCGAAGTTAAGCGGTATTTGTCTTGAAAACAGTGCGATACCAAGCAGAGGGAGCAGCCGAACAGAATCCCTGCAAACGATTCGGTGCAACGCTGTGGGCATCCTCAAAACTCCGCTGCAGAAACCATCACAGCATGTGCCTCCTATAAATCAGCTCCAGCTGCACCCATGTAGATCGGGCCATGTTATTCGTTCTTTTTTCTAAACATAGTTCACACTCTTTCTTGAAGCAGAACCCCTTTTGCTGCTCCCCTGCCGTCCAATGCGGCCGACGGTGCACATCCTCCGGCAGGCAACCCGCCCCGCCATCAGCAACATCGCCGGCTCGTGTGCTTCTTTGCCTAGCCTCCTCTCCCTGAGCCAATCTCAACCTCGCAACCACGCTCAACATCCCCGACTCCAACAATTCTCCACCGCACGCACAATGGCCACCCGCTGCTCCTCCTCCTCCCCATCTTCCTCCTCCGGGAGAGGCGGCATCGAAAAGCTCCCCTCCTCACCCATCCGCGTCCTCCGCACCGTCGACTCCTTCCGTCGCTGGCGCCGCCCACACCTTCTTGACCAGCGCTCCGTCGCCCTGGTGCCTACAATGGGCGCCCTTCACGAGGGCCACCTATCTCTAGTCCGCGCCGCCGCCCGCGAGAACCACCACGTCGTCGTCTCCATCTACGTCAACCCGGCCCAGTTCGGCGTCCGCGAGGACCTCGCCAGCTATCCCGTGACCTGGGACGCCGACTGCGACGCGCTGGTGCGGCTTGACCGCGAACTGGCGGATGACGGGCACAATCTGGGGCGGATTAGCGCCGTCTTTGCGCCGAGCACGGCCGAGATGTACCCCGGAGGGTTTCCTGGGCAGGAGGTGGATAGCAAGGGGAGTTTTGTGACGATTACGCCTGTCGGGGAGGTGTTGGAGGGTAGGTCGAGGCCGACTTTTTTCCGAGGGGTCGCGACCGTGTGTATGAAGCTGTTTAATATCGTGCAGCCGGAGCGAGTTTACTTTGGGCAGAAGGATGTGCAGCAGACGGTGGTGATCAAGAGGCTAATCAGGGACTTTATGCTGCCCATTGAGGTCGTCGTTGGGCCGACGGCGAGGGCTGAGGACGGGCTTGCGCTGAGCTCGAGGAATGTGTACCTGGGGGAGAGGAGGAGGGCGGTGGCGACTGTGCTGCACAAGGCGCTGCGGGCCGCTGAGGAGAGGTACAAGAGTGGTCAGAGGGGTCGGGACGCTGTTCTCGGCGCGGCGGAGAGGTTCGTTGACGAGGTTCTGGTGGGGCAGATGGCTCTAGGGCCGGAGAAGAGGGTGCGGTTCGAGGTCGACTATATTTCGCTTGCCGACCCCGACACCATGGAGGAACTGGATTTTGTCCACTCGGCAAAGGGGGCGATTCTCAGCGGCGCAGTAAAGATGTTGCCCGTTGAGGTCCCCCAAGAAGGAGAAGATCTCGGTCACAGCGGTGGCCCGGCAGTCAGGTTGATTGACAACATCATTCTGCCACCTGCTGAACAATGATAGCAGTTTTATAGCACTTTCGCATTGGTTGGCGTTGGAGGGTTGGTCAGATTTAGCGCGCATGTAGATGTGTTTCTTAGACGCGATGCCTTGCTGAACTAATGTCCTGTACAGAAACTAGGGTCATTCTTGTTTTTGAAGATACGCCTGGAGCACGCAGAAAATGGAAGTTGATTATCAGTCTCGCCGTTCCCCAGGCCTGAAGGCATCCAAGACAGGTATACCACAGCCGGTCAATCTCTCCGCGGGCACCCCTTTGACTTGCAGTCGAGGGCCGATGAACCTGCCAATGCTCAGCTTCCCCTGATTTCGGGATGTCACTTCCAGCTCCCCACTGGCAGCACCCCCCTATATGGTTTAGGTCCACGTCTCTCCGGTCACCGCCCTCACCCCAGCGCATTGCAAAATGCTCAGTTGGGATGGGCCGTGAAGGGGGCTGCCTCCTCGGCAGCCGGCATTAATCCTCTAAGCTCTTCGGAGTTGGTACGTTGGGTTTGACCCGTCATTCGGTCACCCCAGGCCTCTTGTCACGCCAATTCCCGGGCCTCCCGACGAAGTAAAACCCCATCGAGGGTTGTCGTAGCCACCACCATCCGCAAAGGGCTTGGTGGTGAGCTTTTCGACCTTTTTGTCCAGCTGCAATAACCACCTTTCCCCAGTAACATCATCCACTCCATTTGGTTTCATTTTGATGCCTCGGGGAAACCAGCTGCGCAGGAACGTGCAGATTTCTGCGACGAGTGTGAGCAGCGATTTCCAACGGAAAAGAGAAGGGGCCTTTAGGGGCCGCTGGTGAGTCCCTGGACATGAGAGTCGCCGGCGTCATGTACCGCGAAGGCCATGATGACCATCAGGAACATCTTACCACAACACCCCCCTGTGAACAAGCTGTCTCTCGCTTCGCCCTCACAATATCTTGGAAAAGTGCGACCTGAACTTCCTCGACGCGCGATCAGCCGACCGAAACTGGAATTGTTCCCCGTGGATCCTGAACACCATGCTGGACGTCTGCTCCTCCGAACCCTCTTCCCCCCCGTCACCCGCCGTCTTAACCGGCACCGGCACCTCAAACTGAAACACAGTCCCCTCCTTGGGCACCAGCTTCAATTGATTCCGCCTCGTGACAACCTCAAACGCAAACTTGGAATCCTTCACCACAATCCCCTTGATCCCCACGCGACTCACACACCTGCTGCGCACCACCTCGACCAAAGCGCCATGGAAATCTGCGCTCGCCAGTTTGGCCGCAGCGCCTTCACCTCCGGTATACACCTCGCCTCCCAAGATTTCCAGGATGTAACCCAGCCAGAGCTGGTGCAGCGGTTCGAAGAGAGCGTACTTCTGGCCCTGGCGTGGCACGTCGTAAAGACCGAGTCGGCGGCGCTCGTTCGCGGAGAGGGGCTTTGGCTTGAGCGTCTTTTTGCGATGCTGCTTTTTCTTTTCTTGGGCTCGGCGGCGCGCGGCGCGCGCGTCGGACGGCGGCGGCGAGGACGGGGTTAGGAAGAGCGGCCGTTGTTGGATCTTCTCAGCCAGGATCCGGCTTGCTTCGTCCGGCTCGTGGGCGCGTGAAAGAAGCACTGCCGCGATGGGCTGCTCTTTTTCTGGTCTAATGTCCATGATAGTTGGGTTGATGTAAATCACATCTGCGGTGCGGTGTTGTCTGGTTTTCTTTGGCAGACGGATGTTGTTGACTTGAGGAACTTTTTGAGTGAAGATGATGGAGCTCTGCATGCTTGGCAATTCCCAGGTCTACTGTGTGATTGACCCCGCGCTAGCCCTTCTGGGCTTAACCTCGACTCGGCACCCCACCATCCCCAACTTCAAGCAGCTTCCCCAGAAATCACCCCTGTCATCAACTCCTTGAACAATCAGGATTCAGAAGCGACCTCGGGAACTCGAGGAAGTCACCGGCATCTGAACCACAGTAGGCAGTCGCCCTTTGCCTTTCAAGAAGACAAGAATAGTACTGTGCCAGGAGTGAATGGTATCAATTCCGACAACGTGATTCCTCCGAAGCAACAGAAAGAATAACTCAACACTTCTCAAAATCCATTGGTTGTCTCTGGGGTAGGTTCTTGAGGACGGAGCGCAAGGAAAAGGAAGAGAGGTTGTGAAGGGAAGCCCAGGTTGGTCCAGGACCTCCACCGCAGCAATAGCACTGCGAACCATTTCCGATCATGGCTTCCGACGAGCGCCAGGACTCGGCGCCCGATTTGCGCATCCTGGGTGACAGCGTTACCCTCCAGCCCAGCGGCTATGTCGAACCCGCCTTCACCGGCGAGGATATCGGGGGCGAGGCGCTGATGAAGAACATGGCCCGCTTCCGTTCCGAGCCGTTGCGGTGGGTGGCCCTGTCACGCCAGCACCTTCGGTCCACGCCCCTGACTGACCATTCTCAGCTTTCTCCGCGAAATCTCCCTCTACGTCTCAGGCACGGGCTGGCGCGCATACGACAACGTCATCGGCCAGCCTATCTTCTACAAGGGCTTTACAGACCACATCAAGACCCAGGTCATGTCGGCGACGCTGCTGCAGACCAAGATTTCACAGCTGGCCGAGATGCGCGTCGCGGCCGAGGTGGAAGAGGGCCTGATCAACAAGAACGACAAGGACTTTGCCATCAAGAAAGCGCAGCGCCTGGCTGCGCTCGTCCAGGGGTTGCACGAAGTGGCGGAGAAGCTTACTGATCAGATGATCTGCAAGTTCGAAAGCAAGGCTTTCATCAGGAGCGCCTACTACCTGGTGACGCAGCTCTTGCTGCGAGCGTACCATCAAGGCATTCACGTCTCCAGCGAGGAGGTTCTGCGGCTGCGCAGCGTCGCCGAGGAAGCCGCGAGGAATAAGCAGAGTATTATTTTCCTGCCGTGCCACCGGTCGCACGTCGACTATGTCTCTATGCAGCTGCTGTGTTACAGGCTTGGCCTGGCGCTCCCCGTCGTTGTTGCTGGAGACAACTTAAACTTTCCCCTGGTTGGTAGTTTCTTGCAGCATGCCGGTGAGTCTTTCCGAACAACTATTTGCAGGGTCGCCGCGCTAACACCGCAAAGGAGCCATGTACATCCGCAGATCCTTTGGAGACGACCAGCTTTACACTGCCCTGGTCCAGTCCTACATTGACGTCCTGCTGCAAGGCGGCTACAACCTGGAGTGCTTTATCGAAGGTGGCCGGTCACGGACAGGGAAACTGCTCCCTCCCAAGTTTGGCATATTGAGTTTCGTGCTCGACAGCCTTCTCTCGGGCCGGGTCGAAGACGCCATCGTCTGCCCCGTAAGCACCCAATATGACAAGGTGATCGAAACCGAAGGTTACGTGACCGAGCTGCTAGGCATGCCGAAGAAGCAGGAGAACCTGACCGATTTCCTTACTGGTGGATCGAGTATTCTTTCGCTACGGTTAGGGAGGGTCGACGTGCGATTCCACGAGCCGTGGAGCCTCAGGGCGTTCATCAACCAGCAACTCAGTAAAATATCCCACATCTCGTTCGGGATCAAGGTAGACTGGAAGGATGTCAAAAACCAGGCCATCCGGCAAAAGCTGCTGCGGACGCTGGGCTACAAGGTGCTGGCTGACATCAATGCTGTGTCGGTCGTCATGCCAACAGCGCTGATCGGGACTGTCCTCCTGACACTTCGTGGCCGGGGTGTCGGGAGAAACGAGTTGACCCGCCGCGTTGAGTGGCTTACAAATAGAATTAGGGCGAAAGGAGGGCGCGTCGCGCATTTCGGCAACGCCCCAATATGCGACGTCGTGGAGCGCGGCTTGGAGGTGCTGGGCAAAGACCTCGTGGGCGTCGTCGAAGGGCTCGCCGAGCCGACTTACTACGCCGTCGACCGCTTCCAGTTGTCATTCTATCGGAACATGACCATCCACCTGTTCATTTCGGAGTCACTGGTCGCCGCGGCGCTGTACACGCGAGTCAAGCAGGGTGGTGGGCCGTCCATGCAGGACATGCCGTACCAGGATCTGTACGACCAAGTCTTCTTCCTTTCGTCGCTCTTCCGCGGCGAGTTCATCTACTCGGGCAAGGGGCTCGCCGCCAACCTGGAGAAGACGGTTCTCGAACTGGAGGCGGAAAACGTCATCCTCATTGAGCGCGACGAGGAAGGACGCATCACCAAGATCGGCCTCTCCGGCGCGGAACGGGCCGCAGGACGAGAGAACTTTGACTTTTACTGCTTCTTGATCTGGCCGTTCATCGAGGCAAGCTGGCTGGCCGCCGTCTCGCTGATGGGTTTGACTCCACCACTCGGCCAGGAGAATGACATCTGGATCCAGGTATCCAAAGCGCAGGAGAGCGCACAATTGGTACGCCCACTCATTTCACTCCCTTTTTCCGCCAGCCGCATTCAACCTGACAATTGCTTTTGTTGTGTTGCAACAGCTAGGCAAGACCCTCTACCACCAAGGCGACCTCTCCTACTTCGAAGCCGTCAATAAGGAGACCCTCAAAAACTCGTACCAGCGCTTCGAAGAAGAGGGCATCATCCAGGTGATCCGCTCAAAGGACCCGCGCATCCCGGCGAGGTTACGCATCGCGCCCTACTGGCAGCCCGGGCGGGACGAAAAGACGGGAAGGATCCTCGCGTCGGGGAGATTGTGGGATTTCACGGAAAATATTGCGTCGAGCCGGCGCGAGGGCAAGAATAGGCGCGATGGGGCTACCGTTAGCACGAGGGTGCTTTCGCTGACGGATATGTTGGGGAGGAAGCTGTTTGAGGATGCTGTGAGGGGGGAGCAGGAGGGGGCGAAAGGGGGAAAGAAGGGGAAGGGGGTGCCTACGCCTGCGCGGCTGAGTGATGAGGAGCAGAGGAGTGTGGATCGGACCGAGGTGGAGAGGAGGAGGCGGCGGAGGTTGGAGGAGAGGTCGAAGCTGTGAGGGTGAGGTGCAGTTGGTGCTGTTCTTGTTGATGTTTCCTGTCATGAAACGAGTTGTAATGAGCTTTGGGAAGAGGGGCGGGCTGATGCATGTTTTCGGTTACTGGTGTTGGAAGAGTGGGCGTTTCACGACACGACTAGAATAGATATTGGCGGGAGTCGTTTTATAGGGGCTGTACTCTTGACACCTGTATACAATCGCTACCCACAATATACGGATAGAAGGGTGTTCTGTTGCAATGTACTGTATGTTCACGAGTGCATGTCTCAAGAGAATCCTGTTCGTCATTCGAGCAGAACCCATCTCGTTCTCTTAATGGTCCCTCTAAAACACATCCCACAAACTAACCTTGCCGTCCTTGCTCCCCGCCGCCAACCAATGCGTCGTCCTCGCCTGCCGGATCCTCTTCTCTCTGACACTCATCTCAACCAGTTTGGGGACGACGGTTACATCCTTCCTGGCCTCTTCATCTCCTCCATCCTGCGCACCTCCCTTCTCCGCTTCTACCCTGCTCTTCTCCTCTTGCTCATTTTCTTCCTGCTGTTGTTGTTGCTCTTGCTGTGGCGTTGATTCTGATTCCGAGTCAACATCAACAGCCGCAAACGCAGCCGCGTAGCACCCAGCGATATGCCACTTGAGCACGGCCACCTCGTTGAGCGTCTTGGCAGAGTACACGCGCACCTTGGAGTCCCAGCCGGCGGTAGCGAAGATGCGGCCGTCGAAGCGGATGCGGAGGGATTGCTGTCCGGCGTGTTTGGTGTTGACTGTTTTGAGGGGTTGGTGTTGGATGGTTTCGGCGGAGTTGGGTGTTAGTGGTACTGGCGGTGATGAAGGACTGGTGGTTACGCGGGAGAGCGCTGCGGTGAGGAGGGACTTTTGGGGGTCTGCTTCTGGAGGGGAAGGATTGTAGATTGATGGTGAGGTGGGCGACTGGGAGATCTGTGAGGATCGAGATGGAGGCGAGACGAGGGGAAGAGGGTGCTTGGAGATGACTGCGTCAGCGCTGGAGGTGAGGAAGAAGTTTTTTGGTGGGGAGACGTCGAGCGAGAGGATCGGCTGGGAGTGGCACTTGGCCTGGTATTTGATGACCCAGACGCCGTGGCTGCCGAGCTGGGCGACCGTTGCCACGCCGTTTTCGTAGCCGGCGACGAGCGTCAGGGTACCGGCTTGGTGGAAGAGGGACAGGGCCATGACCATGCCATTTTTTTCGCCGAGTTTTACCGTGTGCTGCCGGGTTTGAGTGGGCAGGTGGAAGATGTCGATCTGGCTATGGGGTCAGCTTTGCTACGAGTTCAGCAGCCGACTGAAAGACTCACAGCCTCAGACGCTAGAGTGTTTGGCACTGCAACCAAAATCTCGGACGATGCCGGGCTTGACTCCGGGCAAGCTGGACAGTGAGAGAAAGAGCAAAAATTCATGGTGTTGACCTCAAGCATGTACAGCATCCAAGGCTGTGGCCGCGTCTCCGAGGAGGGGTCCAGAGGAAGCTTGGTGCTTAGCCGGGCCTCGTCCTCTGGGGCCAATTTCCACACGATGAGTTTGTTGTCTCGTCCGTGCCTGGCCAAGTCTAGGTCTTAGTTTCTTTTCTCGGCCGAATGCGGGAAAGGCACCAGTATCAACCTACGTGATGATGCGGTAGTGGTCCCAAGCGGCGATGCCCAGGATGGCGTTTCCGTGAGCCTGCCAGACTGCCCGGGGCCGCATTGTTGTGAGATCCCATGCAACAACAAAGCCATCTGCGTCTCCTGTCAACAGGCGATCGTTGCCCCTGACGAAGACAGCGGCATGCACCTGCGCCTTGTGGCCGCGCAGGATCGCCTTGGGCTGCGCGGGTCGCGCGTCGGCCGCCATTCTGTATGATGACAATGGAAATGGCGGAGAGCGTCGGGCAATCTATACAGTAAACTTGAAGATGCAATTGTGATGATATATGAGAGTTAGGGTTAGGGTGGTGGTCTTGGACAAGTACGGATTACATGTTTGCAGTTTTCAATTTGGCACTTGCCATTTCCGTCCGTCACTGAACAAAAAAACGCTAGTTAAATGTGCCTCCATACAATAACTATTGAATAGCACTAACTATCCCGGAATCCTTATTGTCCCTTCATACTTTGGTGTTATAGTGCGATAAACCCAACACGTCCGTCATCTAGGTCTGCTTGCTTGCAGTACCCCTGAGCCACCCAGTTCTTTGATCCTGCATTTTCGATAGCAGCTCCCAAGCACAAGATCGACAATGGCAGTGGGTAGAAGCCCAACCGCGGTGTGAATAAGGGACCTATACGCTCTTCGCCCGTCAGGTATGGGTGGAGGCGCACCCAGGAGACGCCGACGACAATGCGTGTGCCAATGACGACCAAAATCAGGTATGGGCTGCCCGAGACGTGCGGCCAGACGAACATTCGAAGAACGGCGTTCAGTACCAAAGTCGACAGGAAGTAGCACCAGGATGCGAGTCGGCGCTCGAGTGAGGTGCAGCTGGCGAGCCGAGTGGCGGCGCGAACATTGGCGTTGGTTTTTTGGTCATCCATGTTTTCGGTGTGGACTCGTTCGTGAAAGTAGATTAAAACTGGTCAAGATAATGATGAGAGGGAGGAGAGAAGCGCCGCCTAAATCGGGGCACATCAACCTGGAACTTAGCAATTACCCCTGACTGTCCTTGGTATGTAGATCAGGGTTGTGCACGTGCATGTAGCCAATTGCAACTGCAGCCTGGGATAGGTACTCATTCACTGTGTACCTACTTGTGCGGTGGTTGTCCACCTCGGGCGCTCTCCCTTCGTGACGGCCTCGCGAGATGCGGCCTGCGGCGTCCAAGGGCCAACCATTGGGTGTCGCCTGCACGTCAATGTACCTAACTGAGCACCGCCACCGTATCCATACTGCCAGTTTAACTGCTTACCAAAAGGCCGTGCAGGGCAAGGCAAAGTAGAAAGCAACCCCTTTGGAGGAGGTCCTTCCAAGTTCTTTGCGAAAATCAAGCGCTAGTTCTGCTTTTTTCCTTCCTTCGATTGTTCCTACAGTCTACTGAGACAAGGGACCACCATAGCGCTCTGCCATCTTGATCCTCAATTGAGTTGACTCCGTCTCTTTCGTCATGGCTGAAACTCTCGGGGCCGTGTCAGCTTGCGTCGGCATCGCCGCCTTTGTTCTGCAGGTTACCTGCAGGATGGAAGATTTGAAAACCCTCCTACTCAAGGACATTCCTGCCGAGGTTGCGGATCAGCTGGGTCCGCTCTCTGAACGGCTCGAGTTGTTTCAAGCGCATTTGGAAAGGCTGCGGTCCGAGTCACTCGAGGGTGATCCCGCGGTCAAGTTCGCCGTCCAGCAATCGTCGAGCCGCTTCCACAAGGTGGAGGATGCCGTACAGCAGCTCCAGCGCAAGTATCTTCCGGAAGGCCACGCACTGTCCGGTCGTCTCGACAAACTGAAGCTTAAAGTTACTCGCAAAGACATTCTGGAACAAATCAAAACCGCCAAAGATAGCATCATGGAAATGATTCACGACATCAATCTGCAGGTTTCATGCTTGAACTCTGCAAAGTTAAAACATTTTCTGACAATGTATTCTACTCAGAGCGTGTTCGGTCTCAACCCACTTTCTACTACGACAACATGTTCGGATGTCAGAGGCAATTATCGTTGCCCATCGCAGGGACGCTTCTTCTGGGGAACTCGGTGGCCCGGCGATGGTCCACAAGTCCGCCATCTCTCTTGAACGCGCCATAACGGAGACGACATCGGTTCCAGAACGACAGACTCGGAGGATATCGAGAGCGAAGAAACACCAGCACTGCGGTCCACGACATTGCGACTGCTTGTGCCACCTGACGGCAAAGACGTCTGGACGTGTCTGGGGCTTGGAGTACACGCCCCTTTCGATCTTTCTGAAGAAGCCCGTGACCAGAAAATGTTGTTCGAGCCAGTTCTGCCTGAACCTCCGGCTTGCGCTCTCGAGCTACGGCATCCCACTAGCCATCATTGCCGGGCTGAACATAACGGCAGATGCAATGGGGCACACGATTCGACCAGTTCTCAAGACGGAGAGAATCGTGAAGTATACGTCCCCTGGCTTTGAGACTCTTGTCCGGTCCGCGCGCGGCGACATCTCACTTGCACAGGCCCAAGCCAAATTTTTTGAACTGTATCGGTCGGATCCTACCTTCAAATATCATCGAGATCCGTCTGGACAAAGCTACGTACAGGTAATGCCTTATCCTCTCAGAGCGTACATGCTGAGAAGTGTAAGGAACTTAAGATTTTACTAGCACCTTTTGAAATACCCCTGGGGCTGTCGCAGTAGGGACCAGTTGAAGTTGCTCCGGATGTTTGTGGACGAGTTTGACATGAGTCTTGAGGACCAGGACTGCGGGTCAGTTCCCTCGCTCACCATCGTACTTGATTCAGGCATTGAGTCCTAACGGATCGCGCTCGCAGCTTCCTCGCCAAGTGCGCAGGTTGGATCGGAGAAGGACCGCACCTTGACCTTCTTGATGCTATTCTGGATTGTGGCTTTGATCCAACTGCCATCAATTCACCACGCTGGGAACAGTGGCCACAATCCTGCTCGCCTAACTGGATTGCTGGAGAACATACACCCGATCCTTTTTTTGTCGAGTACCTCGCTACACTCGTGAGGGAAGGACCCAGTAAGTATCTACCCGAGCTAACACTGAACTGGACGCTGACAATCCGATGAATGACTGACCACTGTATTCTAGCCTTCGCCGGCTCGTCAACACTCTGTAGCGTGGTTCTCACTGGTTCAGACAACGACGTCGAGGCTTGGTTGTCGAGAAGCCAGCCAAGCAGCCAGCAGTTGGTGGAGAGCACGACCTTCCTCGGGCAGAGCCCCTTACATCTGGCTGTTACGAAGCCAAGCGTCTGTCGCATTCTCTTGGACGCTGGCCATGCTTTGGACGTCACCGACAATTGGGGAGCAACTCCGCTCATGTATGCCGCCGCCATGGGCGAGAAGGAGACTGTTGCTCTGTTACTATCCAACCGCGCAAACCCGATCATCCGACAGAGGGACCCAAGGAGGCATCGATATGACGACCGGGAAGGCGGCAGGACCTTTTTCCATTACGCAATTGCTCGAGGCCACCTCGATCTCGTCATCGACGCACTAGGGACAATAGAGGAGACATATATTAATGGCGTCGAAGTTCGTCAGGCGTGTGCCCAGGTGGCCATTATCAGCACGATATCCTGTGATCGACCTCCGTGGGACCACAGGGCTGATTTCTTCGTGGAGTTGGTGAAGAACTTGCACGCGGCCGACGTCAACATGTCCCTCACGGACAGCTTCCAGGGTGTGAACGACAACAACCTCATGCATTACGTGGAGTCTATGGAAGAGGCATCGGCTCTCGTACGGTGCGGCTTCAACCGATTCAACGACCGGAACAGCGATGGCAAGCAGGCCATTCACTCACTGCTGGCTCGGTGCCGCGGTCCCGCACTGATCAAATTTTGCATTGACAACGGCACGGACATCGGGAACAAGGACAACCAAGATCGAACGATTCTGTTCGACTTGTTTTCTAGCTTGGAGTCATTTGACGATTGGAAAGCATGGGAAAAGCTTGACGCAATCAAGCTCTGTCTCGAGGCCGGGATTGATATCTTTGACGGGGACAACTGCAAATGCCCATGCTCGCCAGACGGCTGTACCATATCTTGCATCTTCATGACCGATTTCTCTTCGTCGACATACTTCGGGCCGGGGCTTCTCTGGTCTCTCGAATGGGTGACACTGGTCGAGGAACATTGCGGCGTCGAGGCAGCAAGACGAGTACTGCTTTCGCTGCTTCGCCGGATCAAGTGCGACGAACCCGATATCGAAATCAACCACGTGTGCTGTCACCGGGGTCGCGCAATCGCCACGCGCAGGCGTCGAATGTATCAGGCTCAACCACGGCCACTGGCGGACGACGACATTGTCGAGATTCTCGACGAAGAAAGTGGCTTCATCGATCTCCTGAACATCGAGATGGAGCAATTGGCTTCGGATAGCATCCAGTTACTGAAATCGAGATGGATGGCGGTTATCAAGGCCACGTACGACGCTCATGTTCAAAACGTCAACAAAGCGAAGGCTGAGTACAAGCCACCACTTTCCAAGGAATCCGTGAGTATAACCTTTGAGACCGTGGCACGGAAACATATCAGATGATGTTTCAAAACTAACGAAAGCGCAGCGGCTGAACCTTTTTCAAGTCGATTACAAGAATGACACCTACCAAACCGTTTTGTATTATTATCAAGAGCCCAGAGCATATCCCATGACAAAAGCAGTGTGCTCATACAAATTTTGGTTGCAACACGAGCACACGAGGCCTGACGACTACCCGTTCCGCAAAATTCGAAGGAGCAGGTGGTTCGAGAGGCGTGCCGCTTTGGTCAAGGAGTTCATCGATATAATGGAAATTCCGGTCGATGAACTCAACGCAGAGATGGCACGGCTTGAGAAAGAAAACTTGGCGCGAGGCACAATCGTGAAAGTACAGTAGGTAGGCTTGGAACTTTTGAGACTGGTTGTAGGAGACATCTGAGAGAGGGACTGAGACACTGAGAGTTGCCTAGCAAATTACTTCCTTCGTTCGATACTTGTCTCTTTCATTTGTGAGCACAAGGCGCCCTCGCTTACCTCGAGAGCCTAGCCACACAAAGAAGTTCATCTCATTCCCACAGAGGCTTTTCCCGAGCACTCGGCTCTTGTGTCCTCAGCAGCTCAACACAACCTCCCTACTTCTTTGAGTTCTAATCTGGAGCAATGCATTCAGGTTGGCTTTGGGCATCTGCAGCATTGGCGACGCTGGCGACCGCGGTAGAGGTGGCCACGAGACCGCGACAGTTTGAAGTCGACATCGTCTTCCCCCACAACGAGACGTACAAGCCAGCTGTCACCATGCCCATTGTCCTGGCCATTCAAAACGCCAGTGTCGCGGCGTCGCTTAGGGACTTCACGTATTCTGGTGTATCTGGCAACTCCCGGGCGGGCAGTTCTACTCCACCTCGTTAGACGACACTGTGGATTATGGAAACATCTATGTCTCTAGCAATGAAACGTCGGCCATAGTGGAAGATGGCGAACCCCAACTCCTCAGCAACGGGACGTCGGCGGACACGATACTGTCCCTCGTCGGCTTCACCGATGTCACCAGGTGGATCCGGTACGGATGGTTAATCCCACCAGCCACCGAGTACACACCAGCCGTCGACGGCAAGTACCTGCTGCAGTGGAGCATTCCTTGGCTGGATCTGCCCCCGACCTGCGAGAAATTCGACCACATGGTCGTTGCCTATCTGCCAGCCGAAGGGGCTCTGACCTTCAAGACCAGACAGTGTGGGGGAAAGAAGGGGGCAATGGCTGGCAGGTCGAGATCCACGACGTGCAGGAGGCCATTCCCGAGTGCCCGGAAGTTGGAGGGCTCGTCCAAATCCGACGCCCGCCGAACGCGACGAACTCGGCATGCCCTCCAACTTCTGAGATCCTCGGGAGCAGGCAAGGCAGGCCCTGCGCCATCAAGGTTGACGAGGCTGCGGCAAGCAGCATCTCAAGCCCCGTCTCAAGCTCCGTCTCGAGTTCCACTTCAGAGTACCATCTGACCCAACAACTTCCAAGCCATCACCGTGGCCGAGGCGTTTTCGAACAAGCAAGGCCGGCGTGGGTCCCGCTCGGACGGTGCAGACGGCGCTGGCGGTAGCTTGCGAGGTCTGCGGCCTGGCATTGTGATGGGATTGGGAAAGGACTGGCTACCTTAGAGGAAACAGAGAGGCGAGACGCTAGGTCGGGAGAGACAGCGGCAGTAGGTAGTCAATCCGGCTTTGTCTATCTTATCTGGTAATACCTAATCCATAATACCTGTATTAAGCTATTGGCATGGTGTGTAACTAACCGACGGAATGGAAACGTGCCAAGAACTCCCTCCTGCCCGCCAAGACCCCTCCGTTCAACTGGGACCCCTTTGCCGCATATCACCACCGATTCAGCACTGGGCCCTCCCTGTCCCGTTTCACCTTTCATCAACTGAACCTGAACCTGCAGTGATGAACCTGTAACACGGCATCGCCAAACACTTTGAGCAGTGTGAGGGGACGCGGGCTCAGCCGTCTGCAATCCACTATTTTGGGTTCATACATTGATAGTGCAAGATTTAGCGATGCCAGAACCCCACCCGACGTCCTGATGGCTGTGCATGTCGACCACCGTTTGAAACAGCCTAGGCGCAACAATCACCAGACAGCAGAATTACCTTCTTCTGCCGCCTGCTCGAGCACCAAACCCAATGGCGTGCCACCAGGACATAGGGTCGGATACCTGCAGTGTCATCTCGACCCCAGACCCATGGGCCGCGTCCAAAGTGAGGTTGTGGAATCTGTGCGCTCCCCTCGAGTCCTCTGAAGCACCCAGCAGCACTCGAGGCCTTCGGCTCGGGTCACCCGACGCCTTTTGTGTTTCTAGCCTGTTCCTTGGTTCTTGTTGACACCAACTGGCTGCCTCTTTGCGCAGACGCTCCCGTGACCATGGATTCTGCTCGTCAACGTCGCCCGACTTCTCGGCCACGGAATCCCTCGTGTGCTAGATCGCAGCCAACAGCTCCAAGGACTTGGGATGAGGCGCCAGTCACGGTAACGATCCCGTCGTATTCGAACAGACGTCACATCACCGCCGCCCGGGATGCCGCCTCAAGGATGACACCGCAAGGCACATGTACACCCGGTGCTTCTTTCAGCGGCAGCAGTCGGCTCCGGGCGCCAGATTCTCAGGCTACGGCCCCACCAGCGGCAGCCATGGAGGCGGTTGCTAGCAGCGACCGTGGTAAAGGAGCCAGGGCAGCTCCGTCGCCAAGTCCCGTCGCGGGCAAGTCTAAGCGAGTCCGCACGGGGTGCCTGACCTGCCGTGAACGTCATCTCAAATGCGACGAGGGAGCGCCCGAGTGCAGCAAATGCCGGAGGAGCAATCGCGAGTGCAGACGTGGGATACGACTGAACTTCATCGACATCCAGGTCAGGGGCTCGCCTTGCCTACCTTCAACGGCTGACTGGTCAGGTTCGTTGCCTATGTCATCTTGCTCGCCCACGCTCTCGCTTCCTCTTGAACATGGGCAGTTGGTCTCTGCTGATACGGGATGCGCTGACCTGCCTCTATCTCAGTCCACATCCTGGACGAGTCGCGGGTTATTGCCTCCGAGTACCAAGGGGGACTCGGCCGCTACCCCAGCGTCACCGTGTCGCCCGAGGCGCACTCGGAAGTAGGAGGCTTTCGGCACACTGCGCCACCAGACTCCAAAGCAACCACTGCCCTCCCATCGGAGGTCAACGGCAGTGGAGATCCGCCAGGTGGCTTGTATCATCCCAGCCATGTCGGACACCCTCCACTTCTTGCGGCGGTAGCCTTTGCGGACGGCAGATCGCTCCGGACGGCAAGCATTCGGGGTTTATCCGTGACTGCTCAAGCTGCACCTGGGTCGCCGTTGGGCGTTACCGAGTCTGCCGGACACTCTAGGTCGGGTCCTCTCAACGCCAGGAATCCCGATGATCTGGGAGCCGCTTCACCTCCTGCCCAGAATGCCGCGTCGCCAGCCCCGAACTTCCACGCCAGCGGTTCGCATGACACCAGCCAGCACTTCGCTACCACAGCCAGCCTCATGACGCCACCAAGCGAAGACAGCACCAGTGAACGGGACTACCTCAACACCGACGAAGAGATTCACTTTATGCAAGTTTTTGTCAACGAAGTTGCCATCTGGATGGACGCTTTGGACAAGGACAAGCACTTTACCAACGTGGTGCCATATCTGGCCCTCAAGCTGCCCATGCTGCTCAATGCGCTTTTGGCATGCGGCGCTAGACACCTAACGCTGACAGGAGGACATGACGGCGGAAAGGCAGAGTACTACTACGGCATCGCCGCAGCACAGCTGTCACGCAGCCAGCAGGAAAGGGATTGCAACCTCCCCCAGTGCACCCTGACGGCCGTTGTCCTCAACGCGTACGATGTCATGAGCGAGCCCACCCAGCGGACAGGTCGCATTGCTCCTGCCCGCGCGCTTGTCCGCGACTGTGGCTGGGACGCATCATCGGCCGGTCTCGGGGCAGCTTGTTTCTGGCTCAATGCTGGCATGGACGTACTCGCCTGCCTCTCCTTCGGCTGGCCGACGGCGTGGGACCCGGATGAATGGGGACTCGACCTGGACTTCGCTAACATGGGAGCTGTCAGCCGAAGTTGCAGCCGCAACGTGGCCGGAAGCGAAGATATTTGGAGTGTCCGGACCGAGGGCCAGAGACCTCCACCCGCCATGAACGGCACATCTGAATTTGGTGACGAGGAGCTCTGGGTGCACCGCATCTTTTATATCCTGGCCAAGGTCGCCAACTTCCGCGTAAACACTCCCAGGTTCCAAGAGCCCTCGCCCCACGACGAGCAGGTCCGGCTTCAGAACCGATTCGCCGAGTGGAGACGGCTCCAAAACATGTGCAACGCCTGGAATCTCAACTGCCCCCGCTCGATGCGGCCGTACGGCTACTCCCCGGGCCCCTCGTCCAAGTCCCTGTTTCCCAACGTGTGGTACGTCTCAAGTCAAGCCTACCTTACCTTCCCATTTTCACCTTTTCCATCCTACATTCACGGCCACTGACGGTTTTGATCCCTACTAGGCTCATAAAACCCTCCGCCAAACTAGGCCGCCTCTTTTACCACACAGCCATGTGCCTGCTGGTGGAAACCAACCCGATCAACCACCACCACCACACGCGCAACAATAACAACAACTACAACGGCAGCACCCGCGAAACAACGACGCTCGGTGGCTCTGCTTCTTCTTCTTCTTCCGCGGGACTGCACCACGCCCACCACGTCTGTGGCATCGTCGCCCACAGCAACAGCACGCGCGACGACCGCGGCGTGGTGTTGGTTGCCGTCCTCCGCAGCTCACTCTTGACTGTCGTCGCCGGGCCCGCGCTGGTGGACCGCCGCGAGGAGCAGGACGAGGTGCTGTGTGTGCTGGAGCGGATTGGGCGGGAGAATGGGTGGCGGTCGGGTGTAGGGAGGGTTGTGGAGGAGTTGATGGGTGTGTGGAGACGGGCGGATGGTGATGGTAGAGATGGTGGTGTTGGGCATGTGGATGGGAATGGGAATGTCAATGGCGAGAGGGCGGTGAGTGAAGGGTAGGGGGAGGGAATGCGCAGGACGGTGATGATGTCTGTTGCTGGAGAATTGGTTGGGATACCTGTGCCTGCGGGGAGTGGTGTGTGGAATGGACGGGAGAGGGCTGGCGGGTGAGTAATGGTTGGGGTTGGATATAATGTCACTGGTCCCAGGGACATATTGCGCTGAACTTGCTGGCTCGTGTCGAGATTTGAACGGCAGCGGCGCCTGTATTGCCACGCAGGCTCGTGACACTGTAGCATTCGATGATGCCGCGGGCTGGGCACCACTTTTATGAGGGGTAGCAGCCTCTCTGTCGCCGAACTTGTTCCTATGAGTTCTTACCGCGCACATTCTGAACGAACTGCGACAGAAAAGACGGATCTTCACTCCCTGACGGGCATCGTGGTATTCACCCGCAGTACCATAGGTGCTATGTCCTGGGGCTAGCATTGAAACCCGAGCTCAAGGTTGCCACCGAGTGAGGGGCCTGAGAATCACTGCCTCGGTTTGTGAGGTAGGGGCACAAGCACTAGAGTTATGCCACGAAATGTCTATATAAGCTCTATTTGCACTTGCTCTATAACCCCCCGAAAGATCAACAACCTCTATGTCAAAGTCTAGCGCCTCTATGCTGGCTGTGGGTGCCGCTCTTGTTGGATGGCGAGCACGAATCATAACATTAACTCAACTCCCTTGTCCGTCACCGCAATCTCCGGTACTTTTGTTGAATAAAAGGAGACAGATGATCATCCATCACAATCTCCAGGCCATGTCGACGCCCCTGCCTCAAAATAGCAACCCGAACATCTCTATTCCCTCTTTCATGCAAGCTTGCATGATGCCATCCCGCCAATGCAAACCTAACATGACCCATTCTCCATCTTCGCCCAAATCATCGTCGAGGGAACCCCGCGCTCCCGTTAACCCCCTCCAGTGCCTACGCAGTCTCAACAACCTGCACCACTTCCCCCTCGTCCACCTTCCCGCCCTCCATCATCCCCTGTTCTTTCTCCACCTCAAGAGGCGGCACCACAATCCCGTACCGCTCATACGGAAAATCCACCAACGTAGGCAGGTACTCTGCCCACCCGTCATCCACCTCACCGACCTGATGCAGATCCACATCGCCCGCCTCCCCCGTCCGGCCTGCGAGCACCTCGGCTTCGCGCCCGGCATACTCCTTTTTCAGCATCGGGTGCGGACACCAGATGACGCGCATACCCGCCCTCCGCCCGGCCTCGACGCCGGGTACGCTGTCCTCAAACACCAAACATTCATCAGGGGTGATGGGCTTCTCGTTGGGCGGCAGGGAGTCGTTGATGGTTTGCAGCGCGAGCAGGAAGATATCGGGTAGGGGTTTGCCGCGGCCGGGAGCGATGCGCGGGTCGTCACCGAGGACGCGGCGCGTTGTAGGGAAGACGGAGAAGAGTTCTGAGAGATGGGATGTCTTGAGGCGGAAGTTGGCTTCGTGGGATGAGGTGGCTAGGGCGATGTGCACGCGGTGCGGGACCTGCCCGTTGCTGGCGGGTTGGTTTTGCTCCTCCTTCTGGAGGTCCCAGTAGCGGGTGCGGCCGAGATTGGAGAGGAGCTCTGGCACGCCCGGGAGAGGCTGGGTGGTGGTGAAGTGCTGGGCCTGCAGGGCGTAGAGCTGCTTGATGTACTCCTCTTGGGTGATGGGCAGCTGGGCCCAATCGTGGAAGAGCTTGTTGGCGACGGGGCCGGGGCGGCCTTGTAGTTTGGCTTTGATGCTCCACGGCAGCTGGGGGCGCTGGTACTTTTCTAGGATCAGGTTGATGCAGAGCGTGTAGAGATCCTCGGTGTCGAGAAGCAACCCATCCATGTCGAACAGACAGGCGCGGACGGGCGGGAAACTACTAAAAGTGTTAGTGTGTGTTAGAGTATGACGTGGACGGGCAGCACATACTCGGTCTTGGGAGCCATGGTGACGATACCCTCAAGGTACAATTACATGGACGGCGCTTTCGTCCACTCGGGATGGTTCGAGGAAAGTGAGAGGGAGATATGACAGATGAAACAGTCGCAGAGTTGAGGTGAGAGAGAGAAGGTAAGACAACAACGGATCGTTCCCCCTGTCTGCTGCGGGGCACCTCGCCCGGCCTGATTTCGGAGGCTGACTTTCTCAAGATAGACAGGTCGACGTGAGAACTGACAAGAGCCCTCCTGGTTCAGCTAAGTACGCCAGATCATACACAGATGACGCGAGCTTTCCCACTCTTATTAAACCGGTTTCACTCGAGCCGTTCCCGTTGACGTGATGCGAGTAGCCGAGGGAACTGCGAGATAATCGGACGAGATGTTGATTGTTTGCCATGTCAGGGGTTCAAGGCCGACCAAAACGGCGAAACCCACCCCGGCCCGTTTCATGAAGTTGAATGCCGCCGCGAGTGGAACCATGCAAGAGCCTAACGTTACTTAACGAGTTAGCGCATGTGAAAACGGAGATAAGGAATCAATGCCGCGAACCCTCGCGTGGCACCGCGACTTCATCCATTAGATCCGAGTCTAGCCGGTGCTTTATCTCGCTTCTCACTCCAGCCGTTCGATCGAGGCCTGACCAGGACAGTTGACAATGGCAATCGGCGATGACAAGGCGCCAGCTCAGGCTGTAAAGCCTGATCTCCCAAATCAGGAAGATGACGATGACGACCACGACGAACGGTTCTCACCCGAGGAAGAGGCGGCAAGTACCAGCACCCCCAGGCATACCCTTCCAAGCGCATTCAATAACCGTCTGACCCGTAACAGTCCCTGGTAGCCGAGTCTAACTCGCACAAGGCCGAGGCCAATGCTCTCTTCGCGTCGGCCAAGTACGAGATTGCCATCAACAAGTATGACGAGGCCGTGGCTGTGTGTCCCGACTACCTGGACTACGAGCTGGCTGTGCTCCGGTCCAACATCGCCGCTTGTCACTTGAAGCTGGAAGAATGGAAGGAAGCCATCAGCAATGCCACCACCGCGCTGGACGGCCTCGATCGGCTGGAGCAGCGGGGGAACGAGAAGGCCAAGACCGAAGCAGAACAAGTTAGAGTCGAAGAGGCTGACGACGCTGAAGCCGAGATAATCAGCGCCGGCGCCACCAAAGCCGGCCCGGCCCTGTCTATGAGCCCAGAGCATGACGCGATTGAAGCTGCCCGCCGGAAACGCCAGGACGACATCGCCCGGATACGCGCCAAGGCGCTGATGAGACGAGCGCGCGCCCGAAGCGAGCTGGGTGGGTGGTCGAACCTGGAGGGCGCCATTGAAGACTACAAGCGGCTGTCGGGCATGGCCAACCTGACGGCGGCCGACAAGAAGATTGTGCAGGCGCAGCTCCGGGCGCTGTCGCCGCGCGCCAAAGCCGCCCAGGAGAAGGAGACGGCCGAGATGTGGGCGAAGCTAAAAGACCTGGGCAACGGCCTGCTAAAGCCGTTTGGGCTGAGTACGGACAATTTCAAGATGGTCAAGGACGAGAAGACGGGGGGTTACAGTATGAGCTTCCAGGGTGGGGGGGAAACAAGACGTGAGCACCAGGCGTGAGCTCACTTCAGAAAGTGAACCCTTGGATCGAACCGTCGGACGAAATGTGAAGGCTTTCTTCTCGTCTTTGCAATCGAGGTCCGGTGTGTATGGTATGCTGCTCCAAGCGGCTCAACGAGCAGAGGGACGGTTCAAACCAAGTACTGTTTCGATTCCCCGGCCGTCCAGTTCCGGTAGCGGCGGCCAAGAACGCTAAAAACCAAACCCGAGGCAGCATGTACACGGAATCTGACTGCGACAACGCCAAGTTTCATCTATGAAGGGGACTTCGGAAAATCGAGAAGAGCAGTCATGAGATGCCCTGATGGCTGATTGCCCAGCTATGAAACGTGTTCAGGTTGGCATGGTCCCAACGTGGCAACACATGGTGCATATCCATGACAGTTCAATGCTGAAGCTCCAATGAACGTCGGCTAGGTCATCATATGCCTCGAATGTCGGTAATACCTTTGAAACATAAGCCGAATTCAAGTCGATGTCATGTTGCGAGGCAGTGATGAAGGAAGGAACCTGAACGGAGATCTTCAACCTCCGACAAACTTGCCAAGGCTACGGAGGACAGGGCCAAGCTCTAATGTGGGTCTCGAACGCCACCCAAGACGCGATAAGCTGGGCTTATCAAGCAACGCGGGGCAATGAATTCACAAAATTCTTGGGTCAAGTCGCCCCTCTGGACCAGCTCCAGACATTAACACCAAGCAGTCTTCAAGCACCGACTTGTGTTGCTTTTTTCTCTTCACAACCACCCTTCGAGTTCGACGATCCGTCTGTATTTGATACCTAGACCCACCAGCGGAATCACAGCAGAACAACCCGGAGTACAGCCGTGATGGATATCGATAGTCCCATGGGCATGGCCCCGATGGCTGGCGGCACTGCGCGGACGGGCGCAACCATCCTCTGCTGCAACTGCGGCGTGCCCATCGATGGCACTGCTTCTGCCGGTGCGCTCTGCTACGACTGCATCAAGTCCACCGTCGACATATCACAAGGCATACAACGCGAGGGCACTCTACACTTCTGCCGAGACTGCGACCGATGGCTGATGCCGCCCGCGAGCTGGGTGACGGCCGCCCCCGAGTCACGAGAGCTGCTGTCGCTCTGCCTCAAGCGGCTACGGAACCTGGGCAAAGTCCGGATTATCGACGCCCGCTTTGTCTGGACAGAACCACATTCTCGTCGCATCAAAGTTAAGATTACCATCCAAGACGCGGTCGCCGACGGTGTCTTGTTGCAGCAGAGCTTCGAAGTCGTCTACATTGTCGCCTACCAACAATGCAAAGAGTGCGCAAAGTCGTACACAGCCAATGTGTGGCGTGCTGCCGTGCAGGTGCGGCAGAAGGTGACCCATAAGAGGACGTTCCTGCTACTGGAACAATTGATCCTCAAGCACCAGGCACACAAGGACACAATAAACATCAAGGAAGAGAAGGACGGCATTGACTTCTTCTTCGCTCAACGAAACCAAGCCGAAGCCTTCATTCACTTCCTCAAATCGGTTGTCCCAATTCATACGAAGGAGTCGAGGCACCTCATTTCTGCAGATACCCACACAGGCAACAAATCGTACAAATTCAACTATTCAGCAGAGCTTGTCCCGGTCTGCCGGGACGACCTCGTGGCACTGCCCCTGAAACTGGCAAAGGCGCTCGGCAACATCAGCCCTCTCGTGCTTTGCTACAGGATAGGGACATCCGTCAACCTCCTCGACCCAAACACACTCCAGACAGCCGAACTCAGCGCCGACGCCTACTGGCGGGCGCCCTTCCACCCGCTGGCTGGCGCCACCGACATGGTCGAGTTCGTCGTGATGGATATTGAGCCGACAGGCTTGCGCAAAGGGAAGTGGGTGCTCGGTGAGGCCATCGTCGCCCGGGCATCCGACCTCGGCGTCAACGACAACACCTACTTTGCTCGCACACACCTTGGCACACTGCTGAAGCCGGGGGACTCGGTCATGGGGTACATGCTGTCAGGCACCAATTTCAACTCGGACGCGCTCGACGCCATCGAGAACTCGCGCGCGTACGGGTCGACGATCCCGGACGTGGTGCTGGTTAAGAAGCACTACCCTAACCGGCGCAAGAACAAGCGGCGCAATTGGAAGCTCAAGCGCATGGCCAAGGACGAAGGGGAGCTGTTGCCCAAGGCAGCTGACCAGGCCCGCATGGAGGCCGAGTACGAGATGTTTTTGCGGGATGTGGAGGAGGATGAAGAGCTGAGGGCTGCGCTGGCGCTGTACAAGAACCCGAAGAAGAAGAAGGCGCCGCAGGATGCCGATGCCATGAGCATTGCTGAGACGGAGATGACGGGGGTTGAGGAAGAGGATGGGCCTAAGATTAGTATGGATGAGTTGCTGGATGACTTTGAGGAGCTGGAGATTAAGGACGGCGAGCAGTAGTGGAGCGCATGCTTTGTAGGGATTTTGTGAGGTGGAATGCCCGGTTTCCGAAGGAGAAGAATCTTACTTGGGCCAACTATTCAATGGATCGTTCATATCTGTGTATGGGTTGACGTGCTATGTGATTCAAATATCGAAAGTTCCTGAATACAAGGTACGCTCCTGACTTCAGTAAGAATCGGGAATTTGTTAAGCATTCCTAACGATACTTCACCCAGAATCAGGACGCGAGCACCGCATCCCGTAGCCCCTACATAGGAGGTTGCCTCGCTACAAAGGCTCACACCTCGACTTTTGGACCCTCACCCGACCAGCGGACGCTCGCAATCTCGTCATCAACCCCGTAATCATCTTCCCCTGGAACGGATCCCGCGAGACACTCGATAGTTTCACTGATTGATTCCCGTCCCGAAGACTCGCCCAGCCAAAGTATACTTCGTCTCTCTTGAGCCAGCCTCATCATGCCCGTCGTGATGCTGTCATGTACTTCATTGACCTCGGTGAGCGTAGCTGCGTCTGAGCCTGGCAATCGAATCTGATATCTAAAGCGGCCTCCGTTGGACTGGAGATACCGGCGGCCGGGAGGATGTAGTTTGGTTGAGGTGGCGAGGGGACTTGAGAGTGGGGTGGTGCGTCTGATGAAGCTGTAGGTGGGAATGCGGAGGTGTATGGAGTTGGAGGGGATGTGCCGGCCATGTTTGGGGGGGTGTGGACGTGAGAAGGAGTTTGTAAAGGGCTGGAACCGGGCCGGGGCCTGGGGCTGGGGCTTGTAGAGGAGCTCATTGAGTTGCGGAGGGGAGAAGGGACGGGAGTACTCGGGGTGCTCGTGCTTCGTTTCCTCGTGGCTCTGCTTCTATTGAGCGTGAAAGTGGTGTTGAGGTTGTCGCTGGGGTTGGTGGTCGGGCGCGTGCGGGTTTGGTTTGCCTTGGAATGCTTGCTTTGAGTGGGCATAGGGGGGAGGCGGCTCAGTGCACGTCTAAGCACGGGATGGCGGGGAAGGTCGACAGCGGCGGGTGGGAATGAGCTGGGTTTGCATGCGGTGAGAGTAGGTCTTCGCTGATGGGAGACGGTGGGTCGAGGAGGCAAGCAAGGCTCCTTATTCCTGGGCAGACGACGAGACTGGGGTGGAGGAGCTGAAGTCCTGGCTTGACCCAGCATTGAGCTGTCCGTCGTGTTGTCGTCCTCGGCGGACTCGAGCACGGGGATGATGCCCGGGAAGCGGCAGTTCTCATTCAGGACGACCTTGGGGTTGCCTCTCGGTATTTCCTTGATTTCAAGGACCTCGTGGTAGAAGCCACGCGAATGCCTAATGCATGTACCCTGGAAGTTCGCTTGGTCGCCGAGGTCTTCAGTCTGTGTCTGTGCATCGCGTGCGGTGGAGGGTGTCGACGGAAGGGGCTTGTTCGTGTTGGATCCAGAGCCTCCGACGAGAGATCTCGTAGTGACAGCAGAGCCAGCCGAAGGAGGATCAGGGCTGTCCTTACCGGCTCGAGATATGGCTCGGGAGCTCCCCCTGGTCTGTGGGGTTGATGCGCTACCATCGGATGATAATGGGGCCCTTAGAGCCTGTGTTAGGAAAATTCCCAAGCGTAATGCCGTGACGCACACTCGGATGGCCGCCCGCGTCTTGTCCAAAGCCTCGTTTCCCCAGAGTTCCCACTCGTGTTGATACCTGCGTATAATTACCAGCTCCAGTGGGCGCCTCCGCTCAACGTCCTTCTCTTCGTCAAGTAGCCTCTTGATGTACCCCTGAAGCTCCGCGATCTGATCGCGTGACATCCGCAAGGTCCGGATCGCCGACTGAACGGTCGCGATGTCCAGTCTGTTCCAACCAGTCCCTGGCACAAGAGGGGGGCCGGCGTTTAGATCACTCATGATGTGTTCCCGGGTTCATAGAGCAGCTGGACCATAAGCGGAGTGGAGCATGATTGAGATGAGGGTTTGGAAGGCTGAGGATAGCAGAAATGGGACAATATTTATTCTTCGTTGGGGGTGTGTCAAGCCCTGGGGGTGTCACTGATGTCTCAGAAGAACAAAGCTTGATGAGAGGTCTGTCTTGGCAGGTCAATATCAAGCAGAACTGGGTATACGCATAGGTCTAAACAATCACCAAGAGAACCCAACGGAAACGTAGACGGCCCCTTCCCCTTGTCTCGTATCCTAGCAAAGATCAAAAGATTTTGCTGAGCACTCTGTGGATCTGCTCCGGCTGTTCTTCCTGTTTCCTCTTCTTTGCCAGGGGTATCTGTTTGAATGTCCGTCTTCTGTCCCGCGCTGGTCCGTCCTCGGCGTTGGAAGCGACGTCTTTGCCGTCTGGTGCTTCTTCCTCGTCCTCTCCCGGCTTCTTCCGTTTGGCTGCCTTCTTGGACTGAATCCCGTTGAGGATCTTGGCCTTTTCCACATTGCGGACAAACTCTTTGTTTTCCCTGGTGGTCCTGGCAATTTCGGCGCGCATCCTGCTGGCCCGTTCTGCATTCTCGGCCGTGATTTGCTCAGTAAGGTGGTGCCTTGCGTCAATATTAGTCTTTTACCCAGCCAAGATCATGAGGGGTTGCTGATGTATAAACCCACCACTTGAAGCCTTTCAGATACTTCATGGCCCAGACGTCGTCATGGTACCAGCTCGATTTCTTCCCGCCAATGATCTGGGCGTTCAACAGCTCGACGGCTTTTTTCGCATCCTTCTTCTTCACAAACTCAACCCAGCCCTCGGTAAATGACCGCTTCTTGTTGCCCCCACTGCGCACGCGGCGGGCGTGCTCGGCGGGGTCCTCGGGAGTAAGAAAGATCCTGTTGATCTTGCCGTAGGGTTCAAGCAGCGAGCGTAGTTTTGCGGGCTTCATAAAAGGCGGAATTCTCGACAGGTAAACCACGCCAGACTTTTTGATGGCAGCTTCGGTTGCGACGAGGTTCTTTTTGGTGAGGGGCTTTGATACGCCAGGGAGTTCTGCTGTTGGCCCCGATTTGTCGCCTTTGGGCCGGTCCTTTGTCGCTCGCTCGTTGCCAGCGCCTGCAAGTTCCGTGAAGGGTTCTCCCAGGTTCGCGCCGCCTTCGTCGCTATGGTCGTCTTCCTGGTCGCTATGATCTTCAGGGTCGCTCTTGTCGTCGTCTACCTTCCTCCGCTTTGCACTGCGGCCGCCCTTCTGGAAACCGTCTTCGGAATCATAGTTGTGGCCCGCGTCATCGTCGCTGTCGCCGGCGTCGAGGAATTGGTTGCGCTTGTCGGCCATGGCGAGCGGTTGCGATGGCTAGCCAAGGTACCTTAGAATCTGGGCGTGCTCTCCGTTGATCTTCTCTTTTGATGCCCTTCCAATGCTAGTGTCCATCCAAAAACTTCCGGCAGCACGCTAAGATGTCCGTGCATAGGTAGCTTCCAGTACCTCAGAGCGACTGGCCTGGAAAGCATGCGCATGAGATCATTGCGCCGTAGAAATACCCAGACAATTGTACTTCAGAATTTCAAGTTATTTATAATAGGCTGATATGAGGTTTTTCCCTTCCAAGTAACAGAAATTAGAACTACACGTGTATACAGCCATATCGCACACCTGCAATTGTCAATATCCTGCCCTCAAGTATCTCCGTGGTACCAATACTACGAAACTGGGATCCGCCTTACTTGCCTTATCTTATCTTATCCAGTTGCGGATGACGGTCGGCAAGGAGGGGCCCAAAGCAGCATGAGGGAAGCAAGCGTAGGGGGAAGGGATGAACAACGACGGTCGATTACTTGACAATCAGATCAACTCCAAGCGCAAAGTACCGATTCTGTTCTCTGCACCCATAAAACATCAAGACTCTAATCATCCGCTGCCAACATGTCTGTCGAAGTGATCACGACTATCTCGCCAACCACGAACGAGCCGATCCTCAGTCGCAACGGCATCTCTTCCCAAGAACTCGAGCAGTTTCCCGACGTTGCCGTGCAGGCCTTCGAGTCATGGCGCAAGACGACGCTGCAAGAACGCAAAGACATTATCAAAAAAGCGCTCAAGGTTCTTGACGAGAGGAAAGATGACCTCGCCTTCGAGCTCACCGTCCAGATGGGCCGACCTATCGCTTACACGCCCAAGGAAGTTACTACGGCCATAAAGAGGGCCGAGCACCTCCTCAAGATCAGCGATGATGTGCTCCAGGACACCCCTGGAGAGCCGGAGAAGGGTTTTAAGAGATTCATCCGCAAAGTGCCTGTGGGGCCGGTCCTGATCATCTTTGCGTGGAATGTAAGTGCTGGATTCAAGGTGTATCAGAAGACTGCCTAGATGAAGCAATTGCTGACTGCTCCCTTTAGTACCCGTACCTCATCCTCGTTAACGCCTTGATACCCGCACTGCTCGCCGGCAATCCGGTCATTCTCAAGCCCTCTCCGCAAACGCCTACCGTCGTCGAGCAAGTCGCCAAGGCATTCACCGAGGCCGGCCTGCCCAACGGTGTGATCCAATACTTCCACTCTGGCTCGCCCACAGTCATCGAGACGATCGTGCGCAACCCCAAGATCTCGCTCGTCTGCTTCACCGGCTCGGTAGCTGGCGGCCTTGCCATCCAGGGAGCGGCGTCGGACCGCATTGTCAACGTCGGCCTGGAGCTGGGAGGGAAGGACCCGGCATACGTTCGCGGGGATGTCGACATTCCGTGGGCGGCTGAGGAGATTGTCGACGGTGCAGTTTTTAACTCGGGCCAGAGCTGCTGCTCAATAGAGCGTGTCTATGTCGACGAGAAGATCCACGACGACTTTGTCTCGGCAGTCCAGAGCGTTCTGAAGGGGTACAGGCTTGGGGATCCTCTGGACAAAGAGACGCACCTTGGCCCGGTCATCTCGAAAAAATCCAAGGAGACCATCGAGGCGCACATCAAGGACGCGCTCGACAAGGGCGCTGTCAACGCCACCCCCGAAAACGAGACGTTCAGCAACCTTCCATCCAAAGGCAACTTTGTCGTCCCGACGCTGCTCACTAATGTGGATCATAGCATGACAATCATGAAGAATGAGACTTTTGGACCTGTCATTCCCGTCATGAAGGTGAAGAGCGATGAGGAGGCTGTGAAGCTGATGAACGACAGCGAGTTTGGCTTGACAGCGAGCATATGGACGAAAGATACGGAAAAGGGATACGAGTTGTGCGAAGCCGTCGAGGCTGGCACTGTTTTCATCAACCGCTGCGATTTTCCGAGTCCTGTAAGCCGTATTTCGTGGCATGCTTTTGCTTCATTTGCTGACGCCGTGTAGGACCTGGCCTGGACCGGATGGAAGAATTCTGGAAAAGGTGTCACGTTGAGCAGATACGGGTTCGACCAATTTGTCAAGCTGAAGAGCTATCATCTGAAGGACTACCCTAAATAGTCAATCCGGGCTCGTGGCAGCCTGTCCATTGACGCAGGAGGAATCTCGGCAAAGGATACCGCCAATAACGCACGACAGGTTTTAGACTAATCCGCACGACCAGATACTGTTAATCACTCGGGGCGCGTGGGGTGCTGAACTTGTCTCAAAAGGAACACTCGATGGTCGAGACACATTCCACCGTTCTGGTCAAGGAGGCGCGGAAACGGCGCTTCCGCCATCCACTCATATTGCCATTTTCTCACCCTGCATCGTCTCTCAGTCAAGGGGTAAGTCCCAGAGGTATAGAACCGGCGATCCAATGCGGTAATCATGGTCTTTGACATTTCCCACCATCCCTCAGGTTCGCGCCCCAGCCTTTTCTTTGTGCTGGACCCGCCGTTGGCAGACCGCCTCTCATGCAAACCTGCTTACACAAAAGGAACCTGCAACGAGCGGGAATTTCTGGTCAATGGCCTCGTCGCCTTTTTATTCCGTTCCTTTGTTTCCTTAACCGTCGTCTCGTAATTTGATCCACGCTTGTTTCGATTTTCTCGGTGCTGTTCCGCTCGTTCCAGCCCGCCGGTACTGCCTGCCGTCCAACCATCGCCGTTCCTTCATCCCGTCTCCCGTCGAGTCTCCTGACGTTCTGTGGCTTCGACTGTTTCCGTTGTCTTGGTAGAGCGAGAAAGTCCCCGTTATAACATCTCGCCTCGGAAGCCTTTCCGGGCCTTCTATTCAGTCTCATTTCACACCAATTTGACACTCAATGCACCACTTCCCCGATTCAAATGGTTACCGCAGCTGTCTACTCCGAAGTCAAGAGGCTCTACTGGTCTGTTCAAGAGCTGGTTGACCTCCGCCGCAGGAAGTGCCAGGTGCAGATCGTAAGTCCCGTCAACCATGCCCGTACACCACCAGACTGGAATTCACTGTCTTACTGTATCCTCCCAGTCCAAACCCTTCAATTTCAGAAAAGAACCCACCGTTCTCCCAGCCTGACCGAAGACGAGTGAGTATAGACCATCTCTCACCGTCCAGCCCTTGTGTCCCCGGTCTATGGCCAGTCTCCCTCGCAATCTGTCGTCTCACCACCCTTTTGCCTCCCAAGATCTCGGTCCTCCGTGAGAAAGCAGCCGTTTCCCGCCTCGGCGTAGTCCACGCCGACGCCGACGACACTGCGGCTACTGGACTCACTAACTCGGCCGTCACCACCACAACCACCGCCGCCGTCCCCGCGCCCCGGCCATCACGCTGCCTGACCGGCCGCCACGCTGCGGCGGGGGGTGGCTTGCTCACCCTCTCACCGCCGCCGCGTCTGTCGATCCCCATCCGATTCCCGTCACGAACAACGGGGCGGCAAGTAGTCGGCGTGGGTCGTCGGGGTCGCCTCTGTCTCTGCGCAACAGCAGCAGCAAGACCCGGACGGGGACCGGTCTGTGTCGACTACCACGGCGTCAATTTCGCCGCTTGAGTTGGATGTTGCTGGTTGTGGTGGTTGCGGTGCGAGTCTGGGTGCGAATTGGGACATAGATTTTTAGCCTTTTCAGCTTGGGAGTCCTGTCAGTCCGTTGTCGCCAGCTTCGGTCGGGAAGAAGGGGCATGTTGCGATTAGTTGAATGGGATCGGGTTGGGGAACTGAAAAGCGGGCGAACCGGTGTAACATCATTGTTCTGTCTTTTCGTTCCCTGTTTGTATTGATGTCGCTGTCTCAACGGCAAGGTGTTTGAGTTTGGATTGGTGCCTTTCTGCTAGGTGTATGACCTCGCTTATTGTCTCGTTGGAGCCAGCTGTAATAAGGCAGAGGGCAAAATGGTTCGAGGTCGGAAGGAAAGGAGGGGAAGTCGGTTTGGACGGTGCATGAGAAAAGGAGCGAACGCCGTTTTGCCTTGCCGGGCAAAATGTCGTCGGACGTGGAAGTTGGAGACTGCTGGTGCTCGGTACGGGCGTTTCGCTCGCAGCAACCGGATTGTCATAACATGGCACTAGAGAAAAACGGAAAGGGACAGATCATGCTTGTTGTATTAACTCGGTTCTACTTGTGTTTGTTTCTGTGGCCGAGCAAGCGGCATTCTATCACCATCTAACGCTGATCTTGCGTCGAATTCCTTCTCGTCTCTCCAAGCGGACCTCAGCTGATCCATAACTTGAAATCCCCGGCAGCCTCTTTCCTTACTCCCTCCGTCTCCCCCCTAACCTTCATCAGCCGCACGTGTATCCCGTGCTTCATGCTCCACTGTCTTAAGAACCCCCTCACCCTCTTCTCCGTCTCCACGTCATCCCTCATGACCATCGCAGCGGCATCGTACCCACCAGCGCCCGGCACCACGCAGCCCAAGACGCCCTCCACCTTCTCCAACTCATTCAGCATGGCCTCCTGACTCTCGGGCTCGATCGGCACGCCGCAATCCCTCCCCAGCGTCCGCATCAGCTCCCTCACCGGCCGCATCACCCCGCCAACCTCACCTACTTTCCCTTCCTTCAACACCCTCGCCAACTCATCCACCTTCGCCTGCAACCCCTCATACGCCCGGGCAGCCAAATCCGCATTCGCATCCCGCCATTCATGCACCTTTTTCACCATGCCGACAGTCTGCGTGCCGCAGTCGACGTCGCACATGCGAATCGCCACGCCGGCGGGAAGCCCGACCTGGTCCTTCCGTATCTCGCAGTCCCACTTCCTCCCGTCGGCGCCGTCTGCATCGTCATCATTCACCAGCGCCGCCAGCGCCACCGCGAACCCTTCCTCCCCCAGCCCCGGCAGTGCCCCCAACAGGGCCGGACTAAAACGCCGGTACAGGCACGAGCCGTACACGGCGCTGGCGACGTCGAAGCCGCTGCCAATCTTGCCCTGCGCCGAGCAGTGCGCCACCTGCGCCAGGTTGTGCAGCACACGCTTGCCTTCTGGGGTGGCCAGGTCGAAGACGGAGGGAGGGAGGTAGTGCGAGAGCATCGCGGCCGTGAGAGCCGTGACGATGGCGGCCGAGGAGCCTAGACCCGTCTTGTGAGCGTCGCCGAGGGTGGTGCCGAAGTGTCGGAAGCGGGGGCGGGCGGGTTTCACCTCCTCGGGCTGGTCCTGGTGGTGGTGAGGAGGAGGGTGGTGGTGGTGGTGGGTTTGAGGCCCTGGGTCGGAGAGCGGCGTGGCTGGCGGTAAATAAGGCTCTTCTGCGGAGGAGCTGGACGAGGGGCGGTCGCCGGCGTGGTGATGCTTTGGCTTGGAGTAGTAGTCGTTGTCGGCTAGGACGAGGAGTGAGGCGGGTGTGAAGCCGTGCGAGGCCTGGCTCTTGTCTACCTCGGCGATGTAGGTGAGCACGTAGTTGAGCGTTGTTTCTACAAAGTGGTTCGGCTCAACTGGCGTGCCCCTGTGAGACGTGTCAGTCAGTTCAGGTCTGGGCGTAGGGTACAAGGCGGGGAAACATACGATTGCAGCTGAGTGACCCTGATGCCCCCGCCATTCTCGACGAGGTGGTAGCCGTATCGCCAGGTCGCATTGAGGAACTGGGGGCTCTGCACGACGATTTCGGACAGGTGGACGCCCTCGCTGGTGCGGATCTTTTGAGCGAGCACATGAATGCGGGCACTCAGACCAAAGACAAGACCCGTGTGTTTGCGGTCGAGGACAATATATCCGCCCGCGAGAAGCACTTTTCCCGGGGCCGAGACAACAACGGTACGGTCTCTGGAACTCTCCTCGGCCATGCTTGCTATTTGGTCTGAAGGGGTTCTGCGGGTCCAGGGCGGTTTAATTGTAAACGATGGATTGGCGAAAGTGACTGGGCAATGAGCGCAAAACTGTGAGCGAGGGCATGCCAAGAAAGCAAGCTGGAACTTGGATAATGTGATGACGGGAGTATCGCAGATGAATCCGGCCAAGCTAAGTGGACATCTTTGCGGCTGGCTGTCGTTGGGCTCAGGGGTTCTGAGGCTGTCTCCAAATCCCTGGACGAGGGGCAATGTGGAATTGGCCGGATGCGGTACTTCTCTGTCTGGACTGAAGTGCGGGGCTTACTGGATCGCAACTGAACTTCGACTGCCTGAGGATCTCTCAATCGATTGGGCAAGAACTTGGATGGAGAGTATAATGAGACAACTTGAACTTTGGCATATGGCTACCGCCCGGCCATTTCCAACGAGTTCCTTATCTCCATGCTCTGTGCTCAACGAAATCTGAAAAGGCAGAGAGACCAGTTGCGATGAACCCAACCCATCGCAGCGGAAGGTCCCGTTACGCACAGATATCAGATTTGGGCGATTAAATCGCGAGTCGCTCGTCGCCGTTACGCTGAAGGCTTCAGCTTCCCAACCGCAGTTAACATTGACACGCCTACGTCGGGAGTCGCTCAATCGTTGAAGAGTCCTTTAAAAGTGCAAAAAGGCATATGTATCTCGGGACGTGTTAGGAAATCAGCAGATTTTGGAATTCGGCGATCGAGAGACGGGTCGGGGATTGGGTCCACGGCGGCAGCCCGGTGGATGGCCGGAATGGGAGGCGGGCTCGGCGGGCTGCAACGTCAAGCCGACTTCTCGCGGCGAATTTTCGCTGCTCAGACGCATGTGACCGCCCCGGACTGCCACCCGATGCTCTTTCCGCTCAGGCTAGCTAACGTTGGGAGGGACCCTCGTCCGGGGCTCCGTTTAGGCACACATGGAGCTGTCGACTTTCCTGACAAGTGATTGATATTGAGCAATGAAGATTTGCTCCACTTACTCAAGCATCACTAGTTGTTGCCTTACCTAGAAAGCGCGAGACATGGAAGATGGTGATGATGGGCTAGAAGTCTGAATCTTGCTGTGTGCTGCCTTTACTGGGTCTCCGCGAAGTTGTCATATCCTGGCAGGGTTTGCATGAACGGCAGCGTTAGGGTTCCCACTCCTGGTGACGGTTAGGCTGCTCCGCAAATTCTCCAGTGGTCGGGGTTTGTCAAGTGCGAGCTCCGAGAACTCGGACTGTTAGGATAGATGCGGATATATGATCTGAATAGGTACTATCACACCTCATCATTCAGCTTCTGTACTTGTTCTGCCTCGAGACACTAACAGCCGATCAAGCTGGTCTCCCCTGCGCTCGGACGGAACCATCCGACCCCACCAAGGCCGTCCCCTTGGATCTCCTGTGCCGGTTTGTCTTCGTTTCTTGCCGCGACCTTGATCCCCGGAAACAACCCCCAGCTCAGCCTGCCCGAGGCATCCGTTGCGGGCGAGTTCCATTCGTCATCCTTGTTGCCTGGCTGCCGTCGACACCAGGCAGAGATGGCGGGGCAAGTGAGGCATGAATCTCGCGAAATGACGTGCATCATTTGCATGTCTAAGAAGGCTCTCTCTAATAATTGCCATCTGTTCTTCTCGGGGAACCCTGATAGCTGAGAGTGGAGTGAACAGGAGGAAGAATACTGTCCAGGTAACGGTATTGGAAGGGAGCGAGTCGTGACGGCCTTCGGTACCAATGAGAACATCATCGCTGGGGATGATACTGCATGATCTGTCCTCCTGCATCTGTCTGGGAGAGAAGCAGGGAATTGAATGCGTCTGCATTGATCAAGCTGCAGCTCTCAAGGTATTTTTGTTTCCGTAACCTACAATGTGTGGGTGTCCTTTGGTGCTGTGGTTGAAACGAAAAATCCCGGATCCACCCGGAGTTGCGCGGAAGAAAAAAGTTCGCAAGCCCATGTCCGCCAATCCGCGCCTTAGCTCCGACTCAGCGCGCGGGAGGACCTGAGCAAAAAACTTATTTGACAATCACACTCCCACACCCTCGGTCCCTCTCCTTGATGACTGTTTCCAACCTCCAAATCATCTCAATTCACCATTAGGGTAGCGCGTTTATTTGGCGGCTCTCTGTCGTCAAATGAACCTGCACTTGCGCATCGTTCAATCTCCCCTTGTAAGTCTGACTCACGTAGTTTCCCAGTGCCGGTGGGAATGCGGTGCCATGGCTCGAGATGCCCGCGTGCATGTCGCGTGGCTGTTGCTGCTCGCTGAAAGAAAGTCCAGACTTGTTGACATGCCTGCTAATGCTATCTCGCCACCAGAACCCTTCCTCACCAGGAGTTTCCTAAATGCCCTCCGTTTACTCGTCGGTCTTCCAAAGCTTTATCCGACAAGGATTTTCAAAGTCCTTTACCCACGGCTACGCCCAGTCGGTCGTTGCCGCCACCCATCCCCATGTTTTAAATTCGCAGAACCGCCCGTCGTTTGCGCGGCGGCGTAACGGCGCTCGCGTCGGCCGTTTCGCGAGTCTCGGGCTCCAGTCCGCCTTCCACAGCGCCAGCAGCGCGCTCACTGGAGGCTCGTCCGAGCACCGCCCGGACAAGACTGTCAGCCATGGCGCGCTAGATGCCTACTTTGAGCACTTGCAGAAGTCGCAGGCCAACGGCGAGCTAGGCAAGGAATGGGTACAGTTTCAGTTTCCGAAGGCTATCGAGTGGAAGCCAACAACGGCTTCCGTCCTGGTTGGCTCCGACGCCAAGACCCTTGCCCTCGGCGCTGAGGAATCAGCAGCCCACGATGACGCCTCGACAGCTCCAGGCGTCCCTCCAGAGGCCAAGGAGGCTTTGGCCCACATCGATGCGGCGATTGAAAGGGAAATCGAGGTTCGAAGGCAGCTGGAGCAGCTAGAAGAGAAGGTCGAGTCCTTGCGGGCAACGTCTCCGGAGCTGGCAGAGCAGCTCGCCGAAGAGCTTCGATCGCGGACTGCCACGCCTTTCTCTCGTACGGCAACACCTCCTAGCCTTACTCGTACCCTCACGCCCCCAGTCGACCCGCAGTCTCAGACCTACGCCGACCACCTCACGAAGCTCTCCGAGGCTGGACGATATGCCGAAATCCCGGCCGTCTTCGAAGCTATGCTGGTTGGCGGCGTGCGCCCAATCGCCACGGCCTACAATGCCCTCCTCATGGCCGCCATCCACCTACCCTCGGAGAAGTGGGAGATCGTGACCAAGGCGCTAGATGTCTACGCTGACATGCTGCGCCGCAAGGTGTCACCCGACAGCGACACCTACGACATTCTCGTTGGCCTTCTCGCCTCCCGCTCGCTCGAGGTTGCGTCCCTCAGGCAGGCCTTGGAGGACAAGCGGATGCGCTTTGGTGGCATGGACGAGCCTGGCAAGTTCATGTTCGCATCTCACGAGCTTGAGCACGCCATATTGGTCGAGGATGACCGCCTCGACCTGGCCATGAAGCTGTTCGTGTCTTCAGTCATGACAAGCAAGGCCATGTATTCGTCCGAGACCTACCATCAGCTAATCTCGGCCTGCGCCCAGTCTGGTCGGATTTCCGACATGCTTCAGCTCTTCGAGCACATGGAATCCAGCCACACAACGCCGTTTGCTGCCACGTTCCCCGCCATGATCACAGCGTTTGCCAATGCCGGGGACCTCGTGAGCGCCGTCGAATGCTACAATGAATACCGAAGCTTGGCCATGGCGAACGATCAGGGAGAGAAGACCCTGAAAGATCGCCTTGATGCCCAGGTCTATGCTGCCGTCATCAACGCCTACGTCGTCTCAGACAAGATCGAAGGCGCCATGAGGTTCTACGAGAAGATCGTCCAAGAGCACGGTGTCAGAGCCTCCGATATCAGAGACGCCGTCATTGCTGGCGGGTTTGTCAAAGGCTTCGTCCATCGTAGCATCTACGAGCAAGCTCTTGAATGGGCTCAGCAGATCGAGACAGAGGCCAGAACATCAGCCATGAGCGAGCTTGCGGTCGTTGCTGCCGATCACGGTAACAAGCACACTGCCGTGGTTGCCTTCGCCAACGTCCTCCCGCCTAGCGCCGTTGCGTCTCCGGCAATTGCTCTGCTAGCCATGAGCGTGCGCCAGGGTGATGTTGCGGCTGCCTCTCGGTATTGGGACATCCTCTGCGGTCCCGAGATTCAGGCGACCGCGTCCTTCATTGAGCCGACAGCCATGTACGCTGTTGCCATGATTGGGTCTGGCAAGGTTTCCGAGGGTCTGACCCAAGCAGAGTACATGTTCCAGCGCATCCGTGACCAGAACCCCCAGCTGGCCGATGAGATCGAGGAAGGTGCCGAGTTCATTTCGAGGTATATGGCCGTTCGGGGCATCACTGATTCTCGGAACGTGCCTGTGCCTGTTCCCGAGGTTGCCCAGTCTTTCGCCGCGACATCGTATCCCGCCAGCCCCGTTGTTGCCCGCCAGGAAGACACCTTCGACCCGTACTCGCACAACACCGATGTTAAGGGTTCCTTCTTCATCACGGAGGAGCTGGAGGGCGCCCAGGGCCGCAAGGCCCCGAGGTTAAGTGAGGCTCTCGCTCGGTTCCGGAACGTGCGCCGTGCTGGTCGCCACCCTCGCTATGTCGTATATGCGAAGCTCATTTCGGCCGCTGCCAAGGAGGGGAAGTTCGATCTTTGCCACGAAATCCTCGCCATGGCGCGCGCTGATGTGCCCCCGCTGCCCCAGTACCCGGTGGTCCGTTACGGCTGGTCTGCGATTTTGGATGCTATGATCGGTGCTTGCCTCACCCACGGCCGGAGAACGCTGGCTGAGGAGTACCACCAGGAACTGCTCTCCATGGGTTCGACGCCGTCGGCCAACACGTACGGTCTGTATATCACGACGCTCAAGGAATCCGCGAAGACCTTCGACGAGGCATCCGAGGCTGTCAAGATCTTTATCCGCGCCAAGACCGAAGGTGTCGAGCCGACCTCGTTCCTGTACAACGCCCTGATTGGAAAGCTAGGCAAGGCCCGCCGCATCGACGACTGCCTCTTCTATTTTGCCGAGATGCGGGCTCTAGGCATCAAGCCGACCTCGGTCACCTACGGCACCATCGTCAACGCGCTCTGCCGCGTCAGCGATGAGAAGTTCGCCGAGGAGCTGTTTGACGAGATGGAGGGGATGCCGAATTACAAGGCGCGCCCGGCTCCGTACAACAGCATGATGCAGTTCTTCCTGACCACCAAGCGGGACAAGGCCAAGGTGCTGGAGTACTACGAGCGCATGAAGGCCAAGGGCATCGCTCCGACGGCCCACACCTTCAAACTCCTTATTGATACCCACGCCACGCTGGAGCCCGTCGACATGACCGCCGCCGAGGCCGTCCTCGACTCGATCCGCGCCGCCGGCCAGACCCCGGAGCCCGTCCACTACGCCTCGCTCATCCACGCGCGCGGCTGTGTCCTGCACGACATGGACGGCGCGCGGCGCGTGTTCGACGCCGTCATGCGGGACCGCACCGTGCCCCCGCACGCGTGCCTGTTCCAGGCGCTGTTCGAGGCCATGGTCGCGAACCACCAGGTGAGCGCCACCGAGCCGCTGCTCGCCGACATGCGGGCTCGCCGCGTCGAGCTGACGCCGTACATCGCCAACACGCTCATCCACGGCTGGGCGGCCGAGAAGAATGGCGCGGGGATTGCCAAGGCCAGGGAGATTTATGCTGCCGTGGGGAGGGAAAGGCGCGAGCCGAGCACGTATGAGGCCATGACGAGGGCGTTCTTGGCGGTGCAGGACCGCGAGAGCGCTAATGCGGTTGTTGCGGAGATGTTGGGGAGGGGATATCCCAATGCAGTCGTCAATAAGGTGCTGGAGTTGCTTGGTGGTGGGCATGCTGCTGAGGCTGCTGCCGTCGCCGTTGCTGCGTAAGGCGTTTTCGGTCGAGCTCCAATAGCGCGGTGCAGCTTTCCCTTTTTTAACCCTTCTATTCCTGGCCCGTTTCCTGCGTTCCCTCTTTGCTGTTCTTGGAATGATACCCCCTGGAGGCTGGAGATCGGGTGGATTGGAGGTTGACTGTGGATGAGCTGAGCCGTTTGGAGGTGGGGAATCAAGGTTATCCAAGGATCATTGGGGAAGAACGGGGGGAAATGGAAAAACGTGTTACAGATTTGTATTTTTGCTTTTCCTGTTCCTTTCTTTTGTCATGGGGATATCAAAACAGGGCCTGGGGTTTCAGCGGGGCGTTCATCGGATAGAGCCAACCGGGTGCCCCGACTACATGCTGCATGTGAAGCTCGGTTTGGTCGGATGGGATTTTTCTGCTTTATATTTTCTCCAACGCTGGGCGGGAATGGTTTGAACTCGGATGCGGATCGGTGTTTGTAGTTGTGGCAATGGGACGGGTTTGTGTGCGGAGTTTTGGCGGACGGGGGCATAGAAGATACACACATCTCCACTCTATATAGCAAGCAGCGATTTGTTTGCTATTTATATAACGGAACAGAAAATAACGAATGAGACGTTAAATCTTGTATACTTTTCGGTTCACTTGTCGTTGAGGTGTGAGTGGTGTATTGCTGGCATAGCTTTCTCCTTATTTCTTTCCTCCACTCCTCCTTGTCCTCTAACTTCGCCCTTGTATGCTAGACAGCCCTTGCGGTTTAATGATCTGGTGCAGAAACGGCGAGTCTTAGTGAAGGGCCGGAGTGGAGGAGGAAGGCCAGCGTGGATGGTTCGTGTGCTGTTGCTTGGCTCGTGCTGTCTGTGGCGTCGGTGTTCTCGCTGTCACTGGTGGTATGCGTCGTGGCTGATGACGAGTCGGACCACGCCGAACATGGTTGCTGTTGCTCGTGCTGCTGGTGCCGGGGCTGCTCTGGTATCGGCGGCGCTGGCCGCGGCAGCGGCGGCGGTACTGGGTCTGGGTGCCTGACGGGATAGTGCAGCGGTGTGGTCGGGAGGAAGGTGCTGTTTGTGTTTCCCCGGCTGGTGGCGATGGTGGTTGGCAAGGAGAGGACCGAGGTGGTGTCGGAGGAAGGGCCGTCATCGTGGGCTGCGGGGCGTGTGTGATGGGTGGAGAAGTGATCGGACCGTCGGAGCCACATGGAGAGTCTTAACGCTGGTTTGGGCTTGTTTATTGTGGTGGCGGCTTGGTTATGGAACGGTTGGGCTTCTGCTCGCTGGAGGAGCGCTTCTTCCATGTCCTGGTTGGGTTCGTGAGTCGCTGGCCAGTTCTCTCCGTGATTGAACATGGACCTCGCTTTTGAAAAGTGATTCGGACTTCTTCGTCTACGCCAAACGAAGAGAACTGCTACGGCAGTAAAGATGAGGAATGCTGGGAAAGTCAAGAGTCAGCATTGTGCAGTACCTCAAATGATGAAGTGACACCACTGGTAAGGTTGATACAAAAAGATCCATACCAACGGAGCCCACGACGATTCCGGCAATCTGGCCTGAATCTAGGCCAGAGTTACCGCTCAATGCCTGCCCTGGCCTATTTGCCGTGGCAGAAGACGGAGTTCCTAGAGGCTCCATGTCAGTGAAACTCGAGGCTGCAGCAGTCTGGTCGAAGGTTAGGGAGAATCAAGCACCTGTACTTGTTGATAAGGATGGATCCAGCACAGCCGAAGACGTAGCGAGACTGCTTCTGGTGGTGACAGTTCCAGTCTCCAGCCTGGTGGACAGGTGCGACGACGTTTGTGTGGGACCTTGGAATTTGGGAGTAGAGGAGACGGCACCTGAGAGTATGGGAAGAAACACCGGCGGCAATTCTGTTGACTCAGACATCGCCGTAGACTTGGACAGCGTCGAAGAAGTGGACAGCGCCGTCGTATCAGCCGACGTCTCGGGCAGAGAGGAGGATGGAGTTGGAGTGGATGCTTCTGAAGTTGTCGATTCCGGAGGACGTGATATGGTTAAGCTCCCCTTTCCCTTTCCCTTGCCCTTCCCTCTGTCCCGGCCCGGCTGATCAGGACGCCCCTCAGACTCATCGTCTCCAAATTCCTCATCTTCGTTGGGCTCCGTATCGTCTCTCCGGCCGACCCAGGGCGTTATCTTGGGATGGGCCGCATTCCTGCGGTACGCTCTTTGCCTCATTGTGCCCCGCTTCTTCAGTGCGAAGGGGAGTTGTGGAAGACTGTTGTAGTAATCAGATCAGTCGAACCGTCATTTTATGACCAAGGTCTATGAACCTCGTGGCTGGAGGTGTTGGGCCGCCGGAACGCGTTGATGAGCGTTTAGCTCTAGCCGTGCGAGGTGATATGGCGTAATGAGACCAACAGCGGTCGCCGTAGTCGCAATCAATATTCGTAAGCCATGGTTGCGTTCGCGCCTTGAAGAAACGTGAGAAGAATCAAAAACATCCAATGGGCAACATGAGCTTGTCCAGGGGCTTCCCCACGCTTCGAGTTTCTATGTATGGTTTCATGTCTGTGGACCTGGGAGCGCAACACACGCATGAAACTCGGAACGAAACAGAAAACTAGAAAACGTGTTCGCTCGCGGACAGGTCCGTCGTGTCGACAATGGCAAACTGGAAGCGTGCACGGATGGGTGGCTTAGAATGGGGCACGGGATTCACTTTTGATAGTTGAGATCGTTTTGGGCAACCAAACTCTTGAACTGCTCTAAAACAGACGGCGGTCGCAGATAAAGCTTCACATGGAAATGCAAAGACAGGGTTTTTTTGAGCTGCAGTTCGCGGGGGTTGCCGTAAACATGTCCTCTGGGAGAAGGGGGAGAGAAAACGGGAAGGAGGGAGAAGCAAGCTGGGAGGGAAAAAGGGTGGGGGTGGGGGGCTTAATTCGATTTCGTCTTTCCTTTGCATTCCATGAATCGCCTGGGTAATGTTCCGTCAGTCAAAATCTGACATCACTGGAAGCACTCTATAGGAAGTCGCGAGTTGAATTGACTTCTTGACCAATGTCATTGCCCCGTCATCGGGTCTCATCGTGGTCACATTTGGCTTGGCGCAGTACGTAGCGGGCATGACAAGCCATGGAAAGTGTGGTCGTTGCTAGGAGACCGGAGGAAAGGGAGGACAAAGCAGGAAGGATACGCGTTATCTATTCGCCGACTGGCTCTAGTCTTTCTCAGGCCATCCGCCGCTATCGTCATAACTGAGGTGTTGGGACTTTTCGTCGCTAGACCCTGTAAGAATATTCGAGATCGCCGCCGCGGGCTTCGCTGGCAATTGGGCCCTTTCTGGTTGTGCAGTTCGTAGGGTGGATGAAGCACAGGAAAGCCCGGCTATATACAGTGTAGAGGTACTTTGGAGACGCGAGCGAGACGCGATCTGACAGTTGAGGGAAGGAAGTAGTACGAAAACCACCACCTCGGCGTCTTGGAATCTCAAAAGATATTCCGTTTTTCCCCCCCAGACTCTAAGTGTGGGCAACACAAATACTTAAAGCGACCGACTTGCAGTCTCGACATGCTGGGCCAAGATCAACTGTGAACTCTGAGTTCCTCTGTCGGAGCACATATTGAGATCCAGGTAAGCGTTCAAGCAATGATGATCCCTAGCTTAGAGACGAAGATAAATCCATGCTGCCGTGGTCAGCGGCACTTTAGTTAGATGTACAAATAGCACAGTAGAATGAGTTTTGAAAATACCTTATCTGAGTGGTTAGCAGATTCATCAAACACGGGGACTCTTATCTATAAGGTACATTAAGCACACAGTTGGAGCGACTAAGTGTAATGGGGCTCATTTTCAAATCTCCATCCATTGCTTGAACGAAGCCTGAGCGCTAGCCGTGCCATGAGTGACCGAGCGTATGAAGGCGGAAATGCCACCCCATGGTCTAGTTTGGGACTCTGTCATTCGCAGAACAACTCATTACCACAAGATACCAGCAAATGCATGCCTCCAAAGACGCCGGCTGATCAAATCATGAGAATGGAAACCTGCAAGAGTCCATCTTATCAGACTGTCCAGTGACGTGCATGTAGTGTACCCTGAGCGCCAGGTCCACTATTGCCGGCAGCGGCAGCAGGGCATCCCACACGGTAGTGTTGCACCTGACCCTGCCACCAACTCGTCCAAATCATCGAGTCATAGGGACACATCGGATAGGAGGGATCTCTGGTCTTCACGAAAGTGAACTCAGGTACTCTCTCCATGCCTTCTTCTTTCGGCCTCTAGTGTTCAGGCCCCAATCATTGAAGTCACTGACGCACTGTTCAGTCCCCATGTTTCATCACAAACATCACGGAAAAGGAACTCCGGGTTCGGAGGCGCTAACGGTCGAAACCTCAGAAGAGGGAGGGAGACGACATCAGATCGACATTGACGACGCCGAGACCCTTGCACCTCGATCGAAACAATGGAGAATTCTGATCCGTCACGCGTGGAATTGGAAGCCGAGACCAGCTCGCTACGACCCGGACAGCCCTCCCAAGTTTACCATCTGGCTGAACTTGTTATTTGCATTTGTCTGTCCCAGTCCCCCCATTGCTTATGAATCATGTCAACCTCAAGATGCCCGGTTGACCCACTGACTGGCGCTCCAGGCTGCCTGCTTCACCGTCTCCAACCTCTATTACAACCAAGCCATTCTCAACCGCATAGCCGACACCTTCGACGTCACCTTCGAAGAGGCATCGTCGGTCGCCACGCTCATGCAGGCCGGCTACGCCGGCGGCCTGCTCCTAATCTGCCCGCTGGGCGACGTCTTTCCGCGGCGCCCCTTTGTCCTCGCCCTGGTGGTCTGTACCGCGATTGTCGTCAGTTCCAGTTCCTCTACCCCTTTCCCAAATACGTCGAATATCAGGCTGTCAGCATGAACCTTAACATGTTACCCATTGAACTCAATCTGAAATATTCGATTCATCATTAATATACCGTTACCAGCCCCTACTCTGTGCTAACATCATTGACAACCCAGTGGCTCGCCCTCTGCCTCACTACCTCCTTCCCCCTCTTCCGCGCGGCCTCCTTCCTCACCGGCTTGACGACGGTCACCCCTCAACTGCTCTTACCGCTAGTGGGCGACCTAGCGCCCCCATGCCGCCGCGCCAGCTCGCTCGCCATCATCGTCTCGGGCTTGTCCCTCGGCGTCCTGGTCGCGCGCCTCCTGGGGGGCGCTCTGGCATCCGATGGTAGCTGGCGCAACGTCTACTGGTTCGGCCTCGGCGTGCAGGGGCTCGTTGTGGGTCTCTTGTACGTCTGGCTGCCCGACTACCCGAGCAAGAACCCTGTCAGCCTCGATGACGGCGGTGCGCGGTGGAGTTATCTGGGCGTGCTGGCCAGCATCGGGCGGCTGGTGGTGACGGAGCCGTTGCTGGTGCAGGCGGGCGTAGTGGCGTTCCTGCTGAGCGCCGTCTTCACGTCGTACTGGACCACGCTGAGTTTCCTGCTGTCGGCGCCGCCGTTTGGTTACGACAGCGCCGTCATCGGGCTGTTCGGGTTGATTGGGATCGTGGTGATCCTGGCTGCGCCCGTGTTTAGCAGGCTCGTGATTGACAAGGTGGTGCCGCTGGTGTCGGCGGTGATGGGGTTGACGGTCGGGTTGATGGGCGTCGTGGTGGGCACCTTCACGGGGTCGTACCACATCGCCGGGCCCGTGGTCCAGGCCATCGCCATCGATCTGATGTTCCAGTTCACGCAGATTGCGAACCGCGCGGCCATATACAGCATCCAGCCGCAGGCGAGGAACAGAGTCAACACAGCCTACATGGTGGCCGCCTTCTCCGGCCAGGTGACCGGAACGGCCGTTGGAAACAGGCTGTATGCCCAGGGAGGGTGGGTATATAGCGGCAGCTGCAGTAGTAAGTTGTCCCTGGAGCCGCTCATGTTCACTGCTGTGGCTCTGTCTGGTTTTCGTCTTTTCTCACACCATCTCCAGTTGCGTTTATTGGTCTTGCTCTTGCTGTCTGTCTTGCTCGTGGGCCGAGGGAGAGCAGCTGGATAGGATGGTCTGGCGGATGGAGTATACGTCGACACGATTTGGCGGATGCAAAGACGGCATCTGTCGTTGAGGCCCCCGCTGAAAATGATAAGCAGGAAGGAGCAGGCAGGAGAAGTTCGGATCGCAGATCTGCCGGGGGGCGTCAGCCATTGGCTGATGTAGCAGGTCCTGGTCCCCCAATCTCAACGACCAACGCCCAGTAGCTTAGCCAGCTTTCATCCCAACTCTCCCACCTGCCACCGTAATCTCCTAAGCCCCGCCAACCGCCCTATATGTATTAGGTCTACGTCCCTCCAGTCATCGGCCGCTCCCACGCTCCCACTTAGCCATGGCCAAGTGGGAGAGGTGCGAGGCGGGCAAGAACTCGCCTCACAACCGGCATGAACTCCGCAGAGCATGCCGGTTCGATCCCCCGCCGAACCGCCGCCCCAACGAAGTAAAACCCCCACCGGGAGGGTTTTGGTTGCGACCGGCCTCCGCTAGGGGCTTGGTGGTGAGCTTTCTGTATTATTCTTTCTCATCTTTCTCTGTCCACTTCGTTGTCCCCATCGAACCAAGACGAGTCGACCCTTTCTCACACAACAGCATGCGACCCATCACCAGATCCTCCCGGTCCAACCACCTTCCTCCCTCGGCATCAGCTCCCCCAACCACCTCGCACCCAGCCTTCCCACAAGAGAACGCTCAATAACAGCATGCGGCGTCACCCCATCCCGGTACACCCCCGCCATCCTCAAGCCCGCCGCATCCGCCACTGCTGCAGAGACCGCTCGCTGCCACCAATAGAGAGCATCGAGGAGTCCTCGAACGCCGCATACAGCGGCGGCCGACCGAGAGAAGTCGACACGGCCCGGGTTGAGCTGTTTTGAGACAGGCACCCGGCTGTCGGCGGCCATGGCGCGAGGGATGTTGCGTAGGATTGTGTCTGACAGCGGGTCGGAGGAATCTCGCAACATATGCCGGAGATAGTAGACCAGGGCGGGGTGGAGGCCTGTTGGTTTGTGATGTTGGGACTTCAGGAACAAAACAAAAGCTTGACAAATAAAAAAAACAGTTGCTGGCCCTTAACAGGAGGAACCCCGCCTAGAGTCCATCCCGACCCATCTGATGCCTCTCAAATCCTCCTCATCATTTCGCTCCCTGGCGGCAGCCCTGCGACCTCCTCCGGACCCTGCACCACACTGCTCAGCCTTCAAGCATGGGTACCCCTCAAGAAACTCCTTCACCGTGTATCCATCGCCGCCGCCCGCATCCACCCATACCGTCTCCCTCCAGTCGTGTGGGGTTCCCAAGACCCTCACCACGTCATATATGCCCGTGACGTGCACCCTCCTGCTGGTCACACGCTTGGCGAGCCCAAACTTCCTGGGCGTTGCTCCGTCTCCTTCCTGAGGAGCGAGGAAAGCAAACCTCCTAGGAATGGCGCGCCGGAACCGACGTGGGGATGTGTCCCGCTTTGAGAGGTTCCGCTCGACCATAGCCGTCAAAGGAGGCGGGGAGAATTGTCGATACGACCGTGACGTTGGCGTACATGAGGGGAGAACATCGGCCGACATGGACTAGCCCCGAGATGAGCAGCAGGGAGGTTGGGGTGTGCCAGAGGGATGGCGCGGTTTGTGTGTAGGAAGCCGGCTGGTGGGTGAGAACGGTCAGGGGAGGTTGGCATGGCTCCCACATGCACCTGTACTGTTTGTACATCGTCAGATGGGGATGGTCAGCGGCTAGTTGGCAGATGACCGATCAGCCCGAAGCACGGATAAGAAACCTTGTTCAACCATTCCAGTTGGCTGTGTTCCTTCCTAGGGTCCCCCTTGTGCTTGGCTCGCCGTCTCCGGAACCGAGGCGACGGGTCGGGCCTCCATGGTTGACTTTGCCTCAAGACCGCCGCCCACACCGTCCAAGTCTCCACATCACTGCGGATTCCGTGGCCGAATGACATCCACTGTTAGTGGCGATGGTCGGAATTGCAATCATCGCAACCATCAAATGGGACAGATGCCGGATTCCTCTGTCATTGCCAGCCGCAACTACTGACTGTGTCTGTTCAGCATGCCATCTGCCAGCCTTGCCCATGGCCCTGCTGTTTCGACTGAGCAAACGGCCGGTTGTAGCTCGCTCCAACTCCCAGCTTTAGACTCCTGCGAACCCTGGATGGGTCGGTTAGTCGTGGAGAAGGATGGCGGCATACGTTCGAGCGAAGCACCGCTCAGAGTGTGTCCTGTCGGGCCTGGAACACGCTATGCAGTCGGCACCTGCTGCTGCCACTGGCCGGTTGCGGCAACGTTCCTCATTTCTCGCTTCATCGTGAGGCTTTTCCACATATCGGCAGATAAATTTTCAAATCCCTTCAAGAGGGAGAAAGCATCCTCCCACCTATCGCCGAACAACCTCAGTGTATTCTTCACCCTTTCCACACATCGCAGGCTACGGTCCAGATTATCGCCAGTGCCTCTGTCGAGCCTTATTGGTGCCGGAGGGGGTAAAGGCTTTCCTGGAATTGATGGAGGCATAGGGATCGGCGATCCCGAAAGTAGCACGTCGCCGGCATCACGCAGGACGGCGACAAACTGTGATCCCATGAAGAAGACCCTTAGGGCGTCGTGATAGGTGTAGATGGCAACGTTCTCTGATCGCTTCGAAATATCGTGTACCCGGTCGATGTATGAGATGGTGTGCTCAAAGATCAACAGCCGCCCGTATGACGACACTTGAGCACCCCTGGCGCTGGAGGCGATGCAGTACACGTAACTGTATCGCAGCTCCAAGTCAAGCATCTCGCGGATGGCAGGCGGCATATCCGCGGGCAGCTTCTCACACCACTCCCACATCTCATAGCACTTTGCCCAGATGAAGGATGTGGAATCTGGCATGGCCTGGGTCGGGTCGCCCTGGTAAAGGGTCTGATACCACTCGGACTGCAACCGGCGCAACCTGAAAAGCGGCACTGAGGCGTCCGGGGGCGGCTTTGCTATGGGGCCCTTGGGAAGCGGACTGCCTAGCTGCCCGGATGGCGGAAGAGCGACGGACACGGCATCATCGTAGAAGGAGAAAGCACGGGCGTGGACCATGCTTATCGCCCTGAAGCTGCAGTGTCAGAGAGTATCGGCGGCGAGAAGCAATAAGCAAGGCTTGGTTACTGACCTGTCAAGAGAGTATACGCAGTAGAAAGTCCTGCGGCGCGCACTCAGCGCGCCCTGATCCATCTGCTGCGTGTGCGGCGGATCCTGGTGTAAGCCCTGGTCGACCACTGCGCGGCAGGTGAAGCCGATCGGGTGCCAGCTATCGAAGTGGGCAGGATCGAGCATTGAGTACTGCGTGAGGAGTAGCAGAGATTGAACTTGTGTCACGTAACCCGGCTTCAGTGCCCTGTCCGCATGCGGCAGCGCGCGAGCTACGAACTCAACGGCATTCAGGTAGTGCTCATCCTGCCAGCTCCGGCTTTGCGCCGCGGAACTGATGGCGAGAACCATCCAGAAGAGCCAGTACTCCGAGCTCCTAATTGGCCGTGGGTGTGCTTGATAGAGGTCGCTGAGGAGGGCATGCAGCGAGGCTCCGGGGAAGGCTGGGTAAAGGGGCAGAATGCTGCTCTCGTAGAACTGAACGAGCGCTCTGGCAGTGGCTTCTGCCGGGAGACTGGTAGTTTTGGGCTCCGGAACCGGCTCGTTCGTGGACGCAGCCAGGACCAAGCGTGCAAAGGTCATGTTGGACTCGGAGGGATCAAAGTCGCGCGTGGTGGTATTGACAGCTCTGCAAGGAAATTAGTCGATGTCTTTGACGCTGCGGCGAACCCAGGTTGAACGCACAAGTACCCGAAGTCCGAGACGAGGGTGTTGATGTCTGCATTCTCTTGGGTTAGCACCGCTTTCCGATGGATGGCGGCCCGTATGTACGCCAGAGAGTCTTTGCGATTCTGGTCAGCAGCTGGAGGCTCATCCGGACCATGCAGAGTCACCGATGCCTTTGTTGAACGAGCATAGGTGAGCCGCCTTTCCAACTTCTCTATCCTCAGCTCCAACGCCGCCACATAGCTGGATGACCACCGAGGTTATCAGTCTGGGAAGCGTGTGGTACCACCTAAAGAGCATCACACACCTTCTCTCCTTTCCGCGGGCGAACTGGTCATTGGCTGCGGTACACTCCTTCTCGCGACCGGCCCTCTCGCAAGCAGTGCAGGCCGGTAGTTTGTTATCACACTAACTCTGGTGTCAGTTACGGGGCAACACCACGCGGCAACTCGCTGGCTCAGTCACCTTCACTTTCGCCGAACGACCTAGACAGAAGAAGCGTCAGCTGTGCTCAAATACTAAGTATGGAGCACGTCCTTACATCTTGAACACGCAGACACTGGCCGGGAAACCTTTAGCAGCGGGCTATCTGCTAGGCTGAATTTGTGCATGGTGATGGATATGTCACCAAGGTGCGACGGGGCAACGGTCTCCTTAGGAGCCCTTGTGCTTCCGTGGAAGAAACTCGACCGGATTCTCACTTCAGACGGCTATGAGTTAATCGGATAAGTGAATGGCGGTGGACTTCAGTTGCGCTGATCATGTGTCCCACTCCGAGCCCGGAACCCTGTGGTAGCACTGTCAAGCAGATAGCAGAAGATGATCCCTTTTTGGGAGACTCGGAATATGAGAAACCAATCCAGGAGGAGAAACAACAGGGCTGCGGCAGTCAAAAAGGTCTCGCTGAAGCTGTGGAGCTTCGGGGGCAGGCGCCTCAGCTGAAGACGCAGGCCGGGCAGCTGAGATTCGGATTGAACGAGCGCACCTCACTTCTTGGCAATTCTGTGTCTCGAGTCGAAATACGTGAGAGGGCTAGGATGGGCCGAATCGTATCTTCCCTTTTTCATGTTTTTTGGAGTGCCTTCCGTCACTTCAGCTCACTTAACGACAGGGGATCGAAGGCTGAAACTTGAATCAGGCTGGCGGATGGTCCGTGCATCATGTGACCCTAGTATTCGAGACCCTGACCCCACCAAGTTGCCTGGACCCCGCATCGAGTCCTTCTCAACGTCTTTTGCTTGTCAGGACCTGTATTCAGTACCTTTCGTAGCAACCTTGAAGAATGGATGCTGATTGAAAGTTATATAAGACTAAACCGGATAACCTTGCCTGTTGTGTATCTCTGAAGCTCAGTCAATCTCTCACTCTCTGATTTGGACTTGGACCCTCGACATGTTCAAAGCTCCACACTTCCAAGCCGGGAATTGAGCATGGGGGTGCCAGGGGTCTCTGTGTGGAGCGAATCAGGAATCAGTTTAGCACACAACTCGGCACTCTGCAGCGGAACCGCACTTTGACGATTGACCCGATCAGACCTGGCTCGTGGCTTGGTCTTGACCTCGACCCAGTCATTATCCAAGGTCCCAGACGACGCCGACGCTGCCAGGTGAATATTCTCTCTTTTCTTTTTCCCATGGCCTTGCAGCAATACTTCTGGTCCTACGGCGTCCAACACCACAGCGTCCCAACGTTCTCAAATCCAATCCATCCTCCCACTGCTCGTCACCGTCATCCCCAACCAAAACCTCTAAGCAGCCCGGCATCTTTCGCCTTGGGGGTCCCCTCTTGAGAAGGGGCATCGATGGACCCTGCCGCTGTCTTCCACCAATCTCTGGGTTCAGTCCTCCCTCATCATCGCTTCTTCCCCGGGAGACCTCCGCAACCGGGGCCGTACCCATGGGACAGCCCAGAGCAGGAGATCCACGATGCGCCGCATCGCGTCGCCCATACTCTGACTGCCTGCTGCCGATGCCGCCAGGTAGGCAACCAGTCCCTATTCTCTCCTCTTGCTCGGCCTGATCTTCTCTAACCATTATCGTCATCCAGAGGAAGACCAGGTGTGACCCCGCACTGCCGCGATGCCTCCCCTGCGAACGATCAGGTTCAACATGCGAGTACTACGATAGCGCCAAAGGGATAAAGATAAACCGCTCCTACGTGGTAAGCCTTCAAAAGAAGGTTCGCCAACTCGAGGCCGAACTCGCCCAGTACACAGACCAAGATGCCGAGGATCCGTCCAGCCATGATGACATGGTCTGCCCCGGAGGTACTGTCCGTTTTGACGAGGCAGACGAAATGCCGCGCTATCTAGGGCCGAGCAGCGGTACGGCCATGACACGATTGCTGATGGAAGAGGCAAAGAGACACGCCGAGTCGCGGAGGATCGCGAACCTCATTCCCGCGGTGCTCGCGAAACGGGCAGAGCGCAGAGATCGCATGCAGAGTGTGGTGATGGGAACCAGTATAAGCGGACCCTCGGGCAGGACAAGAAGCTACCCAGCCCACAGTATCATTCCCGCCTCTGCCCTCCCAAGCAGGGAGATTGTCGATGGTTTGGTACGGGCCTTCAATGACAGAGGTGGGTGTCCACTGACTCCCTACCAGAAATCTTGCCTTAAGATCTTGAGTCTGCATGTGCTAATCTTGACGACAGTCCAGGTATTCACGCCGATTCTCCACGAAAAGGTGTTTGAAGAAGACGTGAATGCTGTCTTTTCTGGGGACTCGGACCCATACAAACACTTCGTCGTGAACATGGTAGTGGCCATCAGCCTCCAGAAGGTGGGCAAGTACGCTGGCCTTCCCGACAGCTATTACCTTAACGCGATGCGCCGCTTCGAGGACGTCGTCCGTCCCCAGGATCTGAAGACGCTCCAGTGTCTGGTCCTAATTGGCTTGTATTCTCTGATGACGCCAACCAGGACCGCTACCTACTATGTGACTGGGCTCGCGACAAGAATATGTCAGCAAATGCGTCTTGGGGACGAGCAAACCATAAGCCTGGGCGTTTCTGACCCCCGGGCTCTTGACATGAGGAGGAGACTGAGCTGGATCGTCACGGCTCAAGAGCTTGGTCTTGCGAATGCTATGGGCCGACCCAATGGGTTTTCCAAAGCCGATGACTTCATGAACGTCAAGTTCTTCGAAACGAGCGCCGACGAGGACATCACACCAGAAGGCATCCGCTCTGGCAGATCTTGCGAGAAGAAAGAGGTAGCGATTCATTTCTGCAGGATGAGGCTCCTGCAGGCAGAGATCCGCCGGGTACTTTATGACAAGAAACGGCCTGAACCCGCCCACCAGAACCACCCATGGTTCACCGTGATGGAGCAGAAACTCGAGGATTGGCTCCAAGCCTGCCCGGAGCAGCCTGCTTGGTGCAAACCTTGGTATGTCCAGCTGCTCTCTAGCACAAACGGGGTATCTATCTTGGCTAACCCGGATTGCAGGCTTGTGGGGTACTATCACAACATGGTCATCTCGCTCTATCGGCCCTCGCCGCAAGTGCCTAAACCCACCATCAACGCCGCCATGAAGTGCTTTGACAGTTCACGCTATATCATCGACCTAGTTTATCGCTTAATTGAGGAGGGGTCAGTCGACGTTAGCTGGGAGTCTCTGTTGATTGTGTACGCCGCACTGAATGCGCTTCTCTGGTCCATCTCATATCCCGAAGTCCGCGCCGAGCACGCTAAGGGCGACGTCCAAGAACTTGCAGCTTCCGCCCTCGAGGCGGTCAAGATTTTCTCCGATCGCTGGCCTGGGTCTTCATCGGCGGCCCAGATGTATACGGTGATTGCAAATGCCTGTCTTCAAAGCTACAACGCGGAGGAGGAAACGCCGTCGCCGCCATCGACCAACCAACTTGGGACACCGGCATCTCTCGCTGGCCCCATATCACCTGAATCGGACACGTCGAGAAGCACGCCAAAAGCACAACCCCAGTCAGCCACTTCACTCTTCAACACATCCTCACCTTTCGGATTTGTATTCGACACGACCATTGGCGTGCCGGCTCTCCAGTATGGATTCGAGAGTGATTCTTCTCCTTTCCAACAGCAGCCCACTTTCCGTTCCAATTCAATCTTCATGAGCCCATCGACAGACTCCAACGGCCGCAGGCTTTCTCACCTCGCACCCGACTCCAATGACGCGTCTGCACCTGAGCGTGCGGGCAGCACGCCTCCGCCGCCTTCCTTGGTAATACCCAAGCAAGACCCCGAGCCTCCTACAGCTACACCCGCCGTCAGCCCATTGCCAACACTGCCGGGGCCCGTCGCAGGCCGCTCTCCCCACGCCGCAATCAGCTCGTCTCCGAGGTTGGCCATGACTACATCGCGTTCACCCATCGCAACACCCCATCTCCGCCCGGTCAGTCCCGTCCCGCCACTGCAACATCTCCAGGGAGCCACTCCTCAGGCGAAGCAACAATCTCCGGAGTTGTTTCCCGATCACCATTTCAAGCAGCAACAAAAACAGCATCAGCAGTACCAACTGTACCAGCAGCACCAACAACGCCAGCAACAACAGCAACAACAGCAAACGGTCCCAACTTCCGAAAGACTACCGCCGCCCGCTTTCATCACCCCTCCTCCACGGTTCCACCACCCCCATTCAAGCACCCAGCAGCGGCCGCCGCCACCGGCCCCACCCACAGCAACAGACTGGTACAACCCCTTACCAGAATTCGTTCCGCCATATGCCTTCTCCTCTAGCGTGTTGAATGGGGCCTCTACTTCGGGCTTCTGGGCAGGAGCGCCGAACCCGTTCGCAGAAGGAGGAGGAGGAGGAGGAGGAGGCCTCGCACTAAACGGAAGTCAGCATCAGAACCCCGGCGGAATCCCCCCTGCATTTGGTAGTAGCAGCAACAACCCCCAATTGCCACCATCATCAAACACAACAAATTGGAACGTTGGCTGGGGTTACGAAGGTGCGGGATTGGGGCTCGGCCCCGGCTCCGGCCCCGGGGCCGGAGCTTCTGTGACAGGCGGCGAATTCTATAACTCGTTCCTAAACGAGAGACACGGCAGTCTGAGCCATGAGCAGCAGCTGGAGCTGATGGATGTGCTCGAGGCGGAGGGGATGAGCGACATTGACAGCTTCTTGAATATGGGTTTGGGTTTGGGCGGGCAGGGTCAGGGGCAATGTCAGGTTGGTGGCAATGGGGGTGTTCCTTGGGGTTGAACTTGAACATCGGGCATGGTAGATCGGAACGGACGGGTCTCTATCGAGTTTTTATAGTGGGATCCGGAGTCGGCAGGGGTGCTAAGTTGATGACGCTTCAATGGTGAGCGAGTTTGTTTTTGTTGTTAATGGGTACAATGGATGATTCCCCCTTTGTTTGTTCTGTCTTTTCTTACAGGTGGTTGATAAAACCTGAAAGTGGCTGAAACCTGGCAGTTTACGGATGTCTGAGTGTCCAGAAAGAAGCAAAGGAAGATTTGCTGAATCACTCAAGTACTATTACCAAGTGTGCATCGCATCCCACTCTCCGCTGAGTTTCGTCACCTACAACATCTGACTTTACCCTACATGGCTATGGTCTGAAAAGGAACAGCGCGGGAACCAAATTCACCGCACGCAATACATGGTACCGGCATCCATATCCCGAGACTTCTTTTCCCCGGCACGCATGGATACTCGCCGGTAAACTAACAAACAGAATGCCGGCGAGAATTTTCAAGTCTGCTCCCTCCTCCTATTTGAAACTCGCATGAAACACTTACGCACATCCCGAATCAAACTTGCTCTCCCGCCTCCGCTTCGCCCTCCTTCTCCACCCCTCCTGAGCCAGAACCAACGGCCTCCGCCAACAAACCACCAGTCGTGCCACCAGCCGCCGTCTTCATAGCAGGTTTTTTCCGCCGCCTGCGCACACCACCATCCCCAGCAGAACCGGCGTCGGCGCTCGGTGGGGGCGCTTCCATGACCCAGCGCGCTATGGCGTTCGCCCGCTCGGTGGACGGGACGGGAAAGTCCCTGCCCTCGTCCAAGACTGATGAGGAGGCGATATGTCGGGGGCCGCGACGGTTAGTCTTACCATTCACTTGTCCCTTCGCTGTCGCTATCTTGGGCCCTAATCCTGGAGCTGGAACTGGAGCTGCTCCTGAAGATGTTGCGGGTGGATTGTTGCTGTTGTTGGCCTTGGCGGAGGTGCTGGTGCTGATTCCGTTGGCGCTGACAGCTGGAGCTGGAGCTGGAGGCGCCCGGGCGGCGTTGTCGGGGGAGGGAATGGACATCCGGCTGTCGTCGGCGGCTGCGGTGGGGTCTGTACGCGAAGTTAGCTCATCGCGCATGAGCTTCGCGTCGAGGGCGGCGACGGCGTTGTCGAGACGGTAATCGTGCTCGGCACGCAATTGGCGGGCTCGAATGGCTACTCGGAGAGAGGATTCGTCCGTCTCGCGGTCGTCGGCGAGGGCGTCGAGGACGGCTTGCTGGCGGATGCGGTCTTTGAGCTCCTTGCCAGCTGCACCTACTGCTGCGGCTGGAAAGTCGGGGCTGCTGGCTGCGCTGTCATGTTTGGGAGCAGGGAGAACCTTGGGTTGTTTAAGCGGCGGAAGGGAGACGGGAACTGGCGTCGCACCGTTTCCGGTGGACTGGAAAAGGGGTAGAGGTGCCGGTGCGCAGAGGTCCTCCCACGATCCCGTCAACTGGATCCAGTTGCCGCTCGCTCGTAGCACCTCAATCCAGTCGGCCCGCGCGGGGCATCTGCTAGACTGAAACACCGGGTAGCCGTCGGCGAGACGTGCGAGACGGGCCACCATGTAAGCGTGGCGGAGCAGCTCCTTGGCTGAGGTCTGGATCAGAGCGTGGCATAGCAGAAGAGCGTGGAGAGCGTCAGTCAAGAGGGGGTGACATGTCAGGGTTTCCGTCGTGGTCTGCACTGGCCCGACCGAGGGCGACAGGTGCGATGCCCGAACCACTTCCGTGCTAGGATAAGGGGGTAGCCCGCTGGGTAGGGAGGAGCTGAAAAGATCTGATAGCGCATAAGTGCGGTGAGACACCATCAGTTCTTCGCTCTCGCCAACCACGGGCGAGCGCGGCCCCAGGGGGTAGCTGTGAGAGCGTGGTGTCCTGCCGCCGTTCACTGCGGAATTTACCTTGCGGGTGAAGTCCTCGGCAATCTCGATGGGCAGGTCCGGCGAATATTCAAAATGTGAGAGAAAGGCGGTGTAATCACGCAACGCCCGCTTCGCGTTCTGTCTGACAAGCTTCCTTGCTTCGGCCATTTCCCGTCGGGCTTCCTTTCCTGCCGGCAAAGGTTCCAATTGAGACTGCTGTGTCGCATCGTCGATCTCGGCGCCACCGTTCGAATGCCAGTTATTTGGGGCCGGGACCGCCTGCAGGCCAGCCGCTACATGGCGGCAGGCAATGGTCAAATAGACGCCAGCTCTTTGGAAAACCAACTGCATCTCCAGGCTACTTGGCCGATCTTCCTCCTTTAATATGACGTCCTCCTGCCGTCGGCCAGTGCCGTGTGATTGCCTCTCCAGGAGCTGCGTTTCCTGCGGCAACTTTGGCGACGAATGGGCCGGCCTGTACAAGCGATACAGCTTAAGGGCCTCAGTCAGGTCATCAACGGCACCCTCATAGTCGCCCTTGAAGACGCGGACCGTGGCCCGGGTCCTCAGGGGCTCTGGGTCGGATGGCTTCGCCGATATAACGTCGTTTAACGGAGTTAAACTCGTGCACTCGGCCAGCTGACGACTGGGGATCTTCTCATGGAAAAAGTGGACGTACTTCGCATCCGGGTCTTGAGAATTGCGCTGAAGTACCAGAGATGCTACCTCTTCGAGCGAGGAGGCGCTCTGCATGGTGGCAACGCTACAAGCAATCTCATCCAGTCGATATGCCTCCATCAGCTTATGGGTTGCCTGCTCCCTCATCCTGTGTTTTCTCTCGGGGCTTAGCTTCGTCTGTGGCGGCGGACGGCCGCCGAAACCAAGGCCTAATGCGGCCGCATGATGAGAAGAACCCAGAAGGCCGCGCTGGCCGATGGAGGCCACGCCGCTGGCGGCGCGTACGGCAAGGTTGGTAGCATCATCGACGAGACGTCTAATCTTGACGAGGTCGAAGAAAACGGCCGGGTCAATTGGACGCGGCCTTGGGGTATTATAGTTCGCATTCGCAATGGTCTCGAGGATCTCGGGTGGAAGCTGAAGCCACGGTCCGTGGAAGGACGAGATGTATCGCCAATGCCTGGGCCGAGAGTCAGCCGTCGTTGGCAAGGAGAGCGCAAAGAGGGGACAAGCATGGAAACACGGCAGGGAAGTGAGTGTATCGACGCAAAGGTATGCCAGGCCAACACAGAAGGGACTGCTTTGTGTTTTCTTTTGGGGAAGAGGGGGGCGGGGGGCAAGGGGTGAATGCTATGGGGCAGCGTGGGAGGGCGCACTTGTTCCTACAGATTACAAGCACCTGTTGTGACGGTGGTGGTTGCGGGACAGTCTTTGTTTTTGCAGACTTCTTGACGGCAGATTGCGGTTGTGACTGCGGCTGCGAGTGGGATGGTGTCGCCGGAGAGGAAGGCCGGCCATTGACGTGCTCATCACCATGGCCGAGGGCGGTCGTCCTCTTGGACATTTTTCGGCAGCTCAAAGGGACGTCGGCCGACATGTACTCGCGCGATTGGCGGGTCGCGGCGCAGCGCGTGGCGTGTGAATTTCTGAAATGCCGAGCGAGACACGGGACCGGACTCAGGCGGTCGAGTCAGCGGCAAATGAAATCGGACCCGCTGAATCCCGGGGCCCGTTCGAAGCGGCGGCGGTGGACAGCGAACCCCTTTGGAAATGAATGCTGCTTCCGATGCGACTGCCTCTGTTACCTCCCCCCCTTCATCTCACGTACAATCAGGCCGCAGATGCCGTCGCGGCTTTGTAACAGTAGGGCATCCGGCGGGAACATCACGTGCCGAGCTTTTTGAGCATCGCGGCCCGCAGCGTACAATCCGACGCCATCTTCAGACAAGACGAGATACCGTAATGGAATTATGGCGATTTGAGCTGGAGGTTCAAATTCTTGGGCGACACAGGCGGGCAGCCGGCGGCGAGGAGAGAACAACCTGGAATCGAAATTGTGAAATCGGATAATGTCGAGGGCAAGGACGATGTGCCAATCTGCTCAGGAGGCAGGCAACAACTTCCGAGTAACGGCAGCCCTAACCCTGAATGTCTTCCATCAAAAACGACCAAATCATCGGACTCGGAGGGATCAGACCCATGGACAGCAGCTTGCAACTTCTCTTCTTTCAGCGACGGACGAACCACCTGGAATGATGGATTCAACACACTTCCGTAGAATTCTTGCCGCTGTCGGTGGAACCAGTTGACAAATTTAGTTGAAGAAAGGCTTCTAGCTATTTTTACCCCTTCCAATCTCGGATACCCTGTATCCCCGCGATTGGGTGGCCGCTTTCCCTTGGGCGCTTCAGAGACCAATTGTCATGAAGCAGTGCAGCCCTTGGCGCCGGCTCCCGTGCCATCACCACATCCGGAGTGCCAAGAGTAAGAATGAATGATGGGCGCTTTTAACTTAGTGTCGCCCGCATGGCAGTGGTAATGAAATCTCAATATGACTTGTCGGTTCTCTCTTCCGGGCTCATTGAGAATTGTGATATCAAGATCTCAGCGCCTTGACCTTGGCCAGACGCAAGACCAGCGTACAGTTGCAGGCAACCCTTACCTGGCTTCACAGCTCGACTCAATATATTACCAGTTCTCTGGAGCGACACAGGCGGTGCTGCTTTTACCAAAAGCCCTGACGAGCATGCTGTCACACGGACGGACTTCAGCTTCGCAATGGCTGAGGTCATGGCTTCTCATAACAGGACTACGTACGCAGGCGATTCCTCGAATCGAGTCTGAGAATCCTCTTTGATTAACAGCTGAGAAGCCCTTGTCACACATATCCAACTAGTCGCTGCGCAGACGGCTGTCTCAACACTCTTTGTCCCAGACACCAACACCATCATCTCGGTCAACCTGGTCCCAGACTCTGAAGACATCAACTTTTATGTCTCAACACCAGACTGGTACCAATATACAGCCATTGGCTTCGGAGCTTCCATGCCCAATGCCCTGATGCTGGTTATGTATGCTTCCGGAGACCGCAAAGGCAAGATCATGCATTCAACGCTCTCCCCATGGGCCGTGCAACCGCTAACCGTCTTCTTACAGGCGTGACAGTCAGTCCGCGGATAGCTACGTACGTCTGCTTATCTGCCTAATGTTACAATCATTGCCCCTTTCTCACACCAATAATCCAGGGGCAACATGGAGCCAGTCTGGTCCCCCAGCGTCGAGCTCACCCTTCACTCGTCTACCATCGACGAATACTCCGACATGGTCGTCAACGGCACCTGCCACAGGTGCCGACCTCTGATTAAACAAATAGATTCGGCCTCGCCCATGATGTTCGCCGTCGGCCCGAGCCTCGACCTCAGCTCAGACGAGCCAGACGCCCGGATACGCCGCCACATCGCCTACGGTCTGTTGTCCATCTTACCTTGGCGGGCTTGCCCAGCCCAGACCCGACTCCTCAAAAACCACCATCTTGCTAACGAGGACGGGATCCAGGCCAATTCACGATGGACCTCGTCCGAGCCACCGGGCCGGGCGGCATCGGCTCCGGCTTCTCGGGCAACGCATCCTCGGGCGCGACCCTGGCCGCCGACGGGCTGCGGCAGGATAGCAACAAGGCCGCCACGGCGCACGGCATCCTGTACGCCATCGTCGCGCTGGCCGTCGCCCCGTTCGACTCGCTTGTCGCGGGCGCCCTGGGGAGCAGGTGGGCGTGGCTGCACGGTGTCACCGCGAGCGTGTATCTTGCGTTTGTCTTTGGCGCCTTGGTGCCTGGGGTGCTCGTTAGTCGGGAGCATGTGGCGGTATGATTTTCTCGGCCTCTTTCCTGGTACATTGTGGAGCAGTTCTTGCCACGTGTCTGGAAGCTTGGGAGTGTTGGTCTTTCTTTGTTTGGTTGCTGACCATCGCCCGTTGTACATCGCAGACTCGGCAGTTTCGCACCGGCCACCAAGTGATCGGCCTGCTGACCATCGTGGCCATGACGCTCATGTTCGTCTGGGGTCTCTCGCTGTCTTGGATTAAAGGCTCGGCCAAGAAGCGGGGGCAGGAACCGCCCGAGAGTACCCGTCTACTGGGGGTCACCCATCGCTGGATTTGCCGGGTAATCTGGGTTCTTTTGTTGGTTAATGTCGGACTGTAAGTCTTGCGCCATCGGTTTGATGATGTTGTAATGGCCTTCGCTAACGTGTCACCCAGGGGTCTCAAACTGTCGGAGCACAGGATGGTATTGCTTCTAGCCTACGTGGCGGTTGCTCTCGGTCTAATCGTCATCCTCGTGCCCGTCTATTTTTGCATCTGGAGGTGCTCGAAGAAGAGGGAGGGGAAGGAGAACGGAATGCATGAATTGCATACCATCTATGACCATAACTACCGGTGATCGAAGGGCTGGCCCTGCGATACGGTGGTACTAGTTCAAACGGTGCCGGTTGGTGAGCCTGGAGTTGTCCCTGGACAAAACTTGAAGTTTGATAGGCTTCAGGGGAACTACGTTATTTTGGATCCAGTGATCTTCCTGGTCTGGGATCCCATTCCTGCGCAATTCAAATAAATGCCTCTTAAGAATCGTCAGAACACTGCACCCTCCGACTTGAGAAGATCAACGTATGCAGTGTCAAGTATCTGATACCAACGCGTAAGGCTGGTAGGCGATCATGCTTAGAGGCAAGTACGCCTCTCCTGACACCAGGCTACCGCTCACGACAATGAATCGTTGTGTCCAAGTACCGGGCACACCGTCCTGACGATGTAGACTGTCACAAGTTGGAGTTCGTCTGTGGCTATCCCACCAAGCTCCGTGATACTAGTCTAACTGGCCTGGGTTCTGAGGACTAGAGTTGTCTTTGTTTCATGCCCCAAGTACCCGAAACTACCCTTGAATGGCAACGTAGACCGTCATTCAAAATGCCCATGATGGCCTCGCATGACTATAAAGCCACCTACCCACAGCCCACCGTATTCTTCAGGTCCATACCATATGCCTCACCCAACCCAAGCACCAGGCTTCAGTCTCAAACTCTTAGACCTCGACTCGAGACTACCCCGCTCGCCCTACCCCAGCGCTTCTTATCAATCAATCCGTCCATCCCGCCGAGCTGCGAACCTCATCGCCATGCCTGCTGAAATAGTCAACTGCCCGAAATGCGGCATCTCTATTTCCAGCAAGCAAGTCTGCCCTTTCTGCGGCAAAAGAAGAGCAGAGGAAGAAGATAAAGAAGAAGAGAAGATGGACAAGTGATAGACTCCAGGTGGCAAGCATCACAAGTTCGCAGTCCGTGATGTGGACTTCCTAGTGGCGTTGCTGATTACCAAACCGGAGTGCTGCGCTAGTCAGGTACTCTATTGTGTGTTCTCTTCAAGCGCCGGCCTACTAGTAACTATCCAACTTTTGAACATCATGGAGTTCTCAAACCCACCAGACGGTGCCAGGTCTGACAAACCATGGCCAAAACCGTTACTGAGCCAGGATTTTGCTACGCTGTAGACGTCATGCTGGCTTCTCCAAACTCGCTCAATCTACTGCAGTGAACACCCTTTGCAAAAGAAGATGACCCTCGAATGTGACTCTCAGAGATACAATGCTCCCCACCACCAGACACTCTCTCCTGCGGTTCCGCCCCAGCCGCGGAAACAAGTTCATACCGTTCCCCCAAGACGAACTTCTCGGCGCGGACTTTGATCTCCTTGTCCTTGGATGCCAGCCACTCCAACCCAGCATCGTGATCCATGCCTTCCAATCTCACTCTCACCTCGCTAGATCACCTCAACGGCCATGGCGGCTCCGCGTAGAAACGCACCAGAGCGCCGTCGCCGCCTTCGGCACGATTGAACCGCCGCAATGGAACAATAATCCGGTTGTACATCGCCAAACCCTGCCTCTCTTGGTCCCGCGTTATCTCGTACGTCCCCAAAGACCCTCTACCAGAATCCCTGTGGTCCACCACAACGAGACGCAGCGTCAGGATGGGCAGGTTGAGCTCGTCTCGGATCCAATCCACCGTCTCGTCCCAGCCCCGGAGCGCAGGGTGATCGTCGCGCGGCCGGTTGCCATGATAAAAAGGGGAAAACACAATTTCGAGAAGCGAATATACCGCAGGCAGTGTCTCGGGACAACTCTTCTCAAGAAATGGCTGGCCGCGAAGGACGTGTGCGGGTAATCACGCAACGGCGGTCTGCTCAGAAACGGGTTGGTGCCCGGGCTGTTGACGACGATGAAGCGATTCTCGCCGTAGAACACCGCGTTCGCCTCGGCGCAGAGCATCCGGCAGACGAGGAACAGGGGTGTTGGGGGGGGGGGGGGGGGCCAGCATCGGCATCGAGACGAGGAGGCCGCGTGGCGCGCGCGGCAGAAGCAGCTGACAGATGGTTGTGGGAAGGTTGTGCGCCCGCACTGGCTGAAGTGGCATGCCTGGCGGTGTTCTGGCTTGCAGTATCCGGGGCCTAATGCTGCGTAGCATGGGGGTCGTTTGATGTAGTAGCCGAATGACAATCTGGCCCACATGACTTGCTTGCTGGGTGTGATGAGGTCGGTGTACTGGAGAATGCGAAGCCTTATTCGGCGGCGGAGAGTCAGGAGACAAGGGCCAAGGAATGATGGCGACTTCTCCAGAGGTCCAGGGCGTACCAGACCACGAACGCAGAAAACAACCTCGTGAGCGAGCTGCGGGAGCTGGCATCACGTTTCGCATATTCGGATGTGGCAGTCTTTCAGCCGCGGCAGCAACCGGAGGCCGTCGAGCAGGAGCATGGTATATCAACCTTGCCGTGTCCAACATCACAGACCGGTGAGAGCTTGAGCTTCCAGGAACAACAGATGATGCCAAATAGGCCGCGGTTTCTTGCCATTTTTTCGACGACGCCCCTCGTAGGTGGACTTGCTCCGGTCAGCGGAAAATCGTGGTCGTACCCGTGCTTGTAAACGCAGCCGCGAAGAGACGTTGGTATACCAGTCACCGTATTGGCTTGCTTGTACGCCCAAATTCGGTTGCATTTGAAGAGAATGGATTCAATGTCGCCTATGGGGATAGAAGTCGCAACGATCAAACACAGCTTCATTCCCCTATAAAGTCGGGCACGAGCAATGTTTCAATGAAAAAAATGCTGACGCCAAGCCCAGACCCTTTCAGCCGCTTAAAGCATAGGGCATGCGTAAGGTATATACAATCCAGCCATGCCCGCTGCAGCCCTGGTTTGTTTGTTCGCGTAGCCCATTGAGGGTACTACTAGTACCTGGATACAAGAAGAAAAATAAGATTTAAGGAATGTAAGGAAACAAGCAAGGAGTAGAGAAAGAACGATATAGACGGTGAAGATGAAAAGTAAGGGAGGAGGGAAGAAGAACAGAGATATATATGAATAGGAAGAAGAAAAGAAGATCGTTATCCGCTGTGTCGGATACGCCCGTATCAGGACACTATGTCGGTGTTGGAGGCAAGGTAGCGTCCGGCGTCATCTGACTGTAACAAATCGGCATCCTCAAGGGACATATGCTCGACCGTGTTCGGACTTTGCTGCGTGATTCTGATGCGTAAGGGTCTCCTGCTTGTCCGGAGCACAATCGTACTGCTGCCGCGCTTGTTCCTGGGGTGCCTGGTTTGCGTGCTTTCTGACTTATGCCTAGCAGAGGCCCTCATAATGGCCAGTCCCTGAGGCAATCCAGAGGACCGGCTGCAGGCTGTCAAGGCCCCTCTATTATTTGCTTGACTCCTCCACCTTGAGCCAACCTCGAAGTCTCTAATTAAGGCGACAGCGGGTACAATCGAGCATCCGCTGACGGTTGAAACGCTGAGCGGCTTATGAATTTCAAGCTACCAAGTTGGAATGAATACAAGTTAAAAGGCTGGGCCAGAAGCCGCTGATGGTACGTATATCACTCAGTCATTAGTGGGTATCCAAGGTTGAAGCCGCATGACTATCCAAAGATGCGTCGCAGCCTTTGCCAATGGCCGCTCAGTCGGGTTTATCTTCATAATGAATGTAAGAAAGGATGCGAACTTGTCCCTGACCTCATCGTTCAAACCCGGCATGACCTCGTCGGATGCCAAGGGCGGTCCATCAATCGGAGGGGAATCATTGGGCTTTCTTCAGCCATCAAAGATTCTCCGAACAAGGCCCTGATTTCCCTTCACTAGTAACTCTTTTTGGAAAGGGGCCGAACAAGTACACGATCTCGGCCACATGCTCCTTGAGCTCGTAGTGTCCGTCGGGGGGAGCTCCGCCGTCGAACATGCGCATGACCGGGCAAGGGATCATGCTCTCTTTGAACCACGCGCCAAAGCTTCGCATCGTCTTCCCCAAGAGCTCAGAAACGAGGCAGACAGGCGTGCCGTTGAGGTCTTGGTGCTCGAAGTCGTCGAGGTAATGGCAAACATACTTGTACCCGAGCTGGCAACGGTCACCGTTGTGAAGGTGGGTGAGAATCTCCCTCTCGAATATGGGCTGAGATTCGTCATACGACTCAGCACTGAGGGCCTTGAGGGCTAGAAATCTGTGTTCGTTATCATTCTTATCATGTGGTTAGCATGGGAAAACTCGTGTCCAGTCCGCGAAGGCCCAGGGCGAATGGCTCACGGCTTTTGTCAGGTCCCAGACCAACCAGACTGTCGAGTAGACACCATATCCAATCTTGTTCAGGACCATGTATTTTCCCCGCATACACATCCCCAATGTAGACCGGGTGGAATCCACCAGGACGGTATACGTCCCTGCCCTCTTCAATGTCTCCCGGGTTCGGCACTGTCTTGGTCTCCTCGTCTTGACCTAGAATGAGAGGGGCAGATTCCTTGTTGAGTGAAATCCCATGCAATGAAACGTGGTGGACAGATTTATCTTCCAGTTGGCAGGTAGCAAGCGGATCTGGGGGGTGAGGCTCATAATTAGTCGAAGCGCTGGCACAGATTGCGAGTCAAGCTCGGAGCCAGGTGTGTTGGGTCAATCTGCGTTTGCGAGCCACATATCCTCACGTCAGATCACAGGCGTAGTTTGAGGGGCTGTTCTCGATAATCATGGACTGTTGCAGTGGATATGGCTAGAGCGCGTTGCATTCGGCTGAGATGTTTTGGCGGAGGGAAAGTACTTCCGTCACCGTTTGCACCTGCGTTGTCAGGCGCTCAATGCAATAGCCCCAGCAGTGACAGCACACACTGCAAGCAGGTATTGGAAGGAGCACTTGTCACTCCACTTCCTCGACACCTTCGTGAATACCACTGGCAGAGTTTAGGCACCTACCTTTAGATATTTTGAGTATCCTTACATCCAACAGCCCGCCCAGCCGGTCAGCGGTACCAGCTCCGTCGGTAGGGAATCAATTCCACTTGTTGCTTCAAGCTTGGGGTCCATACTTAGATCCAGTTCAGTGATTAACCATGGTATAGAATACACAACCGGCGAGGAGCTTGGATGTGATAGAGCCCAATCCCACGATAAGTATCAGTTCTTGTACAGACGACCCGTTCCTTTCCTGTCACCCGGTTTTACCGTAATAGCAACACAAAACACGTCTCACACCTGTTCCCTTCCATAAGGATGCTGCGTTTACTCGGATCGTACAACAGCCCACACACACTCAAGTCGCCGTCTTAGAGTCCGCCCCTCTGAACCGTAGATCAACCGAGAGTCCCCTTCATCAGCCACCCCACCCTAGTTGCTAATCTCAATCCCTAATCCGATCAACACCGCAGACAGTCAAACAGCCTCACACCTATCCCAGACGACGGCTCGCGCGTCAACCGGCGGGACTTGCGGGGCGTGACGACTGCGTACCCGTCAGCTGCCGAATTCAGCCTGGCGCTGCCCTTACCACCCACCTAGAACGGCCGGGCATCGTTGGCATGCAGATTCTTAGTCCAGCGGGGCAAATTGCGGTCACGCTCGTACATGAAGCCGCAGTTGTTGCAGAGGGACTGCTCGAAATTAGTCTTTGCATGCTTCTCACACATTGTAGGAAGATGTGGTAAATAAAGAAGACCGGACTGAGTAGAAAGGCAGAAAGTAGAGAGAACTTACCCTCGGCCCATACGGCCCATCCCTCACCGCCCACACGCTGGTCCCCCAGACACGGCAATGCGAGCACCTCCAATTCATCCTCTCGACATCAGTTAGCGTGCCGCCACCACCATACCCCTCCCCACCACCACCAGCAGCAGGCGTCCCCCTCGCCCCAGCCGTGGGGGTACCCGACCTCCCTAGCGGGCTCAAACTCCTAAACCGCTTCTTCTTCTTACTCCTCTCGCCGCGGCCCATCCGCTCCTCCACCTGCTCCTGCTCAATCAGGCCGGAGAAGGCGAACCCGATGGGCACCCCGCCGGCCATGCCGGTATTGCTGCTGAACCGCGCCGTCTCGCGCCGCAGCCGCCGGATCTGCCTCTCCCGATCCCCCTCGCGCTTCTCAATCTCCTCCCTGGTCAGCGTCTCCAATTTCGGCTCCCACTCGTCCGCTAGATGCTCCGGGTCGTACCGCCATCCGGCGCCCTCCCCGCCGGCCGTGAGCGCCGCGTCGTTGGGGAACTCGTTGATCATCACCCCGCTTCCTGCAGCACCGGCAGACGCGCTGCTGGCCCAGCCCGCGACTAGCCCTCCGGACTCGCAGGCCTCCTTTTTCAGTTTGAGGACGGCCTCGTAAATGGCGTGCGTCATGGCGGGAATCCACTCGCCGTGCAGGCCCAGGTCGGCGCAGGTTTGCTTGGCGAACATTTCGGCTGTGCCGGGCGGGTGCAGGAGCGACCATTCAAACTTGTCCGTGTAGACTTGGGAGGAAAGGTTGATGTTGAGGTTAATGATGCAGCGGTATGTGTCGTCGGGGCTGAAGTCGTCGGTTGCAGCGGCGGTGGTGTTGGTTGTTGCCGTGGTGGTTGCTGGGTCGGGCGGGATGGGGGTTGCCGCGGCGGTTATTTCGCCTTGGGCAGTTTGTACCACGGCGGGTGCGGCAGGACGGAGTGGTTTTGACGGGGTGGGAGCGAAGTTATTGTTGTTGCTGCCTCCCATGGGGGTGTCGGCTCGGCTGAGGGCCGGAGTGGCCGAATCGAGACGGCCGGGTGCCTTGGGAGGCTCGGGGGCATTGGAGCGGTGAGTATGAGAGTGGAAGAGCGGGTGAAGCGCAACTCCAGCGTATTCTTCGAGTTGTGTCCGGATCTGTTTGCTGATTTCGGCGATGGTTGACGCTCGGTTTGGGAGGTCGAGATCCTGAACCAGCTGGGTGGCGAATTGATCTGTTGTGATCAGCGTCTCGTGCAGGTTCCATAGAAACGTATCCCGTAGCCGGTACGGTACTGTCGCTTCTTGCGGCTTGTAGAAAGGATGATTGATATCCACGGGCCCCGGCGCGGGCAGGGCTGGCAGCGGCGTGAAGGCGGGAATGTCCAAGTCGATTCGTATGGGGACCAGAGTGAGCGGCAGGCAGGCCTGGACGTAGTTCTGGGCGTCAGACCTATTCAGTCGCACCTTGGCCATCCAGTCGCGATAGATTCCCTGCATTTCAACAGGCTCGCTGGTGTCCTTGCCGACCTTCTCGCTGACATCGACCTTGGAGGCGCTGTCGTCGCGGCGCAGGCTGCGCAAGCCGGTAGGCCGGCGCCTGCTATCGTCATCGTCGTCATCGTAATCGTCGTAGCCGTCTTCGGCGTAGTTTATGATGGTGGTCCCGCGCTTGGTGGTGCGGGCGAGCGGGTTTGACGGGGCAGTGCCTGGAAGGACAGGCTGGAGAAGGGCATTGTTGTAGGTGCGCAATCGCGGTGCATAGGACGAGAGTATGGCCTGCTGTGATCCGGATCGCGTGGCCATTGTGGAATTGGGGATGCGTCGCTTTTTCAGGCTATCTCATCCCGGCGGCCACTTCGCGGCGAGCAGAAGCAGGTCGCTTTGTCTCCCTATGGGTGCTTGCAAGGGCGCTGGTGGAATCTTAATGACTCGGAGCTGCAGGTGGTCGAGGAACTAAATTCTCGCTTGAGTGCAATGCCAAAGACTTATTGGAAACCAGGGCTGATGTGAGATCGAAGCAAACAACCGCAGACTGAAGGTGATTGTGTTTGCGGCACCAGCAGCTTTCCTCCCTCACTCGATCCAATGCAGTCAAAAACGCGTCGCATCTCAAAAAGTGGGTCGTCATGCAAGAAGGGCTTAGCGCGCATCACGCCTCTCAACACCACATGGTCTGTGCCTCAACCTTCTTCCGACATCACCGCTTTCAACCAAGGCTCCGAACAAACCAAACCAAACCAAACCAACGCTCTGGCCAAGATCAAGCCGAACCAGCCCCCATGGCTTGACTTTGTTTGCGGGCTTGCAAACTATGCCAAGCCGCAAGGTATACCGGTAACCCTGGCGAGCCTGGCTAGTTAGAGTCAGAACCGGCATAGATACCCCTAACCCTGAATAGCTCGCTCGACAGGGCGGCACCAAGATCATGGAGCTTCGCTGATGCTGGTGGCTGGATGGCATCTTGACAAGCCTGTCAGCCACTATTGTATGCTTGGCAGCCGAACCAGAAGAACGGTTTGACTTGCCAAATCGACCAGTATTGCCGATTTGATTGTGTTTGGCTTGTAATTGGCAAGTCTTGGCTTGAGTTGGTTTGATTTGTCTGGAGCCATGCTTTCAACCACAATGCCGATGACCTTCAAGCTCGTGTTCTACTCCCATTTCCGCCTAAAGGTTTCTCTCAACCAGTTGCAGCACTGCTGGGACCTCTGAGCAGCACAACCCTGGCTTTAGGTTCCGTAACAACTCCACAACTCAACGGAGCAGCTCGCTCAAGGTAGAGGTAATGGCACTGCTCACTCCCGGACATCATGGTCCTGGAAGTAGCAGCAAGGGTTAGGAAGAGCACCACGCCGAACCAGAGACTGCAAGAAAATGCCAACTGACTTGAACGTCTCGCGCTCACGAGCTGCCTCCCACGATGATACTGAGTCCGAGTCCGAATCGTGCGCTGCTGTGGTCATCGTAAAGGGCGCTGAGGGCGTCGAGGGCGGCGAGGACGATGTGGCCCGGGGTTCGAATGATGATCTGCTCGAGTGCAACGAATCCACACGCTCACCAGGCACAGAAACGGGGATACTTGGCCAGCCTGGCACGCACTACACAAGTTGTGGAGGTTGTTGACACGCCTTGGTCCATCCGGTGTAGCGGCAAATGACCAACTGGACAAGTCCAGTCAACACTCAGAGTCCTTCTAGTTTGACAAGCGAGAATTCTTGTTTCGTGTTTTTGGATGGTATCTTATTCTGGTTATTATTGACACGATTGCGTCTCTGCAGTCCAGGAGGTGGCTTCCGAAGTTCGAGGTGTTGCCGCCGCCTTGCTTTTTGGGCTGGCCCTGACGGCGCGAGTAGCCAAAAGCCCACCCCGGTACTTCCAGAAATCCTGCAAATGGGCGCATTGCAAGCTGGCAATGAAGGTTCAAGCAGTTGCTTTTGTTCTCTTTCCCTCGACAGAGCATCCCTCGGTTTATATGGTCTAGCTTTCTAAGCATTCTCTCCTCTCGTCCCAAGCAACAGCCAGCCAGGTCGCTTGACGGCAGCGTGAGAACGAACGCAGCGGTCTCAACGTTTCTACCGCAACTCCTCACCTTCGCGGCTTTTTTCCCGCCCATAAAACAAAACATTCCTTGCTTGGCCCGTTTTCTTCCACGCGGCATCGCTCCCAGACACTTGGCGGATTATTTCCCTCTACCTACCCGACCATTATTCTCTTAACATCTTTTCTGCGTTTCCCTGAGCCCTTCTGTCTTGCCCTGCAGAATATAAAGACACCAAATCCTCGCTCTCATCCTCTCATTCCTCCTTTAACTCCAACTAGATCTTCCTGGGGCTCACACATCCAGCCAGTTCCTCCAGGAATCCTTCCCTCAAGCAACCGCTTCACTTTCTTTGCACTATCTACAGGCCTTGCTTCTCTTAACGCGCCTTGATTGCAAGATGAGTCCTAGAAAATCATTCGCTCCAACGCACCACGCAGACTTGCGCGCAGGGCTCGAGGCGGCCATAGTCTGCGCCGACGCAGCGTTGGAACCCGCGCCTCCCAGCACTTCCGACTCGGAAACCGAGACTGTGCTAGGGCCTTCCATTGATCCCTCCGGTAACAAGCGCAAGCTGGCAACGGTCCGTCTCATCACAGCCGTGACGGGTATCATAAACGGATACAATGTGGTTGAGATTGACGGCTGGAAGGTGGTGGTCGAGAAAGCCAACGGTTTTTCCAAGGGCTCATATGTGCTCTTCCTCGAGATGGACTCGTTCCTGCCCGCGTACCCCCCCTTCGAGAACCTCTTCTGCGAAGCCGGACCACTGGTCACGTTCGATGGCGAGGAAGGCTACCGAGTTGGCACGTCGGTGTGGACTGATTGGGACGGGAACGAAATCATCTCGCAAGGCCACATCTTCCACCTTTCTCACTTTCGAAAGATCAACCAGAAGGTCTGTGACTTACACTGGGAGCACATCAAGAAAAACGACGAGGAATTTGCCGATGTCCTCCGCGGGGTTGACTTCACAGGCCTCCTGGGCGTGAAGAAATGGGAGAGCTTCCCAGAGACCCCAGTGACAAACACCACTGAGGGAAGCATCGTCGTCGCAGCAACCTCCAACCCCAAGACGCCCTCGTTCATTATCAAAGCGGAAATGGAACGCGCCCAAAACTGCCTCAATCTCTTCAAAAAACCCAAGTATCAGCATTTTATTTTCCAAGAGTCCCTCAAGATGGACGGCTCCACCATGGCCGTCTACTTCATCCCCACTGACTCGCCCCTCTTCTCCGAGCTCCCTCCTCTCCCTGCTCTGGATTATTCCAACAAAGACACTTCCCTCCGCTACGCCGTCCACCCAACCGGCCGCTTGGGAGTCTGCACCCGCACCCAGGATCTCCTCCCGCACCTGCTGCCCTCCAAGACAGTCCCGTCCCGCAACCAATACTGGACCGCCGCCGTCGCAGCCAACCTGCACAAGCTGCTGCCAGCGCTCAACAAGCCCCTCGCCGTGCAGGCCGAGCTCGTCGGCGCCGCCATCCAGGGCAACCCCTACGCCTACCCTCCGGGCAAGCACGAGCTCTTCGTCTTCTCCGTCTCAGACCTCAACCCCACTACCACCACAACCACCACCGGCGTCATGACCAGCCGGCGCTGGCGCCCGCGCAAGGTGGAGCAGTTCGCCGAGGAGAAGGGGCTCAAGCATGTGCCCGTGCTGGGCTACCACACCATCCCCTCAGTGGCGCGGCATCATCAGGACCTGGTCGACCGGGCCGAGCTGAAGAAGGGGGAGGGGCTGGTGTTCAAGAACTGCACCGACGGGAGGTGGTTCAAGGTGCTCTCGAACCGGTGGATTTTGGAGAAGGGGGACGAGATGCAGGCCAGGAAGGTCGCAGCTCCTCTTCATGCGGCCAAGGGAAAGGGGAAGGGGAAGGTTGATGAGGATGGGGAGGCTAAGGTGGTGGGTGAAGGTAAGAAGGTGGAGAATGTCGGGAGCTGGGTGGTGACGAAGGAGGAGGCGGACAAGATCCGTGAAGTGTTTGAGAATCTTGAGGCGTGGATCAAGCGGAATGATGGGCTGAGGAAGTGGATGGAGGAATGGGAGAAGGGTTTTCATGGTGGTGATGAGAAGGCAAAATGTGGAGAGGAGGTGGAAAATGGTCGGGTTGGTGAAGGCCAGGTGAATGGCATGGCTGTGTCCACCGGCACCAACGCAGAGAAGAACGGTCAGAAGACCAACGGGTTTAGAGTCTCAGAGGCAAAGCGCAAGGAACTCGAGGCTTGGTTACGCATCGAAGGTTCGGCGCTGTGATCTCCGACTTGAGCCGGGTGCAGCACTTGGCAGAGCTTTTGATGGCATGGGGAGATGGCATGGGGAAATGGCCTGGGAGATGGTCTAGGAGATGGTCATCTCTGGGGACCAAGGTACTTTATTTCCTCTCACATTTCCATCTACGGCTCTCGTCCCACATACCAGACGTCCGGAAGGTTGATTAGCGGAATCGGTCAGAACGTAGTCTTAAGAGAGAACTTTTTTTTCAGACAGACATAACCACAGTAACTCGTAGCTTGCTAATAACCGCGTTTGAGCCCAGGTATCATTGCTTGATCTTGTCCCCTTGTCCGCTGATCTCTCAATGCCTGACAGGAGTACTGCTCTGCACGCAGCGCTTCGTTGACGGGACTAACATCTGGCGACTCAACGAGCCTCCGAAAGACGAACTCGGTTGACCAGCCTCCTCTTGACCATTCCGCCCCTCTAACGCGATCTCGACCCAGATTGGCACATGGTCACTGAGCCCCCTCTCTTGCGGCGTATCCAAAATCCCCGTCCCAACTACCTTGCCAGCCTCCCACAACCACCTTGACACAAAGACCATATCCACCCGATCGCAACTCGTCCCCCACTCTCTCGTGCGCGGATAGTAAGTGTATCTCCTCTCGTGCCTGTGCACGACGCGAAACACGTCGACCGCATCCAGACAGCCACCTTTTTCCTTTTTCTTCCCCCCCCTCTCTTCCCCTTTTTCCTCCCCCTCATCCTCCCCTTTGTCCTCCCCCCTTTCTTCCCCCCCAAGCCCCTCGTGACAAGGATAATAAGCCATCGCCCGCCGATTATCCACCGCCCCAAAGAACTTGCCATTAAAATCCGCCCGATTAACACAATGCTGCCGGGGAAAAATTCTGAGCTTGGGAAACCCGTCCAGCGGCCCCCGCGCCACGTTGACGTCGCCCGCAACCACGACTCCGAAACCGCGGCGCTCGAGGGTAAGACACTCGTCGCGCAGGTAGGTGTGGAAGGCTAGCTTGTGGTCGTGACGCGTGCGGCTGGTGGGTCGGCCTGTGCGCGGGTCGCGGTAGGGCGCTGAGGTGCCGTTTACGGCGTAGACGTTGATTAGGGCGAGTGGGGTGTGAACCGTGTGATTTGGCGTTGCCTGGGTGGTGGTGCTGTTGCTGTGATTGCTGTTATTGTCGTCGTCGTCGTCGTCCCTGATTGGAGAACTGGGCACGGGGGAAAGAAAAGAAGGTTGACTGTGTGAGACAAGCTCGACGATGCTCACCCGCCCCTCGAGATCCCAGTCGGCAGAGCGGACGAGGGCGACGTGCGAGCGGGCAAAGTCTGTCCGTACGATGGTGCCCACGCCGTACAGCTTTCCTCCAAACCCCCTTGCGTTATACTTGTCACGCGGGAGCACGGCGTCCAGCGTGTAAGTGCGGCTGTCGGTGAGCTCGTCGTCATGGTTGAGAGGTGTGTTGAGGGAGGAGAGCAGGGCGGCGAGCGTCTTGGTGTCGCCCTGCTGGACTTTGAGTTCCTGCAAGAAAAGCACCTCGGGCCAGCCATGGCGAGACAGAAAGATACGCAGTCCGTCTGTTTTCAGCTGTGGCAGTGGCTGGTTGGGATCCGAGGGCTTGAAGAAGGAGGTGATCTTGGTGGTCTGGGGAGGCAGGTAAGGGCCGATTCCGTTTATGTTCCACGAGAAGATGCGTATTGTCCGCCCAGGCCTCCTATGATCTGCAGATGCAACGTCTGTTGATTCTGCCGTTGATGATGGCCTTGGTGATGGCATGCATGGTTCGGCCACGGCCACTTTCCTCCGCTTCACTGGCGGCGGGCTGATGTCGCCCCGCGCCATGTTGTTTGACGATGGCTGTGGAAGGGAGCCTTGGGCAAAACCAGCTGAGATTGGATTTGGGTGAGGTTTTGCATTCATTTTGTAGGTGTAAAAGTTGAGTCCAAATAAGAGATGCTCGCTAAGTCTTGCTAAGCTTCAATGAGAGGTATGCGGTGACATCATACGGAAGTACGGATTACACTGTACCTGTCTTGGCATTTCTTCCAACAAAGTGTTGCATAAGGTACAGTAACTTGTATGAACGTGCGAGTTTGAGATACTCATAGCCGGTTGCGACAAGAACAGCACTCAACAGGCGAAAGAGAAATGGTACACATGGTTTCAGGTCATGTCCGAGTGTCTCGAGCATTCACTCAAGCTCTGCCCTCCTTTTCTTCTTCCTTTTATATCAGAGACCGAGCTCTACGAAGTTGCCAGGTGCCACTTGTAACTTGACATGTCTGTAAGGCACTTATTAAGGGGACATGCTACTACGATGAAATATCCACGTTCTCACTTTCAACTCAAGCCTTCCTCTCCCAAGGTGGCCGACTCGCAACCTACTCGTCTTCCTCTTCCTCTTCTTCGTCTTCGTCCTTTTCTTCCTTTTTGCAGTCTGGTATTAAGACAAACGCATCAACAGCGGTCCCACATCCACAATCCTCTCCCCCCTTCATGGGCGATTGAATCAAACCTTCCTAATAAACCTGCGCCACCCGCTCGCCCGTCGGAAACGCAACCTCATACTGCAGCACCAACTTGGCGCTCCGGCCCGCGTTGAGCACCACCTCCCACTGCACCTCGCCAGCCTTCTTCAGCGTAGCCGTGGCCCGGCCCCAGTCAGCCTCCTCCTTGCCCTCCTTCCCGGGCAAGCCCGTGGCCACGGCCCTACCACTCCCCATCCCCGCCGGCTGCAGCACATCCACCCTCAGCCTCTCGTCCTCCGAGACAGGCACCTGGTCGAGCACGGTGATACCGACCGGCTTCCCCGCGGCGGCGCGCGTGTTGACCAGCGTAACCGACCGCGTGTAGATCGAGTTGTCGCCCTTGGAAAACACCCCCGTGGTGCTGCGCGACACGTCCGGCTTCGGGTACGCCACCTTGATGGCCGGGTCGACTCCGAGCGCAACGCTGAAAGCGTCGCCCGCGCTGCACCGCGGCAGCGTCGACCTCCCCAGAAAAGTGCCGTCCAGCGTCAGGCCGGTGGGGCCCTTGAGCAACGTCAGCTTGCTCGTGTTGCGCAGCCGCGCGCGCAGGTACGCCGCCGGCTTGTACTTGGCCACGACGGTGCGGGAGAAGGTGACCTGCGAGAAGGCGATACGCGCCACGCGCTGCTTGGACGCTGTTGATGATGGCTTGAGGGTCTTGGGGTGGGGGAGGTCGTACGTCGCCGTCAGGCCGGTTTCTTCAAAGGATGACTCCTGGAAGGTTACTTCGGGGGTCGGGTCGAGTATGGTTTGGCCGTCGGCGTCATCGTCCTCCGAGTGCTGGTCAGCTTGGTAGCGACGCTCCTCACTGGCGCTCTCGGCTGAGCCTCTGCCACCAAACCCGGCAATTTTGGCCGATCTTGCGAGCGGGCGGGCTCTGGAGACGAGAGGGGCTGCGGCCGCTTGTACGCCGGGAGGAGCGGGAGGCGGCAGAACACTGGCGTTGCTTGCAATATTGGCATTATTTGAACCAAAGCCGCCGAAACCAACAGACGCTTGTTGGGGAGGAGCAACATTTCCAAAGAGGCCCCCTGATACAGTCTTGCACTTCACGTTGCCGTGGAGGAAGGCCGCTTGCGGCGCCTGGCTTGCGCCAAACAGGTCTGCGCGGGGCTTCTGTTGCACATTGGTGTGCTGGGAAGCGTTCCATTGTTCCTTTTCGGCCCGCTCCTCGCGGCTGTGCACAATGTCGGTGACGTCCCAGGAGCCGCCGCCCCTTCCAGCGAGTTTGAGACGCCACGGCACGAGGGTCGGAATATCATCCTGCAAGCCAGAGAAGCTAGCCTGAGAAGTGCTAAGGATTACCTTGCTGTTGGTCCACGTCTCGGACGTCATGTTGGTCAGGCGAGCATCGAAGCTAAGCGTGGCTGTGTTGGTCGTCGACGACAGGGCCAGGTCGTAGCTTGGGGCCCAGAAGGCCGAAGAAGTGACGTACGAGAGTGTCAAATCGCAGGCCATGCTGGACTCGTCCTCTTTGGGCTGCTTGTCTGACACAACCTGCACGTCGGTGACGCTGGCCACGGAACTCCGACGCGACGACCCCGGGGTGAAGCCGGCGCCCGCTTCGAGGCTGATCCTCACCGTGTAGCAGGACCTTGGCCAAAACTGATCGCGCTCCTTGCAAATGCGAGCCTTCTCCTTCTTCTTCTCCTCGTCGCGCCGCCGCTGCTTCTCCCTGATCTTCTCCTTGGCCCTCTTGATCTTGGCTTTTTCCTTGGCAAGCTTCTCCTGTTCTTTGCCCTGGAGCTTTTCGAGGCGCGCCTCCTCACGGCGCAGCTTGGTAATTTCCTTGGTTAGGGTGCGGTCCTGGACAAGGCCGTCCATGTGGTCTTGAAAGACCTTTTCACGTTCCTTGCGGTAGGTTTCAACGCTCTTCTCGATATCGACGCCATTCTTGCTGTCCAGAGACCTGCCGTAGGCGTCGAGGATCTTCAGGCGGCTCTCGGCGCTGGCGACGGTCTCCTTTGCGCGCTTCTGTTCGTCATCCAGGGCCACCAATTGGTCGCGCAGCTTCTCCAGAGCAGCATTGACGATGTCGTCATCTTCGTCGTCCTCGGACTCCTCCTTCTCGGATTCCGAATCCGAGTCTGGGTAGATTTCCTGGAAGATGTCACGGTTGGGGAGCAGCTCGACTGTGATGTCGGTGATGATGGCGGACCCAGTTCCCTCGACCTTGATGGAGTGTTCGTCGGCCGTAGGAGTGATGCCCACCACTATGATCTCGTTGGGGCCAGGCTAGACGCAGCGGTTAGTCTGGACTGCAGCAAACGGTTGGTGAGTTTGGCCGGCCTACTTTAAGGGTGACATCTTTAAGCTCGCGTATCACCTGAGCCCGGGTTGGGAAAAGGGTGACGGAGCGGGTGGTCAAATCGCGCACATGGAACTCTCGCTTGTGGGGCCCGTCCATTGTCTCGGTGCGATGCTGCCGAAGTGCCAGACTCGTATCGGGTGATGATCAGGATAGGGATGTTGGGACTGAGCAACAATAGGACTTTTGACACGTCGATATGAAGGATGGTGGATGGAGAGGATGATGGAGAACACCATCTGACGGTGAAAAAAAGACGGGGCAGGGAATATTTATACCCCGGCGAGACGCAAGTCGATGCTGGTGGTGAAAGCAGCGGCTGCCTCCGCGAACGAGGCTGTGTTCTGTAGCCTGCCTTGGCGGCTAAAGGCTACAGTAAAAGCGGTCATGTCGTGTTGCTTGCTCGACAGAAGTGACTCAGAAACCTGAAAGTCAAGCCGAGAGCCCTGAGTGGCGTTCATAGCTTGTGCGATTGGCGTTTTGCTCAACTGTGCACAACTTCCGGGTTTTCAACACGAGGCCCTTTATACCTTGGGTAGCTTGCGGTCCTCAATGGTCCTTGTGTGCAGTACTGCCTTAGACGGAACAATCCGTGCACAATGGGAGACATAACTGAGAGAACATCTCATGCATTTGGTCGGCGTCTTTTGTCAATCGCCGTGGAAGGATTCATGGGTGTTTGTGGGTGAAGTTGAAGCACTGCAGCTGAGCATGAAAATCGCATGTGGATTGTCGAGATTACGAGCCGGAGGCCCACATTTCCGACCGCGTGTGGATTGGTATGGGCCTGCTAACCACATAGCGTTAGAACCTGCCACATAAATGAGGTGCCGCAGCCCAGCCTAACCACAACTCAACTCGGCTCCTGCTGCCCTGGCTCGCCCGGTTCTCAGACCTTTTGTGTTGAGTTCACTCGCGAACCTTTAGAACTTAGGTTGTTGTTATTATTTTCAATTACCTTACCTTTCGGGTAATCTCAAGATTCAGGTACTTGTACCCGAAACGTTCTTGTTTTTTTTCCAGGCTGATGTACGTCCGTAGTAGCCCACGGAATCTCATTTCAAAGTGGATGCAATCTCATGTTGAGTTGCAACCATGGACCACATGTCTAACCGTCAGCATCAACCAGCACCTGCCTTTAATCCTTACGTACCTCGCCCACTGGACTCAGACACTGACCGGCCAGTCTACAACGCGCCTCCCCCCGGCTCCTCCGCTCTCCCCTACCGACTCGCTGCCGATGTGCCCGAGAACAGCAGCTATTATCACCCTCCCATCTCCTCCAATGCTGGCGTGTTCTACTACCCGCCCTCTTACACCAACCCTACTCAGCCTCTAAGCAACGTCTCCCCCAAGCCCATCACAGACCCCCCGCCAGCAAACACATACCCTCCCCCTCCGAACTCGGCCATTGCTCCCACAGCAGCACCACCGCTTGGCCCCGTGATCACCACCACTCATGACGACGGCAACGCCACCCTCGGCGAAGCCCGCGCGAGAACGCACTCAGCCCTCCGAGAGCTGCTGGCGACCTGGAGACAGCACGCCATGGTCAATGGCATTACCAGCACCAACACCACCCCGGGCAAGGTCAACGGTTACCCGGGGCCCCAAGGCGAGGTCGAGGAGCGGGTGCGGCGACAGACCGGGTTGGTGCTTCAGGGGTTGAGGAGACTGCGGGCGCGGGTCGGGGAGCTGGGTGAGCGGGCCGAAGGGGAGAGGTGGCGGCGGGTGGTGGTTGGGGGTGTATTGTAAGTCACGTATTTCCATCAAGTTATGTCAAAGTGTGGAGGGTGCTGTGCACGGGGCCATGAGGATAGGACCGCTCTGGCCCTAGCAAAATGACTAACCCATGTGTCTTGCAAAAGCGCCTCCTTCATCCCCCTTGTCAAGCGGCTGTTTCGCCGGCCAAAGGATGAGGCAGACGAATCGACCAACAGGACCGAGTACGCGTTCAAAAAGAGCAAAAGCCTCGTCTCGCGCATCCTGGCCTCGACGCACCGCCCGGGCCTGGGAACACTGGCCTTCTTTGTCTTTGCCGTCCTCTACGTGTTTCAGAACGAGGTTGCGCTGCGCGTGGCGAGGACCGTCGCGAGGCGGCTGAAGAGGCTCGAGGCTAGGATCGAGGACGGGCGCGAGGAGCTGACCGAGGGCGATGTCAAGTTGCTGCAGGGATGGAGGTGGAGGATCCTGGTGTGGAGTGAGTGATGGATTTACGTATGATGATGCATCATGATGGCGTTGTGGGATGTTGGTTGGGACTTGCATTTACGAACGGCTTTTGATGAAGAGGCCCTTTTTATGAATTGTATGACTGACGACGCTGTTATGGGCACCGTCCTCCTCCTGTTCTCCGCTCTTCTAATAGGGCCCGCTCGGCGGCATGCAGCTTGCAGAGGTTCCCCGTCGCTATGAAGCACTCAAAAGAAGCCTGGAGAGCTTTCTCCCTTTCCATCTTTCTCTCGGCCGTACTCCGGGTAGGGGAAATCGACTTTTCGACATTGCCAAATCAAACACAAGTTACACAACCCATACATCGCTCAAGCGACTGTGTCCCTTCTTTATGTCTCCTCCTCCAGCTCGTCTCCGCCAACCCTTGAATTGATTTGCTCTCGTAGGTAAGATACCCCGCTGGTCTGCCTGTCGGATGTCGATGCCCCCGAAGTATTGAGTGTTGATGGAGTAAATAGGGGAATGACTTGCGTCTTGAGTGGCATCGCCGTGGGGGAGACTTCACCAAGATATGCGTGAGACGGCCGACAGGACGCAAATGGGCTTGTTAATACGAGTGGACACATCATAGGAAGCTCCGGTTGGAAGGCGTTATGTTGTGTTGGCGCCGAGGTGAGGAACCGGGGGGTTTGTTGATAGGAGAGGAGCGCTCCGGTTGAGGATTGAGTCTCCAGGATTGGTGGTGTGTCCGTCGACACGGGAATTCCGTCATAAATGGGGTCCCAGCTCGAGGAGATGTCCATTGCACAGCCGGAAGTTCCGCCGGAGTAGGACGGATACAAACTTGACGTCAAAGTTCGTGTCGTGTCCTCGCTCTCCTGAATCGACTCCTCCTCGACATCCTCGCCGGCACTGGTACAACGCCGTTCTTGAGCAGCAGCCTCCATGAGTTGCCCGGCCTCCTCGTTGATGTGCCTGATCAACCTCTTCCTCAGCCCCTCCAAGACAGAATAATCCAGCGGTCTCGCATCGCTCCCCACAATCGCCGTGCCCAGCAGCTCGAGCGCCGCGCCGGTGCAAAACACCTTGACCTTCCACGCCTGCAGCCGCTCGGCCTCCATCCTCTCGGTGCACTTGATCACCATCTCGAACGCCCGCGCCATCTTGTCGCGGTAGCGGAACCGCAACTCTTCGCCGACGCCGGCCTCGCCCAGCCGCGCATCCGTCTCCTGGCACTCCGCGTTCAGGTCCATCGCGTTGAGCCATTCGAGCTTGTGCCTGGGGCACTTGATGGGCAGGCGGAAGAAGTCGTTGCACTCGTGGGGTTCGCGCACGTCGCAGCCGGGGAAGGGGCGCCGGATCGTGTCCGGATGGCCGCGCGGGCAGAACTTGACGATGGGCAGCTCCTCGGTCGGCTTGTACTGCGCGTCGCAGCAGGCGAATTTGACGATGGGGTAGAGACACATTTTTTTGGCTGTGAATTCGCGATCAGGTTCTCGGAATGCTATGCAAACAACTGGACCGAGACAGAGAAACATCTTGGCCATGTTCATAAGCCGCAATTGTGAGCCGGAGCTAAGCGGGGCGGATAGTCGCACGTATCAAGGGGCAAATTTGTGATGATGGGAGTGTTCTCTGTGACTGCCACAGGTTGCGTAGCTTGCAACCTTGAGTGTTACACATCTAGTCGTATCCTCCAGTCAATTGCCGAGGATGTCGGCAGGTTCCCCTCGTGGCAGCAACGTGGCTGCGAGCGGACCCCAGCGTAGTCAGTTTGCGACGTGATGGGAGAGATGTTAACTAACATCTACAGGAGTGGCTCTGTGCTCGCGGGTAGCCACAGGTGACAAGGGATGGATAGGTATTTGTCATTTCCTATTTATGTCAGGGGGAAAAGGGGTGACCCATCCCGGTCTCAGAGAACATGCTCGAAAATGCTGGAATGTTGGCAACAGTGAAGGAGCACAGCAACATGCAGTGATGATTTGAAGGCTGCCGTGACCAGTATAAAATGGACGGTTCATGGAGATGGGTGACCGCGTTGCATGACGACTACTTAATGAGAGGCAACATTGAAGAAAATGTAATCCAACATGAAGGATAGTTTAGGTCTTCCTACGTCTCTCTCCTGGACGGCTGAAGCTCCATTTGAAGGTAGAATCAGATGTCATCGTGAATATAGTGGCCCTAAATTAGTCGTGTGGTATTGGTGATAATGGTAGATAAGAAGACGTTATGAAATATAACTTAGTCAACGTAGTTAAGTATTTGTTTGTACAGTAAATATCGCTAACGTAAGTATCAATAAGTAGTTAAATACTATTTTTAAGAGCTATAGGTAGCTACTTATATAACTGCCACGAGTCGTGACAATGTGAGGTTCATGTGCGCAACTCCTGGTTCGACTGGACATTTCGAACTACGGTCCCTCTTTCGAGGGTAATACGCAATCGTCAGTTGCGCCTACTCATGACAATAAGTGGACTTTCAGGCAAGTCAGATACGAGCTCACAGCCAGCGCGCAGCTGAAAGAGGTTGTAAAGACCAAGATCAATGCATGAAAGTATGTACCAAGAAGTGCAACAAGAAAAAGCCGCCCTCATGCATCAACACAAAAGCTATGTACAGTCAAATCATGCTGACAACATGTAACTCACTCCTTTTCACTCTTCTTCCTCTCCAAATGCTTCCACTAAGTCGGCATTTAGAGGCACTGGTAGAACCAGTCGTTCAGCTTGGTGCAGCTGTAAGGAGATTCGCAGATGGTCGGGCCGGTCCAGCCGATGCCGCCACACTGCTGCCTGGGAGTTTGTCAGTTTAAACGATTCATTATTGCCGAAGTGAGGCAGGGGAGAGATAGCAGTGCTCTAGAGGAGCAGAAAGACGGGGAGTGACATACCAGCGCTTGGCGGTAGCAGTAGCTTGGCCGCCCTGCGACGAGGTGGTGCGGGTGGAAGTGGAAGTGGTGCGAATGGAGGTGGACGTGGAGGTCCGGGTGGAGGTGGTGCTGGTGCGGATGGTGCTGGAGCTGCTGGGACCGCCGCCGTTGTCGGGCAGGCCAGCGACGGTGGAGCCGATGGGGCCGAACTTGATGTTGGAGAAGACGACGTTGGAGTTGGGGACCTGGGCCTCGACCTCGGCGGGGACACCCGAGGTGGTCGGGCAGGCACCGCGCTCGGCGCCCGGGCGGCCGGCGGCGTCGACCGGGTACGTCGAGTCGAGCCAGAGCATGTTGGCGGCGTGGTCGTCCCAGATGGACATGACGAGGACCATGCCTTTCTCGAGGGCCTTGCCCATCTGGACCAGACCACCCTTGCGCTGGAAGTCGATCTCATCGCCGAAGGCGGCCTTCTGGGCATCGCAGTACGCCGTGGTGATGGAGTTGCCAGGCACGCCGGCGATGGTCGACTCCGAGTTGGGAATAACCACGCCGTTCTGGGCGTAGAAGCGCTTGATCTCGGAGAGCTCGCCAGCGGCGTTCTTGATGAACTGGGTGACGACCGTGAGCTTCTTGGTGGTGTCGACAGTCATGCCCTTGCCGTAGAAGGTCTTGTTGCCCTGGCGGTACGAGTTGAAGTCGCATCCATCGGGGTCGCAGATACCACCATAGCGATCCTCGCTGTAGGTGCCACCGCACCCATCACCCTCGCAGCGAGTCTGGCCGAGGGTCGTGCACGGGTGGGGAGTGAAGGCAGTGGCCATGTTGTTGGCCTCCCAGACGTCCATCTCGTCGCAGCAGGCACCATAGCTGCCAAAGCCGGCGTTGGGGTCGTTAGTCGAGCCGCTCCAGCCCACAACGTTGGCCTCGCCGTTGATCCACTTGATGTCGCGAGGGCACTGGGAATCGCAGTAACCGGTGCCGTACTTAGCACCAGCCTTGTTGCTCGAGTACTTGGACATGCCGCCATCGGCATCCATGGTCACGAAGTACAGGGCACCGTTGAGGCCGCAGCCAAGGTTGGAAACATCGACGTCGAAAGTGAACTCATTGCCGAGGAGGTTGAACACTGACGGGCCAGGTTAGTAGCTGCTGACAAGTTGGGGTGCTCGGATAGGGAACGAACTTTGGTACTTGGTGTCGGACTCCATCAGATAGGTACGGGATCCGACGTTGGTGCCGTGCTGATGCTTGGTGACGAACTTGAGGTTCAGAGAGTTGCCGCTGGTGGTGACACCATAGGTGCTGGCATAGTCGGCGCCCTCAACGCAGCACTTGGAAGCGCAATCAGCGCCAGTAGTGCAGATGGTCGAATCCCACACGTTGCCGCTGTAGCAGTTGGTGGTGTCCGAGGTCCGGTGAGTCCACCGCCAGTTGGAATCGAGGACCACGGAGCCAGAGACGGTGGTGCAGCTGCCGCCAGCCGAGCACCTTTGCCACGAAAGGGGGGGGTGCCTCTCAGCCGTGGTGGTGCAAACTTGCTGGGCAGTGGCCGAGGCCACAAGGGCAGCGAGGGCGGCGAACTTGGCGTACATGATGGAGGATCTGGAAGGAACCGCTTGTCTTGGGGCAGACAGTTGCGTGATTGATGACGAGGGTTGCGAAAACACAAGAGGTTCCTAGCATCAGAAACCTCGAGTTATATAGACGTTCGTGCACTCCCCGGATGGCCAGCTTCCTTCATCCGCTAATTGCCACTCCATCTCTCGCCACGTACGGCTGGACGGGAACGCCGTCCATACAGTCTCGCAACATGGCGAACCGCGTCATGGTCTCGGCTCCCGGCCCGTCGAAACTCGGGCCTAACTGTGCCAGAAAGGGGTTGCCAACAATACGGCTGGCTCTTTCGGGACAGTCCAGGGCAAGGCCCGAAGGACCATGTCGCTTGTGCCTGGTGAGGCGCCGGCGTGGGTGGTGAGGTGGAGCAACCAAGGACCGTGGATGGAGCAGTGATTGCGGCGACGGCCCAAACCGTCGATAGCGGCCAAGGGTCCGGGCAGCGATGTCACATGGCGGTTGCCACGGCGGAGGCTGACCTGGGCGCAACTGAAGATCGTGGAGGACGTGGAGCCGAGCGATGACAAGTGATTAAGGTTGCCGAACGGTCGAACAGGGACAAATGCCGCTCATTGGAGGAGTTTGGTGCGGCAACCATGGGATCAGGGGTCCCGCGGAGGGCATCCCCCGAATGCAACTTGGGGTTCGCAGCTCGCGCTGGATAACACTGGTCCAGGCAATCTCAACCCGCATTGCAGAGGCTCTGAAGTGCCGCTCAAGGTTCTCGAAGTCCTGCGATCACGAAGCTCGCCACGCGCCAACAGCTGTCATGGTTATTCGTCGGCATCCCTTCAATCCCAAGGTTCAAACACACATTTTCAGGGGAAGAAAGCAGCACCATGGACATCTCTCGATCCCTTCAAGGATGCCCCACAGCGGAAAGAGCGGGTTGCTTGGCTTCTCGAGCCCCGGCAATCCAGGCTTTACCCCGGATTACCGGGCACGGTATCTCGGCAGCTGGCCAGAGGGGCGTTTTTTCTACACTTTGTTGTGACCGTTGAAATGAGCCGATGATAGGTGGAGCAGGCTTCGAAGCGAGCGAGGGCCGAAGGCCCTCTTTTGCCCGTTCATCGGTGTCATCCCGTGATGGCTTGGGAGGCTCAAATGGGATCAATCTACTCCCAAGCGACTGGGACGCAAAACCGGGGACGTGGTCATTTTTCCAATTTGCCGATATTGCCGTCGTCGTGCTGGCCCATGCTTCCCGTTCTTGTCGTTGCTTGTCAGTGCTTGTTATGGCTTGTCGGTTCTTGCGCTCGGTTGTGGCTTGTCAGCAGGAGCCGCGAGTGGTTCCGGCCGAGGGTGGGGCCAAGGCGAACCGCAACACCAGACTCCGCTGCACCGAATTAAGACTAGCGCAGCCCCACCAACCCCGGACGAGCGTTAAGCCACCCCCGCATTCAAATCTGCCTAGCCTCAACGAGCACACAACATCCGTTGAAAGCACCCCGTTTGTTCGACGCAGTCTCAGAATATCTTGGTTGGCTTTCCACCGGCCGCTTACTATATGGTTTGGTGGGTTTACTCAGCAGAATTCCTGTCAAGCCGGGCCTGGCGAGAGCGATGGCCGTCCGTTTCTTGCACCAGAGGTGCAATTGCTCTGAAGACGGGAGGACCTGTAGGTTGGGAAGCCGTTGAGATTTCATCTGGCTCATTTCCAGGGACGCAGCTACTGCATTACACTTTCAAGACTCCACAGCCACCTGAAACACTCGTCGATAAGTTAACATCTTCCACCACTCTTGTTTAGTTTCCGCCTGACTCGGCTTGAGCTAGTCTTCCAGCAGTCAAGCTTCAACGCCCAGGCGGCCCGTGATGGGGCTTGATCCACTTGGCTATCCTCACGCATGGCCTGTGAAGCGCCACAAGATCCGCCAAGCTCGCCGCAAAGTTCCAGAGGCAGTATTCCGCATTTGAAGATGTGCCATTTAGTCTGTTCTTGGGTGTCCGGTCGCCCCAGACCGATTACTGGTTCTCTCTATTCTCAGCTATCATCTCTGCGTGCGAGGCACCCTGCTCCCGGCTCTCATCTTTCCCACAAGGTAGTTACAGTAGTTGCTTGGCCTTCTCCAGTATAAAAAGCTCCAACGCTCTACTATTCTCTTCGCGGCGGTTGACCCAGTGGAACTCTCATCGGACTCCAGCGTCTCCCCGGGATCCGCCGACGGGCGCCCTGAGGCGCGCCGGGACGAACAGCCGGCTCATTAGAATTCCCCAGGTCCTTCACATGTGACGGATAAGCGGCATGACGCTCCCAATCGCGCTACCCGGGGCCGCCCATCCTCGATTACGAGTCATGAGGCTGGCGAAAGACTCGGAGCCGGACTGGACTGCAAGATTTTTCGATACTCGGTGTTGGCAGCTGGGTTGTCGGAGGCAACTGAATCAAGATATGAGCGCAGCGCTCCGGAAAGGGCGTCTTCAAACAAACTGGAAGGGTATCATTCGAATCTGAGAATAAACGTAGCATCATGCAAAGCATACATGGGTAGGAATGTGACTACTATTCTCGGTGCGAGCCAACCGGACGAACGTCCGCACAACCTGGATAAATAGGGCGCTGACCCGCCGAGCCGAATTTGAGAATGTTTCAACCTGCTGATGTTACCCGGTACGGATGACGATCTGCACTCTCACCTGGCCTTTATGGGCGAGGCAACGAGCAGTGCTGCATGCTCTCACCGCCCCGAACACTTTCGGGGTCTTCGCTGGATACGGGAGCTCAGCAAACACAGCGCACCAGGTGTGCTTATTTCCGTCGTTGCATCGTACCTCGAATTTGCCTAAAGGGTCTACATCCAGATCTTGCATGACCAAAGCTCGATAGGGACGAGGAGCATGCAGGATCGTTCTTCCGAGCAACAATCGAGGCCCGCTCGCGCCGGTACTTGTCCACGTTGGGTTACATAAGCCCTACACTGCCCACTTTACGGAGCAGGTCAGATTGTATATTGCCTCATTGAGCTCATTTGAGTTGGTTCATGCGTCTGTTCTGACGGGACGAACTCACCAAGGCTGCCTCTTGTGCTTCTACTTTACCAGGTAGGTAACCGCATGGGAGTGTAAGAAGGCACAACAAATGATGAGAAGATCGCTGTTAGATCAAAAAGTAGTCACTGTATGGAGCAAGTATTATGCACCTGGGGGACGGTCAACATTCGTCGGGCCGTTTGGACATGCTTAACTTGATGGGATATCAGAGGATAGTATCCCAAATCCGGAACGGTCTGTAGCTCCAAGGACGATGCTCAACAGGGACAAGTGACGTCCCTGCCCTCAGGGTATGTGCAATCCATACTATGCGTCACACGTCATTCGGCCCGTTCCCCCGAGCCAGCATTGATCTCAAAGATCGTTTTCATACTGACCACAATGGAGGTGTAGCAATCCATTTCCGACTTCAACCTGGCCAGCTCCGCCGCAATCTCGTCCGATTCCTTCTGCTTTTTCTCGAAAGCCTTCCAGAGCCTCCGTTCATGTTTAGACGGCAGTGCTTCGGTCCTGGTCGCTGGAAACTCTTTCAGATCGGCCAACTGCCTACAGCAACTCGAGATGCTGGGCAAATTCCTCTGAATTCGCTCGGCGGCGGCTCAGGCGGTCCAGCTCCTGCATTTCCGCGGAATCTCGTCGCAGGTGCGCTGCAAAAACTCGAGTGAAACTCGCTGTGAGAGCTCCAATGGGCTGGCCGGATGCCTGGCTGAGAAGTTGAGGTTCTCCCTCGCCTCCGCCGGCACTTCAACGGGAGACTATTGGGTGCTGCTAGTCATCCCGACATTCGTTGACGGCGTAATATTGTCTGCCTTGTTCTCGGGAGTCGCTGGGAGCAGCGCGTCCTTGATTTCCTTTCCGTCGGTGGCCATTGTGCCCACTTCTATTGCCGCTCAATTCAGTTCCTCGAGATTTTCATGGAAACCTGGCTCGCCAGGATTTCGCCGCTCAGTACAACTGTTTCTTGTTGATTATGGGAATAATGAAACCTCACTGTCGTTGGCACAATGCCGCTTGTTAACGTGCTGACGATGCTAGCGAAACGAAAATCAGTCGCTAGTCCAGTTGCCGCTGTTGATCTGGAAAAAAAATCCTGAGCCAACCGGATTGTCGTGGGTCAATGGAGATATCAATAGATCGATTGGGAAATCTGAAAACTGTCTCGCATCAGGACATGGGATGAAATGCCACCGTTCTCGGTCTTGTCTGTCAACTGTAAACACGAGACAACGTTGATCTTCAGTCACGCAACCAAGGGATCACCTGAGTTTGCAGCACTGAGAAAGCCCTAACTTGGTTTGGTGTAAAGCAAACAATGCAGTTTTGTGTGCACGCACTCATAGAAAGCATCTACTTCAGAGGAAGAACTACGTTTCGGAAGGGCTCATGGTTCCCCGTTCCTCGTCCTGGTTCTCCCTGGACAACAACGACCCAGTGCATCCCGTTCGCAGTTGACCCTGCGAGGCACAGCAAAGCCGAAAATATCACTTGCGTCCCAAAGACTGCTGCCTAGCTTATACATGGAACTACCGTAGATATTATACACCAGCCCAGCAATCATCCCACCGAGAATAACCGCCTTTTTAACCTTCCACTCACCCTTTCCACTAGCCCCGCTCGTTCGTCCTTCAGAGCACCTCTCCACCTCCCAGTGAGATTTTGAACAGACTAACCGACACTCCCATCAATCGCTCCTCGGCTTCCCAGCATTTTTGCTCGCGGCCCCCTCATGCTTCATGCCCTCGCAGCCCGTCAGCTTACCCGCAATCTCCTCAGCCCGGCCGTAGCCGCTCTTGGCCGGGTCGCGGTGCTCGACGGCGGCCTGCAGGGTGGCGCGCGCGTGCGCCTTGTCTTGCTCGCCCGACGTCCGCCACGATTGCGAGCCCGTCAGGCTGCCAATGGTGCTCTGTCCCCGGGTGGCGGTCAGGTGTGAGCTTGTGGTCATCGAAGTGTTGCACTCAATTAGGTAGGAAGGGGGGGAATTGGGGGGGTTGGGGGCGGGTGCACCTCGGCTGCGCCTTTGATATACTCGGCGTGGGCCATCCAGAGTCCGGGGCCGCCGGACTGTTGCTGCCGGCTTTGGTCCGGAGACTCGACGTTTTGGGGGTTCTGCGGGTTGTTGGACGAGGACATGCTGAGTTACTCAGAATTGTGTCTTTTTTTAAACAACTGATAAGCTTCTGCCACGTGAAGTGTCACTAAAAAGAAGTTTTGGTCAAAATACCGAATGGTGACGAGATTGCCTGTCAAGTGAGGGGAGGTCGAGAGTGGTTTGGTGGGAGGTAATCAACGTCGTGTAAGTTCCGACATCGACATCGTGACGTCACACTCGGTTGCCCAGCCTGGTGGTCCATTATTCGTTGTTGTTAACCCCTGACATCGGCTTGGGATTGCTACGAAGTAGATGGTCAACTTTTGCCACTACGACCAGATATGGAAAATAAAGAGATGGCACTTACGGTCCTTCAACCGAGGTTCAAAGTTGAAGTTAGCAGGGTGACCAGCCTCTCGGGCTCTCAGCACATTGGATAGGGCAGCGGTTCCTGCAAGCGCCAGTGCCAACTTGATTTAGACAACGCATCAAGTTTACTTTCTGTTTTATTCAAACTCGCTTTTTGTGGCAGTCTGGGCAGCGAAGAACATTGGCACTGTGAGGACTAACCGCATGGAATGAAGTGGGTTACTAGTACGGTCGGGCACTTCAAAGTACACCTTGAAGGGCAGGATAAGAAGATGATGGATCCGAGCGGCGGTACTTCATAATACGCAGTTGCTTAGCAGACCCGAGGCTGACGAGGGGGGTAGAATATGATGAGTGACTTAAAGTGCTCATTGGTCCGGCAAGTGGCACGGCATTCGAGCGCCTCCAGACTCGTGTTACGGGTGTGATGAATCCCGATTCGGGCAGTCGGTGTATCCACGGCGAAGTCCAGAGCCTGGAACTTCGGTGAGACCTCTGGCCACGTAACCACGAATTCGGGGCACGGCAGGTGGCATAACAAACCGCTCATTGCCCACTGTGGGCGGACGGAACGATTGACTGGCTGAGACATTGCTCAAGACTCGGGGTCCCGAGGTATGCTAAAGTCGGGGCAAAACTCTACCGATGTCCGAGGGGCAGAAATGACAAATAGTCATGGATCAGATGCATCGACGCTGGTTCTACCCTAAGATAAGGTATCAAAGCATAATTATGAAGCTGGTGCTCCCCCTGATCTCCACACTCGCCGCGGCGGCGCCGTATCGCACGAGCAGACGGCAAGTAGCAACGCTGTGTGAACAGTACGGCTACTGGTCCGGCAACGGATACGAAGTCAACAACAATCTTTGGGGCGCCGGGTCCGCGTCTTCGGGTTCCCAGTGCACCTACGTCGACGGCAGCTCCAGCAGCAGTGTCTCATGGTACACGACCTGGACTTGGGAAGGCAGCCCAGGAAGCGTGAAGAGCTACGCCAATTCGGGGAGGCAGATTGCTAGGGGCCAGACCATCGCTTCTATCAGGAGCATGGCCACTTCGGTCTCGTGGGCGTACAACACCAGCAGCATCCGGGCGAACGTCGCGTATGACTTCTTCACCTCGGAGGACCCGAACCATCCCAATTCGGGAGGTGACTACGAGCTGATGATATGGTGAGTCCAGTCCCGCGCGAAAATGCACCATGATGTGTCACTGGGTCTTGAGCGCGATGGGCTGACTGCCGGCCACCCTTGGTGATGCAGGCTCGCCAAGTACGGTGATAATACCTATCCCGTCGGCAGTGTCTCAGGGACCGTCACTGTCGCCGGCAACAGTTGGACCCTTTACGCCGGCAGTAATGGTGGCATGCAAGTCTACAGCTTCGTGGCCATGAGCGCCATGAACAGCTTTAGCGGCGATGCCAAGGACTTCTTCAACTACCTGACAGACAACGAGGCTTTTCCCGCCGACACTCAGAACCTCATCGGTAAGTCGTTGGCCTTCCAATGTCTGAGACTTGGCTCCAGGCGCTGATCATCCCACTATAGTTTTCCAAGTCGGCACCGAAGCATTCGATGGCGGTCCGGCCACATTTACTGTTTCCCAGTTCACAGCAATCGTGGATTGAAACAACGGACAGGCGAAGGCCACGAACCCGACGTCTTCGAGACATGTCACCAAGCTGGTTCCTGGGCCGCACGAGATAATATGAATGATGCGTGATGAATGTGTTGATGGTTCATGACCTTATGACGGGAAAGAGATCACGGTTGAGCGAACACCGTTTTGCCAGCCTTGGCTGTTAATGCAGAGCTGCAGTTAAGGACGTTTTCTTGACCATTAAATCGTTCGTGAATCCCAACATTAGGTGGCCGAGGCTTGACGTTTACTCGGCAAGTGTGAGATCAAACAGGCCGAGATTCTAGGAAGCTTCGGGGTCACCATTTCCAACACACCGAACTCAAAGAAAACAGACTCAGACTATTAGCCAAGCCACAGCTGGATGAGGGCACTGCTGACATCCCTAAACCCAGGTAGAGTGTTGGTTCTGAGAGGACCTGACATACGGACAGTGAGCAGCCTCTTTAAGTTCCATCATTCTGAAGTCTCACGGCGCTTTATGTCTCACTATCATCCAGCCTATCCGGTATAGCCCGTAACAGACATGACCGTGGACGGCATGAGGTCGCCATATACCGTACAGTTCATACGGTAGGGGTTACTCTCCTCGCAGGTCAAGCCACGTAGATTACCAGGTGCCCTTGGCTTCGTTGCCGTGGCAACTGCGTTTGGGGTCAGTCGGGTGGATTTTAATTATAGTACAAATGCTTTAGGTATTGTACAAGTAGTCGCTGTAGTGTGTAGTGTACACTTGGGGTCCGGGACGGTGGCAAATTTGAAACCCACCAGCGCCATACTGTGGTAATCTCTGTGACCAATCCTTGGCGGATGAAAATGTGGAGCTTCAGCATCGACGGGCTCAGATCTCGAGCCTCGATCTTGAGTTAAGGTGTGCCCCGCAACAATGTATCTTATCGGAAGGGCAAGGACCCCGCCAACGGCCCTGTGTTCGGGAAGGACGACCAGCCCTGCACAGTCTTGTCGAGCGATAACCGGTGCACGGCCAGATATGATATCGACTCAAGCTCATGAAATTACAAGTAGGGTGGGTATATGGTAAAGGAATCTGAGTTGCAGACTTGCGACAAGGGTTTGACATGCTTCCCGCTGCGTCTTAGGTCAGAGTTCGTGTTTGGGACAGAGAGTTGTTTGCCGCCGCGCGGCCCTGACCATCCATGGGCAGAGGCGGCGTCAATGTTAGCGAAATTGAGCCACGCAGTGAGTCTACCTCTCATTTCAGATGTGTAATGCGCCGTTGTTCCAGACTCTCGTCTCGACAACCCCCTTTGATCTGGTCCGAGCCGGTGGCCTTTTTGGGTGGCGCAGATCCGGCTTGCCTCAGCTTGCTTACCTTATTGTGCAAGGCAGGGTGCAGGCCAGGCGTCCATTGACCTCAAACTGTCGAACTCCCCACTGTGTAGATTGTTTCACCGCCACACCTTGTAAAGCTTATCGAGTCGATATCGGTTGCAGCAGGAGGGGAAACGATGGGATTATGACGAGGGAGGGAGCGACCATTACAGTGCACTCCTCCCATTGCGAGCAACATGAACACCCATTCACATCAATGCCTCATCTGCTGGCGGTCATGCAAACCACTGGAACTCAGGGGACATTAAGTTTTTTGAGCAGTTCTTCCGTCACGGCTTGCGCACGCTGACACGGTTGAGGAATCTCTGCCACAAAATCTCGACCCACCATCCAAGGATTTCGCCGTAGTTGTAACAGGATTACTGAGGAGAAAGCATCTGAATTCGCCACGGCGAACAAAGCCAGCCACTGCAGTGGACCGGAGGCTGGATCGGGGAAGCGTAGTTTGCCCAACAAGACGGGATTGATCCAAGTCAGACGTTGAAAATGAGCAATGCGACTGCCATCGAAGGGCAGTTGGTATCTGATTCTTGCCAAGCGTTATCTCGACCAAGCTATACCTGATTCGGGGCTGCCGAAGGCGGTGTGAGGCGGAAACTAAAAATTTTGGTTTTCGCCTTCCCCCTCCATTCAACAGAATGTGGGTTCCGCCCTGCGAATCCTCCTAGGTACAAATACCTCTCTGCCACCGCCCACAATCCTCCGTCCCTTTCTGCTTTCTCAGGTCTCCTCCTCTTTCACCCCTTCCTCTTGACTGTTCGTTCCATCGAGAACGCTCTCCGCTCAGTCCTTACTTTTTACGGTTCTTCGAGAAGGGCCAGCCTAGAGTAGACATTTCGACTCTCCATCGAAAGTCTACGCGCGAAACCGCTCGCAACAAGATACCCTCGATAGACGCGGCACCGTTTCGCATATTCCGGATAGACTGCGGATTAGATTCCTCGGATCCGATAGACGCTCGATCTTTTCCCTCAACAGCATCATTTTCGATACCACACAATCAGTCACCATGCCTGCCGCCACTTCTCAGGTTGCGTCCGAGAACGCCAAGAGCGTCAAGGTTCTCGATGAGCTGATGCAGAAGCTCACCATCTCCAAGGAGGCCGATGCCGTCAAGGAGTCTGCCGCTGCCATCGCTTCGTTCATCAACGGGCGCATTGAGGACCTCGACACCCCCACCAGGTAAGAGATTGCCCCCAGCCCCACGAGCAAACCCCGCCATGCCCCTCCCGCTGCCCTTGTCTTTCGCCCCCCTCATGTCGAGCCCAGCGCTTTGTGCGCTGCCCAACAGAGCCCGCCGCCTTCCGCCGCTAAGGGAGAAAGTGTGGGTTCAAATGGGTCGCGGGTGGATTTTTCAGCGAATCACATTTCCGCGTTCTTGCACAGGGGCCGATTTTTTTTTGGCTCAAGCAAAAATTTCCGAAACAGCAATTTTTATCGTGTCGCAGCGGGGAAAGTGGGAGCTTTGGAGCTGACATGTGACCCGCTTTCAGGACCGTCGAGACTCTTAAGAAACAACTCGCCAACAAGAAGGACGCCACCGTCCGTGAGAAGGCCCTCCTTACAATCCAGGCCATCGCCCAGCACAACGAGGTCTCCGCCAGTGTCGAGCCCTACCTCGTTGCGCTGCTCCCCAGCGTCCTGGCCGGCGCCGGCGACAAGATTACCGCTGTGAAGAATGCCGCCATCGCGGCTGCCCTCGCCATCGCCGAGGCGTTGAACCCCAACGCCGTGAAGGCCACCCTCCCTGCCCTCATCGACTCGCTGAGGAACGCCCAAAAGTGGCCCGAGAAGATGACGGCCCTCGACTTCATCGACACGTTAATCCGGACTGCTCCCACCCAGACGGCTTTCCGTGTTCCGGATCTCATTCCGGTCGTCTCCGAGGCCATGTGGGACACCAAGAAGGAGGTCAAGGATCGCGCCTACAAGACCATGGAGCAGGTGTGCCAATTGATTGTGAACCGCGATATCGAGCGCTTCATCCCGGAGCTGATCAAGTGTATTGCCAAGCCCGAGAACGTCCCGGAGACTGTTCACTTGCTTGGTGCCACTACTTTCGTCACCGAGGTGCAGGAGCCGACCCTCGCCCTCATGGTGCCTCTGCTTGACCGTGGTCTCGCTGAACGGGATACCGCTATCAAGCGCAAGTCGGCTGTCATTGTCGACAACATGTGCAAGCTCGTCGACGACCCCAACGTTGTTGCTCCTTTCTTGCCCAAGATGATGCCCGGTCTCCAGAAGAACTACGACAACCTTGCTGATCCCGAGGCGCGCGAGAAGACCAAGCAGGCGCTTGACACTCTGATCCGCGTCGGCAATGTTGTCGACGGCAAGATTCCCGAGGTCCGCAATAACGGCGACGTCGCCACCATTATGGGTCATTTGAAGGAGATCCTCTCTGGCAAGCACGCCGCTGCTCTTGACAAGTTCGCTCCTGTCCTCGAGTATGCCACTGCCATCGCAGGCCAGCTGGTCGACGAGAAGGTCACCGATGCTGCCACGTGGGCCGAGAGCGTTAAACCTTATGTTACTGTCGTTGTTGGCGACGACGAGTCTCAGTCTGTCGTCGACGCGCTTCGCAGGCGCGCTGTCCCCGGCGCTGCTGACGAAGCGGACGTTGAGGACGACGAAGAGGAGGGCGAGGACCTTTGTAACTGCACCTTCTCTCTCGCCTACGGTGCCAAGATCCTGCTCAACCAGACCAGCCTGCGTCTGAAGCGTGGCCAGCGCTACGGTCTGTGCGGTCCCAACGGTTCTGGCAAGTCCACTCTGATGCGTGCCATCAACAATGAGCAGGTCGAGGGCTTCCCCAAGCAGAGCGAGGTCAAGACGGTTTTCGTCGAGCACGACCTTGACTCTGCCGACACTGAGATGACCACCATCGATTGGACCATGAAGAAGCTTGCCGAGGCTGGTGTCACGACTACACAGGAGGACGTCGTTAAGCAGCTCAACGAGTTCGGTTTCACCGATCAGATGATCAAGGGTGAGATTACTGCTCTGTCCGGTGGTTGGAAGATGAAGTTGGCCTTGTGCCGTGCCGTGTTCGAGGCGCCCGATATTCTCCTTCTCGACGAGCCGACCAACCATCTCGACGTGAAGAACGTGAAGTGGCTCGAGGACTACTTGATCAACTCGCCCTGCACCTCGATCATTGTCTCGCACGATAGCAGCTTCCTCGACAATGTGTGCCAGCACATTATCCACTACGAGCGATTCAAGCTCAAGCGCTACAAGGGTAACCTCAAGGAGTTTGTCCGCCGCTGCCCTTCGGCCAAGTCCTATTACGAGCTCGGCGCCTCCGAGATCGAGTTCAGCTTCCCCGAGCCCGGTTTCCTCGAGGGTGTCAAGACCAAGGCCAAGGCTATCCTGCGTGCCACTAAGATGAGCTTCCAGTACCCTGGCACCGACAAGCCGCAGCTCACGGACATCACGTTCCAGTGCTCTCTCGGCTCTCGTATTGCCGTCATTGGCCCCAACGGTGCCGGCAAGTCCACTCTCATCAACGTGCTCACCGGTGAGCTCATCCCCACTGGCGGCGAGATCTACCAGCATGAAAACATTCGTATCGCGTACATCAAGCAGCACGCGTTCGCCCACATCGATAACCATTTGGACAAGACTCCGTCCGAGTACATCCAGTGGCGCTTCCAGACCGGCGAGGATCGTGAGACGATGGACCGTGCCAATAAGATTATTACCGAGGCTGATGAGCAGGCCATGAACAAGATCTTCAAGATTGAGGGTACTCAGCGTCGCGTCATTGGCATCCACAGCCGCCGCAAGTTCAAGAACAGCTACGAGTACGAGTGCTCGTTCGCCCTCGGCGAGAACGTCGGCATGAAGAACGAGCGTTGGGTGCCCATGATGACGGCTGACAACGCCTGGCTGCCCCGTAACGAGCTTCTTGCTTCTCACCAGAAGATGGTTGCTGAGGTTGATATGAAGGAAGCCCTCGCCTCTGGTCAGTTCCGGCCTCTGGTCCGCAAGGAGATTGAATCTCACTGCGCCAACTTCGGCCTCGATGCTGAGCTGGTCTCGCACTCGCGCATGCGTGGTCTCTCTGGTGGTCAGCGTGTCAAGGTTGTACTCGCCGCCTGCTCGTGGCAACGTCCTCACTTGATCGTCCTTGATGAGCCTACCAACTACCTCGACCGCGACTCTCTTGGTGCCTTGTCCAAGGCCCTAAAGAAGTTTGAGGGTGGTGTCATCATCATCACCCACAGCGCCGAGTTCACCAAGGACTTGACTGAGGAGGTCTGGGCTGTCATGGACGGCAAGATGACTCCTTCTGGCCATAACTGGGTTCAGGGCCAGGGTTCTGGTCCCCGCTTGAAGGCGGATGATGGGGAGGAGGAGGAGAAGTTCGACGCTATGGGCAACAAGATTGAGTCGACCAAGAAGAAGGCCAAGCTCACGAGCGCCGAGGCGCGCAAGAAGAAGAAGGAGCGTATGGCTCGCCGGAAGCGTGGTGAGGAGGTATGTCGATCCCTTTGTCCACAACCGTTCATGCCACATTTGCTGACAAATTTATAGGTCTTCAGCGACGAGGACGAGTAAAGGTGTCGCTCACTGGTCTTTTCCATGTCTTCAGCGTCACGACCGGGTACACAAAAGTTGCTTTCCTATTTTTCTGGGATTGGTTTGCATGGTCTGGTCTTGATGGGTTTATGTCTTTTCATGTTTAGTCTGGATGATCGTAATGCGTCTGATGCCCCCCCCCTCCCCCCCGTATGTGTCTTTGGCTGGCGATGGGGATGACTAGCCCCTCCAGGACTGGAGACCCTGGGATGTCTAGTTTGCGATCTCCATTGGCTGGGCAGGAGAGAAGATACTAAGACGGGAGGGGGGAAGTTCTCTGATAGTAGAGGACAATATAGATCATGATGATACCAACGGTCCTCACTCATACTGCCAGTGGTTTTGCTCTCCCACTGGCTTGCAGGTTCGGACCAGTCCCTATGTTTGAAACATCCCAAGGCTCGCAAAGTGTCCCCCTTCATTGATACCAGCGGGAGACGGACTGCATGAACATCGAAGTACGCTTTGTTGATCTGAAGAAATAAAATGCTTGGCCAGAACAACGCCTTGATCGATGGCGCTGATATCCGTTCTAGTCCATGCTAGCCCATGGGAATGACCTCCCCACCCGACATGTCCGTACTACTTTCCCAACCTGCCTCACCCAAACGCCGGCGTAACATAAGCGCAATTTTTCCCACTACCTCTCCAATGCTCATCATAGCCACTGCCGCTCAGCGACCCGCGTGCTTCTGCTTCTTACCGGCATGGCCGGGTCAGGACGGGTCAGATGTCGGAGCGCTGGGGAGCTCGATGACAACCGCCTCGGCTTCGGCCTCAAACTTGGCCTCCGGCCCGCGTGGGTCGTCTTCTAGATCGGCAGTTGACTCGGCCTCGGCGACGGGAGGGAAATAAAGCCTATGGGAAGAAGCGTCCAGAGTCAGTCACCATCTTTGCATAGGTAACCAAGCAGCAGACGGTGGCAAAGAAACGTACGGAATGAATTCATTATACGCCTCTACATCCTTCATCTCGAAGGTGACAATGACGACCTTGTCGATCTTGCTCCCGTTCGCCCCTTGCAAGAACTTGCGTATCGCACTCAGCGCCGCCGGCGCCGCTTCCCGGCTCGGATACCCGTAAACGCCGGTGCTGATGGCGCTGAACGCGACACTGCGGCACCCGCCCTCGTCGCTAGCCGCCAGTTCCAGGCTGCGCGTGTAGCACCCCGTCAGCAGCCGCTCCGACTCGTCGTGGTCGAGCGGGTCATACACGGGGCCGACGGCGTGTATGACTTTGCGGCACGGCAGGTCGTAGGCGTCGGTCATCTTGGCCGAGCCCGTCGGGCAGCCGCCAAGCGTGCGGCATTCTTCGTACAAGCGCCTACCCGCGGCCCGGTGGATTGCGCCGTCGACGCCGCCGCCGCCCAGGAGGGAGCGGTTGGCTGCGTTGACGATGGCGTCCACCGGGAGGGTCGTGATGTCGCCGCGGAAGAGGCCCACGCGGTCGTTGAGGGATTTGGAGGGGGAGGGCAGGGTGGTGCCGTTGGGGCCCAGGAGGGTTTTCGGGAGCGGGGTGCCTGCGGGTGCTGACGACAGTTTGCACAGTTTGTAGAGGAGGGAGAGGGAGGGGATGTCGGAGGCTGAGAGAGGCGCCATTCTGGAGGTGAGGCGGCGGAGGTGCATGCGTGGATGTGTCGGTTGGTCCGGGTCGTGTGGTGGGTTCAAATCGTTGTGGAGTATGGGTTGGGACAGCGACGAGGGAAAGAATGGGAGGGACGGGACGTGAAGCGGAGGATTTAGTGCTTTGCCGAGTCTGAAATGGAAAAAGGGACCAAGTAGTTTATGGCAGTGCTCCCGAGTACTCGAGTAGGCAATTGCAGTGTGTTGTGCGCACGGAGATGACCCAAACGACCGTATAAGTGTATCGGTACAGGAGGTTGAGTCGAGGTCGAGAGAAGCGGGGCTGCTCTGGTTCAACCTGCCATAACACGGAGTGATCTCTCTTCTCCCTGTATTCAGTTTTATGCCAATGCCATGGAATGGACGCTCAATGCATCAATATGGTAAGCATTATGGCTAGGCAAGCATAATGCTCATTGCAAGCACGACAGCAGCATGTAACACGGAGAATATGCACCCGAAAACGGGAACAGAAGGGAGCGTCGATGGTCTAGACCTTTCAGACAACACCAAAGCGTTCAGTTGTGAAACCCTCGAAACCGTACCTTTATCACCCCGCAACGAGAGCTCCCGTATCTTATCTTATCGGTGGACCACCCCTCCCTGTCGAGGTGCCGGGCTTGGCGGATGATTGCAGTGCTCCGCCAATTAATTCTGCCAGCCCACACGGCACGGTGTCCCGATAACACAAGGCTTGACTCACCAGGCCTTGACCCCAGAGAACCAACAGCCGGAACGTAATATCCAAGAATCGGTTGGCTCTCGACTTTGAGGACAGGATAAGTCACCTCGGCGACCAGGCCTACCGGCGCATTTATCCTGTCTCGAACTGATCCGTCTTCAACCCTCGACGACCACACTGACCGACAAAACCATGGCGGACGCGGTGGCAGATGCCGCTGCGAAATTGCAGCTCGGCGACATGCCGGCTCCGGCTGAGAACGGGACAAAGCTGCAGCTCGACGAGGAGACGGGCGAGTGGGTGTCAAAAGGAGAGCTGAAGAAGCGCTTGGCGAAGCGCGCAAAGAAGGCACTCAAGGAGAAGAACAAGGATGCAAACGACACCGCCACCGCTCTCAAGGCCGCCCAGGACGCGGTGGCCTCCAAAAAGCCCAAGGAAAGGATGGAGGAGGCGGCCATCGACCCGGATGCCATGTTCAAGCAGGGTTTCCTCAACGATGTCTTCAACGAGCGGCCCGAAAACCAAGTCTTCACCCGGTTCCCGCCAGAGCCGAACGGTTTCCTTCACATTGGACATGCCAAAGCGATTGCCGTCAATTTTGGCTTTGCTAGGTATCACGGCGGCAAGTGGTATGTGAAGCTCTCCCAAAGACCTGCTAGACAAGGTCTGACCGCGCCTGGATAACCCAGCTATCTGAGGTTCGATGACACAAACCCCGAGGCCGAGGAAGAAATCTACTTTACCGCCATTGAGGAGATGGTGCGCTGGCTCGGGTTCGATCCCTACAAGATCACGTACTCCAGCGACAACTTTGACAGGCTATACGAGCTGGCCGAGAAGCTCATCACGCTTGGGAAAGCCTATGTCTGCCACTGCGGGGGTATGTCCACGTTTGTGTTGGCTAGGTGCCGCTTCTACCCTTGCTGACCGATCGTAGACGACGAGCTCAAGCTTCAGCGCGGCGGTGAGAAGGGGACGAGCCCCCGCTACCGGTGCAAACACGCCGAACAGACGGTCGAGGAAAACATCCAGCAGTTTCGCAATATGCGGGACGGGAAGTACAAGCCGAGGGAAGCGTTCTTACGCATGAAGCAGGACGTATGTTTTCTAGCCTTAGCGCATGCTTAACCATGCTAACTGATCCAGATTACTGATGGCAACCCTCAAATGTGGGACCTTGCTGCATACCGTGTACTCGACAAGCCCCATCACAGGACCGGTTCGAAGTGGAAGATCTATCCAACATATGACTTTACCCGTAGGTGCTCCTGCGTCTCAGCTCGAGGAACAGTGAGGGACTGACCCCGGTAGACTGCTTGTGCGATAGCTTCGAGGGCATCACGCACTCCCTGTGCACCACCGAGTTCTTCCTTAGCAGGACGTCTTACGAATGGTTGAACAAGCAGCTTGTGGAGTTCCAGCCCATGCAGAGAGAATACGGCCGCCTCAGCATCTCGGGTACTGTGCTTTCCAAGCGTAAGTTGAAGGAGCTGGTGGAGAAGAAGTACGTACGGGGATGGGATGATCCGCGGCTTTACACGCTGATCGCCGTCCGCCGGAGAGGTGTCCCTCCAGGCGCAATTCTCGAGTTCGTCAATGAGCTCGGCGTCACAACAACGAACAGCATCATCCAGATCTCCCGGTTCGAGCAAACTATCCGGCGCTATCTCGAGCGGACCGTGCCGAGGCTGATGCTTGTACTTGACCCGGTGCCTGTGGTTATCGAGGATGCCGACGAGTTCGATGGGATTGAAATCTCGGTGCCGTTCTCGCCCAAGAACCCGGCCATGGGCGACCACAAGATCAAGTTCTCCAAGACCGTCTATATTGACCGCTCCGACTTCCGCGAGGTTGACAGCAAGGATTACTTCCGTCTGGCGCCAGGGAAGACAGTTGGCCTGCTCCAGGCTCCATTCCCTATCAAGGCAACCAGCTTCACCAAGGACGAGGCGACGGGCAAAGTCGCCGAGATCCGTGCCATGTTTGACCGCGAGACCAAGAAACCCAAGACCTTTATCCAGTGGGTTGCCGCCGGCGAGGGCTCGGGGTCTCGCAAGTGCGAAGTGCGCCTGCACAACCCACTGTTCAAGTCGGAGAACCCAGCCGCCACCGAGGGCGGGTACTTGAACGATATCAACCCAGACAGCGAGGTGATCTACCCCGATGCCGTGATTGAGTCGGGCTTCGATGAGGTCAAGGCGCGGGCACCGTGGCCTGAGGCTGCTGGTGAGGATAAACTTGGCAAGGGTGGCCCAGAGTCGGTCCGCTTCCAGGGCATGCGCGTTGCGTACTTTGTAAGTTAGCTTCCTGTGATCGGCTGGTGCAGGCCCAAGAATGCTAACGATACTCGGCAGGCTATGGACTCGGACAGCACCAAGGACAAGATTGTGCTCAACCGCATAGTGTCGCTCAAGGAGGATAAGGAGAAGAGCTGACTTTAGATGCCCTAGGTGTGGCATTTGACGGTGCAAGTAAGCCGGGAGGAAGGCCTCGCAGGTATAGACAGCTGTTCAACCAAGATATGTTGGGCTACCCGTTCATGTTCCGTTTGTGCAACCAGTGCTCCCGCCCACCAGTTTGGAAGCTAAACAACATGGCCGAGTTGGAGCCCGGGCGTACAATGAGGCTTCCTTGCCCTCCTGCGCCTCGGTTCAACAAAATTCAACCGGTTAACGTTATCGCCCATTTAACGCAGCAAAAATCTCACGATGTTGAACCACTGGGGCTGGATTGTGTGTTCAACCGGCGATGCACACCGCCAATTTCCGTTTCATGTGGCTCCCCGCCCCCTTTCCATCCCCGCCTGCCTCATCGTCGTCCGACTGCTATCCTTAAGGCGTATCAATCAAGCGTCGTTGTGTACGTTTTTAAGTGATATCTAACAGGCAGCAGTCCGCCTTCAGCATGTGATGCGGCTCTTCGTATCACCCATCGTTCCCGTCCTACTCCAGGTCCTTGGTTCCCCCCTTCTTCTCCGGAGCCTCTTCCATCAACCTCTTCTTTCTCTTTTGCGCCATCTCAGTTTTTGACACAGCTCAGCTTCAATAACACCATTCACTCCGTGGCCTAGGAATATCGTAGAGTCGTCTTGAATCTCGTCTCGAGCTCTACCATCAATCACTGGAACCAAGCAAGCAGTCAGTACTGGAAGCACAGGAATACCCCAATAGCCACATCGGACTAGCCGCAGTACGTTCAGCCAAAACAGCAATGTGCTCGGTAACCATCAACCAACGCCACCCTTCTTCTTCTTCCTCCTCCTCATCCCGCCATCGCCGCTACTGCTGTTGCAGCATCCGCGTCTCCTGTTCCGGCGCCTGCCCTACTTTCACCTCGTCGTCCCGCTCTTACTCCTGCCCCTGCTTCTGTACTTCCTCTTGCTCCTCTCCTGCTCCTCCTCCTACTGGTGCCGATGTCGATGCTGGTGTTATCCCTCCACTTCCCCCTCCTGGTCCTACGGTACCTCCAACTACGAGCCCAATTACGGCTGCTGCGGGGTGGAGACGACAACGACGGGAACGACGGGACGCGGCTACAGACCGACAACAACCACCACCACCACCGCCGCCGCTAAGTCTTCTCCCCGCCGGACGTGTGGGCGGTATGTCTGTCGCTACGCGGCGTATTAGCGGTATAGTGGCGTGGGTAGGCGATGGGTGGATGGTGGTGATGATGATGTTGATTGGAGGGAGTGGATATTGATCATCGGGTGAGGAGATGAGTTTGGAGATGAGTTGGGATCTTGATTGGGTCAGGAGGAGGAGGCGGCGGTGAGGGAGGGGGTTGGGTTCGAGGTGGTAGTCTTTCTGCCGTATGATTTTAATAAGGCGTTTTATTGGGCGGGGAAGTGATTGAGGCAGTCGGGGTGAACGGCCCGGTTAGGCACATACGCAGGGAGAGTGTGTGTACCTTATGAGAGTTCATGATGATAAGGCGGCGGGCGGCTCTGGGGTGTGAGTGAAGTTCCTTGATTGAGGCGTTGGCAAGTGAAAAGCGGCTTGGTGTCTGATCGAAAGGAAGCGGCGTGGCGGATGTTTCTGACAGTTAAGAGATTGATTCGCTCGGGAAGTGCGGACGAGTTCGGTAGTCATACCCGTCGACAAGGTGCGCAAGGGCTGGAGCGGGCGAACTCGAGGTAGCGGGGGTTGTATCAGCGGATACAGCGGGTTGTGTCCTCCCACCCTGTGCTAAGAGCGTTGAGTTCACGGTGTCTCTACCAACTTTGGTCTACCCTACCGTCCTGGCTCTGGGTCCTCGGTATTAGTGTCTTGTATCAACGCGGAAGCGAAAACTCAACCACCTTGTCGGCTTCGGACTTTGTTTGTTTCAGAGCGCTGCGGGAATATCATCCAAGGTGACCCATACAGGCTCCAATTCCACATCCAAACGGTCCATCTGGGAGTCTGGCGATATAAGAGCACGTAGGAAAGGTGGGACAAGGCCTTTACGCTGCAATCCTACATTGACGTGAACATCCGGGCAGTGCACAAGAAGGAGAAACCATCTTGATGCAAATGGAATGGTTATGGAAGGTCGTTTGTGGCAGGCATGTCCAGGAAAACTACGAACTCAGGAGATTCATCTGCGAATGGCCTGGCCGCACCCGGGACTTCAACCGAAATTCGAACCTCACGGCACAAAAGCAGAAAGACCACATGGACGGTATGTTGTGCCGGGCAAAATGTTGCCAGGATAAGGTTTATACTGATCGAGAGTGGTTCGAGCACCAAGTCTACGCAAACTTTGTAGGAATGTTTATGTGATTACCTGCGATATACATACTGTGTTGAAGTATTGCCTTCTCTTCCGAATCTGTAAGTTTCCTCGAATTGGCATAGTGTTACATCGTCCAGCATTGTGTTGGAACCTGCAGGGCGATGACCGCTGAGATATGCGCTGGAAGAAGCTATTCCGAGTCAAAGCAGTGGATTGAATTGAAAAGGTGGTAAAGTGCTTGATTGACCATGCTGTTGATGGGCATGGGAGAGGACTAAGTACTGTAGGTAAGGAAGAGGGGTTGCAGTGCTGGCACCAATCAACCACCGAGGTCCGTTGAATGCAGTCATCAAGGCGGCTTCGTTCCGACACATTGCCTCTACAGCGACAGCGGGAGAGTTGTAGCCAGAACGTTGTAGATCTTAGCTGCAGCTCGAATACTAAGATTTTCATCATCTTTCTGAAGAGCTTCGAGGGCTGAGATCACTCTAGTTTCATTCGAAGTAGAAGGCATGATGAGTTGAGAAAATTGGTTTGAGAAGTTGAGGTGGCGCATCGCGTCGAAAAGTGCACCGCTCCAACGCTCGCTTATTGTACTGTGCCTATGTACTTGGTACCGTGAGATGTATGAGTCCCCAGGTTACAGCTCGTTAGGATCCGATTCATGACACTTGGAAGAATCGGAAACGAATCAGTAGGTTTCAATGTACTATGTCCAAGCGTCCTCAGTTCCCGTTTCGGTTATATAGGAGTCAATCTGGCATTTCATCCATCTCCGACGTAAAATGCTCCCAAGCTTCCCGTGCAACGTAGTCCGGCAGCATCCAACACATTACCCGTGTTGGACGTCGCTGTGTTATATCCTAAGCCACGTTGTCAGGAGAATACAAAAAAACTTCAACCTGAGCCACCCACCAAAACCAGTTCAACCAACTTTTCAGCTTGTTGCCTCAAGGCTATTTGATACCCTCCAGCGCGAGGTTAGAGTCGTCCGTGGCTCATTTCTTCTAGGAAGGACATGGCCTAAACTCCCGCCACCAAACCACCCATCTGCCCACCCAGATCTCCAATACCAGCCTCCACCAACCTCCACCCCTTCAACTCATCATCCCGGAGCAAGTCCTCATCTCCTTCAGCCCTGCCCTTGCCAAACTTCTCAATGTTCCACGTCTCGAGACCCCCAATGCCCCGGGTCTTCAACTCGGCGCCAAACTGTCGGAACACGTCGGCGCACAGCCGCTCGTACTCGCTGCGATCCTTCGGCCAGGCACCCAGCCGCTGCAAGGCGAGCTTCAGCAGGCGCATGTGCTGCGCGACGTGGGAGGCGGCCGCAGCAGCCGTCTGCTCTTGGTGCTGCTGCTGGTCGCGGGCTTGCTCCGCGGGGTGCTGGGCCTGCATGGGTGAGCCGGGCGGGTAATTGAACGAATGAGACCAATACGCTGCCATGCGGCCGTTTTCGGCGCCCGGGCTGGCGGCGCCGTCGGACATGTCGTCCATGAGCGGGCCAGCGCCGTCCATGCTGGCGTAGACCGGGTCAGTGAACACACGCAGGATGTTCTCGTGTAGGGCTGCGGCCTTCTTGTAGTAGCGGTTGGCCATCTCAGTCATGTTCGGCCGGTCGGCTTTGCGCCCGTGATGCGGCTGAGGCGGTTGCTGCCAGCCCTGCCCCTGCTGACAGCGCTGCGCCATGCCCGTGTAGAGCTTACCCAAGAGGACCGACATGCTCAGCGTGGCACCGTGCCGCGGGCCGTGGACCCGCTGACAGTTGTATACAATGTGTTCGGCTGTGCGAATCGCTTCAATCGAATAGCCAACTACCCATTGGGACAGGACGTAGCGCCGGGCTAGCGGGAAGGTTACGGCAGGGGGCCACTCGCGCTGGGCCTCGCGGCTCGTCCATAATCTTTTCAGCAGGGACGCGAGCGTCTTCCAATCCTCCTGGTCGCCGACCAGCCCGATCAGCCGGCTAAGGTGCGCCAGGTCCAGCTTGGCGAGATTGATTTTCATGACGTCGAGCAGCACGTGGAGCACATCGTGGACGATTTTCTTGGAGGTCTGGAGGAGCTTTTGCTTTGCTGCCGCGTCGGGTTCCTTGACCGCCGCCGGTGAAGGCGGCTCGTGCCCTACCACCGCCATGCCCATGTTGAGCACGAGTTTGGTCATGGTGGGAGTGTGGTACGCGTCTTTGTGAGCCTTGATGTAGTGGAAGCACGCCTCGGCCAGGTCGCAGGCCTCCTGGAAGCAGCCGCTGTTTCGCAACTGGGCGACACGCGCATTGCCCATGATGCCGACACTCCGGACCACGTCGTCTGACTTATAAGTGCCGAAGTGGTCGAGGAGGCTCTGTAAGAAGAGCTTTGTCTGGCGCGCGGACAGTTCCCCGGACAGATTGAGGCGTTTCACCTCAGTTTCGCTGAACCAGCGACTGAAGCGCTCGAACATGTGAGCCGCGATCTGCTTGCGGTCACAACTCGTAAGGTGGCGATAAAGCAGGGCCGAAACCACCAGCACGTCATTGAAGCTGGCGCCAGACTTGGGAGCGATGACCGTGCGGAACTCGCTGAAGTAGCCATATTGTGTCGTCAGAGCGGTCAGGGTCTCGACCAGAGGGGCTGAGCTGCGCCGGAGGCAGTGCTCTAGCTGGGCTAGGAAGACCAAACTCTCGCGACCGCAGGACGAGAGATCGAAGGCGGCGTGCGCAACGGTGGACATGTCCTTGATGACAACTTGGCGGTAGATCTCATCGGCGAGCTCGGTCGCCCTTTGCACCTGGTTTATGGCGACGTAGCTGGATGCGATAGTTGAGGCGGCCGCGATAAGCTGCGTCGACGATGTTTTGGTTTTGGTCAACAGGACGTTGACGGTGGTTTCCTGGAGCTCCTGGGTGGCCTTCTCGAATTGGTTGTGATGGCTGTAGAAGCTCACAAACTGCGTCACCTGGGACAGCGACTCTTCATGTGCCCATCCGTGCGTCTCCCGAACGGAGGTGATGCGCTTCCGCAGAACTTGCTCGGCGCGGTCGACCTGGGACGGTGAGACGTCGGTTATGTCCAAAACCTCCATGCTCTCAATCGCTTGCAGCTCGTGCAAAATCTCCAGGTTGGCCATGATCTCCTGGCGGTCAATCCCGTCCGGCTGTAGTTGGAGCAACGTCTCGTACAAGTCAATGGCCTGCGCTTCCGTGGTTTTGGATTCCTGGCAGATCGTAGCCAGCGCGAGCGTAGCGTGGATGGTGACGGTCGCCGTGGGGCCGTACACTTGCATGCACTGCGTCTGATACTGGGTTGTGATGTTGTGCAACACCTGGAAGGACGACCGAACGCTCCGCAGACAGTCGATGTAGCGATCGAAGCACTCGCGCACCCATCGTTCGTCCTTAAATCTAGGACTGGTCTTGGGATCCGCCAGAAACGTGGCGAAGAGCTTGCCATAATAGGGCAGAGCGTCAGAGAACATGCCCCTGGTCCACAACTCCGTTGCAACAATAGTGATCGGCTCAAGTGCCTCCAAGGGGGTTGTGTCCGAGTCCTTGGTCAGCGAATGAACAATCCTCTTGTAGTACTCGATGAACACGGGCCGAGGACGCGTTAACTCGGCCAGCTCCCGCAGCGTCTCGATGACGGTCGGATGCCGGTCACCGTAGTGCGCCGTGTAGTCGTCCAGCATCTCCTGCCACACGACAATTGCCGGCTCCTGCTGCGAGGTGCGGCGGTAGAAGGTGATCAGTTCGCGAGTGGCGCGTTCCCGCATCTTGTCGCCAACCGGGCGGCCCGACCTCAGCGAAAGGTATAGGCGCACTCGCATGTCCTCTTCCTGTGCCGGACGCCGCCGTGCACGGTAGCACTCGGCCAGCCGCCCGGCAAGCTGGACACACTTTTCAACGTGCCTGTCGGCTAACGTGACGTCCAGCACGTTGGCTGCGAACAGGGAGGGCCACATGCCACGGAGCGCTTTCTTGATGACGCGGGTAGCGTCATGCCACCGGTGCGCCGAGATGTAACGCGAGATGAGCTGGGTTGTGGCAGTTAGGGTCGCTTGACTGACGGTGCTGAAGGAGTTTGAGGACTCAACCACCATCTCTTCGATCGTGGTTTCCGACACCACTATCTCGGACGAGCTGGCCATCTTCTGCACCTCCTGCGAGGTGACCTGGAGGCTCTGCTGCAGGGACTCGTAGGCCGACGTCTGTGTGCGGTCGGTAGCGCGGTAGTACTCCGCACAATGTTTGAAGACGGACAACGCCACCGACGAGAGCCCAACAGATCTCATCATGTGCGCCACGCGGGTCAGCAACGCCGCCGAGGTCTCGGTGACGACGGAGGTGCTCGTCCGGCTGTACTCCTCCCAGACGCTGACCAAGACGGCCGAAGCCTCGGCTGTTCGCTTCCGTTTCTGCAAAAACTCTGCGTAGCTCAACAACGCTCGTAGACCCGTATCGGCCCAGACGTCGACATCATGCGCTCGGTGTCCACGGCTGAGACGCAGCAACAATTCGAGGTAAAGCCGCTCGGCCAGGTCGAAATGGCCTGCTGCCACCGCCTGCTCGGCTTCTTGTTGGACCTGGATGAAACCAGAGGCCTGGGTGCTTTCGATCAGAATATCATGCTCTTCGACATCGATGTGTATCATTCCGCCGTCAGGCTCGGCGGGGAGGGCCCCCAGCGGGTGCAGGTTGACGAGCAAACCGGGGCTGCCGCCCGCGTCCGGCTTCTCACTGATTATATTCTGGATCTCCTGGCTGAGCTGTTCCGCCTTGCTGTCATCTCCGAGAGTCTGATAGTGTTCGACTACCTGCCGCAAGAGGTTGCTGACCTGCATCGACATGCTGCCAAACTGCGTGCTGTAGCACTCCAGGAGAATCTCAAAGACCTGCTCCCGCCTGCTCATGACTTCAGTCCTGTCGCCGGTCACCTTGGGTCCTGTCATTTGGATGTAAGTACTGGCCATATGCATGGTCACGTTGTGGCTCGGGCCTAGAAGCTGGTGGCTGATGGAGGCGGCCTCGAAGAAAAGGGGAGCCGCCTTGTCCAGGTCATTGACCTGCTGATACAAGATGGCCAGGAAGATGATGGACTGCAGTGTCAGGGGGCTCTTCCCTTTGAAGAGTTCGCGGTGTATGTTTGCAATGATGGTTTGGTAGGCTAACAGGACGGGCTTAGGCTTGTGCTCCCAAAGGCTTGCCTGAAGGAGGACGGCCGTGACGGTGCCGGGGTACACATGCGCGAATGCTCTGGCCGCCCCTGTGTCGCCCTCACGAACGAAGACATCGGTCTTCCTCAGGTGCACAGGCCAATACCGCACGGCGAAGTGCAGCAGTGGATACTTGTTCAGCAGGTTGCCCGTATCGTGGATATTCAGGGGCGTTACGGACGGCTCGTGCTGCTCCTTAACCACCGTCTTGACGTACAGCAGGAGGCGTGCCGTGAGGTCGGCGTGGAGGTCATCCACGGCGGAGAGCATTTGCGGAAGCAATTCGCGCAATGAGGAACGAATGAGCCCGTGACGGATGTATACGAGGCCGTCGTGGAGGGAGTAGAGCTCTTCCACCGGCTTCAAAACCGCCATCGCGTCGATGCGCTTGTCGAGCATGTTGCCCTTGGCGACCTGGATGGATGCGAGCGTCTCGAGCTCCCTTGGCGACAGGGGACGCTCGGCAATGGTGAGCCAAGCTAGCATGAACTTCGCGCCATCGGTTATGTCTGGGTTCTGCATGAAGTAGTAGACGAGGTTGTTGACAGACATGGGGGGTTTCTTCTCGACGATGGTTTCGACAGCGTGGCGGAACTTATTATCGCCAATTTCGCGGCGCAGTCGGGCAGTGATCAGCCTCGCCCGGAGGAAGGAGCCGGCCGAGGCGTCCGTAAGCCGCGTGATGGTGGACTCTCTCTCAAATTCGTCCATTGTGGAGAACTCCTTCTTTGAATCCAAGGTAGTCCGGATAACGGCCATGATGTCGTCGAACACTAGGTCGTTGTCCATTTGGACCCTTGTGCACCCGGGCCCAACCGCCTGTTTCTCGCTGCCGAGCGCGACAAGTCGCATATTGTTGCCTTGTTCTATTGCCCTGGTCAGCCGCTTGAGCAGGGCCGCCTCGCCGCATAAGGCCTCGTCAATGCCGTCGACGACCATGATGAGCTCGCGGGCGCCGTGCTGAGGAGACGCAAGTGTGCTTTCCACTGCGGCCCAAAGTATGTTATCGTACTCCTCATGGGCTGTGGCATGCTTGCTGCGATGATAGGCATCGCGAAAGTGCCGAAGGAGTTGGACATTGCCGATGCGCTTCTCAAATAGCTGGCCAAGGATAGCTCTGGCAACCGCCCTAGCCGAGGATTCGGCTGGGATGGTACTGCCTGATAAGGAGGCACACGACCACGGTCAGTCACAATATAGAACCGACTTCTGAGGTGGTGAAGGGGACATACTGATAGGGACGAATAAAGCATCGTAACGGACTCCCGAGATTGGCCGTTGGAGGTAATCGACTATGACGGAGGACACGACGCTCTTCCCAGAGCCCAGCTTGCCAGCGATGGAAAGGATCTTGTCCTGGCCTTTGAGAAAGCGTGTCAGATGGGAGCCAACCCAAAGGCAGGTCCGTTCCTCGCGGTCGTAGGCCAGCAGCGAGGCGCTGACCGCAACATCCGTAAGGACCGGGTCTTCGGGAGCGAGCCAAGCTTTGATGGGGTTGATGTCGGAGACTTAGGCACGTATGTCAGCCACGAGCGGCATAGAATGGAAGCGTGAGTGTTTGAAGCTCCGAAAAGAGTGGAAATAAAAACAAGAGGGAAAAAAGGAGGTGGGGAACTAATAGCAATTCGTACCTTCATCGGAACCCATGCCTTCGTTAGCCGCTTGGTGACACCACATGGAAGAGGCGATGTCATCGCAACGCTCACGGAAAGACTTGATTTGTGACGAGAAAGTGCTGTGAATATTGATGGAGACGGGTCGGCCTGATTTGTCGCTGATCGCTTCGTAAAATTTGATTGCCACGCTGGCGACCAGCGTGACCAAATCAGACAGGGCCAAGGTAAGCTGCTCTACGATCTCCTGCGAGACGCCAAAGAGTTCGACCCGCTCCAACAGGTTGACCAAGGGGATGGAGTTGATGTACAGGAATCCGAACAGGGTCATCAGGGCCGAGTTGTTCTCCTTGCCGAGCTGCAAGACCAGAGTACACCGAAATTAGAATCGTTCACTTCCAGGCGACAATCGAAATGGGGACCGAGCACGCAAGAATAATAACATATAGGCCGCGTGCCAGTGACATACCTCGAGCAGGATAGCACAATAGCCATAGGCTAGATGGGCTGCCAAATGGGTGTCCCCAACAAGCTCTCTGAGGCCCATCTCAAACGAGTGGAGGCGCTCGACGAACAAATGAGCCCACGACAACACCTTATCGTAACTGCTGCCCTCGGGCGGCAGGTACGTGAATCGCTGGGTCCCAATCCAGTCGCGGATCGAGTCGTACGTGTAGCTCTGGAGCCGAGCCGACAGATTGTTATCCAACTCATGAGCGCTGCGCAGTTTGAGCGCTTCTACCACCTTCGATATGTTGGAAGGTCCTCGCGGCATTTGAGCGGTCTCCGACGGTCTCTGGGACAAGGTCTGCCGCTCAGCGAGCGTGTGCGGATGAGCCAACGAGGCCATGTTGGATACAACCGAGGCCGGTGCCATGATAAGATATTGGTGGGCCGTATTGATGCCTAGAGACGAGTCGCTGAGTATTTCTCTCGAGGGAAAAGCGGCTTGCGGTGGACAGGGACAGCAGCTCGGAAACTTAAACTCATTATGTCGCAAGGCGGTTGATTGACTTGATGCAAACATGACGAAAAAGAACGACCCCAGGGGGCAGATTTCATCATTCTTTGCATAACATGACGAAACAGACGCGGCGTGAACGGCATGTGATTGTGCGGAGACATGTCATCGACTCATCGTCCTAAGTCGGTTTGGAGACCATCTCCTAGGGGCTTGTCAAGGATGAAGGTTGACGTCAAGGCGAAAAAAAGATAGTAGGACAAAGACGGCGAGAGACATGATAGACCAATCTCTGTTCTTATCAACACTGAAGAGGCCGAGGCTGGTTCGGACAGACTGAGGCGGTGGTGATGTGGGTTCGAGATCATAAGCGTGTCGGAGAGGCAGAGCATTCAAAAGTAATCTAGTTAGTTATGGCATCGTTGTGCTTTCCCACAATCTCGAACTCGTAGGCAGTCCAAGCAAATGAGACCGTGTCCCGTCTTCACTTGACCCTGGTTTCGCATCCGGTCGCGTACTCGAACGGTATGCTGTAGTTTCAAGGAGAAATGTGCTTGGAAATAACAAAGGGAATTGAAGACTCAACAGCAACCAGCTTCAGGACACTAGGCTTGCATTTCTTCCTACCACGGGCAAGCGTGGTTTCGCTCGGCACGGGTTTTATAATCAAGAGTATAAATGATCAGTCCACAAGCCTGAACCACCCTTTCTGTTAATTACATGCGGCATGATAAGCTCAACTATCTTATTATTAGGTAGAATCCCAATCTCGTGTCCGACAAAAGTTAGTTCTGGCGGAGATAACCAGTAGGCGATACAATTATCCGGTACTAACAACAGATCAGTGTCAACGTCGTGCGCTTAGGACTGCGTGTCCCTACATGGACGTTTAGTTTCGGAAATACCAACATCACGTAAAGAACAGGTAAAATTAGAGCCTCCGACGAGGTTGTATGAAACCACAACAGCGCTGCAGACAACAGATTGTCTCCGTCGGAGGGGTGGGTGAAGAAATGGAAGAAACAGAATATAAAAAAAAAAAAGAAGAAGGGAAGAAATATGGAGAGAAAGAAAAGAAAGAAGGAAAAAAGCCAGGAGCAAGGGCAGAAAGCGGAACAAAGAAGACCACATACAACAAAGCCAGCTCGACACTACCGTAGACAGTCGCCTTGAGCGTGAGGTCAACCTTGAGGTCGAGGTCCAACTGAAGCCTGACGGTTTCTTTCTTGTCGGCGCGCTTCTTCATCATGTTCTTGGGCACATGCTTGCTCGGATCGAGGTCGTCCGTCGCCGGATTGGCGTCCCGTGGAGCAATCGCGCGGTCATCGTTTGTGTCTTGTCCAGATCCCGAGTGGCCTTCATTCTCGCTTTCCTCGCCCTCTGTTGCGGGGCGATTGTACTCTGGTGAATGTGACATTATCGAGACGGCTAAGCTGCGTTGCAACGAAAATCAAAGAGCAAGATTGTCCATTCGTCAGGACTGGTAAGTTGTTAAGTGAGTAACTCCAGAACTAGCAGCCCTTTGACGCGGCCAAAGTACTGTATATAAAGCAGCAACTGGCCGGGATGGTGGCCAAAAGCACCGGTGGTGATGTAGGAGGCAATGATTGAGGTCCATTATCGGACGATGGCGCGGCCGTACGACCTTGATCTGATAAGATTGTGGTGATTCCATCAATGACCTGCTTCACCATCCTCCCTGCATGGCGGCGGATAACGTCATGCTCCTTCGGAGTTGTAACCAGCAACTGGAACATAAGTACGTCTCAGTGAGTGCCAGAACTCCTGCCATGGGCCGTCTTAGCAATCATAGAACAGGCAACATGAAGATGACTCGGTAGAAAAACAACACTCTCAAATTTGTGCCCGGCTCGTTATGGTAGGCATACGAGGCACATGTCGGCTGACGCTGCTCGATGGGTCCGTTCTGTAGGTCCGTGGCGAGTCTGCAGGCTCGAGGAGTGGGCGCATGAGGTCTCGGACCGGGGGCCTCTCGGATCGGGCCCCATCATGCACAATTTGCTGTGGGAGCAACAAGGCGCGTTGAGTGCAGGCGGCAAAGGCCGAAGCCACCAATGGAGTTGATCGCTGTGCAATGAGATCTCGAACTGATTGCCATGCCGAGACTCGAGCATGGAGGACAATCCCAACCCTGGTTTGTCCGTTAGCGTGGCACCTGGTGGTAAAAAATGGGTCAAAAAAATAATGTACAACAAGAAGAATAAAAGAGGAGAGAAGTCAAAAATAATAGAATAAGAAGATAACACGAGGAAGAGGGAGAGGAAAGAAGGAAAGAAGAACTAGAAGTGAAAGAAGATGAGGTGTCCTCTGTGATACCTACTACGTAAGTTCCACGCTAACGACAAACCGGGGTTGAAACATATCACAACTGAATTGCAGTGGCCTTGCAGTGTCTCGAGTTTGAACACATGCCTTTCTGCCGATGGATGGATGAGGTCTCCAACTCGGCAAGGCTGAGTGTCATCGACTCTCAAGCGCTGTAGCCCCACAAAAACGCCCCGCGGCTGCCCCACTCACCTTTTGTCCTCAGCTGTAGAGTAATAATGCCGACCCGATGACATGGAGTGACTTCTTCCTTCCTGCCATTACCCGCACCGCCGTCCGTCCAGCCCGCACCGATCCGGATGGCTCCGCAACGAAAGACACTCACTACTCCCAAAAAGACGGCTGCCAAGGGCAAAACAAAAACGGCCGACGGCAAGACATCTAAGGGCACCGCACAGAGGACGACGCTCTCGGTGCCGATACTTCGACTGCCCGCCGAGATCATACTGCTCATCGACGACCTGCTCGACATTCAAGATCGGCTGGCCCTTGCACGAGCAAATCGCCGCTTTCACTCACTCATCAATCCCGTCCTCTATCGCGACAATGTCAGGCTGGCGAACGCCTCGTCCCTCTTCTGGGGCGCCGAGCACGGCCAGTTGGGCACCCTCAAGCACGCACTGGCCGCCGGCGCCAATTTGAATACTCTGGGACCTCTACCGCGGAAGGCTGGCGACAGAGACGACGCCGCTCCGGGTATTGATAACACGGACAACGACGGCGACGGCGATGCTGGAGCTGCAACTGACCTGTTTGAAGAAGCCGACCCGCATCAACCACAATGTACCGCGCTGCACCTCGCTGCCAAGAGCGGTCATCGCGAGATAGTCGAGTGGCTCCTCGACAACGGAGCCGACATCGACGCACCGTCCTTCCGCGTTTGCGATTGCCAGACCCTTAAATCTGCGAGGCACCCTTCGCGCCGTCTCCCCGAATGGCCTCGGTGGCACGCTCTACACACAGCCATGTGCAACCAGGAACGGGCCGTCGCCGAGTTGCTGATCTTCCGCGGCGCCTCGCTCGATCTAGACGCATCTCCCGGGCACAATCATACAGCGCTACACTCAGCCGCCGCCCACGGCCTGGTGCCAATCATCAAGCTGTTGGCGCTGAACAACATCAACCTCGACGTCAACCAGCGTGATGCCTGGGATAATACGGCCTTACACTATGTGGCGGAAATATGGAGCCCGCGCGACTCTGCCGACATCCGAGACACGATTACAAAGCTTCTTGCTCTGGGCGCTGACATTGAGGCTCATAACGATGTTGGCCACACTCCTCTACTCAACGCATGTTTCAGAGGCAACTATGCGGTAGCGCACCGGCTGGTCAGCATTGGCGCCAACCCAGATCCGCACCGGCACATCCCCAACTTCCGAGACTACCGTCCGCTATACTACTGCATGCTGCCGCGCTCCGAGTTCTTCGACATGGACGAGGCGCCCGTCAAGCACGACGAGTTCGAGGGCAACCGTGTGACGCTCATCAAGGCCCTGGTCGACGCCGGCGCCGACGTAAATGCCCGCTTCGACAAGCGCGGACATCGAAGCCTGACACCGCTTATGCTCGCCTGTGAGCTGGCCGAGCCACGAGCGGTCGCCGTGCTGGTCCAATGCGGCGCCGAGATTAACGCGCAGGACCGCAACGGGCGGACTGCACTGTGCTATGCCGTGACAGTGAGGGTCGACCATCGAGGAGAGGTGCCCGAGATTGCGTCCATCATGCTGAAACACGGCGCCCGCATGGACATTGAAGAGGAGCCCAATTGCAGTCCTCTCGACACGGCAGTCAAGCATATAAAGTGGGCAGACGACGATGTGCTCGAAGCGATGCTGAGCGTGGCGGACAAAACGAACTTTACGCAGGCGAAGCTCAAGGAGGCTCTGAAAACATGCGCTTCGAGCGGGAACCACAAGGCATTGAAGCTCCTGCTCGACTTTGCCCACCGGGTGTACAAGGTTACGGATGCAGACGTGAAAGACTACCTATGCCGCATCATCGAGCAGACGGACCCGTGGAACCAGATTGAGACGTTTACTTGCATGCTGGATTTTGGACGGCAGGTCTACACCAACGAGATGCTGCTTCTCAAGACCATCATGCAGCGGAACCGGGAATTGAGCCTGGCCGTCATGTTGCGTGGCGTTTTGGTCAGCGAGCCTAGATTCCATGGCGGCCAGACATACCTGCATCTCGCATGCCAATGGGGCGACACTGGGGTCATCAACGCTCTCTTGGAGCGCGGGGCCGACGTCAACGTCTTTGACCGCGAGCTGCGCACACCCCTATCGATAGCCGTGATGGAAAACGACCCTGCCACTGCCGTGGCACTAATGAAAGAGGTCGCCGACCCATTCCTCGTGCCGCCAGATAAGCTTCTCCAGGAACTCTATGACGAAGACGAAGAGGAGTGGCGCTTCGTCAAGCGCCGCTACCTCACCGCCTTTGACCTCGCCATCCGCGAGGACCGCGTCGAGATCGTCCGGGACATGCTCGCGCGCTTCGCGCTCCCCGAAATCCCGCCGAAAACAAGATTCAGCTACGTCCACCGCGCCGCGCAGAACCCGAACCCGGCCATTCTCAAGCTGCTCCTCGAGAAGGGCGCCAGCCCTGTCGGCGGCGTGGGCTGCCCCAACCCGCCGGTCGTGGCCCTGATCCGGCGCGTGTGGGACCAACCGCGGCTGCCGGACAATGCCGTCGCGCTGCTGCAGACGGCCAAGGTAATGCTCGACAAGTGTGGTGACCAGACGCCGTGGGACCTGATCACCGAGATTGCCATGCCAGAGGGTGAGGAGGATCCGCAGAGGGCCGAGGTACGCAGAGTCGTCATGCGCGAGCTCCGGGTCGGGTGCCTGTTTGAGGGAGACACGGGCGAGCCCATCATCCACATCAGCGCGATTCTCCCTGAGGATGTGTTGCGTCGGATGGGGTTGAAGGGGACGGATCATGAGGAGTTCTATGATTGAGTAGGATACGGATCATCCGGAAGTAATCAACTGAAGACGGAGTTGGGTTTCCTTTTTTTCTGCTTCTTGTTTTTCCACTTGCATGGGTCAGATTTTTTTCCTCTTTTCTATTTTTTTTTTTTTGTTTGGTTGGTTGAGTTAGCTCACATCATGGTTCGGAATGCAAAGGTACGATACTGCTCGGCGTACTGTGTTGGTTTCTGGAATGGGGAAGGGGATACTAGGTCAGTATTTATCATGTTGTTGTGGTTTGCTACGGTGATAAGATTGAGGGCGGCATCATCTGGGTGAATTTGGATCCGTACAGTATATAACGTGCATGATAAGCGAGTGTGCCACTTTCCAAACAACAAACTATCTTCGATTGCAACACATCATCAACATTTAGAAAAGTACTAAGATTACATTAGAAACAGGCTGAATCAGATAATTCTACAGCCTCCTGGCAAGTGCGGGCATTATGGCCACGCTTGCCGCACGCACCACAGCACCGAACCTTCGTACGAGTCCCCCTTGTGCCACTACCATCCTGCTGCGTTTCTTGCACTCTATCCCCAACCACAGCCTTTTAGTCTAGTAGATCCTTAGCATCTTGCACATTAAGAGATCCTCCGGGTTGTACGCGTGTTTTTCTGGCCCTCCGGCGCTTGCTTAATGTCTCGTTAGCCTTCCGAAGTGAGGCGTTATCTGCACGAAGGAGAGCCACTTGGTGTATCACAGCCATTGTCCTCTTGGTCAGCTGGTCCACAGCAGCCAAAATTGACGTCGGGGAGCTATTCTGATGGTGGGCAATACGAGTCTTAATGAGCGTTAATTGCGATTCGGCTTCTGGGAGGTTGTATAGTGTGTGGAAGACCCAGGGTCATACAGTGCTAGACAGCGTGACCCCAACCGGACACCCCCTGCAACCGGACATGCCGATTGTCATCACCCACCCAAGCACACCACCTCCAACACCACCTTTCTTACTCAGTTCTTCTTCAAATTTGTTCAAACTAAGATCATGGCAAACCTCAGAGAGCAGTGTATCCAATCCGCGCTTCAGAATATCCAGGATAGCGTTTCCTTGCGTATAGCGTCGAGGCGATGGAATATCCCGAGGGCGACGCTGTCCGACCACGTACACGGAGCAGGAACGCGTCGCGAGAGCCAGATTCCAGGCCAGCGGCTCTCTCCCTTATAGGAGAGCTTCGTCGCCGACTGGGCTATCAACGAGGAAAGCGCTGGTAGAGCTCCGAGTCGTCGTCTACTTATAGCTTTTGCTGAAGCAGTACTAGCCGAGGGCGGAGATCATCGTCCTCTTAGAGCACGATGGGTAGACCGTTTTTTACAACGTAATCCTACAGTCAGAACAAAAAACAGTATATTGCTAGACTCAGCGTGAACTCGCGGTTCTACTCGTGCTAACTACGAGGACTTCTTTTACCTTCTGCGTAATCAATTGCACTCTAAAGATATTGTTGGAAAGCCAATAGCCACGAATGTGACGCACCGTAGTAATTGGGTACCGAAAGGATGGGCAACCACTCAATTGATGATGATGTTCCTGTCTGCGTTCTTCCAGAAGTTCCCTGCCTGTTCCTGATCCTGAGAATCCTGGTGCCGAGCCATTAGTCACCCCTGAACTGCCTCTCTGACCACCTGCCAAATCCAACAGATATCAAGCCAGCTAACATCGCTAATATAGACGATCATGGCATGTAGGAGTTGGAGATGCGCGCTAGAACGGTGATTAGTAGCTCCCTAAGTCGTTATAATATTGTTATAGCATCTGGTGACACTACCTAGGTCTCTGTTATCGAATGCGGTACTACTGAGGGCAGGAGACTGTCCCCGTTTATTATCTTCACGGAGGCATCTCTCTAGGGCTAATAATTCCCCTGTAACGGTCCCAGGAGTATATTGCAACTAGCTGGTGACGACTCTACGAGTTTGCCTCGAATAGAGAGAGAAGAAGGAAAGAGAGAACTAGATGACAGGAAGAGAGGGCAGCTCTTATATGCTCCGGAACACACAGACACTGCCTGCTTCAGGATGACGTTATCATGATACCACGGCCGAGGGTAGCCGAGGCCATCATGGGCTCAGCCCATCACATCCCCTACAACTTCCGCCTCGAAGAAGCACTGCCATCCTGGAGATATATGTACTCAGCTATAGGCTGGAGCAATAGCCAGGTTGCCGTGGATTAGTTCAAACACGTCTATCTGCTAGAGACTAAGCCGTCAAACCTGTTGGATTGGCGCCTCTTTAGTCTCGACGAGCACGGCACCCACGTTACAGAGGAATATGGTTTTGGCACATCCCAACCGCGTACAACTACTCTATCTACCAGCTTATACAAGCTATAAGACCTAGCCACTTGATCTCAGCGTGTTCTCGGCTCTCAAGGAGTACTTTCGCTAAAATACGCGAGTATTTAGAACCGCTATGGCGTCGGCCCTGATCAACAAACAGAGGTTCCTCTACTGCTACCACGATGCCGCGTGACGTGGTATAAGCGCTCGCAACGTAATCTCTGGCTTTAGAAAGACCGGAATCTGGCTATACAATCCTGCAAAAATCCTCGATGATCTAGAAGCAATAGTCGAAGAAAGGACGCCCCCCGAGCAGCTATCTACGCCTACGAAACGCCAGCTATGCACCGAGAACTCTACTATCTGAACTCCATAGCAGGGTCAGAATATCCGGAGGACCATCTACTTGGCCAGGCAGCATGACTCGCCAACTAGCAGAAGCGTAAGACATCTCATTGCCAAGGTTGGGGATGTGTTGGATAAGAAGAACACGAAGATCGCCGCTTTGAAGGAGGCTCTGCAAGCCGCATGCAGAGATCGGGAAGCTCAGAAGCAACGCACGAAGACCAGAGTCAAAGAGAATCCGAACGACCCATTTGCGCGCGGAGAGGATATAATCACGGCTCAGGAAGCAAGTGAGAGATCCCCCAAGCGGAGGAAGTGGAGCAGGCAGAGTAACCCGGAGCTAGTCGTTGAGCAGGCACAGGAAATGATCATTCATGGTCTGAATCGCCTTCGGCGGGCCAAGGATATGTAGAAACTCTAAATTCTGTAGCGGTTTGCGTGGTTGTAGCAGATGGAGCAGGTTGAAACCTAAGCGTGGTGGTCGTCGATCGTGCCCGGTTTGGGGGGGTGTCCGGTTGGGGGGTCGCGCTGTCTAGGTGGCGAGTTCGGGGGTGTCAGCACACAAAGCTTCACATCCAGCTCGGAAGCTGTCACGGGTGGGCGCAACTGACCACTGCGTACACCCTCAAAATGAGGGACCGTGGTTCGAACTGTCCAGTCGAACCAGGAGTGGCGCACATGAACCTCACACTGTCACTACCCGTGACAGAAGCCCACTTTTTAGATCGTACGATACAAGGCCAGCACCTGCAAAGCCACTTCATATGTTCTTCTCCGTCGTAGAGGCAAAGAAGGCCTCGCGGAGGGCATAGAGGAACTCGAGCTTGCTCACATGGGTGATATACGCGCGCATTAATCCCTCGATCTGGCGACCGTACGCCTGCTTCAGCGACCTAAAGAAGCCAACATCGAGTGGCTGGAACTTGTGGGAGGAGTGCGGAGATAGATATAATTGTTGGAAAGCCAAGAGCCACGAATTTCACCGCCCCTTGTAATCGGGAACCAAAACATGGGCCACCACTCCATTGATGATATCACCGAATCAAACGGTTATCAGTCACCACACCCTGCCTCTTCTGACTTCCGAGACCGTTTCTTTTTCTTCAACATCATACCTACTCACAGTGTGGCAGTGGCGGGCTAATGCCAACCGCTCATCTACCATGGAGGCCCTTCCTACGGAACTGATACACCATATTTGCACTCATCTCTGCGACCATTGCCAGCTCCCAGGTTCATTTCCTCACGCCGAGAGTTGGGGCGTGCGTCGGAGAAAAGCAGCACTGGCCAACCTGTCGGCAGCATCGTCACGGCTCCGCGCCATCGCGCAGCCTTTGCTCTTTCATTATTTCGCGACGGGAAACATGGCACCTCATGGCTACTGGCCCGACGAAAGCCACGCGGAACTGACCCTGGAATTCGCTGAAAGAGCCAAAAAGTTGCCTCTTATCATCCGCAGCGCCATACAACGCCCCGACCTCGCTGCCAAGGTGAAGGCTCTGCAGCTCGTCGAATTTGGTGCCACTACGGCCATTGCTTCCGGCAAGATCGGCGACGACTCCAACGAGATGGACGTTCTGGCGGGCTGCATAGGGCCCAAACTCGAGAAGACGCGCCGAGCTCTGCCCGACGAAAGTCGGAGAGATTCTGCCTCCTGGAACTTCCAGGCTGGAAGTGGGTCGTTGATCAGTGGTCGGACGGTGTAACGGTCCCAGGAGTATATTGCAACTAGCTGGTGACGACTCTACGAGTTTGTTTCGAATGGAGAGAGAAGAAGATAAAGAGTGAAAGACTATGCAAGATATCTGCCGTCTTATACCTCCACATCCTTGGCCTGTGCGCCGACATCGAACAAGATAAAAGTCCCCCGAATCTCGAGTCTTGGCCGAGAGTTTGCCGAGGCCTTTACGGGCTCAGCCCGTTACAAATATGACCCTCAGCGTTTTGCTGCCACCGTTTATAAGGTCAGTCGAAGCTAAAAGGAAAGGATAGTACCATGCCGAGCATAGCATATGCAGGAGGTAGGGGAAAAAGCAAAATGAACATACTTCCAGCGTAAGTTGTCGCCAACGGCGAGACTCGAACTCGCAACATTCAGATGTACTTTTGATGTAAAAGTCTGACGCGCTAACCAATTGCGCCACGCCGGCTTCAGAGATTGTCAGTTTTGGTAAAACACAGTGCCTATGATTTGATTCCGCTGTCCGTTCATTGGATTTTGGGAATGCCTAAAGTGATGGGTAAGAATCACAGAACAAAGGCACTACGGAAAATTTTGAGACATCGAGATTGTGGGTTAGAGTTACAGTTTTGCTTGCCGGCTTATCGCTCTGTCAGTAACTAGCGATTTGTCAGATTCGAGCCGTGCTCCTTCTGCAGGAGTTGTGAGACTGCGGAACGTAAGGTGGTTCAGCTGAACGATGAACAGGCTGGTGTATCAGGGGTTGTATTCCTGTTAGCTGGCGTGAAGGACAGGCTCCGTTACCGCGCCAATGGCGCTTTGCGCGCTGCCCAACCCTCCTCCTGCCTCATTATTCTCAGAGCAGGAGCGCCTACCACTTAGCATCCTTGCTGTCAAGGAAAGCCTTGAGAATGCCGACGATCTTGTCCAACGCAGCCAGGTACTCGCGCAACTCCTCCTTGACCTTTCCCTCATTCGAGCCGAGCTTGGAGTAGAAGTCCTTGCGGTAGGGACAGGCGCTCATCGCGGCGCTGAAGATGGGCTTGATCATGAAGCTGTGGTGGGGCTTGAGGGTGACGCCGTAGGCGTTGCGGAAGGACTCGGAGAGCTCGTGTTCGTGGTTGGCCAGGTTTTGGCTCAAGGCAAGGCATGTGAACTCGAGGCCCCTGCAGAGTGTGAGATGTTGTCAGCGCACAAGATTCCCTTACTCAAGTGCAGTCCAAGCGGTGTCCCACCTGACGAGCCATAACAAGCCCTCGGTAGCGGTATGAGACTTGGTTTTGAGCTCGTTCCGCACGAGGTCTTGGAGGTTCTGGGACTCGAGGGGGGCTGCCAGCAGCCTTTTCCGAATTTTCTGTGAGCAGGACGAGCATCAGTTGGTGGGTTCTAGGGGCTATGGCGGCAGGGAGAGCGGACCTCAATGTTGCCCAGCATGTCCTTCTTAACCGGGGAAAATGCGACCGAACCGAGGATATCTTTGATGCATCATGTCAGCCGAGGGCGGTTCCGTCCTCCGTCCAGCGAGAAATATGCGTACCGAACATGGTGGTCAAGGACTCAGCGGCGTCGAGGAATTCGGCCGTCGAGATGGCGTTGCCATTGTCGGCATCGATTGGGACCTTGGTGAAGGACCCCTTGAAGGTATCGAGGTAGGTGCCTCCCTCAGGAATCTGTGCGGTAGCCATGTTGTCTGACGGGGAAGAAGTCGGGACCTGTGTTGTCGAGACAGGAGGATTGGGTTGGCTGGGAGGTTGAAATTGGAGGCGGTCAGCCTGCTGGAGACCGCCGCCCGCTAACAGCTACCCCGCCGCGCGTCGCCCCGCAACATGTTGACACGGAGAGACAATCAGGGAAGTGACATGAGGGCTCATCATTGGCCTTGCGGGTATCGACGCTTTTGGAGTTCATCGTTTAATAACCTCTTGTGATATTTCAAAGCCTCTTCTTCAATTGACGACCTGACATGAGGCAGTCAACTTGCGCTTTGAGCTCCTGAAGACTGAATGTCGAGATTCGAGACATCCCCAAGGCGGGAATTTGTGGACCCAATGGTGGGGTCGTAGAGCATGTGGACCAGTGGCCCAAGCATTCGTATAGACGGATCCGTACTGGATGATCGATCCGGGTTGCCACGCTTTCCACGTTAGTTGAGAACCTGAGATGCCCTTTTGAGTTTCTGGAATGCAATTGAGACTCGAACCAAATGCCCAATGAACAGAACAACCCCACCGTTGTTCGAACTCGTTTGAAGCCCCCGAGATGCCCCAGTTCCGAAAACGACGGGGTCTCACGCGGAATGAATGTCTCTGCTGAGCCCGGTACCTCCTTCTGCAGGAGCGTTAGGATTCAGGAATGGACATCATGACGTCACCCTCGGTGTGCTCCGGTCTGCAGTTCGCGGCCGTGTCCCGTGAGGTTTGCTGCATTCAGAGCTGAGCCAAGACTCTCTCGTTAATCAGTATAGATTTACACCCAACATTCTTCCATGTTAGATGCTCTTTCTAGCAAGATCTTGGCTCACATTAACAATTACTTCACCTTCCATCGACATTGTCCACCGCTGCCAGCACATCCCATCCAGGGCCCTCTTCCGCACACTACCTTCCGCTGATGCTCACCACATCACTGCACTCCATTGCCAAGACTCACATCGCAGTCATAGCTTGGCTTGTCGACCATGACGGGCATACCCCAACACCAAGAATCGACCGGCAAGGACCATGATGTTGGTGAAAAGTTCAAACTCCCATTCCGCGGGCTCAGAGAAAAGCTGCACCACAGCCACAACCTACAAGACGCCAAAGTCCACCTGATTCACCAAAAGTACGTTCTTCATGACGCTGGTGGCCGATCCATGATGAACACTAACCTCGTTCCAGGCACAAGATTGGCAAGTTCGCAAACTTGGTGGGATCTACTTAGACATCTGCCAATTGGTGCCAGCACCACTGATATCCGAGCAGTTCAATCCCCATCATCGCCATGATGAGGCTCACGAGAAGGCCTGCGATGAGAAACGCTCCAAGATTGCCGAGTCGCATCGGTTTCAGTCCTACTTCGCGGAGCGAGATGGTAACATGGTGAAGTGGTATGTCGACGGCAGAGACTACTGCTGGGTAAGCATCAACGGGGACTATTCGCTGCCGCACCCGCTAAACATAGGAATAGGCAGTATCAGCTGCGCTCGAAAACGCGAAGGAGACCATATACATTGCTGATTGGTGGCTGACCCCTGAGCTGTTCCTCCGCCGCCCACCGTACTTCAACCAGGAGTGGCGTCTCGACCAGATCCTCAAGCGCCGAGCAGAGGCGGGCGTCAAAATCTACGTCATCGTATACCGCGAAGTCGAAGCCGCCCTCACCTGCAACTCGACGCATACCAAGCACGCACTGCAGGCCCTCTGCCCTGAAGGCTCCCCGGGTCACGGCAACATCAAAGTGATGCGCCACCCAGACCATAACGTTCTGGAGAACGCTGCAGACATGACCTTCTATTGGTATATCCCCTTCTCTTTCAGCCCCCTTCCCACTGTCACGGATGGCCCATCAATATTTGGTTGACATTCTCGGGCAGGGCTCACCATGAAAAACTCATCGTCATTGATTACGAGATGGCCTTCATCGGCGGCCTGGATCTCTGTTTTGGCCGCTGGGACAACCATCAGCATGCTCTATCCGACATGCATCCCGAGGGCGTTGCCAACGAGGTGTGGCCCGGCCAGGACTTCAATAACAGCCGTGTCATGGATTTCCAGAATGTTCAGGACTGGAAGCAGAACGAGCTGAACAAGGAGGACTCGGGCCGCATGCCTTGGCACGATGTTGCCATGGGCGTGATCGGTCCCTGTGTTTATGACATTGCCGAGCATTTCGTGCTGAGGTGGAACTTCATCAAACGAGACAAGTACAAGAGAGATGAGCGGTACGAGTGGCTCGAGCTGGAGGGCCGTCAGGGGCCGGACGAGGACCTCATCGGCGTTCAAAGGCCCCACCATCCTGTTGGCGGCTACGTCCGCCATCCGCTCTCTCCCATGAACACCAAACACTTGGACAATCGGGGGACCGTCCATGCTCAGGTTGTCCGTTCCAGTGCCGATTGGTCTAGCGGCATCCTCACCGAGCACTCCATTCAGAACGCCTATAGTGACATCATTCGCAGCGCACAGCATTACATCTACATTGAGAACCAATTCTTCATCACTGCCACCGGGGACCAACAGCCGCCCATCCGAAACACCATCGGAAGAGCTATTGTGGATGCTGTCTTGAGGGCTGCCAAGGAACAACGCAAGTTCCGTATCATCATTTTGATCCCCGCAGTACCCGGGTTTGCGGGAGACCTGCGAGAGGACGCTGCCATTGGCACCCGAGCGATTATGGACTACCAGTACAAATCGATCTGCCGCGGTGAACACAGCATCTTTGAGCAAGTAAAAAAAGAGGGCGTCGATCCAAACAAGTACATTTTCTTCTTCAATCTGCGCAGCTACGATCGTCTGAATAGAACACCGGCCGTCAGGAAGCAAGAGGACGAGTCAGGGGTCAAGTACCGCGACGTCCAGCGCGCACACGCCGAAGAGATCATGGACGAGGGGATTCACGGGACCGTCAACGAATCGGACGACGATCTGGGCGGCCGCCACGTGCATATAGGCAAGAAACATAAGCAGGGCGAGCTGCGTGACAAGGTCAAGGGTGAACTGAAGGAGAACGTAGCCGAAGGGCGCAGGCCAGACGACGATGTCAAGGGCTCAGACTCTAAGCGGAAGTTTGAGGCGGCCGCTGATGGGGACAGATCCGCCAGTAACCGAGCAGCCACCGTCGCCCACCATGCCATGGCGGACCGAGGCCCTGTCTCGGACTCCCCCTGGGATGGTGACCCGGAGGATGAGGTGAACCACTGGATCCAGGAGGAGTTGTACATCCATGCCAAGCTGCTCATTGTGGACGATCGGATTGTCGTCTGCGGCTCCAGCAACCTCAACGATCGCAGCCAGCTGGGATACCGAGACAGTGAGCTGAGCATCGTCATGGAGGACACCCGCCGTTTCGAGTCAACCATGGACGGGAAACCGTTTGAGGCGGGCTGGCATGCTGCTACCCTCAGACGGTATCTCTGGCGGGAGCACCTGGGCTTGCTGCCTCCGCAGGATCACGACGCCAGCAATGACGCGAACGCCCAGCCGCCCGGCGACGAGTCGCCTAATGATGTCCGGGATCAGGACGACAGCTGGAAGTTTGTCGAGGACCCGCTGAGTGACGAGCTGTGGGAAGCATGGACTTCGCGGGCGAACACGAATACCGAGGTGTTTAGGCAACTGTTCCATGCGGATCCGGATGATCACAGTAAGTCTGTTTCGTTGCCCCTACCTCCAAATCTTTGTCGACAAATGGATAATAGAAGCTAACTCGGCCAGTCAAAACGTTTGACGACTACAACTCGTACATGCCGGCCAAAGGCGTCCCGGCCGGCCACATCTTTGATCGAATGATCCCTGCGCACGAGGTGAGGGAGAAGCTGGATAAGGTCAAGGGGCATCTGGTGTGGATGCCGTTGCAGTTCCTCAAGGAGGCGAATATGGCCGAGAAGGGACTGCAAGTCAACGCGTGGACCGAGAGCGTATATACTTAGGCGGCGTTGGTGTCTGTATGGCAGGTCTGACGGTGATTTATACGAGGCAGATTTAGGGACAAATCTGATGCGATTTTACTACAGCAGGGGTATTCGAATATTTCAGTTGATGTTCTTATAGTCGTTTATCTTGAATCCTTACGAATACGGTCGAAATGACACCTTATATACATACCCCTATCCGGCTTGCCAGCGCGAACTCCTCTTCATTGTCTTTGCTTGCCGCCAAATATAGGCTTCTCATGTGTGAGCCATCCACCATTTGCTATCGAATCGAGTTATGTTAATCAAGAGCTTGAATTCGTATTTCACTTAACTAGATGATAAGACATTTACAGGCACAGAAACAGTAAGATTGCCCTGTTAGTCTTTCAGTCACTGCTAGTTGAACTTTGTGCCTCCTAGAGACCCACGATTCAAATTTAAAACCCAGCCACGAATTTCCCAATCGCCACTTTTATCAGCCTTTCTCATTTCTCCTAGCTTAGGCAAGCAGCACCGACGGATCCTCTCTCCTCAAGAAGCCCTCCTCAATCAAAGTCTTGACATTTTGGTACAGCATGTACTGCACCCCGGCGCCTGGTTGTCCAAACCACGGTGCAATGGGACCAGCAAGCACCACCAAGGGCTTGACGACGCTGTAAACGTGGTAGTTGTATGGGTACCTGCCAATGTATCAGTCGTTTTCTCGTCATTAATTACTCGCGTCCCACTTGACGTTTCCTCCCTCTCCTCAACCTCATCACAGCCACATTGTCACGCTGGGATTGTACTCCTGAACCATGTACCCAGGAAAGAAGAAAAAGGGGGGTTTCAAAGCACTTACTCAACCTCATTGCCCACCAGATTACTCGGCGGCAGCGCCCGCGCCGCATATGTCGCGCCGGCCGGCGTCACATAACTCCCCCACTCGCTCCCGAACCGATCAATCAGCGTCTCCTCGGCGAGGGTGACGTTCCCCTGGATGGGCCTCGGCCCCTCCGCTACGGGCCCCTCGTCGGGGGTTGTGAGCAGGAAGCCGTTCTGGGGCGGATACCGCCACCACCCGGCCTCGTCGTCAAACCACTGCCCCAGAAACTCCCCCGGGCACAAACCCCCAAAGCGGTCGTACCCGTACAGTGCGGCGGCCAGCACGGGCGAGACGGGCAGGTCGTCGGAATGGTGCGGGAGGCGGGTTGGGCCCAGGCGGGAGTCGCCGCAGAGGTAGGTCTGGAGGAGGGAGGCGGTGTAATTTGTGCCCTCGCAGTAGCGAGCGGTGTTGCGGCGGCCGCAGGAGGTGGTTGGCGCTGCGGTGGTTGGGAGGGGAAGGGTCAGGAGGGTCAGGAGCGCTGGGAGGAGGCTGGAGAGGTGCATTTTGAGGGTAGAAGGGGGTAATTGGAGGCGGTCAGGATGTCCAGGGGCTGAACCGCTGTCCTAAGACTGAGGAATCGATGGTGGGATCTGAGCTTGAGTGTCCCCGGTCATGATGCCGGCGGGATGGCGTCCTTATACCGCTTTCATTTCTCGCTCTGAGGCTGATATTCCCTCATATTACGGAGTACTTCTCCGGGAGAAAGGGGCCGAGCCAGCGGTATACACGTGGTGTTGCTAGACCAAATCCTCTAAGCCGGGCATCCACTGTTGTCTCACGTCAGTCAATCTCTGAATGGCTGCTTCTGTGCTCATCGCATGTTCGCTGGTGTTCCTGCATAAGCTGAACCTGCGAGGCCAGCGCCGGCCCGCGTCGGACAGCCAATCGGAACAAGATCGTCGTGAAAGGCGGAGAACGGATCTGGGTAAAGATCTGACGCCAAGACAAGTGATCGGACTCGGATCTTCACTCAGTGCTGGGAAGGAGGTTGACCGGGAAGGATCACAACGCGGTGAGACTTGCATATGGAAATTCTGCACGCAGTGTTTCATTAACAAACGAGCCCATGTTCTGACGTCCATCAACACACCTACAGCAAGGCTGACGATAACCCAGGTCCAGTAGTTCAAATTAACCGAATCAACACAACGCAAACCGGCCATCGAACCAGTCAAATATAGGTGCAAAGTTGACATGTGTGTTGGTCAAGGATTCAGCATATAGAGACGCTGGGCACCTGCTGCAAAAGCCCCTTACCACGCTTGCCCACATGTGAGCGTACGGGCTGACCTCCTCTCAGCAAGTGTCCAACTCCTCAAAATGATGTGGCGAAGGGTGAGCGAAAACCATTGCATTGATGCAGCGTACAACATATGCACAAGAACCTGGAGGCTTGCTAAATTCCCACTCCATCAAATTTGCAACACCTCCAACAGGGGTATATTCAGACCTACTCCTCAACCACCAACCCCACCGCATCATGTCAAGGCAACAACCACCTTCACCCAAGATTGAACTCGCTCGCCGCATTCATAACCATCCTCATCTTCTCCTTCATCCGCCTCGCAGCGCCCTCATCTACCGCACCCACCCCATCGTCATCATCATCCCCATCCCTCCTACCACCACTACCACCACCGTCACCACCACCGCCACCACCACCACTAGTGCTAACCTTCCCTGCACTGGAGACCTTAACCTTCTTCTCCGCAGCACCGCCCTTGTGCGCCCTCCGCGACAGACCCCCACCAATGCCCCCCGGCGTCTCCCGCAGACCAAACGCCTTGGCCAGATGGCCCAGATGAAGCTGCGTAATGTCAAAATACACGCGCTCTTCCCTGACATGTGTGGCATAGGCGCGGATGTGAGACCGGAAAGCCTGGCGGGCGGCGTCGAGCAGCAGGTTGTTGACGGGTTTGGGTCTGCTGGCCTTTTGTTGGTGGTGTTTCGGCTTGCTACCCTTGCCTTTGTTGGAAGAAGCAGCAGCAGCACTTCCGTCTTCTGTTGATTCCTCAGCAGGCTTCGCGAGGAGTCTTTGCTCGATGTGGAGCTGGAGCGCTTCGGCGCGGGAGCTCCACGTTTGCTTTTCTGTCCCGTCGGCGGTCGTCTTTGTCTGCGAGGAGAGGAGGTTGACTGGCGTCGCGAGGCCCTTTTGCAGCACCGATTCGTAAAGTTGCGGGGTGATGGGCGTGGAGGCGGGGAGGATCGAGGTGTAGCCCTCTTCGCAGCCGGGGAGGAGGAAGAGGACTGCCTTGCCGGGACGACCGGCGCGGGCTGTGCGGCCGATGCGGTGGACGTGGTCGGGGACGGCAAAGGCTGGGTCGTACTCGATGACGAGGTCCACTGCCGGGACGTCGAGACCGCGGGACGAGATGTCGGTGGTGATGAGAACAGCTGGGTCCTTGCATTTGGAGAAGGATTCCAGTGTTGCGGAGCGCACTGGCTGTGCGAGCGAGCCATGGAGCTTATGGAGTACCACCCTCGGGTTTGCAGGGGATGTAATGTAGGCAGCAGGAGCGACAGTCGAATCCGTGTGCGGGCTGCGCTCCGGTTTGGTTGGTGAAAACTCGGGAGTGGGCGGCTCTGGGGTCTTGGTGTCCTTGAGCAGTTCGTAATGGAAGTCGACGGAATCGGCGCACGAGATGAAGATGATGGCCTTCATGACGGAGCCTTTCCTCGCGAATGTCGACTTTAGCAACGCGATTAGCGTCACCAGCCGCAGTTTAGCTGGCACGATAATGCAGGATTGCTTCAGCTGCGACGGGGCGGCGAAGACGGTTTCGTTTCCGGCTGCGGCATCCTGTTCCATCTCAGACTTGGATGCCGTGATGTGCACGGCGTCCTCCAAACTGATCTCACCCAGCTTCTGCACATTCATCTTCATGGTCGCCGAGCAGAGCACGGTTACTCTCCTGGAGGGTAGAATGCCGTCTAGCACAACGCCCTCGGCATTCTCTTTTTGCAGTTTATCTGCCCTGATCTTCCCAACAATCGTCCGGATGTCCTCCTCGAATCCCATTTCCATCATGCGGTCGCCTTCGTCCAACACCAGCCATCGCACCGTGCCGACATTCAGAACCTTTGTGTTGTCGAGATGATCTGCCAGACGACCTGGCGTGGCAATCAAAATGTTGACGCCTTTCCGTATGCGTGCCTTCTCCGAATGCTTGCTCTCGCCTCCAATAACGGTTGTGCAGACCAGCCATGGGGCGCACCGCAACAGCTTCTCCAGAACGACGGATATTTGCTTGCACAGCTCGCGCGTGGGCGCCAGGATGATGGCGAACAAGCCAGAGTTTCGGTGAACCTTTGTGGCCTTGGGCGTTCCATCCTCGTTGAAGCTCAGAGCCATGATCCTGTGGACTATGGGCAAGAGGTATGCCAGCGTCTTTCCTGAGCCTGTCTCGGCCTGCAAGAAGGCGTCGCTGTCCTCTTTGATCAGGTGCGGTACGGTGTTTTTCTGGATCGCTGTCGGGGCTTTCATGTCGAGCTTGGTTGCCAAATGTTGGGCGACACGCCGCGACAGACCCAGGGTGTGGAAGTTCTCGGCTTCTTCGGACAACGGTGCGTTCGAGGCCTTCACCGGTTCTACATCCTCGACCTGGGCCTGGGCAAAGTCGGTGACGGCAACTGGATTTGACGTGAAGAGACTGGACGATATTTGGCCCGTCTTCATGGCATGACTGGGCGCCTTGCTGCTTGCATCAGCCGTCTTGGCCATCTTGGAGTGTCTGGACGAGTCGCCATCCTCAATCCGCGGTCGCTTCACCGGTCTGCTCGAGTCGAAGTCACCGGTGGTGCGTTTTGGCTGGGTCGACCCATTTTGCAGCAACTTTTTGGCGCTCCTCTGGGCCTTGACGCGGTCCCTCCAGCGGCCGCCTTTAAACTTGACTTGGCTCTTCAGTGGAGCATCGCCAAGCTCAAAGTTCAGGAGCATGCCATCGTCGGCCATGGTTGCTGATGAACCAATGTGGCTGTGCTCTGCTGGAGTTTGGGAATCGGCAGAAAACGAGGAAAAAGTCGACTACCAAGCAGAACAACCGAAAGATCGGGTTGATTGGGAGTGGGGAAGCGGCCACTGACCGTGTCGTTGCGCCATCGATAAGCGAAGTGGAAACGAGAGTGGTCTGTCCGCTCGCCCAGGTCTGTGGGGCTGAGCTCCGTACCTGATCTCGTCGCAGATACAGTATTCAACTTCTGACCACCAACTTGCCAGACGACGGCGATTCATCCCTTCCGATCTTCTGAATCGATGGCTATGGCAATGGCTGCAACAGTGGTTCCTAGTTGACGTCAGTCAGCAACCAGTGGGGAAGCCATTGATAACTTGGTCAAGGGGCTTTCATGCTACTGGAGTAAAAGAGCATGACTACCTAGAAAAGGCCTTGTCGGCATCGGGGCTTCCCAGCACCGTGCATAATAGCCCGGCTGTGGGTAAAATGCCTGCCCTCTGTCATTTGGCTGGCTGGTCGACAGGGTCGACTAGTTCAGACCCGAGATAAAGGGATTCCCGAAGGAGCATGAAAGGAGTGGCACAAGCGGTCGTAGGATTTCCTGGGGCTCGCATTGGGACTTCCCCAAGGCTCAAGTCCGATCACAGATTGCCTGTGCCTGACCATGCTTTTCTTGTGCGACATCTTAGTGCCCACGAGCTTCGGTGTTCCGGCCGCCAGTCAACAAATTTGGAGATACTTTTAAGCAGAAGACCGCTGATCTGTCTCCGAGCGTCTGCAATGCCTTCTACTACCACCCTCCGACCCCTACTGCGCGCGACGCATCGTGCAAACGTGATGGGCACCCAAGTCGCACTCGCTGCCGCAGTTGCCGGCATTGGCGCATATGCCTGGTACTGGCGGAGTAGCAACACCAACAAGCCAGACAAGCCGATCTTCAGCAGCTTCGGCTTCCATACCCTGCGCCTGGACAGCACAGAGCTGATCAACCACAACACCAAGAAGCTGCGCTTTGAGCTTCCCGATGCCAGCAAGCCTAGCGGTCTCTCACTTACATCCGCCCTGCTCACCATCTCGTTCCCCAATGGCCGCTGGCTGCCGGTCCTCCGGCCGTACACCCCAGTCAACGACCTGAGTATGGGCCCCAATCCAGCCTACAGCCCGAAGTCACTCTCCACCGAAACTAACCCACCGCAGACGAGCCAGGCTACATCGAGCTGATGGTCAAGCTGTACCCGAACGGCAAGCAAAGCACGCATCTGCACTCGCTCAAGCCGGGCGACACCCTCACCTTCGCCCCAATTAAGGAGCTCGCCTGGACACCCAATAAGCACGAACACGTCGCCCTCATTGCCGGCGGCGCGGGCATCACGCCCATGTACCAGCTGGCGCGGGGCATCCTGCACAACCCGGACGACCGCACGCGCGTGACGCTTGTGTGGGGCGTCAATACGGACGAGGACATCTTCCTGAAAAACGAGTTTGCCGCGCTGGAGAAGCTGCATCCCGGTCGGTTCAGGGCGGTCTATGTCGTGGTGACCCCGGGTGCCGGGTCGCCTCACCAGAAGGGGTTCGTGACGAGGCAGTTGCTGGAGAAGGCTGGTCTGGCCGCGAGCGAGGCGCAGAATCGGGATATCAAGGTACTGGTGTGCGGCCCCCCGGCTATGGAGAAGGCGCTGAAGGGGAAGAAGGGAGGAGGAGTGCTGGCTGAGCTGGGGTATAGGCCGGATCAGGTCTACAGCTTTTAGCGGCGCGCTAAGCCTACCCTGAGAGGTGTTTGTCTTGAGTGGCTGGTGTTGCAGGACTTCCCCTCATTCCGTCCTCGGTCGGCCGACCTGTAGGATCTTCTTACCCTCAGCAAGAGGGCGCAAGTGCCTTTGTTGATTCCAGGACCTTCTGTGGCACTGATGTACGATCAGCTATTCTTTTCCATCCCCTTAGGGGCAGCATCAACAGGGCTTGGCGTCTTGAACGGTCACCAGACCGCTAAGATGGCATGGACCGGGCAAACGAATTGACTAGCCCGCGCCGCTACAGTTTTCTTTCGCGTCTGTTTACCGACAGACTCTATGATGCCTATGTCGGATATAGACAACATGAACACCAGGCCGTGTAAGACGGACGAAAAGCTCGAAGAGTGGATGGGATGTTTCCAGGCGCTCCGTCAAGTGCCTAGCTTTCTCTATGTCCAGTGTGGGCGATTGGTTGAAGACCCTGCTTTAGCAGTTATTTTTCATGAGTGCGTACATCTGATCATTTCTAGTGCCTTTCCTACTCTGTCCCTACTGTAATCTCCCAGGACCTAGCCAAAGCCATTTGAAGTCAATATCAACTCGAACATTTGCTGAGACATAAGGGCCTTCTTCTAATCAGGCGCCGTCTCCGCTAAGGCCCTCTATGTGCTCCTCAAAAGCCCGCAGTCCAAGGACTTTCTCGCTGCCCTAGGCCTCGACCAACCACCGTTTCTCTTCCGTACCGTCGAGCCGCTCCTAGGGTCTTACCTTAGGCCAGGACGTATAACCATCGCCACTTTAATTCCCATATCCGGTAGCCCACGAGCAACGGGATATATTCTTGGACACTGCTCGGATCCCGTTCCCGAAGCGATTCAAGAACGATATCCCCTTTGGCTGGTCTAGTAAGAAGTGTGTCCGTGGGCAGCTGAAGCTCCCCGACGGACGTGAGGTGGAAATCGGTCTGGTCCATTAGCAGTGGCTCAAGCCAGAGCATGGAGAATACCGCGGCTGAAGAGAAGGTGGAAGAGCGGGAGCTCTGGATGAGCGATGTAGTGCACCCCCTCGGCTTGTTGGTTATCTCGGTGGAGCTATGACATCCAAGAATGACAAATGTGGAATATGCAGAGAAGAACGAAAGCCTCCGCTGTTGCGTGGCGACTCAAGGATCGAGCTTTTGGGCTATGTTAAGAAGTATGTACATCTGTAAGGTGAACTATATACATGCCCCTGCAGTGCAGTACATACACTGCTGAATACGAACGGAGAACAATTGAAAATACAAATCGACTGCTGTCCAATTTCACCTCTCTTCTCCATCTGGCAGTCTTCTCTCCCGATGCAAAGTTTAGTAGATGACGGGCCATCCATTCTGGTAACGAATGAGGTTGATACCGAGCCGCGCATCCCCAGCATCGTTGTAGTAATGGTACACCAGTACATCAGCATCATTATCCTTAAACACAGCGTTGTGGCCGGGACCATGCACCGAGCCGTGGCTCGACATCATTTGGGTTCCGCCCCCTTGCATCATGGGCGTGCCGTTCTTGTCGACGTACGGTCCCGTCACGCTGGTGGACCGGCCGACCATGATCCGGTAGGTGCTGGCGGCACCCTGGCAGCAGCGGTCGAAAGACACCCAGAGGTAGTAGTAGCTGCCGTTGCGGATGATGAAGGGCGCCTCGATGGCCCCGCCGTTGTTGGGGCGCGAGGCGAGCGAGATGAACTGGCTGTCGGCGCGCTTGCCGGTAGACGGGTTGATCGCGATCATCTTGATGCCCGACCAGAACGAGCCGAAGGAGAGCCACCACTTGCCCTGGGCATCGACAATCAGGTTCGGGTCGATAGCATTCCAGTTGCTGTTGTCGAACGACTCGATGACCAGACCCTGGTTCGTCCACGAGCCGGACGCGCCGGTGGTGCTCGTGGCGAGGAAGATGGCGGAGCGGCTTGATCCGAAGCTCGAGGCGGAGTAGTACAGGTAGTACTTCCCGTTGTGGTAGGAGATGTCGGGCGCCCAGAGGTTCTTGGAACCCTTGGTGTAGGTCGTGGTCCACGGTGCGCCGTTGGGGAACACAGGGCCGGCATCGCGCCACACGGTGCGGTCGGTCGATGTCTTGAGCTGCACGTTGTCGCCCGTATAGGCGGCCAGGTAGGTGCCGCTGGGAGTCTTGACCACCGTGGGGTCATGGATGAAGGTGCTGCCCGACACCGGGCCCGGGTTGATGTTCTGCCTGGGGACGAGGGCATGAGCAGCGGCGGCGACGGCCAGCATGCCACTGATGGCCAGTTGTCGGAGGCCCATGTTGTGTGTTAATTCTGTTGACCCTCTGTGCTTGCCTGTGGACGATTGTAGATGCTGGCGTGGAATAGCAGTGTCCCAACGGGCAGCCTGTGCTCATTCCTATCCGCCCTGTTGATACGGCGCATGTCATTTCTTATACTATTGGATCCTTTCGGCGACCTTCACTCCAGTCTTCGGATCGTTTAATTAAGGTTCGCGTGGAGCCCTGCTGAGATGAAACCGGAGGTGTGCTCCAGACAACCCTTGTCCAGATTCTCCGGCTGGGCGTCGGCGTTAGCTCTGATCTTGGAGTCGCGCGTTTCGTTGCCGGCAGCCCTACGGAGTACCGTAGTTACCTTAATTAGCCGGATGCTCGGAAGCGCACCTATGACAACTGTCTATTAGGTATCCGGCAGTCCATTCAAAAGCGCGCCTCGGAATAATTATCGGGAGCCGGAGACTACGGAGTGGCTTACCCCATAGAGGTTGGTAGTCAGCTTACTCGACATCCTCCAATCCAATCTTGAACTCAGGTGGCGCGTTGACACACCGCAAAACCATGAGCATCTCGGCAGGCGTCTCGGCGGGCTGCCATTGACTGAGTGGCCAGCCCGCTTTGCAAGTGTGGATGCGTGTGGATGGACATGACCCACATCAACTTACCTGGGAAGCTCAGTCCGTCTTGATTTCTCGCAGAATAATGAAACGGCGACGCCAGTGTCGTCCTCTGACACCGATGAATCTGTCGCCATTGCGGCCATCTCCGGCTCCTAAGCGAGCCTGTGCTGACAGCCTTGCTTGACGGCAGTGTCAGGTATAGTCCTATATCGCATCTCCTCTAGCGAGCCTGCTGCTAAACTGATCTACCAGCTGAGAGTAGTTATGCCTCTTTTCAGAAAAGTCGACTGCAAGGTCAAGAGCGCAACCCCGGGTGCCTTGCAAGGCACGAGAAGACTCGGCAAGGCCATGTCCCCTGGCTGCGTCATCCAAAGCCTTCGTCACAGCCTAACGACACCGAAGACTCGGGTAAACGAGATTAGTGAAACAAGGAGACCCACTAACAAGATATGGCGGATATTGGCAGGCTCAGGTCCAGAAGATGCAAAGGAATACAAAATGATGGTTAAAACAAAAAGAGTCATATATAAAAACAAAGAATTGGTAGCGAAATGATTTATAGACCCGAAGAAACAAACAAAAAAAATGCCCCCGTTCTTGCCCGCCGTGAGCCGGCTACCGGGCGACCTTTGAGGGCCCTTTAAGACGCCCGGCTGTAGCTGCCTTGGCGAGGTTGTTCTGTGTATGAACACTGGCAACTTTGCAGAACGAGATAGGTTGAGGGATTGTCCGGGTGGGATGCTCTAGTCCGACTTGAAGCCAGCGTGCTGCGTGGGTGGTGCAGCACGATGAGGAGCACCAACTTCAATGGCCTCGAGAAGATGTGGAGGATCAACATTCTGAACGAGGTACGACTACCGTTGTGAATATGTAGGGTACATAGATATCGTCCAGGCTCAGCCAACAATATTGGGTTTTCGGAGAGTTTCCAAGATAGAAAGAATGAAGGACGGAAATATAATAAGAGTAAGGAGAACGAACAGAAAGAAGGATAGAATGGAAGGAAAGAACGAAGAGAAAGAGGGATAAGAGCAAAGAAAATTGGACCACGCTTCAAGAAAGAAGAACGAAGCTTGAGTAATACTTTAAGCCCATGTTTTTGTCTTCTGTCTTCCCATCTGTTACATGCCAACAAGCAAACCACGGTTGAATTCATGGTCAAGTACATACAGTTTCCTCCCACGGTCGACCGCATCTAGATAATCCGGATTGAGGTGACAAAAGATGGCCGAAGTGGGGAGTGAGGGTTCACGGAAGAGCAAACAGTCTAACACAGAAAACCCGCCCTTCCAGGTTTCCAATTTCCCACCTGCCTCACCGGCCGATTTCTAAACCGTTCCTTCCTTCTTCACCGTACACCGTATTTCGCACAGGCCATTTCGTTCCAACCTTTGGATTCAACTTGAACACCGGCCTGCAAAAAGTCTCCTGGGCTTTGCCAACTGGCCCGCTTAGTCGATGCAGCAAGGTCTAAGTCGGCATTGACCGCGGTTCACACTCGATGATGGCCGACTCAGACCCGTCCATCAGCGATGGCACCTGTTACGCAGCACGTGAAAAGCGGGCTAGCCTTAATTTCATTCCCTGCGGCAACTCTGCGTTTGGCGATATTCATTGCTGTCAAGCTGGCGATAACTGCCTCGAGAACAATGCCTGCTATAACGGCCGGCATGGGACGACTTACCTGGCCGGGTGCACCGACTTCGACTATGAGGACCCCAGCTGCCCGGACAAGAAGTCGTATCAAGGTATGACACTCATCTTTTTCTTTCCTTTTCTTATCTTCACTGTTACCCGATTTGGCCGGGGCCACAAAGCTGACAACTCATTCCAGAGTACCCATGGGCTGGCTTGATCTACTGTAGGCCCAACCGATGGTTGGCATCTCCCTTCCTCAGCAGTCGCTTTTTGCGCCGAGCTAGCTAATGCCGAAATAACAATGATCCAGGGTAGCTTGCGAGGAGGCGGCCAAGCCGACGACCATCACCGTAGGCGATAAGTGTACCTGCCCGCCAGACTCTGAGTCCATGACGGTTGCTTTCACGGCCGCGGGATCCATCCCAGGTATCGCCAGTCTGCCGACGACCTCAGGCGGGACAATCGAGTGGTTTGTGGGCCATGTACCGACCACGACACCGCGGCCGACCGCTTCATCTTCCTCCTCCTCCGAAACCACCGACTCTTCCTCGACGATCACGTCAAGCTCGAACATGGCACTTCCAACAAGCACTTCTGCCGCAGATGACAGCAGTTCTTCGCCCCAAACCGGTGGCCTCAGCGACGGTCAAAAAGCAGGCATTGGCGTCGGCGCCGCGGCAGGCGCCATCCTCCTACTCGGCGCGATATCAGCGCTGTGGGTGGTCCTGCGCCGCCGCAGGAACGACAAGAACAATACAACGGCCAGCCCGGAAGCCGGACAGAATGTGGTGCCGACGCAGAGCGGTAAGACTTCAGGGCCGGACAACGGGCCCGGGGCGGTGCCAGCCCGGATGCCTACACCCGAGGTGCCGCCCAGGCCGCCGGTCTCTGAGCTGCCCGCTGGCCCGTGGGTGATGCGTCCCGAGCTGCAAATGGATGCAACTCCGGCGGCGGCATACAGTCAGGCGTCGTCTGAAGCTGAAGCTGTATCCCCGCCTGGGGCTCCGGCGTCCCTTGTTTCTAGCTCCCTTGTGTCTTCTATGTCACCTGGCTGGCAGGGCTGGAATCAGGGGTGGGGAGGGGCGATGGCGGCGTTGTTGCCTGTTGCGGAAGGCGCGGAGCTTGACTATCAGCAGGACGTTCACTCACAGCAACAGCATCAGGATGGGCCTGCGCCGATTGCGGAGAGACACAAGTTTAGCCGCGATATTGCCGTGGAGCTACCGGCATAAGTAGGAGGCAGGCTAGGGTTCTGGGAACGCCATTGGGAATTATGCGGGGAAGATCTGAGGGGGGCCGCCGAGGGTAACATGGCATGGCCCAAGCTGTGCCGCGATATGTCTGGATGTAATTCGACCGGATTGCCGAAGGAAGGACGCAAGAAGAAAGCAAACCTTCAGCTTTCATGCACCTCAATGCAACCTGCCGGGTTCAGAACGCTCCCGCCCGAATGAGGAAAGGTCTTGCTGCCGTCGCGGCTTTTGCATGCACGCCTCATTGGAAGGACGACTGCCAAGCTGTGAATAGCTTCGTGTGCCCGCTGCCCGACGGTCATGGCGGAGGCCTCGAGACGACGATATCAAGTGGATATCTCAGGTCTGAAACGTATGGCGCGTTTTTGGAAAACCCCGCAAAAAACCGCCCAGCCCTTTGATATCACTTTCAGAGAGGTAATTTTGGCAGTCCTCCCGTATTGCCCGGCAATCACGCAGTAGATTTCTTTAAAAAGCCATTAGCTAATGCAGCTCGTCGAGCTCAAAAGATTGATATCCTTTGGAAATGATGCATTTTTGTGGTTGTCGAGATGCACGAGCTTCAATTCCGGGAAGGCATTTCGCTCCCCT